TTCTGTCATCGAGAATCCTGTCTCTCACTGCCAAGTATATTATAAAGTATATTTACAACGTATATAGCGCATATATCTGTGCGTGCTCATGGCGTTTCTTGCCCCGATCAGAGGTCCGTATATTTTGCATTCCAGAACTTCCCAGCTACATGTGAAATAGGCAACCAAAGCTGCCGGTCAGGCGCTAGAAGATTACCCATTCACATTACAATTACCACATTCAGTCCTTGGTACGCATTTACTGTTTTTGGACAGAGGCATGCATGAACAAGATCACTTGCCAAAGGTGACGCCGCAAGTTTGTTGTTTGTTGATTCCAACACACCCTTAATCACTGCATTGTAGAAAATCACTGACGTGAAGTATTTAGTAGTATCCAGCAACAGTTCATAAATAAGTTCTCTGGCATGAATAACAAGTGGCAAGTCGGAATCGTCTATGTTTTCAACACTAAACTTGTTATACAGGATTCCTAAAAGATTGTTTTCAATTGAGACACGTTTAACTCCAATTTCTTTGTCAAATATGGCATGCAAGAAGTTCGCTTTTGCCATTGCTGTTTGATCAATGTTTGTTAAATGGTGCAGTAGGTTATGTTTTTTAATACTGCATTGAAAAATCTGAGGGATATAGGGGAAATTCTGCTATATAGCCATACTTCCCCCTTGTGTTAAGGGGGGAAATATCTGACTCTAAAGCGGAAATATCGCTATGCAGTTATTATAGGGGGGGGGGGGGGGGGGGGGGGAAATCCCACTCTCTGACAGCAGGACTGTGTCAGTTTGAGTGGCTTCGCTCTTTTTATAGTAGAGGTATCGAACATATCAGCACGGTGATGGGTCCATCATGCTGTGCGCTGATTGGTCCAGCAAGCAGCGCGCCGACTGGTCCGTTCCAGAGCCTGGCCTGAGCATCGGTTTGCCAAACCGGTCCGACCCTTGTGTTTCTTTTCCATAGGAACAGGCATGTTCCATGGGAGAGAAAGCACAACTCATCTCGGATGCTGTCTTCTGATTGATCGGTGCTGTTTTCTAATAAAACCTAAGCTTCTGGTTGGCTGCCTTGTCGATCCTGTTTTTCTGGGTGTGCATGTCAATCCACATCCTTAAGACAACAGAACACATATTTTTTTTCAACTTTTTAATTCCCCCCTCACATGAACAAACCAACAAAACAAAAGCCACAGGATTAGGGGCATCCTGTGATTTTTGTGAACAGGAACTTTCTCACTAGAGTGAACGTATGTACACTCATAAAACTCAGTGAACAGGAACTTTGTAACTAGGGTGAGTGAGTGAGTTGGGTTTAACACCGCTTTAAACAGTATTCCAGTTATATCACGGCGTGTCAGTTTAATGTGGGAGGAAAGCCCGAAGTGATGCAGGTCTCAGATGTTTGCCACTTCGGTGAAACCCACGAGCACGGGTATGGTGCTGACAAACCTAGAAAAAACCCGGAACTGGAACCGAACAGGAACGGGAAACGGAAACCTCATCCCAGGCAGGTGGCCATGCTACACCATTTGCGTTGCTCTGATTTGCAGGCTCCTGGTAGATCTGATTCTCACACAGATAGTGCAAGAAAGTAGCTGCCATGTTCTTGTGTTTCACTACCCCCGTCAGCTTGAGGTAGGGGCAGTGAGGGGACCGCTTGTTGTGTGTCTTTGGCCGCCCATCTTTTCAGTCGCATCTCACTTACTGCAATGAAAGCAGAACACTATCGGTGCTTTGCGTGTACATGAAGCCCGCATAGGCCATGTCTTTAGCGGTCTGGGCTATCTGCATTGGCCACGCCTCAAACGAAGTGACCCTGCTTTCAAAAGATTGGTGACATAGTGACGTCGGCTTACTGGTCGGCGACAATTGTGGTGGCGGCGGCGGCGGCAACCTCTCATCACAACTCAACAGATGAATTTTGGATCCATAAGCATCCGCTTAAAGCAATACAGACAAATTACACCTTTTTGGCCCCACCCCTCAGCCCCTTGTGGGGTCAGCCGCACGATTTGTACAAGTTTGAATCCCCACCACCTAGGGATGCTTCCAACCAAACATGGTGGATATCTATCTCTTACTTCCAGAGAAAAAGTCGCTTAAAGCAATATAGACAAATTACACCTTTTTGGCCCCGCCCCTCAGCCCCTTGTGGGGTCTGCCGCATGATTTGTACAATTTTGAATCCCCACCACCCGGGATGCCTCCAGTCAAATTTCGTTAATTTTGATTAGTGGTTCAGAAGAAGAAGTCGTTTGAATAAATTGTTGATGTACAGACGACGGTGAGCTAATAAACCAGTCATTGTTTACAGGACAGGTTAATTTGAAGGCTCCCAGAAAAACTGAATAAATAGCATGTTTCTGGTAAAAATAATTCAAACCACTGATCTGATTTGTGAGTCAGGTTTCAAATCACAATAACATGCCAATGCCATTGCTTTAAGTCACCAGACAATCATGAAAGTATCAGCTGTAACCTGTTTAAGAGGTGAGGTGAAATTGGGTTTAATGTTGCGTCCAAGATTAATGCACTTATATAGCAACGTGCATGCAGGTGTGTAGTTGTGTGTGGCTGCTTGTACTAGTCTGGTCTGATGCCGATTTATAGTGCTAGTTCACTGAGATACCATGCCGCAGTTTAACATGAATACCCCACTCAAACACAGTTTACTGACTCCGAGCCGACCAGTCCTTGTTTTAGCCCCCGTTAATGCTGAGCGCCAGACAGGATAACAAGTATCATCTTTTAACGTCTTTTGTTATGATGTGGCAGGGGATTGAACCCGGACCTTCTGCTCTCCGGGCGGATGCTTTACTAGTAGACCACGGAGGCGGTCCCTATTTAAGTGAAATTGGGTAGGTTGGTAGATATTTTTTCAGATTGATCTATTTCTTTGGATGTTTTTTTATGGGACACTTTATTGCCATGAAGGGACATAGTAGGAAGAAAGGACACTGCAATTGTTCTTTTTGACAGCCAACATATCTTTTTATCTACCATAAACAGATTAGTTTCCACATTGAATTTTAGTCTCAAACTCAATGCTACTAACCTCAAATCATAACTTGTTTAGATTTATCTCCATGGCTCCTATAATCTTGGACTAAAACACTGAGTGCCTGGCTATATGCACCATGAAGATATACAACAGGTCACAATCAGTTCCATACTGGTCCTCAGCTATTAAAATGAAAAAAGCATCAACACCTACACACATGTACGGGTTGATAAATGATGTTTTTCTTTAAAAATTGACTGAACAAATTGGAAAGGTATTATAATATACACTTTATTTAACACAATAGACCTGTCAAACATGACTTTTTGTTCTACTTTGGAAGCCATACCTTATTACAAAAAATACATGCTGTAAATACAGCCCTGCCACAAGTGAGATTAAACTTAAGGTCAGCAGGTCTGGACCCGTGAAGATTCCGGGTTAGAATAGGTCTTCAGCAACCCATGCTTTCCGTAAAAGGTGACTATGCTTGTCGTAAAAGGCGACTAACGGGATCGGGTGGTCAGGCTCGCTGACTTGGTTGATACATGTCATCGATCCCAAATGCGTGGAACGATGCTCATGATATTAATCACTGGATTGTCTGATCCAGACTCGATTATTTACAGACCGCCGTCATATAGCTGGAATATTGCTGAATGCGGCGTTAAACAACAAACCAACCAACCAACCAATCAGCAGGTCTGTTCTTAAAAAAAACAAAACCACTACCCGCTTACCCTTGCATCATGTTCGTGCCTTTGTCAGCCTAAGTTCATCTCAGGCAAGGCCACATTTACTGTACCGGTATTTCCAAGACAGGTACAAAAACCACAATGATCAATCCTAATTGTTAATCCATACAATTTTCTCTGACACCAAAATATATAATATCCTCAAACATTGAAGTACATGCACTAAAGCACCAATAAAATGTCAATATCGATGGTAACATGAGTGAGTGAGTTGGGTTTAGCGCCGCTTTTAACAGTACACTTATATCCAGGCGTGTGTCAGCTTAATGTGGGAGGAAAGCCCGAAGTGATGCAGGTCTCAGACGTTTACCACTTCGGTGAAACCCACGAGCACGGGTATGGTGCTGACAAACCTAGAAACATAATCGGGGCAAGCTGGGATTTGAACCCACAATCATAGGTTTATGGCGTGCCCAAGGGACGCAACTCTGCACAGCAAATTGCGACGCCTTAGATGACAGGGCCACCCGCGCCCCCTTATGGTAACATGAACAGATTAGGATAGTTGCATGAATGGACGTTGGCTTTCTTAAATGTAAAGAACAAAGGTAAATAAATATACTGGCATCACCATGAATAAACTGAATGAATGACAAATGACAGATGCTGACAGGAATGCCCTGAATACATAATCCTAGTGAAGTGATTAGAGCTTAAAGTTTCACTGAATTAAACAGAATTAAAGTGTGTAACAGTGTGTCAGCTTGATGTGTAGGTAAAGCTGACTGTAACCATGCCCCATGCCACAGACATTAATCACCTTGCATGTTTTAAAAGCCACAAGCATAATCATGGTGCTTGATCACAATAGGAGGCAGTCTGGTAGAATAACTCACTATCAGCAAATCCTGGCAAAAAAGAGCCGCAAATCTGCACAGCAAACTGCAATGACTTAGATCACTGGGTCACCTGTGTTCTTTGATGCCATAGAGTGGGTGAGTGAGTAGGGTTAAACGCCGATTTTAACATTATTGCAGTTATATCACAGCGTGTCAGCTTAATGTGGGAGGAAAGCCCGAAGTGATGCATGTCTCAGACATTTACTGCTTCGGTGAAACCCATAGGCGTGGGAATGGTGCTGACAAACCAAGAAACATAATCGAGCCGAACTGGGATTTGAACCCACAATCATAGGTTTCTGGCATGCCCAAGGGACGCAACTCTGCACAGCGAATCGTGGCACCTAAGACGACGTGGCACACGTGTCCCCTTCATGCCATAGATAATAAACATATTGTCAAATAGACTTGTGGACCTCACACCATAAAATTAGTCACATATGCTCCCAGTTATTCATTGTTATCAGAATATGAGTCCCACTTCGTTCCATAAACTTATCTTGGGCCCATGCTTGTCTGTAAACTGCAGCATCTGTTGCTTGATACAGAGACCAATCTGTTACGTGAATGGTAGCCACTCCTTCATCTACCTACATAGATGCTGTGTCTATTCTTCATACTTGTATTCCCACTTAAAGAGGCCTTCACAGTTCTTGGGTTTACATCAGCAAGTAGGCGTAGGAAATTCACTCCAGGAGTAATGGATATGGTGTCAGTCTGTTTTCTTGTAGGCCACCATAGCATCCACTTTATGTATAGATGTAGAAAAAGACCGAAGTCGAACTTCCTCGGAATTCACCACAAAATGGGGCCCTGATTCTCCCCAGGCCTCTGGAACATCCATGTCTTTGTCTGTGTACACCAGGATATCAAACGCACCTGGAGATACAAGCAAGTAGAAATTTCTAATAAATTGTATTTATAAAACTTATCACATCTCACACAAAGCATTTCTGCAGTGTTTGAGGTTTGTGCAGTATTAGAGGTCTAGCGTCCACATAGGGTGTTTGAATAAGTGAGTGAATGTGCTTTGGACAGTATTCCAGTTATATTAAGGCGTGTCAGTTGGTGCGGGAGAAAAGCCCAAAGTGATGCAGGTCTCAGATGTTTACAACTTTGGTGAAACCCATGAGCATGTATGGTGCTGACAAAACTAGACACATAATCGGGGTGAACAGGGATTGTAACCCATGATCATAGGTTCCTGGCGTGCCCAAGGGGTGCAACTCTGCAGAGCGAACTGCGGTGCATTAGACAACTGGGCCACCTGTGCCCCCTCCTAATAAGAGTTTAAAAACAAACATTGTGGGTTTTGATTAACTGTAGAGTCAAGATGCAAGGACTGCCAATTAGCCGGAGCCTGGTCTCCTTTCAATATTATTAACTTTTTCAGATTATATAAGAAAATATTATAATATCTAAAAATTAGTTTGCTAATTTTTTTGCAGTTCAATAAAAATAGGAACATTTGTGTATTTCCATCAATTTATAACGTATTGCAAAATTCCAGCTGAAAGTAGGACATGTCACCATCACACAGCATTTGGGCCCAATATATCCACAGTTGATGGAGTTACATAGTGAGTGGGTATGGTTTTATGCCGCTTTTAGCAATATTCCAGCAATATCATACCAGGGAACACCAGAAATAGTCTTCACGCATCAAAACCCAGGCCTTTGACGTGACTAGCAAACACTAGGCTACCCCACCGCCCCGTATGAAGTAACCATGAAGTATTGATGATGAAGAAGATTAGTTGTTAGTTAACAAGAGTTACCACATTGGTAATACAACAGGGTAAGGAAACTCACACGCAGTCTCTAGAAGCGGGAGGAATGTCACCGATGCTGTTATTTGCCTGATCACAGAGCGGATTTCTTCCTTGATTGCTTTGTCTGATTTGTCCTTTTTACTGAAAATAGAAACATGCACAAATTTACCGACAATGATAGGAAAGTTATTAATATTATTGCAAATAATTGCACTAAAAGTATAAACTTAAAATATCAATATTATCAATACATTATGATGGATAGTTCCTGATCAGTGGAGCAGGTCTCACACAGGACATGGAAAGTCCTCATGTTATTAGGGCTGGCAAAAAAGGTTAATAATCAGAATTATCGTCGATGGGAAAAAATATTAACAATTATCTTGTGATTTGGATAGGTGGGTGCGTGGGGTTTGGATGAGTTGAATTGTAAATGTCTTTTTCACCAGCTGTTCAGTTACATCGCTGCAATCTTCAGTTTGCTGTGATGTAGGTGTTTACCACTTCGGTGCAAAGTATGTACAAAGGTGGTCTGGTGACACAATCAAGGATCAGTCTTGCATTCCTACCCATGACCTGCTGGTCCTTACCATGCTAAGGACGAAACCTAGAGCAAACTGAAAAGGACAGTCAGACATCCTCGATAAATGGCCCAGTACCCAGGATGCTTTACACAGTAGGTGATGTGAAATTGGGTTTAACGTCACGTCCAAGATTATTGCACTTATATAGCGACGTGCATGCATGTGTGTGTGTGGCCGCTTGCACTAGTCCGGACTGATGCCAATTTATAGTGTTAGCTCACTGAGATACCATGCCGCAGTTTAACATGAATACCCCACTTAAACACTGACTCCGAGCCGACCAGTCCTTGTTTTAGCCCCTTAATGCCGAGCACCAGACAGGGTAACAACAAGTACCATCTTTTAACGTCTTTTGGAATGACACGGCCGGGGATCGAACCCTGGATCTTCTGCTCTCCGGGCGGACGCTCTACCACAAGACCACGGAGGCGGTCCTTTACACTGTAACAGAACAGACAAACAACACATGCCTTTGAAAGGCATTTAGAAGTGATATACACGAGGAAGAAAATTTATGGATGTCAACTTCTTTATTATGAGGAACACAACCTTTGGAAGTATATGCTTACCCCTTCATCAGGTGAATGAACCATTCACCTGATGAAGAGGAAATATATACTCTGTAATGTTGTGTTCCTCATAATAAAGAAGTCCTCCTTAAAGAATACATGGACACAAGGTAATACTCACGTGTCAGCTGTCACTGTCTTATCACACTCGATATCAAACTGCCACCTCTCCAGGACCTCATTTGTATACACACTCTTGATGACAAGGACCAGCTTCTGTACCGTCATACCAAGCAGCCAGTCTAGAACAGAACACCCAGAACGATGTTTCAAATGTTTGTGACTGTCATATTCCACCATGACACAATTTAAATGGAATAACACTAGTGGGTATTAATATGTGTATGTCACTATCTTATTCAGTTTACATCTACAGGTATCTACAACATCTTTACCTCTATTCAACCATAACACAAACTCTTTGGTGTTCGCAAGGGTAAGGGTAAGGCAGCATTGGTAGAGTCCTATGATAATTGAGCCATCTTTGCTGCTGTATGCCACCAACCATAGTTTGTAACACATCACAATACTTTACTTGAAAGTGTATAGCAGAGCTACTTCAAAAGCAAACATCATGTGGACACCCCCTATTGAAGAAAAATGAAGTGAGCCTCCCAAGCTATCGTTTTAAACTACACACCACTACTAGTACTGTCACCAAACCACCCTTTTGGACACAATCAGAGGCAAAGGAGAGCCAAATTTCAAAAGCTGTTCTCACCAAAATTTGAAATACACACTTTGTCATTTCTATCATGTTTTCTGCCTAAAATGAAATGCCATTCCCTATTACAATGAACAGCAAATTTATTAATATCCAGTGTATATCATATTTGATATATATATCCTGCATCACACATTGCATTCCCTTCTATTTCCTGCAGAATATGAGTGGAAACCTACATGAAGATAGGTGTCCAAGATCGTTGCTGATCCAGAAATCAGCCGAGTTGATCATAGTCCGGTGGAGCAACAAAGGTGTCCTCTTAAACCAAGGTGGCCTCTCGGGGAAGTAACGATTGAAGGCATCCATGTTGTTAATCAACCATAATTTCGAAGTGTCCTTCTTTGGGACAAAGAATATGGGGGAGTAAAACCCAGGCATCACCGATGGTTCAAAAGTGTACTTCCCTAGAACGTCGCTGTTCTCCTGCAATAGGTGATCAAACATCCCCTCCTGGGTGGTCGGCGTTGTTGACATATGAGAGGTGGCTCGGCAAGAAAGTTGAGTCGGTATTCGAGTCGGATAGTATTTGTCATAAACTTGTGTCCAAGAAGACACCAACTCTGCAAGGGTACCTGCCTGAGGTGTCTCATGTGTATCTCCGTATCTATCGCCATTATCTGCAAGTCCTGCACCTTGCAAGATATGGGCATCAAGGATTCCATTTAGCGATGAATGTCCACATCGACAGGAGGTGCACAGGCGGCATAACCCATGCCATGGATGGGTGGGGATCCTTTCCTCCAGCACGGTTGTTTGAAAACCGTTGATCATCCCAGGGAGGCGAAGTTGCCATCAAGCACCTGAGGTGTGCCGTATAAACCTGTCCACCATCCGGGTTCAACCTCAGGCCCTGGGGACAAAACGGGAAGCCTATCAGCCAGACACTCTATGATGTTATAGTCGGCCAAGTGATTATGAATTTATCGTCTTCCTCATGATCTGGGCAGAAGTACTGTTCTGAGGAAGGGGAACAGCGAGGGTCAGAAGATCTGCTAGATGAAGTAGATGGTCAAAGATCATGACGATCATCGTACGATCTGTCAGGTGCAGTAGGAAGGAGATACGCTGAGCGCCTCTCGGTTAGGTAATGCTCCTTTTAAACATCATATGTTTATACTGCAGGAAACTGATTCTCAAACTAAATGAAAACAATAAATTGGCATATACTGAATTTAATAACACACCTGAAAAAGATGTGTAGAATACCCAAGCTCACATAATCCGACTTGGGCAACCTCGCCAAACACCACTCAGGCACTACTGTCTCACACCCTTAAACTAAATAAGTAGATCCCAAGCAGTTACCATGCAAGGCTGGCTAGTCTCGGCTGTCAAAGCATCTCTGATCCTCTGACACATGTTAAGAGGTAGGATGATCATTGTCGAATCTTCCCTGTTCTTCCGAACTCAACAATCGATGTGGTGAACGTTGTTCTCTTTCTTGATCGATCTGATCGTAGCTATGTCTCTTCTCCCGATTCGATGAGTGTGATTAACGACAGAATCGTCTGTGAGGCATTGTAACGACTTGTCCGATCCTCCATCAGAACCTCTAGCAAGGGGAGTATAGTGGAACACGAAGCCAGTCTACAACAGACTGTGTCGTAGTGGTCTTGACAACTATGACCGAATGTTGGCCTTCTGATGTCACTCTCTGTACACAGTAATATCAGGTTGCTGGTAGAACGAGGTCTGATCCCTCATCTAACGAAGGTGCAGACACACTTACAATAATGACCCGATGTCTTAGATACAGAGGAGCCCGATTTTTGTCTTATTAACAGTGAGTGAGTTGGGTTTAACACCGCTTTTAACAGTATTACAGTTATATCGCGTCGTGTCAGCTTAATGTGGGAGGAAAGCCCGAAGTGATGCAGGTCTCAGACGTTTACCACTTCGGTGAAACCCACGAGCACGGGTATGGTGCTGACAAACCTAGAAACATAATCAGGGCGAACCGGGATTCGAACCCACAATCATAGGTTTCTGGCGTGCCCAAGGGATGCAACTCTGCACAGCAAATAGCAGCGCCTTAGATGACTGGGCTACCCGTGCCCCCTTCTTATTAACAGACAACGGCTTATGTTCTTCCAAGATTGAAAAGGAACTCCTATCATTTTCATGTGTTTCACACTAACAGCTGTAAATAATTACAACTTCTGATAGAAAAATCGAACAAAATATAATTCTTCTCCAAACAAGAAAATGTCTTCACACAAGAACGTTAAGAAAGAGAATGAGTTAGCTGGGGACGCTGGGAAGTGTTTGGGTGAGGTGCTTTTTAAAGCTTGAAACTTGTTTTAAGGTTGTGTTCCACACATGGATAAAAAAAGAATGAAGCTGGATCAATATTTATGAGGAGCACATCAACGTTCCTGTCTACCAGTAATTACCAGTCTTTTACAGGCAAAGTTAGGCTTGGACCGGTGCTTCATGTGAAGGTCATTCACTGTGAACCTTATGTTACCTTATAAAACTTTGTTGTTGAACATAAGATTGGCAATGATTATTAATAAAGCATATTCTTCTAAAGAAGTCAGCTAGTCTTTTCTCATCAGGGTTTCCCGTTGTCTATATTAAGTGCAAGGAAATAACATTTCGCTTTGCTTTGAGATTTAATATCTATTTATAGTGACTTCGTCTCAAATAAAAGTAAAATATTAAACGCCCCCCAAAAAACCAACAACATTGTGACTGAACTTTGTGTGTGAATACGTGTAGATCTAACTAAGTCACTAAAGAGATGATGTCATTGGGCAAGTTCAGTTATTATGGAAGCATGTGACATCAACCCTTTAAGGATTGACTGTGTACTTTTTTTGGTTCATTGAGGTATGAATCGAAAAACCAAGTGAGTGAGTGAGTGAGTGAGTGAGTGAGTGAGTGAGTGAGTGAGTGAGAATGGTTTTACGCCGCTTTAGGCAATATTGCAGCAATATCACGGTGGGGGACATCAGAAATGGGCTTCACACATTTGTATGATTTTACCCATGTTTGGAATCGAACCCGGTCTTTGGCGTAACGACCGAATGCTTTACCCGACTGCCTGAAAAAGCGTTTGAGGGAATTGTCACAGTTATTAACTAATTGCAAAAAGCTATTTTCTGACTGTTCATGTTATGAAACTATTGCTAGTTTTATTGATGCAAGATTATTACAGATAATTTGCTTTAGTCTCCTGTCCATCCATGTGATCATGAAATAAGGCTTCTGGGCAAGTGTCAAGAACTCACACAGTGGCCTATCGAGCATCCTAATCATCTTACAACAAAGTCTATGATAGAAGCCCTATTTCTATACCTCTAATTTGACCAATAACTTCAGTGAGATATTTCTTTAGATCATCGTCTGTTGTCACAAGCAAGGTCAGGCCATAGTTCTGGGCTCGAGTGAAGGATTCTGGCGGGTAGATTCCTCGTTGGTATAGTATACTGTTGATGCCATATTCTGCAAAGAATGGGACATAATAATGACTAATAACATTATTGCAGCGAGTGAAGAGTGAGTTAGTTGGGTTTAACGCTGCTTTTAACGGTATTCCAATTGGGATACAATGACATGCATCAACCAAGCCAGCAAGCCTGACCACCCAATATATTTAGTCGCCTCTTACAACCAGCATAGTCGCCTTTTACGTCATGCATAGGTTGCTCGGGACCTATTCTACCACGGATCTCTAAAAGGTTTAAGATGGTTTTATATATGTGACCTTATTTCTCTTCAAACAACAATTAATACTTGTAGAATATCTTCTATGTTACAATCAAAAACGTTTGAGTCTCACTAGCTCAATTCAGAACAGGAAATTATGATCTAAAGATCTTTAAAGAAATATTTCAAAAAACAATATCTGTACATATTGTAACTTTAATGTTGAACAAAATAAGAATCACTTTATGCTTGTTTGTCTGTTTCAATTAATAAACAACTATGTTCGAAAGAGGTTTATCAATTTGTTTTGCATACAAATGTTGCATTGAACATAGATCATGCATTGTTAGAAACATGCATACCTAATAATTAGACCCGTGTAGATCCGGGTTAGAATGGGTCTTCAGCAAACCACGCTTGCCTTAAATGGCGACAATGCTTGTCGTAAGAGGAAACTAACGGGATCGGTCAGTCAGGCTCGCAGACTTGGTTGATACATGTCATCGTAACCTAATTGCGTGTATCGATGCTCATGTCACTCACTGGACTGTCTGGTCCAGACACGATTATTTACAGACCGATGTCATATACCTGGAATATTGCTGAGTGTGGTGTAAACAACAAACAACCATGATTTGTGTTGAACGACGGGCAACGGTACAGCTCAATGTTTTAACTGAAAATTTGACAGGTTGCCATGAAATGACATAACAAAAGAGTATGGCTGTCTGAATCACTAAAACTATGTCACTTGCACTTGTAGCATGCAATATATATATCCAATTTTGAGGTTTATTCGTATTAATGGCCCCCTGCAAAAATGGCCCCTAATTTAAGTGAAAATGGCCCCAAATTTTGGAGAAAACGGCCCCATGTTGTTGGTTAATATGACCCTCAAAATGGTCCCAAATAAAACTTAGATAGTTGATACAATTGTCACATGAGACCCTTGTCTCCCATTTGACATTTGGCCTGGTCACAATCAGGGGTAATATTTTTAAACAAGCTTGTTATAAGGACCTATATGGTTACTTACAGGATGAAAAAAAAGAAGGTCCATTGTACTTCTTCATTTTGCAGTTGCATTGTCTTGACGTGACGTTAAGTAATGCAGCTTCCAATCTGCCATTAGATTTTTTAGCCATGTGATTTATCTTTCTTATATTTTGCAGCCTAAATTTCAATACTTTGATGAAGATTGATTGTTAGGATTCAAAAAGCATAATATGTTACTACATTAGTATGAAAGAGTAGCAATCTCTCTTCAATTAAAGGTACAGCTCAATGTTTTAACTGAAAATTTGGCAGGTTGACACTTCCTCACAAAAAGGTATGCTTGTAATATTTTCTTAAATTTTACAAATTGTGCTTAAGTATTACAGCTTTGATGTTTTTTCCAGCATTCGGAAAACCAACTTTGTGAAAAATGGCATGATCATCAGATTTGCGAAATGTAGTGGCCGCAGCCCTAAATACAGGGCAGGTGAGTCAGTTGCCTAGATATTTGTCTTTGCACTTATTAGTTAACACATTTGTTATATACTACTACTGTCAATCTTGAAATTAACGCGAGTGTGAATTAAATGAAAAAAACCAAAACGGATGAAAATAAGGAAAACCCCTTACAGGCATAAAAATGCCAATACAGACCTTTTATTTTCTAACACCAGTAAGCATTTTAATTGCAATTGATTTTCAAGAAAAGTGCAACAAAAATGTGACCCCTGATTGTGTCTAGGCCGATTAATAATTGTTATTTTCTTTGTTTGTCAATTAGTACTAGTAGTAAGCATTGTTATATAACAAGCCAGAGATACCAGAGACCATGACACATACAGAAAAACTGAGGATTAGTGATGGCCCCATGTATTAATTGTTACTGTATTCCTCAATTCCATGGTCGCGATTCTGTTGTTGCAGAAATCACAGCTAAAGTCAAAATGACCAGAGCCCCAGATAAGCTGCGTATCTGCGTGAAATACGCATCAGAAATGCAGAAATACACAGTAAAATATAATCCAAGCGTATCAAATACACAAGGAACATTACAGATACGCTACAAAAATAAAACTTGTGCGTATCATCAAAATATTGTGAAGTAACCCTGCGTATTCGATTAGCAAATCAGCAACTTATTTTGAAATTATAAAGGGGCATTCCGTCAACCTTGCCAAACTCCATGATGACAGTTACATCATGATCATTTGCCATCACACTTTCTTGTGGAAGTATCGTGGTATTTTTGAGTCCTATAAAACTCTCGAACCCACACGACACGTTTGCAGGGACTAGATGAATAGTGTTTTTAAATATTTAACTTAAATACCCACATGTGTAAAAACTAGTGGGTAACAGAAATTTGAATACGCAGGTAGAATTACTGATACCCAATGATTTTAAAATGCATGGGTAAAATACCCACAACACCAAAAGCTTATCTGGAGCTCTGATGACTGTTCATTTCAACAAGTAACAAGATATATCAGCTGACTTTATCCTGTGACTTTTGTCTGGGATGATTCACAGAGTATGTGAACATAAGTTACTGTCACTTAGTAAAGAATAAATAAACTAGGCCAATAAACTACATCACTACGTTTTGTTTCTTCAAAATTTGGGTCCTTTTTTGCCAATATTTTGGGTCCATTTTCACTCAAATTTGGAGCCGTTTTCTCCAAATTGCTAGGAGACAGTTTTGCATGGGGTGATTTTCTCCTGCACCCCATACATTTGTATTACAAATGCATGCAGATTAAAGGTTGCTGTTTGTTTTGAGCATTTATCCCCTACTTTTCATGTGTCGCGTGTCACTATATTAGCAGTAAAAAACATGGAGGATCCTGATCGTGTACATGTCGGCATGAATTAACACAATAACACCGAGGGCGACGTCATATGATATTCCAAGCAAACCGGCGATGAAAACATTGGCAATTATGACAGACAGCGTAGGCCTACAGCCTCTTGCCTCTAATAGCTCTGTCCAGTGGTAGAACATAAATAGTGTATCAATCATTTAAAGCATGTTCTTTTTCTTGCGACACCTTTCAACGAGGCTCTGGTGGGTTCTGTCTATTTCGAAAAATGATTGACGCCAGTTTACCAAAGAATTCTGTGACAATTTCAGTCGATCCCTTCAAAGTTATCGCATTCTGTGTTTTGGTACCCGCCATGTTTGAACTCCCGCTGCTACCACAGCGCCTCTATTTTCAAAGGGAGTTAACTCTAATTCCTCATCAAACCTACTCAGAACTCCATGGAAGGCATACAGATCGAACCCAAACCAAGGTATTATTGTCATGAATAGTTTTATTTTTAATTTTCATGAAGGATTTTCATTTGTTTTTCTGCCCCTTCAGTTACTTGTCATATAAGTTATGTAAGTTGGTATGTAATTTATGTAAGTTGGTATGTAATTTATGCAAGTTGTTTAGAAGCATGCACCTGAGCGTATATCCTGTATATCGGCATGCATAGTGTTAATCTGTAGGAAAAGTCGAACGGAACAGCAGAATGTGCCATTTGCATACATGATGTCTGCTTCACACAAATGGTCCAGATTCTCTCTTGTGGCGAAGATGAGAAATGTGTCATTATCGCCATGGTCAGCAATCACGAACGGCTTGCTTACGTCAGTTAGAACCCAGTCGCCACTCAGTTGCACTGTAGGTCGTGTCCTGGGGAGGCCGGGAATTGTCCATAGGCGATCTCATGGAGTCGAATGTAGGGAAGTGCTGGAGGTATTCCTCTGGAATCACGTCCGCTCTCTTCCCCAGAGTCGAGAGCTCGTCGTCGTCGGGGGCGGTCGGGTAGCCTAGTGGTTAGAGTGTTCGCTCGTCACGCCGAAGACGCGGGTTCGAATCCCGACATGGGTACAATGTGTGAATTCCATTTCTGGTGTACCCAGCTCTGATATTGCTTGAATAGTGCTAAAAGCGGCGTAAAACCATACTCACTCACTCACTCGTCGTCATAGATCTTGGAAATTGACGTTGTAGAAAATCCTATATTTTGTTACCCTTATTTTGACAATGGTAAATCAAATTGTGCCCCGAAAACAGTTAGTATTATGATCAGGTTTTGTTTATCTCTGGAAACAACAATCAGTTCCAAACATTTCAAGTCTTTTGTCAGGTATATTTAAAAAATGTTTTTTAGGTATATTTATGTTGCAATTGTCTAGTTACAGTAGTATCACGGACCTATAAACGGTTATATAGGTCCGTGGTAGGTACCTAGCAGGTGTCGTTGCTGACATGGACGACAGAAGACAGAAAACCAACAGTGAAAAGCTTCGTGTTGTAGTGATGGGAAGTCCAGGAGTCGGCAAAAGTCAAATGATATCAACATTAATTTCAAAACAAAACGTCAGTGGCCTTCCCCACAATATAAAGGACTACCACCGACAATGTGTTGGACAGTCTCATTAAATGCATTGCATAATCTACATTTTCATATTATTTACATTTTGATGTAAAATCACATATAGACGGTTTCGAGGGGGAAGTGACTGGTCCTGAGCAGCAAACAGAAAGCCTTATTTCACTTTTTAGGCCAGCCGACCTCATCCTAGCGAAGGACTGTACCGGATTGCCTATCCTCTCAACACACTGCAAATAAACTCGATGCAGTGGTCGTTCTGATAGCCTCTCCTTGAAAAACTGAATCTTGGCCGATTTGATATTATTGGTCGTAAGAGGAGACAATAGGTCTGGTGGACAGGCTCAGCGACTTGGTTGATAGCGTAGCATCGTACCCCGACGGCCTTTATTGTTGCTCACAATCTCAATCACTGGATTACAGGCCACCATCATATAGCTCGAAAGTTGCCGAGTGCGACGTTAAACAATAAACTCTAGAGCCCTAGTTTGCCAGCACCGTGTCGTTCCTCTGGGATCACCAACGTGATGGATGTCTGGAGACATGCGACTGCATCCGTGGTCTAGTGGATAGAGTGTCTTCCCGGAAAGTGCACGGTCGCTAGTTCTATCACCGGCCGTGTCACCAAAAGGCGTTAAAAGATGGTACTTGTTGTTACCTTGCCTGACGCTCGACTCTAAGGGGACAAAACAAGAGCTGGTCGGCTCGGAGTCAGTATAATTTGTCTGAGTGGGGTATTCATGTTAAACTGTGGCACGGTATCGCAGTGGGCTAGCACCATAAATCGGCATGCATGCATGTTGCTCTCTATTTGCAATTATCTTGAACTCGACGTCAAACTTCATCTCACCTAACCTCACCTCAAATCAACCCACCTCACCTCACTTCACCTCTATAGACTTGCATCATATCCTCTCATTTCAAGCACAGACACAACGGTATGACTGTAATTAAACCCTAAAGCAGCGTTAATTCACTCACTCATTTCAATATCAGGAGGTATGTCATATTGATACAAGCTGTTCATGTTCTTGAATCTTTTAGAATATTTTATCAGCTTTAGAGTTTTAGCAATAATAATGCCGTGTGTTTGTTGTGAGTGTAAAACAATTTCAATATTTACTGTTATGTCAATTTTAGTATGTTTTCTTCGAATATGGTAATTCTGCAAGAACTCATATGATCATGCTACCCTTTTTTTCATTTAGTCCATGTGTATTGAAGAGCTTGTACACTATCAGCGTGTCATTTTAATTTGTATTGCTGACTGAGACTCGACAATTTACAGTCTGTCGTGATTGATAGTAGACTGGTAACAGTGACATAAAACAACATTCACTCAGCTCATTCCCCTAAGAATGACACACCATAAACGTCAAAGTCAGAGAATAACCTGTCTCGATTATCTGGCAAAACAGATTCTTTTTAGTGTAAAAGACAAAAATAAGGTTGAAAATCATATGAATAGACAAGAGCTAGTTTTATTTCCTGAGGCTGCACAGAAAGAGTTGAAATACGACGATAGACGTCCAAACAACAACAACAACAACAACAACAACAACAACAACAACAACAACAACAGAATAATACAATTGTTATGCCTTCATCCGCTGTAAACCCTGGGGCGTAAATCAGTTGTGAATATCAAATGACAGAACCCATCTAAAATAACACGACATATTGTTAGTGCGAAACACTGCCTTTCAAGTGTTGACTGTTGACAACGATGCTGTTACAGGGGCATCGCCACGAAATCCCTGTTCCTTCCGGATTAACGGGGTTACTACACTAAATGCATTGTCACCCACAACAATGAAATACATCCCCTGCCCCTTTAAGTATTTGACTTAAGCTTTTTCAGGGTTAGCCTCCTCCGTAGCTTGTGAATGATATCAGCAGGGGAGGTCATTCTCCGTTGTCCCGACGCAGCACTGCCATCGCATGCGCATACGTGACGTTGGACCACTTCTTTGAACACCCTGTCGACGGCGTCTTTGTCCTTGGTGGTGATTTCCATATAGCTGTGACCCCAATCCATCTCCACCACAGCTTCCACGATCTCTTTCGGAGGACTACGCGTGGGGACATCAAGATCCATCTTGTTACAAACGACGGTTATGGTGTTCTAAAAAGGCAAACAATAAAATGTAGGATATATGCGTGAATAATGAGTGAATATTGAGTGAAGGAGTGTGGTTTTTAAAGTTGTTATCAGTAACGTCACGGCATGACAACATAACCTGGGCGGAAAGCCCGAAGTGGTGCTCTTGGCTATGGCAGGGTTTGACAAATGTCTTATCTACATACTCGCCCACTGGTCCAGTAAGAAATGTCTTATCTACATACTCGCCCACTGGTCCAGTAAGAAATGTCTTATCTACATACTCGCCCACTGGCCTAGTACCAATGTCTTATCTTCATACTCGCCCACTGGTCCAGTAACAAATGTCTTATCTACATACTCGCCCACTGGTCCAGTAACAAATGTCTTATCTACATACTAGCCCACTGGTCCAGTAACAAATGTCTTATCTACCTACTAGCCCACTGGTCCAGTAACACATGTCTTATCTACATACTCGCCCACTGGTCCAGTAACAAATGTCTTACCGACACACAAGCCCACTGGTCCAGTAAGAAATGTCTTATCTACATACTCGCCCACTGGTCCAGTAAGAAATGTCTTATCTACATACTAGCCCCCTGGTCCAGTAACAAATGTCTTATCTACACACTAGCCCACTGGTCCAGTAAGAAATAAAAACTACTGGCCCAGATATTAAGTTACAAGTCCAACAGAAATTCAGAAATTTAAGAGAGCAAACACCTGTCAATATGGTTTAAGTCATTTTATTCATGACTTTACTGACTTTGTTTGTTTCATGCACTTCTAACCATGGAATTTTGAGCTTCCACGACTGTAGGAATGTCCTTCCCCTCTTTCTTGCACTTTGTGTTGGTTCACAGGGCTTTTCAATTTGCTGCAGTGGCTTTATAAAATTCCACGAAACGGTTCCGGCCATGACGGCCATTACCGAATACCGGACCGTCTATATACACGATATCGTGCAAATAGTGGACCAAGTAGAAAGTAGCATTAATTTGATTGGTCACAATAATCACTTCCCGTTTGCTACGATGGAATTTATTGGTTATTAACAACTGGTCTCCACTTTGCTATGTAGCGTTGTTATGACAATATATATAATTCTTCTATCATTGCATATCATAACACTGGATCCTCCCTGCTGGACCCTCCCTGCTGGATCCTCCCGGTCCGGCACGGGTATCGAATCTACCCAAGATCACGAATTTGCTGACGACCGGTATCTATTTAAAAGTATTTCTTTCGGAAACGCCATGGTAGGACACTTTAAACATTGATTATTGTATTTAATAAACGTTGCGAAATACCGTCTTGTAGAGCTTAGAAATCTGAAGAAAGTGTAACAAGACATTTTAGACAGAAAAACAACGACTAAAAGAGAGCATTGTATATTTCAGTAACATCAACAAAACTTGACACTTGGCGCTACTCTATGAGTCATAACTACTGCGTCACATGTCTGATCATCCAGTGAGGATATCAAAGCAAATATACGACCAACTGAACCAGCTGAAACGAACTGAAACTGAAATTGAACGAATTGATCCAACGCCATTTAGCACTTCCGCTATGGATGTAGATAAATCTGAACTGTTTAATTGGCATTTTTAGAAGTTGGTAAGTAACCGTATAAACAAGATATTATGTGGATAACAAGGATGAATAACTTTCCAATAGCCAACTTTCCCATACAATCGAGCATGCTCTTTCATTCCACAATTTCAAAGAGCGTCATACGACTCTCGGAAGTTGTTTGATCAAGGTTAGAACATTCAAGGCCTCAGTAAAGCTTTCAAAAAGTTTTATGGCAGACATGTGTATGACATTACAAATTTGACGCATCAGTGACTAAATGATGTTCGGTGCAATTCCCTATTTTGACTTTACAATATGTTCCCTTATTTTTCGGGTGAGCGAGTGAGTGAGTTTGGTTTTACACCGCTTTTAGCAATATTCCAGCAATATCAGAGCTGGGCATACCAAAAATGGGCTTCACACACTGTACCAATGTCGGGAATCGAACCCGGGTCTTCGGCGTGACGAGCGAACGCTTTAACCACTAGGCTATTTTTCGGGTGAACAATTGACTTGCTTTTGCGTGTGTTTGTGACGGGTGCCACAGGTGGGACAGGATATGCTTCCCTTTTTGCGAACACCTGATATCATTACAATTTGATAGTGATTCATACACACAAGCTCATGATATAATCGGAATCATACAGTCGATTCTGCTTCATGTAGAGATTTCTATTGGATATGGAAAGGGTTTTGTCGCTTTGTTTAATAGAATAAAGAAGTCATCCATACAATATATTGTCTTGACTGTAGATAAACCTGTTTCCAATTTAGAAGTTTCAAACTCAGATTCAAACGTTAATAGAAACGATTATTATCAGTATCTACGTTTGAAACCTCAAAATTGAAAAAAAGGGTTTAAAACCTCAAATTCTGATGTTTGCTTACCTTCCTCTCTTTACTCTTCCACTTGACCACCATGTCCCGGATACAATTCATCCTGTCAAAGGATGTCTTGTCATCGACCGCGTACATCAGCACAAAGGCATCCCCCGTTTGTATGGCGAGCTTCATCATCTGAGGAAACTCTAGGTCCCCGTGGGTGTCCAGGATGTCCGCAGACACATTCACATCTCCGTCTGTAATTTTGCAACTGTAGAAGTCTTTTGTGGTGTCGCTGGTGGAGTTTTTAGTCCTACCATGGACAAACTGTGAAATCAGCGACGTTTTCCCGACTGAAGTTGCCCCCATCACTATTATCTTAAACTTAATGTTATCAGGTTGGTCTTTCTCAAGAGATTTTGCCTCTGCGGATGCCATCTTGGAAAATCAATTCAGAGAAGACGAAATAGTTCACTAGATGTCAGAGAAGACGAAATAGTTCACTGGATGTCAGGTGTGTAATCACCATGGTTATATGAAGTTTGTCACGCTACAAGATAAAGCCCCTCCTTGTGAATAGGAGTGGTTAAGTGTGTACGTTTTACGCTCATTAGCTAACTAAAAATCATATAACGCATAGGGGGTTTAGCCGCGCTCAGTGAACGTCTAAGCCACTATTCAACCCACATGTATCTGGCATACTGGTCAGAACATACTCGCAATGTATATGAGACCGCGGGAATAAATAACACAATGAGTCACCGAGATTCGTGAGCAATATCTAAAAACATGAAAATGAAAGAGTTACACTACTGGCATGAAAGACAGAACATTGCTTTTGACAAAACAATCAACAAGCACCAACTATATACACGAAACAATATTATCATTAAATACAGGTGGATATAAGCGAGGATATATTATTTCCATTGTCATACAAAATCTCTGTTAAGAGCAGAATCTTTTGCACGACTCCGACTATAGCATTGACATTATATTGGACTCACTCATGTTTTTGAATCACGGTCAAATAGTGATGAAACCAGGTGTTCGAGAAAAAGAAGAATTATTCACTTGAAAAAAATACGGGAACATATGGTACAAGTGAAAACAGGAAATTGTACGGATCCGTCACACCTGGAATTGTCCTCCACATGTCTACCATAAAACAAGTCGACAACCTTACTGAGGCCGTGAATGTTGTAACCCTGATCGAACAAGGTTTTAGCACGAGTCGTATGACGCTCTTTGAAATCATTGTAGAACAGCTCGAGTGAAGCTTTTGGAATATTGCTCGGCTTAAAGGAAAAGCCAGTATGTCATACGCGGTATCTTAGCGAAAGCACTTTAACTGGGAGTTATTTAAATTAATAGGCGGTTTTAGACGATGCAAGTTGATAATTCACTATCAGAACCATAGCCTATTTTTATTTCACTCTCACTCCCCAGTTCCTACTTCCTACTTTGAAAACTCAAAAATACGTAAGCAAAATTAGCTTACCCACAGAATAATGAACTACTCCAGTCACGTGGTTAAGGACTTCCGTAACACTTGAACCTCAGTGATGGGTACTTCTGCTTACAATAGAATATCTCAGTGAGTTCGTAAATGTCTTTTTTCAGAAATCTTTAAGCTATAGATGAAGACCACCGACAAGTAAACGACCTAAACTACATTTAAATATGATCCAGAGGTAGAATAGCTATTCTATCGACAGCATTTGATGAAAACTTCAATATTACTGGCAATTGAAAATCAAATTAAAGGGAGATAACTCTCAAACATTTAGATAGGTTATTTAGGGACTGGGAAAGTTATAACCCGTCGGATACGAACCACAAGTCAATGTGTAGTCACATTTTTATCTCAATGTCAGTATTGGTTTTGTTAATGGCTCTGTACTGCTGGACGGTACAGAAATGAGTGTCGATCAAGCGAAGTGCCATATCAAATCGGCCCAGACTCAGTTTTTCAAGGGCTGTCTAAACGACCACTACATCGACTTTATTTGCAATGTGTTGCGAAGAAAAGTAACCCTGCGGGCCTGACGTCCGTTTATGTGCAGTGTGTTGAGAAGTCCGCGACCCTGCACAGTCCTTCGCTTGGATGAAGTCCGCTGGCCTGAAAAGTGAAACAGAAGGCTTTCTGTTTGCTATTCAGGGCCAGTCACTTTCTACTCGAAACCGTCAATATGTGATTTTGCATCAAAATGTGAATATGAAATGTAGATTATGTAATGAATTTAATGAGACTGTCCAACACATTGTCAGTGGATGCACAAACACAGAATCTTAAGCGACATGATGGAGTGGTTCGATCATTTTATTACCGTCTTCGTCATGCTTGTGATTTTGACATTTTGATTCCATCCATTGTACGACCCAGAATATGTAGAGGGCGTCATGGAAAATGATAAATACAAAATTCTTTTGAATATATATATATAGCTTCAGACGTATCCAGGCCAACAAACCTGATCTGGTCCTTTTTATATTAATCCAATGAAATAATTTATATCATTGAATTTTCTGTCCCTTTTGACAGCAATGTGATTGACAAGATTCAGGAAAAACATGGCAAACATGCTGACCTCGCTTTCGAAATGTCACACTTGCATCCCAAGTACCAAGTTGTCCGACTCCCCATTGTTCGCGGTGCCTTAGGTTCGGTACCTCCCAATTTGTTGACTGACAATGGGAGAGTACCCGGGTTTGCTACCAGCCCTTCTGACGATCTGGGTAATGCAGAAGACTGCAGTGATGGGCAGTCTTCACATTCTCCGAGACGTTCTTGGAGGGTTTTACTAGGCAGCGCTTCCTGGGAGAAGTCCCATGCGTGTAGCGGGGGCAAGGGCCCTGAGTTGAGGATGAGCCTAACGAGCCTGTTTGTGCCAGGATCACACAAACCCTCTTTCCTGCACTTTCTATTTTAATCTGTAAATAATAATAATAATAATAAATAATAATATTAAAAATAATTTTTGCTGCTAAGAACCAGTCACTGCCCACTGTACAAGACAAGACAAGACAAGACATTTTTTTTAGTACAGAGGTCAGTGGCCCAAAGTACAGGCATCTTTAGGTTTCATTTCTTAGCGCTATTATACACACACACACACACACACACACAGACACACACACACAGACACACACACACAGACACACACACACACACACACACACACACACACACACACACACACACACACACACACACACACACACACACACACACACACGCACGTACACACACGCACACACGCACACACACTCTCTCTCTCTCTCTCACACAAACACACACACTCACACTCACATGCACACATTGAATAGGTATAAACAGAGATCACTTATTGTTTGTGTATTTTGAGTGTTCATAATGTTTATGAATATGTTTACTGCACGGTCATTTCGGATGTATTTACTAATATACGGTTTTCTAATAGATGTATATGCATCACATACAAGTTAAACATGAATATCGTCTTCTAAGCACATTTTGTCTTTTTTCCTACAATGAGGTGATGTGAGATGAAATTGGGTTTAACGTCGCGTCCAAAATTATTGCACTTATATAACGACGTGCATGCCCGTGTGTGTGTGGCTTGTACTAGTCCGGACACTGAGATACCATGCCGCAGTTTAACATGAATACCCCACTCAGACACACTTTACTGACTCCGAGCCGACCAGTCCTTGTTTTAGCCGCTTAATGCCGAGCGCCAGACAGGGTAACAACAAGTATCATCTTTTAACGTCTTTTGTTATGACGCGGCCGGGGATCGCACCCCGGGTGGACGCTCTACCTCTAGACCACGGAGGCGGTCACCCTACAATGAGGACACTGTACAGATCAAGTTGAAGGAGAAGCAGCCAGGAAACCATGTGATAAAGGCGCGACGTCTTCACACTGGCTTGATTATTACTGAAAGTAGCTTTAAACTCTTTCATATTACTGAGCGCTGCTCAAAACGACTTTAGCACCTTTGTGGAGTGCGTACCATTCACGTAGGGATTCACGTGTTTTGAGTAGCTGTGGACTTGGCAACTTCCGTGCGAAACACCAACACTCGACGCAACAAATATATGCGATTAAATTTTGTGAACATGTGAGACTTAACTTACCATCATCACAACGCACATATTGGTGAAAGCAAAACAAACGACGTGTGGTTTTATTATGTAACCTTTATGGCACAATTTCTTTCAAGCCTTCTTAACATTCAGTAAACATTGTAATACACAACTACATTGAATATTATTCAGTGTAACATTTCACATAATCCTAGATACATGTTGCATGTGTTATCTAAATGATTGTTTGTTTGTTATTTAAAGCTGTATTCCACAATATTCCAGCCATTTAACGACGATCTGTAAATAATCAGTGATTAATATCATGAGCATCCATCCACGCAATTTGGATACGATGACATGCATTAACCAAGTTAGCGACCCAGATCCCTTTAGTCGCCTCTTACGACAAACATGGTCGCCTTTGACGGCAAACGTGTTTCTGACAGGCATACCCCGATTCCGTTAGTCGCCTCTCACAAGCATGGGTTTGCTGAGGACGTATTCTACCCCGGTTCTGCACGGATAACCCCAATGTGTTCACTCGGAAGTGTAGACCTATCGTTACATACTCCGACAAGAAGTGGGATATTATTATCAATTATATTTCTTTTCATCCAAGATATCTTTTGCCAATATGTCTTTTCACGTTGACAGTACCGGATGCTTTTCCTAATTACAATCATCTAAAATACACATGCAAAGGCTGCCAAAATGACAAGGCAGAAACGAGTATCGAAACATTCAAGCTTTGTCGCCATTACCTTGCTTATGAGACTATCTACATGGAGTTTTGCTTTCGGAGTTTATATTTGTCACGCAGATGTTTAAGGAGAGATTTGGGAGTTGTCATTCTTCTCGGCTCAGTGCAAGGGAATCTCTCCTTGTATACAGCTTTCGATTGACGAACCAGTTCTCTGAACACTTCATTCACACTGACGTCGTCCAGAGCAGAAGCTGACATAAACATGTGTTCCCAGTCTTTTGTTACGATGTCCTCTGTGGTATTTCGATCAGGAACTTCTCTCACAAGTTTCATGTCGACTTTGTTGGCCACAACCATGATCGGCGTCTTCCCCAGTCCATTGCGTTCCTCTATCATACCCCTGTAGTAGTTGAGTTCATGGAACGATTCCCGGTCATTGATGGCATACATCAGAATAAAGGCATCCCCCGTTGCTATAGTCAGCCTCCGGAGCCCTGGATAGCATTGGTCACCTTCTGTATCCAGAATCTCTAGATTGATACTGCCGCCTTTGTCATCGAAGGTGTGCTGGTAGTAGTCCTTTATATTGTGGGGAAGGCCACTGACGTTTTGTTTTGAAATTAATGTTGATATCATTTGACTTTTGCCGACTCCTGGACTTCCCATCACTACAACACGAAGCTTTTCACTGTTGGTTTTCTGTCTTCTGTCGTCCATGTCAGCTGCACTACTCGACGCAACGACACCTGCTAAGTACTACTGTCCATGTGCAATTGCAAGATGAATATATCTCACGCTCGACACATTGAACCGCGTATGACGTATATGAGGTGCTATCAGCATACCAACGCAACCAGCCCAAGAAAGATTTGCTACCATATATGGTCAAGTCTGAATAGGCATCTAAGACGACTGGTTTACCTTTTCTCTCAGACAAATCGACATTGGGGATGCCTTTGTTCTCGGTTATTCCGTGGATGACGCCGACTCTTTTGAACAAATTAACAATTTGCGAGATCTCATTATGGAAGAAAAGAAGGAAATATATCATGTTAAATTGTGACAATAGATTGGGAGCACAAGTGCTCTGAAGTGTCAGCTAGAGACCCGACGCAAATTGCTGAATTATTTGGAAGTGTTATTGGCCATGCTGTCACAGTTTATAAGGACAGGTTCGTAATGCGACGGAGAGGAATGATAACGCCTGCACATCGACCATCGACCCATTTACACAGTTGATACACCAATATCATATACATATACGTATTGTAATGTACAAGCCTTTTGAATATTTCGGTCAGTATACAGTGAGATTTATCATATTGTACATGTTGTATGCGATACAGCATACAACCGTAAAGATATACATCATTCTCTACATAAATCATTTTCTACATGAGTTGGACTACCTTTTGGATTTTTCTCTCTTGGGTCTGGGAGACTAGAGGTGACAGGTACACTGAATTATATCTCAATTCATTTCTGTTGTCAACATAGAACGCAACTTACCCATTTTCTCCACCTTGTCCCCTTGCCCCTATTGACGTACACTAATATGACAACATGGTTCAAGCAGCATTTTGTTTTGGGGCGGCAACATTCCAAATGTTCTATTGGCAGTGTGGCTGGCAATACTGACCAAACTGTATATCAAGGGTTTCCTCTGTGCATTGGTAGAACCCATGACTGGAGTCAATCCCGATATTGTTCTTGGCGTAATTACGCACTTACTTCTAGGCTATGTCATCACTCCACTTGAAACAAGGTTGCTCTGCAAGTCGTGGGAACTGTTCCGTATTACTAAAATGTTATTACAGGACTTCGTAAGGCCAGCACGTCCTCACCATACCCCGCCTTTACTGAAGGTTGTCTGTGTAGCGCACGTTGTTATACACGAATCTTCTTTCAGATCTTGTTGATCGAGACGCAAAATCAGTAACGACTTATCGATAACAATACTTATAAAACACGCCCTTTTTATTGATAAATATTTATTTCTATATAAGGATGTTGACAAACATAATCATGTATAACAGAAACGGTCAATAACAAATTATTCTTGAATATACTGCTAAACTTTATAAAATCAATACAGTGGGGGATGTATCATTCATTATCAAGACTTGGTATCTCAACCAATCCCAAATTGTCCTCAATTTACGTCATGTAAATTATTTTGGAAATTTTAAACCATACATTTAACGAGTATTGCTATATATATATCGGTTGCATTCAAATCCAAACAGAAGGATAACGCGATCAACTGCAAAAAAATTATGCAAGCATGTACACAAATGAAAATGTCATAGTCAAGGAGAACGGGTCTGGTTCCACTTCACCGTACACTATACAAGAAACCACTTTGACTGTTGGCCAATCTCATTAGTAACGGCTCTCAACTTGCCAGTGCAATGGCACATCTGTCAATACCCATTGAACATAAAACTTACTCGTTTCCTAAATAAATACAAATTGACTATTCTAACGCTACCAGAAAATGCCGTTACTACAAGCTAAAGCTGGTACAGCATTTTGTGCAATGCCATTGTTCTTTCAAATCTGTAAATTTTACAATTTTAATAATGTATTTGTTTCAGCTCTTTGAAATGGTTTAACATTTGTGATTTTTGAACATGCAGATTTTAAAGGAAATTTAGTGCTGATGCATACTTGTCCGGAGGAATTGCCATTACGCGTGCACATCGTGAGGCTAGTGTAAACTGTGTCGTAGAGTGACTGTATGTGTAGTTGAACGAATAGCAATATTATCCATGACATTTTCATAACCTCAATAACTAATATATAGAATAGAAAGAAAACAAATCATTACAACATAACATGTATTTAAGAAATTTGTGAAATTTGTGAAACTATTTTATTATTATAAACATAACAAACTAAGCGCAAAAATGTAGGCTTTCAACAAACAATGAACTCGTCGAATGACGATTTTTACCTATCGTCCATAACTCTAATATTATGCCAAACTTGCATCGATTGTCTAGGACGGTGTGTCCTGTAACATGACAGAGAGACGAGTCAGAGTACTTTCTCTTAGTGAAAGGTTTCCTTGGTTGAATTGTGTCTCCCACCTACAGCGTCATCTTGTCGATGTTGAAGCCGCACCCGAGGCGGAGCCTCTCCACCGTCAACGGTGCAACTGAAACAGTTGGAAAACAAAAGATAATTTTTGTTCAAAACTATGTTTTTATTTCCTTCGTCAGCTTGTTCTTCCTATATATATTTATCTCGTGGATGTATCTGTCCCATGTGTAGATCGGCACTCTTTAAACATAATCATGTATTATCAAGGTACCTTCCCACAGACATGACCTATTCTTTTCTGTCCGATGTCGGTCTATATCTGTTCCACATGTATTAATCCCATATGTACATGTGTACATATTGACACATGACATATTCTTTTCTATCCGATGTCGGTATATATCTGTTCCACATGTATCAATCCCATATGTACATGTGTACATATTGACACATGACATATTCTATTCTTTCCGGTGTCGGTATATATCTGTTCCATATGTGTCAATCCCATATGTACATGTGTACATATTGACACATGACATATTCTATTCTATCCGATGTCGGTATATATCTGCTCCACATGTATCAATCCCATATGTACATGTGTTCACTTTTAACATCATATTGTATTATCAATTGATCTTCAAACATACATAACATATTCTTATTGCTCTGATATGGTCCATATCATTGACGTGCATATGGTTTATAGGATATTAAAAGAGGTCCTACATTTAGAATACAGTAGCACAAACTGTAAACCACGTCACACTACCCTGTGATCGTCATGAAGTTGTGGTAATCTGTTCTATAGGTGAACCAAAACCAATTTCCCATTGATATCAAGTTTATCTCGCGAGTGGAATATTTTTTATATGAGCGAGAGACAGAGAGAATTGATTTCACCGGGTCATACACTTGGTATGAAATGGGAACGAGTTTTGAATTACCAACGATGATTTTTAACGAATTATCAACAGAATAACGCTATATCCATCTGACACTATGAAATGCGTATGAATACAAAGTGTGAAAAATATGTTCATGGAGCCGCATCACTCCCGGCATGCATACATGACATCCTGCGATCTAAGTATAGAGACCCCTGAATTATTGGAGAAATCAAACTGAATGGCAAACTAATGTACACTATACATGTTTGTTTGTTTGTTGTTTAACGCCGCACTTTATTCCAGCTATATTACGGCGGTCTGTAAATAATCGAGTCTGGACCAGACAATCCAGTGATTGATAACATGAGCAACGATCCACGCAAGTGGGATACGATGACATGCATCAAACCAAGTCAGTGAGCCTGACCACCCGATCCCGTTAGTCGCCTCTTACGGCAAGCATGAGTTGCTTTTCGTTCATTCTTTTGTTGTTTAACGCCGCACTCAGCAATATTCCAGCTATATGATGGCGGTCTGTAAATAATCAAGCCTGGACCAGACAATCCAGTGATTGACATCATGAGCATCAATCTATGAAAAAAGGATACGATGACATGCATCAACCAAGTCACCGAGCCTGACCAACCGATCCCGTTATACGCCCCTTTCCATGGGTTGCTGAACACCTATTCTACATCGGATCTGGCATGGGTTGCTGAACACAATAAATGAATCAAAAGTAGTACAGCGTGGGTTATAAGTAGAGACTCTCCCCCGGTTGTCTCTAGATAACAAATATTTCAACAGGAGTCGATAAACTCTTGCCGTGGAATAATTTACATTATCAGGCGAGTGTTGACAACAAAAGACACGAGGGTGAGACTCTATTTATCATCCAAAATCATTCTACCAACTTTTTAAGTTTATCAACAATAATAACCAGTGTCTTGAGTGTAAAACTAGCCACCTTCTAGGGCAGAGATTAGTGATGTCATTTGATAGTGACGTCACGGTGACCAATGACGCCATCGTGGTCTGCGAAGCATTGTGATGCAGTTTCATTTTGCACAGCAATTTTCACCTAATTTCAGCCTAGCGATATCTCCTGTGTAAGACAGTTTAGGATGCTAAATATCTTCATCACCTTAACGTTTGACTTTGTATAGTTTTATTCACCTGTAGATGAACGGGATATGGTGGACAGGTGCTAATGATATGGTGCTTATGTTTCACAGCTTATCGAACTAATATTCCAATCTGTGTGGCAGTTTCTTCTGTTTCAATGCGATTTTACAGCATTTACCTGACTTCTGGAAGTCTCCGGAGCCAGTAACGTCGAGACTGGCTGCCTCCATGGCCTGTTTGAGGGAGTAGTACACCCCGGAGGACAGCACAATGGGGGGTTCACCAGACGCTTTGAGAGGAAGAAGTAAAGAGTGAGTGAATATTGTATTACGCCGCAGTGAGCAATGTTGCAGTTTCATTCCACCAGCTTGTGGTTCATAGCAAATTATATATATAACATTGTATATAATAATATATATAATTGTCAATGAAAGAGAATAACCATCCTATATTTTCTGCCGAAACAGATTCCATTTGGTGTAAAGGGCAAATAGCTGTGGACATGTTATAAATGGACCGCTGAAAGTCAGCAATGACGCAAAAAGGGCAAACATGTCCCGCCATACCGGTAGCACCCGGCACTCATACAATTTAGATAAAAAAATAAGTTTTTACTGCCTGAAGCAGCACGGCGGTACCCCTGCCATGCGACGTCAGCCTTTAAACCAATCAGACAATCAAGTGATTGATGAACCAGAACAGAACCAGTGACACGAGAGTACAGTTACTGATTTTGTTGAAACTAATAAAAACGGTATTTTAATTTTGAATTACGTCTGCTGTGAAGAAGAGCAGAGATTTTGTTGCCAGTCCACTTCCCACGTCACCGGGACACGATGGGCCACATTCAGGCAAGTCACAGAGCCCGACCCATTGGTGTCGTTTTGGTGTCGGCTCCTACGATAAGCGTAAGGATGTGGGTTCATCTTACGTCCATGTATGTATGTCCACGTGATGAAAAGGAAATTACTTCATCTAAGTACACATTCTAAATAACTTTAATGTCTGCTTTGAGTTTGTTCCACTTCTATATCTATAGCAGTGAGTAAGTTGGGCTAGAACACAGAATACTGGATACCTTCCGCCATATTGATAAGGAATGTGCACGTCCTCCTTCCTAAGTAACGGTTTTTAAATTGTTCAGCTGCCAGTTTTAGATTCCTCGCTAAAGTAACAGGGGTTTGGTTGTTGGGCAGACAAACATGATGATAAGCTATAGGTATCCGGTATCATGTAGATGTACCCAGACTTGCGTTTAAGGCTGTTGTGATCAGTATTTCAGTGGCATATGAGTGAAAATGCCAAGGACGTAGGCCGCGAGTGTGTACCGCACTGTTGAAATGAGCATTGCTGTGGATCTGACAGATCACAGGGTCGTTATCAAGTCAATTGTAAGAATCGAACCCACCACTAGAGGAGCCTGTGACTGCACGCGATTTGCGTCGCCACATAGTACTTTGTTATCTCACACGTCCCTGCCCAGCACTTCCCTTGTTTTTGACCCACCTTTCGATCCTCTGATCCCGAGCGGGTTACGAGTTTCTGCCAGCAGCTTCACCCTCCAGTCTATAGGGACGTCTTTTGCCAGTGGTGGTTTGTATTCCTGACGGAAGATGATAATAATAATTAAGATAAATAAATAAAAAAAATAAAATAAAAATAATAATAAGGAGAATTGAGGAAGGAAGGATATCAGCCGGGACCTCCTCAGCACAGATCCCCAACACCCCTTACTCATCTCCTTCACATGGATGATCTTGAACTTCCACACAAGGATCCACACTCAAAAAACAGATTCTCCTTGTCGAGTCCTTTTCTAATGACATCGGCATGTCCTTTGGACTTGACAAATGCAACATTTTTCATCTGAAACGTGGCAAGGTAGAAGAGGGAGGATCAGTCAGTTTACATTGGGGAGGAGTTATTGACCATCTCATGGAAGGTCAGGCATTCGCGTACTTAGGGATGCAGATTAGGGACAAACTCCAGAATGCCCATATCAAGGAAAAACTTCGGGCAGAGATCAAATTTAGGCCTAAGGAGATCTGGAGCTCAGAGCTGAATGCTCGCAATAAAGTTAAAGCCACAAATACTAATGCTGTACCCGTCAATAGGCATAATTTAACCTATAACGGCTAACAAATTACCTGCCAATAATTGGAATTAATTGTTCAAGGGGCAGAAACCATCGCGTACACTACAGACAATAGCACATTAGAGAAGCGGCAATAACATTTCCCGTGATAGGATTCGAACCACGAACCATCTGATCAGAGGTCGGACGCCTTGTCCACATGACCAAAGAGGTTAACCCCGTCAGACAGCTGACACAGTTAGGATGTCATCTGCGGGATGTCTCCACGCCCTGATACGTTGCTAGAGCCTTCTGTGTGTGATACCCACCCAGGTGCCATCGTTCAGCACAGCCCCTGTCTCCACGCCCTGATACGTCACTATAGCCTTCTGTGTGTGATACCTACCCAGGTGCCATCGTTCAGCACAGCCCCTGTCTCCACGCCCTGATACGTCACTATAGCCTTCTGTGTGTGATACCCACCCAGGTGCCATCGTTCAGCACAGCCCCTGTCTCCACGCCCTGATACGTCACTATAGCCTTCTGTGTGTGATACCTACCCAGGTGCCATCGTTCAGCACAGCCCCCGTCTCCGCGTCGTACTTGAGCTCCTCAAACATGAAGCCGCCCACACCCATGAGGTATGCGCCTTCAATCTGACCGATGTCAATGGTCGGGTTCAGACTGAAACATAACAAAACATTCATCTCTGTGTAAAGTCATTCCACTAATTGAGATCAAGCGAGTTCAGGTGATGCTTGTTGTTTCAATATGCTTTGAACAGTAGCATCAAAGCATGGATTGTCTTTTCTAGAAGGAATTTAGATAGAACATTACCAAAATGCGACGTTAAAGAACAAGCAGTTTCCTTGCAGTGCGCTAGTGTAATACGCCACGCTGATATGGCTTGTTCTTTCGGAAACCGGAATCCTTGCAATTGTGCTTGAAACTAAAATAGTGTATAAGCTTGTTCAGTTTTACACATGTGAGTTGCTAAACCCTGTCCGAAACCCAACTACACCACTCCTGCCCTAAAGTACATACGACCAACCCACTCTACCATACCTCAAACCTCCTTAATCACACAGACATAATCATAAACCCACACCCATCAAACACAAATACACAATCAAACACCAAAAGTCCACGCTCACGTCCACACGCAGGACCACGGCCACTCCCAGTACCACTACCACACCCACGCCCACGTCCTCGCTCACTCCCACGACCACTACCACACCCAGGCTCATTCCCACGCCCACGTCCTCGCTCACTCACACGACCACTACCACACCCATGCCAACGTCCTCGCTCACTCCCACGACCACTACCACACCCAGGCTCATTCCCACGCCCACGTCCTCGCTCACTCCCACGACCACTACCACACCCAGGCTCATTCCCACGTCCTCGCTCACTCTCACGCCCACTACCACACCCAGGCTCATTCCCATGCCCACGTCCTCGCTCACTCTCACGCCCACTACCACACCCAGGCTCATTCCCACGCCCACGTCCTCGCTCACTCCCAAGACCACTACCACACCCAGGCTCATTCCCACGCCCATGTCCTCGCTCACTCTCACGCCCACTACCACACCCAGGCTCATTCCCACGCCCACGTCCTCGCTCACTCCGAAGACCACTACCACACCCAGGCTCATTCCCATGCCAACGTCCTCGCTCACTCTCACGCCCACTACCACACCCAAGCTCATTCCCACGCCCACGTCCTCGCTCACTCCCAAGACCACTACCACACCCAGGCTCATTCCCACGCCCACGTCCTCGCTCACTCTCACGCCCACTACCACACCCAAGCTCATTCCCACGCCCACGTCCTCGCTCACTCCGAAGACCACTACCACACCCAGGCTCATTCCCACGCCCACGTCCTCGCTCACTCCCAAGACCACTACCACACCCAGGCTCATTCCCACGCCCACGTCCTCGCTCACTCCCAAGACCACTACCACACCCAGGCTCATTCCCACGCCCACGTCCTCGCTCAGTCCCAAGACCACTACCACACCCAGGCTCATTCCCACGCCCACGTCCTCGCTCACTCCGAAGACCACTACCACACCCAGGCTCATTCCCATGCCAACGTCCTCGCTCACTCTCACGCCCACTACCACACCCAAGCTCATTCCCACGCCCACGTCCTCGCTCACTCCCAAGACCACTACCACACCCAGGCTCATTCCCACGCCCACGTCCTCGCTCACTCTCACGCCCACTACCACACCCAAGCTCATTCCCACGCCCACGTCCTCGCTCACTCCGAAGACCACTACCACACCCAGGCTCATTCCCACGCCCACGTCCTCGCTCACTCCCAAGACCACTACCACACCCAGGCTCATTCCCACGCCCACGTCCTCGCTCACTCCCAAGACCACTACCACACCCAGGCTCATTCCCACGCCCACGTCCTCGCTCACTCCCAAGACCACTACCACACCCAGGCTCATTCCCACGCCCACGTCCTCGCTCACTCCCACGCCCACACCCTTAAAAGACAGACAGACAGTTTATTATGAACATTCAAACACTCACGCCCACTCCCACAATCAGGCCCATGCCTCTTCTTACTCCTCAACTTTACTAATATAAGCAGTTTGAAGTTAGTAACGACGACAACGCTTTAACAGCTGCATACCTTTCGCCGCAGTCAAACAGGATGTCCACCCGCCGTATCTGACTCTCGCCAGTGAGAACATCCAGCTCCACTTCCGTGACTGCCGCCGAGTAGGAGAAGTATTGGAACATCCCGGGGCCGTCGTGCTTCTTTGGTACCCACCTGGGGAGGCAGTGCGTCGGGTTATCACATACGGATTGTTATGTGGCAGTAAAAACCGTCGTAAATATATTTCGTAATTGTCAGTAAAAGTTAGTGACAGTAAAATATTGAATATTACATAAGTAGTGTTGCAGTGGCCGGCTTTGAATCGCAGGCAATAGCAGCAGGTGGATCTCTACTTATGTAGAGTATTTTAGAGTGATCGCCCCTGTGTGAACATGCGCATGACAGGCTTGTGCGTTCGATAAATTTTAGGATTGGACATTTTCGAGAAGGCTGGCTGTATCTATATAAGCGCGAGAAAAGGCCTTTTTCTACATGACCTGTGTCTTATCTACTTGCCAAGCGCGGATTGGATACCAAGTTGTATACACCGAATTCCTACCATCTTCCATAAATATTCTTGGCTCAAGAACTGAACCTCGGCTTTGACCCTTTGAACAGTCCTTTTTGTTGTAAACCTAAAACTGTGTTTCAATATAATTTATTGATTATTCATGCATCTTTTCTAGTAATCAACTGATCTCACAATTTCGTTATGTACATACCGATTTCTTAGTTCCCCTTTCAGTTTCAATCTGCACATCACCTCGTAACGTTATAAGGCTTCACGAGCTCATTGCAACTCTTCGCGGAGACAGGAACTTAATATTACCACAATACTCTCTTATTACTGTAAAATACATACATTACAACATAGTTATTTCTACTTACAGCACAAATAACTATATTTATCTACGTACATTATTTAAAGATGCCTTTACGAGCAGACTCGGTTGTGAATAAAAATGACACACCTTGAAACTTGTTGTCTTGTATCACGTATTTTTATACTTACAAAAAACGTATGACGAATAAATAGAGAATCTCGCCCGAGAGGCTTTTGACGACCTATTTCATATCAAATGACACGAATGCGAGCTTCTATTTATCATCCAAAATTATGCTTCCAACCTTTTCAGTTTGTAAACAGTTCTAACAGGATTCTTGTGTGTACAAAGTACAACTAACCAGCTTCAAAGGAAGGGAGCTTAGTGATGACACATGATTGTGACGTCATGGTAAGTGACGACGTCACAATGGTCTGCAAAGCATTGCGCTGCCACTTCACTACAACCATGAGCGATTAATTTGCTTACTCTAAGCGATTCGTGGCCTGCAACGCGCCCCATATCTCCTAGGAGAGATCCCCTGACAAGCGACATTACCCGTGGAAGCCCGTTTTGGGTGACAGGTAACAAATGAAGTGAAAACACAGGCTCGGCTCGAACTAATTGGCTATCCAAACAAGTTTGATTCCACTTATTCAAACAACTTTGTTTATCTGCTTGTTCATCGTTTTAGAATAAGTTGCGAACAATTGGCCTGACGACAGAGAGACTATATAAGTTCCACACAACCTCCAGTGTGCCCCATATTGCAACATGTACATCAAATCTCATTGAAATCAGACCTTAGTTCTCGCTACCTCGGAAACTTTAACATGGGGTATTCAGAACGATAGTTACGGGTTTAACGACTGAAACCTTACAATCTAGACCATCTATTAGCCATTCCAGAATGTTTTTTTGTTCAGGTTTCAAATTTGCAATCGAGAAATATGTCAAAATATGTTTCGAAGCGTTGTGGCCAATTTGAAATTCGTGCCGTAAAGCACGAGATAGCTGCCTTCTGATTGGTCATTCCATTGGTCGGTCAAAGTTCGCGCAAGGTCGGTCTGACGTGATCCGTAATGGGATGTCCTCAGATCTTTGTTTAGCGGTAGCGAGAACTAAGATCTGATTTTAATGAGATTGCATGTACATCTCGCCTTGGTACAATGTTATAAAGCACTCATTCAAGCCGTCTTTTTTCTTTTTGTAAAATAACGACACATGTTTATTTGTGAAATATATCGCAATAATGATATGATAACACTGTGCGGTACACAGTAAACTACAGTTTAGATTTGTGACGACCACATTTACTAATTCCCTCGAACACAACTGTTTGGTTTTATGGAGCCCAGTTCTCTTGGTCTTAATTTAACATCGACAGCAGATACCATGGGTACAACACGTTGCTCAAAACGAAGTTGAAAACGGAATAAAACAAAATGGTAAACAATATGGTCAATAGTTTCACTAAAATGAGCTGTTTTTTTAAATGTTCACAATGAAATGTTGATTTTTGTTTCAGCCAACAGTAGAACATGTAATGTAAGACTGTTTTCGGCTCTACAGGACGGACTGACGGACGGATGAAGACCGATAACATATTAACCTTTCACAGAGACCTGTGAGCAAACACGAATATTAATAATTTATCTGCCCCTCAGTGTCCATTGCTATGGTAACATGTTTAAACAACACATGTCATGTGACATGGACAAGAACTGTACACGTTGTATGTATGTGTTCACGATAAAAAACGACGACCGAGTTCTCTTCTATGACATACATAATTATTGGTAGCCGGTGTACACACACTACCGACCCGTAAAGATCCGGGGTAGAATAGGTCTTCTGCAACCAATGCTTGCCGTAAAAGGCGACTCTGCTTGTCGTAAGAGGCGACTAACGGGACCGGGTGGTCAGGCTCGCTGACTTGGTTGATGCATGCCATCGTATCTCAATTGCGAGGATCGATGCTCATGATGTCAGTCACTGGATTGTCTGGTCAAGACTCGAGTATTTACAGACCGCCGTCATATAGCTTGAATATTGCTGAGTGCGGCGTTAAACAACAAACAAACAAACAAATACTACCACCTCTTGTCCATAGGGTTTTTACCCAGGACGTTTCCACGCAGTCAATCATTAAAATGGGAATTTGTCTGTTGATATCATTTTTGATATCAGAAGAATCATTATGATTCGTGCATGGAACACATGGAAAGGGTTTGTCATCGGGGTGAAGATCAAACAGTATTCGTTACTTAAATAAATACAGTAAAATTTTCAGTTATTTCTCTTTCAGTGTTATCTTTCATTCAGGTTTATTTTAATTTGGTTTTCGGCTTTATCGCCAATGAGTAGGGGCGTCCTAATGCGTGAGCCTGTTCTAAGAGGCTGTACGTTGTGTGCACCGTCCTGGGTAATATTGGCGACATACTTGTGCTTGGCAGACAGGTCGGTGCCGGAGATGTTGGCCACTTCGACGAGGTTCTTCCAGTCGTAGTCGGGATGTTTGGTCCGGAATGGCGCCAGCCTCTCATTCAGTATCTCACAACAGCTAAATGCGGACTGAAAGGTACGGATGACACCCGACTCATCACCACGAATATTGAGAATGGCCTATTATTCCCTATGGCATGTTATAAAGGACCGCGTTTTCGGCAACAATGATCCGTACAAATGATTCGAGCAGGTGCAAAAGTGAGAATCTAATTTCTGTTTTGTCCATAATGTAAGCATCGATATTTTGTTGAATTCTTGTAACAGCACTGCCTCAATGATGATACAGAAGAAAAAAACAATTGTTTTAAAAATTAATGTTACCAATGGTTTCTTTGGATATAAATTGGGTGTGAACAGCTTTGAAAACGTCTCTAACGAAGTAGGGTGTTCAAACTGACGATTGGACGCGACGTTAAACCAAATTTCACCTCACCTCAACTCAAACTGACGAAATGACCGTTGTTATGGTTACGCTATGGACAACTGTTATAAGCATGTAACTATACTTGAACTGTGAAAAATAGATATGACCAAGTTATTAAATACATGTCATGATATTATTTCCTTTGGATGACAAATATTCCTTCATGTTAGGTGGAATTCTGAAGAAAACAACTGGATTGAATGACAATTCCACACCTTCTCTGTAACAAAAACCAACGGCCCTGACACGACATGATGTTTCTACACACAGTTTTCTATTGTTATTGGCATTTGTGTATCCCACAGACAGAATTAGGCCTGTCAGTCTTACCTGAACGGCGTGCTCGCTGCTGACGCTCCCACCCGAGACGGTGTTGTTCGGGGATACGTGTGAGTTGACATGTCGCATTCGGACCATGCTGAGGGGTATTCCCAGGGTGCTGGCCACAGCCTGCAGGACCTACAACACCGCGCATCCCAATACACACCCTTCCACATGTGGGAAACACTCTATACACTCTATACACAAACTGTATCTGGGGATTCGTTTTGTTAAATGCACTAAAATCGTGTTGAAACGTTCTGATACAAGTTCCGATCAGACATTAAACAGAAAGTTGCGTCTGTTTTATTTCTGTCAAATTTCGAACATGACCTCCCACTGTGTCTCTGTCAACACCAGGTTAATAGCCAATAATGGATACATGTGTATTTAGTTGCCCATGTACTGCTGCATTTGACATAACTGCCCCATGCTGGCATGTAGGATCATCATTACAAGCCTACACGGACTTAGTTGGATAATACTTCACAATAGTCCATGTTTGTTTGTTTGTTTGTTTAACGACGCACTCAGAAATATTACAGCTGTATGACAGTGGTCTGTCTATAATCATGTCTGGACCAGACAATCCAGTGATTGACATCCCGAGAATCTACGCAAATGGGATATGATGACATGCATCAACCAATTCAATCTCATTAAAATCAGATCTTAGTTCTCGCTACCACTAAACAAATATCTGAGGACATCCCATTACGGGTCACGTCAGACCGACCTTGCGCGAACTTTGACCGACCAATGGAATGACCAATCAGAAGGCAGCTTTCTCGTGCTTCATGGCACGAATTTCAAATTGGCGACTACGCTTCGAAACATATTTTGACAAATTTGAAACCTGAACAAAAAACCCATTCTGGAATGGCTAATAGATGGTCTAGATTTGTCGGATGAAAGGTCGTTCTGACGTGACCCCTAATGGGATGTCTTCAGATCTTTGTTTAGCTGTAGCGAGAACTAAGGTCTGATTTTAATGAGATTGCAACCAATTCAGTTTGACTGGCCACACGATCCCATTAGTCGACTCTTACGGCAAGCATGGGTTGTTGAAAACCTCTTCTTAAAATAAAACTATGTAAAAATGACAGGATTTGATAATTTTGACATCTATATCTAAAGGGAAAATATATGAGAAATGAGAATTAATTAGTTAAGTAACGATACGCATTCATTGTGAAGAATTAAAGATGTCCTCAAAACATGTGGATGCTGTGACGTAGAATTCTTATTGTATCTTTAAAATCCTGTCATTTCTCGTGTACCACCATTAGTGTTGTTTTTCTTGAGAAATAAACTGTTCTGATTATTTTTGACAATTTGTGAGTGACCTTGACTTTCAATTTCCCGGGATTCTCAGGAGGGGTATCGGGTATGAAATCAAGTCCCTAATGTCTGATAATTGTGGCGTTGTTGTTGAGAAATCAAACTGGGGCGACAAGGGCGACGGTCAAATTGAAGAATGTAAACCCAGCTGCCAGCTCTACAAAGCAGCAATATTATAAGGTCAAAATGTATCGCAACTATATCACGGCGGGCTGTATAAAATCGAGTCAGGACTTGACAATCCAGGGATGGACATCATGAGCATCGATCCGAGCAATTTGAATACGATCAACCAAGTCAGAGAGCCTGACCACCCGATCCCGTTATACGCCTCTTACGGCAAGCATGAGTTGCTTTTCGTTCATTCTTTTGTTGTTTAACGCCGCACTCAGCAATATTCCAGCTATATGATGGCGGTCTGTAAATAATCAAGCCTGGACCAGACAATCCAGTGATTAACATCATGAGCATCAATCTACGAAGATGGGATACGATGACATGCATCAACCAAGTCACCGAGCCTGACCAACCGATCCCGTTATACGCCCCTTTCCATGGGTTGCTGAACACCTATTCTACATCGGATCTTCACGGGTCCCTAAAACGTATAGGTCTACAGGAACATATATAAATAGGTATGCTTAATGTGACGTAATTGGACGTGAGAGGATCATCGTCATACCTTTGTGTATAGTCCCTGTCCCATCTCGACACCTCCCTGGCTGACGGTGACGGTGCCGTCCCTGCTGTAGATGGCAACGTCTACGGTGAAGCCGGCTCCCATGTAGAAGAACCCGTATTTGACCGGTGTCATTGTGATGCCGCGTTTCTTCCAGCGGTTTGCCTGAAGAGGAGAACACATTGTTTGTTTGTTCGTTGTTGTAATAATCGAATCTGGACCAGACAATCCCTCGTAATGATATAATCAACATCGATCCAAACAATTTGGATACGATGACAAGCATCACCCGAGTCTGCTAGCCTGACTGCCCGACCCCGTGAGTCGAGTCTTAGGACAGGTATGGGTTGATGAAGACCAATTCTAACCCGGATCTTTACGGGCTCATAACAACGAAATATATGCTTGGGAACAACGAAATTTCACTTTGCTGTCACATACCTTGTTGAAGGTGTCGACCCCTGCCCGTCGTTTGTCAAACTCGGATGCTTGTCTCAGCTGTTGCCACAATTTACCAATCGTGCAGTCCTTTAACTCGTGGCCAAGTATGTCAGTCTGTGAATAGATAAAACAAGGAATTACGTGGAAATATGTTCACCAAATTTCTAAATCCTTATTTAGAGTAGTTTTGATTCCCCCAAATTCTAAATAATTATTTAGAGTAGTTTTGATTCGCTCAAATTCTAAATCATTATTTTGAGTAGTTTTGACTGAGGCACTACATATAATGATCATACATTTCCTATCAATATCTGAGAACAATGACGTATTTGTGAGATTTGTGCACATATTCTTATAACGTCAAACATCAACAGCCTGTCTACTTTGTGACGTCATACACCTACAGACGTCTAACCTGTCCAACTTTTGACGTCACGAGTGTGCTGTCATCTTACCTGTCCTTCTTTGTAAAGGTTGACTTCCTTTACATCAGCTGCAACCTTTCCGAGAGCCTTCGCCACATTTTCCAACACGGACTCGATAAGGAACCCCGCTGGGTAGGGGCCTGGACAGAATGCACAACAGGAGATGATAAAATATACTTGCATAAATGAGTGTGTGAGGTTTTACGCTGCTTTTAGCAATATTGCAGCAATAACACGACAGGGGACACCAGAAATAGGCGTCACACATTGTACCCATGTCGGGAATCGAACCCGGGTCATCGGCGTGAGGAGCGAACGCTTTAACCACGAGCCTACCTGAACACCCTTCTTGCATAAATGGTATATTATTTAATAAAGATAAAGGATTACATATAAAAAGCATCATTGGCCATTACGAGAACATGTCAAAGGTCAATGTGTGTTAACTGCGTACTTTATACAATGTCCATATTTAGCGAAGGCGTCTTTACCGACAATATATGTGAGACGCAGATAAGAAGATGTAACATTTCAAACCTGGTCCACGCATTGGATGTCCGGGCGCTTTGTTGGTTTTACACAGGATGATTTTCACTCTCCAGTTGGGGACATGGTAAGCTGGAACGCGTGGAATAAACCTCAGATGTCTCATGAAATAGTCAGTAATGACAAACAGATTAATTCCGGAAAACTGTGTAATCGGAAATTAGACTGCATGGTCTATTAACATTGAACAATCATTAACGTGAATCCAACAATCGAAAGGTCATAATATCCAACGGTGACAGTTTAAGAGCAATGACATGTTCTAGATTCCTAGACACTAACACATCATTCTGACACTAGGACTATATGGCTGGTATTGTCTGTGGAGGGGGAACTTACCCCCGTCAAGATGAGTCAATATTTCATGATATATGATGGCAAAGTTTGCAGAGTATCCACCATTAATGTAAATTTCAAAGCTGATGACGTTGATTCTGCCGCTGTCGTCGAATCCAACCTGTCACACAAGACGGAATTATCTTTAGTACACCAAAAAGACAAGGAAACAACGCTCTTACATCCTTAGTACAACCAGAAGACAAGGGAACAACGCTCTTACATCCTGAGTACATCTATAAGACAAGGGGCTCGCTCTTACATCCTTAGTACATCTATAAGACAAGGGGCACGCTCTTACATCCTTAGTACATCTAGAAGACAAGGGAACCACGCTCTTACATCCTTAGTACATCTAGCAGACAAGGGGACACAATCTTAGATCCTTAGTACATCTAGAAGACAAGGGAACCACGCTCTTACATCCTCAGTACATCTAGAAGACAAGGGAACCACGCTCTTACATCCTTAGTACATCAAGAAGACAAGAGAACAACGCTCTTATATCCTCAGTACATCAAGAAGACAAGGGGCACGCTCTTACATCCTTAGTACATCTATAAGACAAAGGAACCACGCTCTTACATCCTTAGTACATCTAGCAGACAAGGGGACACAATCTTAGATCCTTAGTACATCTAGAAGACAAGGGAACCACGCTCTTACATCCTTAGTACACCTAGAAGACAAGGGGACCACGCTCCTACATCCTTAGTATATCTTTGCTGGCATGTTTTACAAATCCAGGCTATCGAAAGGATACATTGCCTCAGGGTAAAGTAGTCCGATTGTATAATCTCCATCCATCACTGATGAAGGCGCGCGTGTGTGCGTGCATACGTGCGTTTGTGCATGTGGGTGTGACAGAAATTGAGTGAAAACGCTGATTTGAAATTTGTATCATAGTTGTTCAGAGTATCGTGTGAAGAAAGACCTTCGATAGGCCTGTGGGCAAGATTATGCAAATCGGGCACACGATCACCTGATCATGGCACAACTAAGGGGCGCAACTCAGTAAATAGGATGACTGGGCCCCCGTGGTGTCATTGTACTGTCAAAAACCACTTACCTCATACTTCGCCCAAAGAGGAGGTCTTTTCCCATTCATTCTCATGGAAGTCGATAAACTGACATTAGATTTCACCGGCCTGTGGGAATAAATAGCAAAATTACTTCAATTAGAATTAATATTTGAATTATGAATAACGTTATTTAATAGCGCAAGCTATAATAGTGAAATATTAACTGTACAATGTGTGCTGAATTGCACACAAGCAGGTAACAGCTCACCTGTTGTGTTTATAAGCCCCCACAGCAACCGCTGCAGCAACTGGGATGCTGGAAAGAGCTTTACCTCCGAAAGCCCCGCCAACTCGGGGGGTGTACACGTTGAAACTGAAGAATAATCACATTTATCTTTTTACATGCAGCGGTTATTCATATACAGTGACCTATTCTGCATCAGTATTTTGTATATTGATTACATGGACGAGCATAAAAATAATGATCTGCCATACCACCGGTTGTTGTTTAGACTGAATATGTTTTGACAAAAAGTAACTGCAAATCTAGATATGCGGTTGATATATACATGCAAATTCATAATATTTGACTTGAACCAAATAGGTAACATAAGTTAACAATGAGTAAATACAGAAGCATTCACTCAATTTTGCGATGATGATCGGTTTATCAACTCTTTAGATTAATTAGGCAGACTGTACCAATCTGTTTATGGTCCCCGGTGGGTTAGCCTAGTGGTTAAAGCGTTCGCTCGTCACGCCGTGGACCCGGGTTCGATTCCCGACATGCATTGAGCTGTTCTGTACGTGAAGTCCTAATTTTGAAATATTCAAACTGTCAGCAACATAACTCTTGTTTAATGGCCAGATATAAGTACTACATGTAGTTCTTTCTACGCTTTGTTCAGGCTTTACTTTAGTATCAGCTGGTATAGAAATGAATTGGCCTCACATTCTAGGTAGGCGGTCGTAAAAATAATTTAAACACTTTTCAACTTCCAGATTCCTGCTTATAGACATCTACAAATGAATGAAAATAAACAGGTTTTAACATGGCAAGATACCGACAGATATCCGATAGTTTTCTTGTGTCAGAAAATAGATTATGGTTACGTTTTATTTACCCTTTCTTACATCGGTGTCAAAATCTCATGTTGTTTTGTTTTTTTTCATTTCACCTAATTGTACATTAAAATCGGCCATGTTTTTGTCAAAAGTAATTTTTTTGTCGGTCGGTGTCGTAAAGCAACTAAGAAAAATATGAGGCCGAATGTGCCTGCCTTTCGGATTCGCCAAATTTTACACAAATGTGGAATGTAAGACATATTTGAGTTTGTTTATTCTTCCCACTGAGTAAACAAATTTCACCAAAGAAAGATACAAGTAGCGAAAGAACCCTTTTGCAAACCTTTTATGTTAAATATATTTGTTTCACCCGACCGCTAATATACTCTTAAAAAAAGAAACGCAATACGGATGTTTTTGGCCATAAAAGCGAAATTAGCTGACCAAGAGGTGCAAAATGAAGAAGTTTAATGTGTTTTAGTATCAGTGACAAATTTCCCGGATCAAATTGATCACAACAATGAAATGCAAACCATTAGTCGGGAAACACGTACGATTCGGAAAAATGCACCCAGTGCATTAACAAAAGGGCCATGGAGCTGCACGTACTACACGTGCAGCAGCAATATGAACGGTATCAATGTGCCTTGTTTTTGATTGTCTGGCATCTGCGTCAATCGAACTGTGACAGTTCAACAAAATCTCAACATAACCAGAAGTGCAAAGAAACAACGTCATATGCCGTTTGCAGGCAGGGGATTCCCGATTAGCTGTAGCCAGTGTTTTTAATGTAGCGCCCAGCACTATCACAAGGCTATGGGATCGGTTTCAACAGCATGGGTCAACACGTGATCGGCTAAGGTCGGGACGACCAAGAGTAACCACCCCCGCAGATCACTACATCCGACTGCGCCACCTACGTGAAAGGACGAGCACAGCCATCCTAACCGCATCCCAAATACTTGGACTACACAGAATCTCCGACCAGGCCGTACGAAACCGTTGAAGAGCAGCAGGTCTACGAGCAAGACGTCAAAACGTTCAACGCGTCATACTGAGTCGACAATATCGTCAACAACGGCTGCATTGGTGTCGTTATCACAAAAATCAGTTAGTTCTGCCAAAGCAAACCAGACAATCAAGTGATGGACCAGAAATCCAGCCACACGATAGAGCATCTACTGATTTTGTTGAAACTAAATACGACATTTCCCAGATACGTACTAGTTGAGTGGTTTGTCTAGAGCCATGGCAACGCCTGCATGAACGAGGTCGGTACCCTGACAGGAACTGTACACGTCAAGGCGGTCTTCAGCAGGAACTGCGAGCGCCACCTGCAGGAAAGAGTAAAATCAATGCTTCTGATATATTGTGGCAGAGACCAAGGCGAAGCGAATCAGGTATTGTAGCCCCTACCGACTTACAAGTATCAACATATCTTGATAATGTACCGTTACGGGTATTCTATTTCGTTTAAAGTGCGTGCCTCATTCAGGAAAGAACGAGCCACATCACCGCACATTCGTCACCACTCGCCCCTTTCCGTAACCTTCAAGAAGACTCGTCCCCCTATCGATGAATGTTATGTGCGAAAATACGACAAACCAATCAGAATGCGCGTATGATTTCAAGTTCTTCGTCAAAGAATCCCTCAGAAATAATTTCTGTTTTTACATATGTCTTGCATCTAAAAATATACCCAAGACACAGTTATATGTGTTCAATCATACTGTATAATTTCGCATGTCCTGATGTGCTTTTAATTGCATTTGAAATATAAATGAACCATTGCGCAACGAGTTGACAATTGTTTTAGGTATGCCCGTTTGCGCTAAGACGGAACCCGGTTGCAAAAATGGCCACGAGAGGGGCACGAGGCGCTATTCGGCTTGTCCCGGAATAACACGAGTTGGTCACGAATGATCACCGCAGAGACATCAAATTTGGGCTTCAAGTACAACAAAATACAACGAAATGCATGAAGCGTGGACCAGCTGTGTTACTTCTAGTGTTAACATAGTTCGAAGAAAGCGTTTTGCCTAAGGACACACCACATGTGCTCAGTGTTGGGCAGGACCGAAACCCAAACTCTCAAGAGTCTAGTTGCTGCTGAACGCTGTCACCCATCCAGCTACTGTCCGCGATAGACGTTGCTTAATTTCGCCTGGTTTGTAACCTGCGTGCTTTGTTTAGGACCCCGTTTCGTGTTGTATCGGAACTTTCTTTATCAGGGTATATGCGTGAGTCAGGTGGCTTTAACGCCGCTTTGAACAGTATTCCAGTTATTTTACGGGGTGTCCTTTTATTGTGGGAGGAAAGCCCGAAGTGATACAAATTTCAGACGTTTACCACTTCGGTGAAACCCATGAGCACGAGAATTATGTAGAAACATAATTGGGTCGAACCGGGATTCGAACCCACGATTGTAGGTTTCCTTCGTTCCCAAGGGACGCAACTCAGACGACCGGGACACCTGTGTCCGGTATAATATGTACACCACGTGGCAAGACTCTTTTGAAGCGGGGGCGGTCGGGCAGCCTGGTGGTTAAAGCGTTCGCTCGTCACGCCGAAGCCCCGGGTTTGATTCCCGACATGGGTGCAATGTGTGAAGCCCATTTCTGGTGTCCCCCGCCGTGATATTGCTGGAATATTGCTAAAAGCGGCGTAAAACCATACTCACTCACTCACTCACTCACTTACTTTTGAACCGACTTCAGACAGATGAAAAACGTGTTAGTCGTGTTTGAGTGGTGTTTAGAATTTAAGCTTAAAATATTTATGTTTGAAATGAGTTAAAAATATTAAATTTGCAACTTACGTTATTTTCCATGTAGAAATGATAAAGGCCACCTTGTCTGCATTCTCCCTTAAGTTTGCGAGAAGCATTGCCCAAAGCATCTGGAGTGAGATACGTTTCATCAGTGCCCATGCGCTGTTTTCAGTGGAACTATATACTAAGAGTGAGAGCCTGAACTTGGAGCAGTATGTCAGTCACATTACGATGTGTCAGCTTAACGTTTATTGAACGCTCAAAATTACAATCGTACTACTTTGGTTAGGCTGAATGAAACAAACGTTCTGACGAACACGGGCCTACTTCAGGGCTAACTTCTAACCCATGATAGAAACCAGAGATAAGGGTGACCCTGACTAAGGGACACAACTCTGCACATAGAATTGTTGGTCCTTGACCACTGGGCCAAGGTACCTGATTCATCGGTCACCATTAAAGTCAAATGAACATACGTGTGTTCGTAAATAAATATTCAAAAAAACATATTCAACATAGCAGTTGTAGTCCATCATAAATCAATTAGTATAATTAGTATATAGGATAAACAGTGGAAATATCGTTCTTTATGGCAGAGTTTCCCGTATTCCGTCATCATTCATAGTACACCATCAGCTCGTCTCTATGTCACAGCAGGGGCGGTGGGGTAGCCTTGTGGTAAAAGCGTTCGCTCGTCACGCCGATGGCCCGGGCTCGATTCCCGTCATGGGTACAATGTGTGAAGCCCCTCTGGTGTACCCCGCCGTGATATTGCTGGAATATTGCTAAAAGCGGCGTAAAATCAAACTCACTCACTCACTCACTCACTATGTCACAGCAGGGATCGAAAACGGAAAGAAGTAGCTGTTTCGTGAATGACCCCCCATCGTGTTATCAAAACTCTATACCGGATTTCGTTAACGATCTATCTTCCTTATTCAAATATATATAAATTGCCAATGCAGGAGAATAAGCAGCCTAGATTTTTTGCCGAAACAGATTCCACTTGGCGTAAAAAAGTCAGTGAAAATTAAATATAAATGAACCACTAAAAATCAGTGATGACACCAGGTGTTCACGAAAAGGGTAAGTATGCCAGCATCAGCCATTCATACAATTTGGATAAAAACAGTAAGTACTTATTGCCTGACGCAGCACAGCAGTACTTCTGTCATGCGACGTCAGCCTCTAAACACACCCGACAATCAAGTGATCGATGAACCAGAAATTCCAGTGACACCAGAGTACCATTACTGATTTTGTTAAAACTAATAAAAACGGTATGCTAATTTTGAATTACGTCATTGTTCATTGTAATTTTCAATGTTCATTTTCGATGGAATAAGGAGTATATATTTGGACGTCTGTCATTATGGTGGAGATCGGTACCTAACATTTTTGTGTATCCAATCTGAGATGTTGGAGTACGCTGTAAATTGTACATTGGCACACGTTTCCAACGTGTGGAGCCGTAGCTCAGTCAGGGTACAGTAATGATCGATGGACGGGTGAGGGAAGGTGAAGTAGCTACGTGTGTTCGTACCCTCCGGCTCTCCATTTTTATGATCTAAAAAAGGGTTGGCATGGTAACTCTCCTCTCTAATGGCGTCTTCGATAGTCACAATGGCGGGTCTGACGTCCTTGTACGTGACCTTCACCTTGTCAGCAGCTGCATCGGCCAAAGTTTGAGATTCTGGAGAATAAACATATTCAGATTGACATGGAGCTTTCTGTATATTAGTTCTGTCGCAGGTTAAGTTTTACTAATCTGTTAATCAATTATGTCACCAACTTTTTTCCATATCTATCTAATATTGGCTTGAACAGCCCACCTTAACTGTGGTCCGTGAGGCACATCCTGGCACATGCAGTCCCTGCAACTGATGTAGAGGCAGATCACATGACTGTCCTCTATAAAGACTACATATGCTAGGAACCCAGCACACACCATGCCGGACCACCAAGCCATGTAGCATGTCATTTTGTTATAATTACAGGACTCTTCATTATCAATAAAACATCAGCCCAGTGCACGAACTTTGTTGTTCCTGTGACAGTTCATATATCAATGGCACTGTAAGACTGATCAACGGTTCGCCCTGATTACTTTTATAAGTTTGTCCAAAGCCAATCAGTACTCGTGGGTATCACCGAAGGAGTCACGCCTAAGGCCTGCATGGTGTACCTCCCACATACAGGTAAACGAACAGTGAGTGAGTTAGTTTGTATTATTGTATCTTAATCAGCGTATCAATTTACTGTGGGATTTAAAGAGGAAAAAACCCTTGCCATGATCATAAAAAATACTTTGTACGATTCAAATTATATGATAAGCATTTGGACCTCTATCAAATAGTGATGACACCAGATCACGAGAAAGGTTTACTAATGCTGTAACCCTGATCAAACGGTTTTCGAGCAAGATTCGTATGACACTGTTTAAAAACTTTGTAGAAAGAGCATGCTCGATTGTTCCTCACAGTGAAATGTAGACCCTAAAGGCAGGGAAACTGGAAATAATGCAGTCATACATCACTTACCAATTTGCGGGCACCCAAGACCACGGGTATGGTGCCGACAATAATTAGAGTGAATCTCGGATTCGATTACAATATTATCGTATTCTGGCAAACTTAAGTGACGCAACGTTTTACTAGGAATTGCCTTAGACGACTGGGCCAACAGCGCCTCGTCGCCACCTTGAATAGCAGGGATATCCACATCATAAGAAGGTTCCACGTGGGTATCATACTAACACAATCCTAAAAAGTTGGTCGGGTCGAAAAAGAAAAGTTGCTCGGATCACGAAAATCGATGTTGACCCCTGAATGGAAATCCTTGACATTCACTGTAATGCCGCGCTATGCGCATGTCGGTTTGTGATACATAATTTTCTTTTTCAAGTATGACCTTGTCTTTTTCAAATATACGAACTGTTTCAGCACATTTTCGTCCATACATTCACTTAGTGAGACTAGGCTGAGCCTAATTTGTGGATTACTATGCATCAAAGTCCGTCAGTCCGAACGGTGCCGTTGTGGGTGATCTGGATTGTGAAAAGTGAAGACAAGAAATCTGAAGTTAAACCTACTCCCCAGTTTGATAACCGTGAGCAATCGGTATGAGGTACCTTCTACATGCCAGATTGCCACGGTGGACGCCTCGTCAGCCATACTCCACTGAGGGCCATGAAGTTCACTCACCCGCAATAACGAATCCCACCGATTGCCCTGAGTATTTCACGTCTCCACTGCAAAAGAGCTGCGAAAGAAATAGGTTCAAATATAAACTGATGGGACAAATGTCCAATCCCTGCGCAGGTAATAGGTGTCTTATATCACTGAATATCAATAATCACCTGGACACATATTCTCGAATATATAATGTATTTGTTTATTTACACGTTATTTGCTATACGGTGCAGATAAAGAAGCTATGAGTAGTAACGTTGTCATCTGCGCATCAAGTTTATTTTTCCATATTCAGAGAAGGGACGGAGATGTCAACTAACGGACAAACAATCATATGGCCCTATCGGAGTCGATATCGACGCTGTGACAGGAAGATGCACATCTCGAGCTAACAAACTGGAGATAATCGTTCCCTGACCAAACTCGTACGCAGGAGGTGAAGAATTACTCGGGTTGTGTCTGACGGTAAAATTCCAGTGTATTTACCTCTTCTGGGAGGAACTGCATGCCGGGGATGTTTGGCATTGCGTTGTTCTCGACTACGTCTTTGGCAGTGAGGAAGTCAAAAACTCCAGGCATCAGCTGCGTGAACAAATAACAGTTAGTAATTATATCACCTTCCTCCCTCGGTCACTCTCTGAGACAGACGGACAGACAGACAGACAGACACACACACACACGCACGCACGCACGCATGCACGCACACAGACACACAGACACACACACAGACACACACACACAGACACACACACGCACGCACGCACACACACACACAGACACACAGACAGACAGACACAGACACAAACACACACGCACGCACGCACGCACGCACGCACGCACGCACGCACACACACACACACACACACACACACACACACAATCCACTCGGCAGAACGGTCCTGACGACTTTAACGGGGCCAGGCCGAACAATAACGGAATGTTACGATTGGTAGATAGTACATGTAATATGTCAGTTCTCGTAATCCGTAAAACACTTTACTGAACACCTGTTTCAAGAAAAAGAAATTTACAACTCTGGCTCTGTGTAAACTCTGTGTCAGCAGCACTATGTTAGTACACATCATACATAGAAGAAAAATGTTGCAAAATGTACACCATTTACCTCCTAAAGTGATGGAAATGTGTTACAATTTAGAAGCTTTATGAAATCAAGAGTCCGTTTACCAATGCTTCCGAAGGATCGATGTGGTCAATAGTTCCCCGGCCAATAGAGGTCAGGACGAATGCTCCAGACAACTCTTTTGACGAGGACGGCATATCATTGATGAACTCCGCCTCGCCAGAAGCCTACATGAAATAATAAATATATAACATAAATAAATATGAAATGAAAAGTGTGTGATCAGGGAATAATCGATTCAGACAGTTAATAGACGCGCCACTTGAGCCATTTGATGACGTGATGGCAGGACGGGTAGAATCTGTACTTAGATGACTGTGTGCCATCGAACCTGACAGGTGTGGATTGTTCACCGTGCTATCAGCCAATGTTTTGCCTGTAATTTGTAATCTGCGGAACGCGCCGTACAACAACATCCAATAACTCAAATCCAAAGAAGAACATGATTATAAATTACACAGGACGCGCAGTGTTATCATGCACGTGTGTCATCTGCAAGCACGATTATCGTGTTGATACCACGGGTAAGCTTTTACACTGAAATAATACAATGTCACGTGAGTGAGTGAATGTGGTTCAACACCGCAGTCAGCACTATTTGAGCTATACCATGACGGCCTGCAATGACAAACCAGTGGTTGATGGTATGAGCAAAGTCCATGTCGTCAGGGTACAAGCACCCAATCCAAGGTAGTCGCCGCTCAGAGACAACATCGGCCATGGAGGCCAGTTTTATTCCGAAATCTACACGGGACGATAGCGTTGTAACGTCGAGGTATGGGGACGTTTGTATATATATGATTATATAATGATTGGACAATAGAAGTAGAAGATACGTTTATAATAATTGGACAATAGAAATAGAAGATAATGTGACGTGTCTTTGAACATGCGCGATTTTAGATGTGTGTGCCCTTTTTCATTACGTTGAAAGCTCACCTCAATTCGAGCAACTGTCATGCCAATATCGGATGTTGTATGACTGTCATTTTAATTGTTGATTTCGTTGAGCTTTTGATCATTTCAATACATTTTCCTTCTCGCATCTATCCAATTGTATATTTTAAACTTGAGTGAATTAAAACTATCGTAAAGTTTTTTTGGGCCGTCAGCCTTATTATAGATTCTGTATAGCACGTATATTTATCCAATTGAATATTTCAACATAAAGAGATTTGCTGTTTACCATGGATGACGAAGTGTTTATACACACCTGAAATGGGGCAGCAATTTTGGGCATTGGTTGTTTCAGAGGCCATTCCGCCTTTTGCTCTGGGAAATCTCTCTCCCCCTTGGAAGGTGGACGCTCCAGAGGAACTCCCCCGGACTGCACCGAAGAGGTCTTGGACTCGCAGATGTTGAGGATGAACTTAAGAACAAATGACAGTGTTTTCACAGATCTGTATCTATGTTTGTCACAAGGACGTAACATGTGAGTGGCGTGTTTGTCTTACCTAGAAGAGAAATAGTCACCACCACCCCCCACAGTCTCTACACGGCACGATTCAACACATGTATATGATATGAAGCCTAAATGGTCATTTACGCTGGATAATTTCACAAATATGTTCAATTTAATTCAAATCAGATGCTGTCCTTCAATACGGAATCTCTCAGGTGCCTGCAAATCATGGATGTTCTGCTCCGTTCAGTGATCATCAAATTATCATAATTTCCATCAAATGAACCATTCATTTGTTCCAAATCATTTACAACATGGCCAGAAGATTTGTATAGAAAATAGTTATCTATCTCGTCCCAAGACAATATGGCGCCAAAGAAAATTCTTTGATGCTCCCTGTATGGTTCCCACACAACAAATCCTTCACACAACAGCTGGGTCATCAGTTGCCGGGAAGATGCTGCAATATCCTGTGTCTAGATTTAGTTCGAAGAGCTCGATTGCCAACCTCCAAATAGTCTGCGGGAGCCCTAACAATTATATACACTAATGTTGGTCCAAGTTACATTTAATTTGTTTAACGTGCCGGGGAAACCTTCAATCCCCTTACCTTGTAGAAGAGACTGACGGCCAGCTTTCTCCGGAACTCGACGCTTGCTAGCACTGCCTCGTATTCGGGGTTCAACTCTGATTTCAGAGAATCCAGCGCACCTATTGGATAACAAAGTAAAACATTGATATATAGCCTAAATGCCTGGTCATTACGCTGGATAATTTCACAAATATGTTCAATGTCATTAAAATCAGATGTTTATGTCCGATAAGACATAGAAGAAGATCCAGGGTCACCTCTACAAGTCGCGTCAGATGAACACTCTAATCAGTGAGTGTCAGTGTCAAGCCTTCTAAGTTTAAGATTCCAATATTTGACCCCAAACAGTCTACATTTGCAAACTTTATCGAACGTGTGTACTTCGGTACGAGTGGGCGAAGCATACAGATAAGCATGTCTGATTTCTGTATCTCGAAAACGGATATAATCAAGGAATTCCGAATGCCAAAAATACAACCGCTCAAGTTGTATCCTGACGTTTCTGAGCGCCATGGCATCTGTGCCAAAAAGGGTTTAGTTTTGAGGGTATATTTCTGTTCTGTAGCGGGTTTTTTTCCTAAGATCGAATCATTTTCGAAAGCTTCCATTTTCGATTAGCTCAAGAACCCACACATCCTTCGTTTAGATAGGGTGGTCAAAGTTCGCTCGGCGTTCGCTTGCGAGATATTGTATGGAGGTGACTTCGACCTCCACGCAGAGATCTGTCGTATCGAAGTGAAAGGTCTGCTTTTAATAAGATTGTAATATTTCAACTTTGGCACCTTCACGTGGAAAATGTGTATTTGAGGAAAGCAATTTAATATCTGGTGAACCCTTTACTCTCTTTTGGAAACATGGAGGATATTTCATGTTTCAAGTGAAATGTGATGTATCTCTGATCGAGTGACGTGGAAAGGGAGATATTTTCATTGGTGGCGCAGCCATGAGTGTAAATATCTCCTTTTCCACGACACTTGATAAGCGATATATCATATTTCACTCGACACATGACATATCCTATTTATTATTACTTCACTGTTAGCTGACAGTCTCTTTTTAAAACAAATTACCCAAAACAATTTAAGCGCACGCAAACGAGATTTTGTGCTAATTTGAAAGACATAATTATAAATAATAATTAACTCCATAAAATATTTGAATTGAATGTTTTAATTTCACACCTTGTGAATTAATGAATACTCATTTTCTGTTTGAGGTATTCAGTCTATTTTAAACAATTAACATGTTGCGATCGTGAAGCAAGGCATTTGATGGATGGCTGTTAAAATAGGAACACTTTTAAACAAGTAACGCAAACGCTGCTTGTAAAATATTTTCACTGAAATGTAAGTGTTCCGAAGTCCGGACAGTTCAAGTACAGGGATAAGAGAAGTAGCTCTTGTGTGGAAAGTACTCGTAGTTCCGGCAAAGTGTTATTTTCACTGTAGTGAGCATTTCACTTTCTGTCACTGTTGTGAAAATATCTCTTTTCTAAACGTAAGGCATTTCAGCTTTTCACACTTAAGAACAGTTAAAGTTTCACTAATATCCAGCATACCGCGTAGGACTGCAGGGTCCGTGAGGGTCTTTCCTGTAAGGAACTCCTCTGTCTTTGTAGCGTGGATCTGGAGAGATGAAGTTAAACATGGTCGTCAAGTACAGGTAGATATAGTATTGCTACAGCGATGGAACTTTCGTGTCATTTGCAATGCATTTATGTATTGTTACCGTAGTATACGTAGTATCACGTCACTAAAGTTCAGTATCTGAATAAAGAGACTGGACTGAAGTAGAAGCCAGGTCATCCCAATACTCCCACAGAAGATGTTAGTACTACTACTTCTACTGCTGCTGCTGCTGCTGTTGTTGCAGTGTACAGTATTACTACTGCCACCACCACTACCACTTCCACTGATACGGATACAAAAACTATTACCCTCATCAACCACCACCACTACTACTATTACTTCCGCTACTACACTACCACTACATTTACCACTTCTCCGACGTCTACCGCTACCCTACAACTTTGACTACAAACAAGTTACCATTATCTATACTACTACCATTACCACTATCACCACCACCACTAAACTACTACTACTACTACTACTACATCTGCTGCTGCTGCAACTACTACTACTACTACTACTGCTACTACTACTACTACAGCTGCTGCTACTGCAACTACTACTACTACTACTGCTACTACTATCACTACTATTACTACTGCTACTACTTATACTACTACTACTGCTACTACTACTTATACTACTACTACTACTACTACTACTACTACTATTACTACTACTACCACCACCAACACTATTACCACTTCTCACCGTCTTTTTATCAATTCCGCCATACACAAGGGAAGGTTTTCCCAGTACTTGGAACTTTGTTGGCTCGATAGTGACCCGGAAGGCAGCGTTCACATAGGCGTGTGCATTCTGGAAGACGTGTACCGCACATACTTCACCATACAGCACATGGGTATGTTTTGAACTCGGTATAGAAGTTGACATCAGTTTTCTTTTCATTAGACATTTTCGAGGACATACATAACCTTTAACTTTACAGGTGAAAGAAATATACCTGTGATCTCGGCATGACTTTGTAAGACCGGAACCTGTATTTGTCAAGCTGCTTGAATAACTCAATGGATGTGATGATCTTCCCCGTCATGTCCAGGTTCAGGGCCAGGCTGGCCAGCGTGTGAGACTTGACACTACCATCCTTGCTGTCTGAACACACAGGGGCCAAACCACGTGATATAAATCTTATATATCACCTTGAAAGTACAACATGAGTTTTAGCACTTTATTACTTTGATATTGGCAAAATAATAAATCCCAAAATATGACACTTATTAACCTAACCTGTTCGAAGATATATGGCATCATACAAATGGCAATCCAAATATATATAGCTATAGTCACTGGCTCGTCACAACATCGCCATAAGAATCCAAGATATATTTCATGATTACAATACCATTCACTGAGTAACGAACAATGCCAGTATATCTCTGTTCACTGTGGGAATTCTGTTATGGTATACGACTGTAAACATATCTCAGTGACTACTCAGTGGATACATGGAATCTTGGCCAGCAGCTATCAAGCGTGAACACACCTAGGACGAAAATCTTTGCCCCTGCGGCCTCCATGGGGGTGAAGACATCGGAGGGGAAGTCGGGGTGGGCGTTCTTGATCATCAGATTCCCAGCCCATGACCCAGCCTGGGGGAGAGACAACATAATACAAGGCCCCTGTGCTCGTGCTCGCGAGAATGGTTGAGCTACATACCTACATACTAGCATCACCATTATCTACAATTATACCTTCATGTTCACGTGCAATTTAAGTATTTCAAACACATAAATTTCACTTCAACTGATAAGCGTATGGACTTTAAGTTACAAAATATAAGTTGTACTATTACTTAATGTCAAATATATATATTACAGTAAACTCAAAGGGACTCCTAATTTTAGTTCGTTATAACCGTAGTTCGTTATAAGCATATATACAGCATAACTACAGCATATAGTCGGGACTAAAAAGTTAGTTCGTTATATCCGTTAGTTCGTTATAAGCGTGTTCGTTATAACCGTAGTTTACTGTACTCTAAAACGTAAGGCTTCTAATCATTGATACATTTGTGTAACTTTTATTGGTGAGTTTACTTTGACTATCATCACACATAGACTATAATACGGTGAGTAAACCAGCTGGACATACACCGTATCATAAATGCGGGTATTTACATTTCTGACGAGGACGTTGCCGATCTTGAGGAGGTGGCTTGCGATGCCGTTGAAGTAGCTGTAGCCCTTGTCCTCCGCCCTCTCCTGCAGGGCGTCGATGAGGGCGGAGATAGACAGACCAGCCCCGAATCGGACGCTGTTTGCAGACAACTAAACCACAAAGTGAATGACATTGTTCAATCTGTACAAATGATCACAACGATTTATATGTTCTGGATAAAATGGGGAGGGTAACACCTACTCCTTGTACGGCTTGATCGTGTAAGAAGTTTGGCGCCGTAGAACAAAGACGTGAATCGTCAACATCTATGACTGATGACAACGATGTTAATAAATTTGAAAAAGAAATACAAAAGTTCAGAAACTGCTTATTTGGTCTGTTATTAATTGTAATCTGTTTACAGGTGATCAGGTGAATGATGAAAGTGCAAGAAGTAGCTCTGAAGTTGCTATCAATAGAAGTCATGTAATCATGTGCTCCAAACTTCTAAATGCCCATCAAAGACTTGACCTGAACACTTTTAGTTAATGTTGTTTCCCGCGATTGTCAGCAGTGGTTCTACTATGTTACGGTGACCCGTTAATATTCGAGTCTAGGTGGGCAGAATGACCAGTGGTCAATAGGATGAACACCAATCTTCGATTTCGGGTCACCGTGTCAAATAGTCAGCCACCTCACACAATGCAAGCAGCGGATCCCGGTCAACGGACTCTTATTCCAAGCTTAGTTGATAGGGTGTCATCGTACACTGACGGCGTGAATCACTTATATATAGCGACGTGCATGTACGTGTGTGTGTTTGTGTGGCTAGTCCGGACTGATGCCGATTTATAGTGCTAGCAAACTGAGATACCATGCCGCAGTTTAACATGAAAACCCCGCTCAGACACAGTATACTGACTCCGAGCCGACCAGTCCTTGTTTTAGCCCCTTAATGCCGAGCGCCAGACAGGTTAACAACAAGTACCATCTTTTAACGTCTTTTGGTATGACGCGGCCGGGGATCGAACCCCGGACCTTCCGCTCTCCGGGCGGACGCTCTATCACTAGACCACGGAGGCGGTCTTGTTTTGAAGGATTTAACTTTTTAGCATTGGACGATTATGCATGTATACCCTTCTAACAACAGTAGATGATAACATTTCCTAACTTGTAAGCCATATTAGTTTCTAGAAATAGTTGCATGATAATAATGAACACATTACAACCGGGAGTGAAGTATGGCAGTAGATGTTATGGCCGCCAACGATCTTAAAGAATAATTTCAAAGTTGACGGTTTTTCATCAGTACTGCTTAATACCGGCACGATTTGTCAAACATTCATTCAGTCGACGCGGGGCGGCGGGGTAGCCTAGTGGTTAAAGCGTTCGCTCGTCACGCCGAAGACCCGGGTTCGATTACCGACATGGGTACGGCGTAAAACCATAGTCACTCACTCACTCACTCACTCACTCACTCACTCACTCACTCACTCACTCACTCAGTTGACTGTTCGGTTTTGATCCAAATATTTACAGACCCCGGTGAAACAGCTGGAATATTGCTGAGTGTGGTGTTAAACAACAAACAAACACTATGACAAGCACGAGGCACCTGGGACTTTGTCCTCCCCATGACGATTATATAGATGAAAGAAATATACCACTTATGGCAGAAAGCGTCCCAGGAGTGAAAATGTATTTATCCTCTTTCATACGTCTTATGAAATGAACGTTCATTATATTATTTCTCTCAATGGCAAGTGGTGATTGAATTACTCATACAATACCGCCATATTATATTAATGTATTGTATGATGTGTGTCACCTCAATCTTGTACAGCTCTTTGATGTCATGCAAGTCCACAAACACGTCGAACGGCCCCTCGTTTTTAAATATACCTGGAACATGGGGAAAAGATAAAGGATCTTGTCAAACGGTTATGAATAGAATGTCCCTCAGTCAAGAACGGGGAACAACAGACAGCGCGTCGTTCGCTTATAACATATGTTGCCTGCATCAGGTCAGGTAGCCCGACAGTGCCCTGTGTGTCTAAGGCACAGAGGTACTGAGTTCACATGTTATCAGGGGGCGGTGCGGTGTCAACTGCTGGAGACAGGAGCTATGTCGACGCTCTCGCTTCATTTGCAAGTGTTGATAATTGTAGGACGCATTTGAGGATGACTTAGGCTTTTGCTTCTCTAATTTCAAGAAAAAGTATTGTGTACATAAGACCACACTTTTTCATTTTTATGTTTCACGAATATATTCCAGCTTTTCCCCTAAAGGTCGGTCAAAATACAGATAAATAGCTATGTCAATCGTTTATTTATATGAAAATTATTCGGCTGTGGAGTTAAAACTGCAGCTGGCTTCTTGAATCACTGATGGTGAAGTAGACATGTAATTTATATATATAGCATTATTTATTGAGGTCTATATGACTAGCGGGATACATAATAAAAATAATTATTTTTAAGTTTATTTTTTTCTTTTCCGGCTGCTTTTCAGTAGCGGCTCGGGGCAGTGAAACGAAAAATTAAATTGTGTGGCCTAATGGCTACAGTTAAGTTGCTATATTCATTTCAACTAGAAACACTACAGTTACTGATACATGGTGGTTCTCTGAAAAGGAACCAACAACAACAAAGCGATACTGTGGGATGAAGGTTGTGGGTTTGGTGAAACCTATGAGCGATGTCATGTTGTTGACAAACCAGTGCAACCCAACCATCAGACACTTGGAGAGAAGGGACGTAACTCTGCACAACATAATCTGTGGAAGTGAAAGTAAAGTGGAGAATAGTGTGTATGTTGACATCTAGATGCTGATGTGCTCCTAAATAAACAGCTATTACTACGGAAGCCTAAGTTATTAGAGATGGAGTCTTAGGCGCAGCTGTTGGATATGGCTCCAGAAACGTGCCAGAAGCAAATCATCGGGGGTTCGATTCCCGTAATCGTTCTGATCAGGTTTGTAGGTTTGTCAGCCCCGGAATCCAGCTCGTGGGTTTCACCGAAGGTAATGGGCTGTGTCAAACCCTACCATTATACCCGCCCCAGGTGAGTTACTCCGGGCTTCCCTCCCACGTGAAGCTGACACGCCGTGCTGTAACCGAAGTATTGTTCAAAGCGGCGGCGTTCAAGCAAACGCACTCACTCACCATGTCCGACTTAATGGCTCACCCGACGCTGTGTTTCCATGTACAAGTCGAACCTGTGACCCTTTGTTGGTTTGAAGAATACGGACCAGGTTTTTGAGAGTCTGAGGTCGGTACCAACTCTTTCCACCCGTCTTGACCAGGAAACCGACACTATCTGCGGATCCGTTAGCACTGGAGCCATTAGCGGAACTTCCGTTAGCAGATGATCCGTTGGAGGAGTCACCATGTCCTTCACACGATTTTCCAGTTCGAGGGCATATCTTCAAATCCTGAAAAATTGACCGTAAAACATGGGAACCATTCAACAAATAGTAACGTACGAGAGATTGGTCGACATGACATGTCCCGTTAGATAAGAACCAAGATCTCGACACCGGTAGATGATTGACACACAGACAATCATGCAGTCTGTTCGATTGTCTGTGCAGAATTTCAACTTGTCGCTTCTCTGCCACACGAGAAAAGAAAAGTTTAACTTCAGGAACAAATTTGAATCAATGAAGAGGTGCAGTGAGGACCCCGGGAGGACTGCTTGGTACTTCCGATCTACATCAAACACTGGAAACGTTTCAGTCGAGACGGAGTTTTAAGGAATCATATTGTGAGAACCATAGAGCGACATAATAAGACACTCAGGGCCGTTTTCCAGAAACGATTTTAACGCTAGTTGAACTATTGGGTTGGGGGTAATTACTTTGACATGGCCCAGCGTCTAAACATTTAAATGGTCTATTAGTTCTTGAATCAGTATACACCAAAGGTTGCCTTGCCAACGAAATACACAGTTTCTACTTTGCTTGGTTCATGACGAAACAGCGCTTGCCTCAATGTCAATGCATGATGCGCCGGGTATGGTGGAGTCTTTCGCAAAGGATTTCATGGCGTCGAGGATGGGTCTGTATCCGGTACACCGACAGATGTTGCCGCCAAACTGGTCTTCGATTTCCGCCTCGGTCGGAGTAGCGTTCTTTTGTAAAATTCTGTTAATTTTCAAGAAAGAATTGATTGATTTCAGTAAGATATATAAGGCATTAATAAAATATATATTAAATATACATCAGCTTTGATGATATTAGAAATGGATGTAACCTCTCTTTTACAATAGCCACACTTATCCATACATGTTCATGACCATCCCTGGAGTACAGGAGCCACACTTACCCATACATGTTCATGACCATCCCGGAGTACAGTAGCCACACTTACCCATACATGTTCATGACCATCCCTGGAGTACAGGAGCCACACTTACCCATACATGTTCATGACCATCCCGGAGTACAGTAGCCACACTTACCCATACATGTTCATGACCATCCCTGGAGTACAGTAGCCACACTTACCCATATATGTTCATGACCATCCCTGGAGTACAGTAGCCACACTTACTCATACATGTTCATGACCATCCCTGGAGTACAGTAGCCACACTTACTCATACATGTTCATGACCATCCCGGAGTACAGTAGCCACACTTACCCATACATGTTCATGACCATCCCTGGAGTACAGGAGCCACACTTACCCATACATGTTTGGAGCCACACTTACCCATACATGTTCATGACCATCCCTGGAGTACAGTAGCCACACTTACCAATACATGTTCATGACCATCCCTGGAGTACAGTAGCCACACTTACCCATACATGTTCATGACCATCCCTGGAGTACAGTAGGCACACTTACCCATACATGTTCATGACCATCCCTGGAGTACAGTAGCCACACTTACTCATACATGTTCATGACCATCCCTGGAGTACAGTAGGCACACTTACCCATACATGTTCATGACCATCCCTGGAGTACAGTAGCCACACTTACCCATACATGTTCATGACCATCCCTGGAGTACAGTAGGCACACTTACCCATACATGTTCATGACCATCCCTGGAGTACAGTAGCCACACTTACCCATACATGTTCATGACCATCCCTGGAGTACAGTAGCCACACTTACCCATACATGTTCATGACCATCCCTGGAGTACAGTAGGCACACTTACCCATACATGTTCATGACCATCCCTGGAGTACAGTAGCCACACTTACCCATACATGTTCATGACCATCCCTGGAGTACAGTAGCCACACTTACCCATACATGTTCATGACCATCCCTGGAGTACAGGAGCCACACTTACCCATACATGTTCATGACCATCCCTGGAGTACAGTAGCCACACTGAGTGCCGTTGAACTCTGCGATTCTCTTTTGTATTGGGTGGAATCCATCCCTGGAGTTCCCGAGTCCCTCGGTCGTGGTGATGCTCCAGCCGTCCACACTGTACAGGGGGCACAGGCACTGGGGCAATAACCAACAAAGTAAGTAATTATATAAAACGCCAAAGCCAGATTATCAATAACTCGATTATCCAAAGAAACATTTTGTGTTGGGTGTAAAGTGAGTGAGTGAGTGAGTTGGGTTTAACGCCGCTTTTAACAGTATTCCAGTTATATCACGGCGTGTCAGCTTTATGTGGGAGGAAAGCTCGAAGTGATGCAGGTCTCAGACGTTTACCACTTCGGTGAAACCCACGAGCACGGGTATGGTGCTGACAAACCTAGAAACATAATCGGCGCGAACCGGGATTCGAACCCACAATCATAGGTTTCTGGCATGCCCAAGGGACGCAACTCTGCACAACGAATCGCGGCGCCTTAGACGACTGGTCCACCCGTGCCCCTGGGTGTAAAGGGTAAGGTGTAAAACCAACAGCCCCGGATGAATATGTCGTAAATAATGATATGGTCTTAGATAACATGGTTGTACTTGGAGGTTCCCGTTGTGGTATAAATGTTGCGTTTTGTATAATGATTAAATCTTGAGTTGACATTGATTGGTTGAATGTGGAGTTTGAAGGATTGATTGAATGTGGTTTGTCTTTGATTGGTTGAATGTGGAGGTTAATGGAATGGTTGATGTTTATGGACTGGTTAACAGGATGGCTTAAGCTTGAGCTTCAAGGGCTGGTTGAATGTTTGGAGGTTCGCAGAATGGCTTAGCTTGTGGTTAATAGACTGGTTGAATGTATTGAGTCCTGGATTTTGGAACTACAAATGGTCACCGTCCCGAAATGTATTTATTTGAACGGTTCCGAATTATACAGATAGCATCCTACTTCAACATAAATACGGTCCCAGGAATCGTTCCGTACACTTACGGAGTTGATAGAAAATGACGTGTCCTTCCCGGTGCTGGGGTCTGGTTTGGTGACGGTGACGGCACAGCAACCACACCCTCCCTCCTTACACATCACCTTGGTTCCCTTCAGACTCGCGCCCTCGCGGATGTAGTCGTTGAGGGACGTCGTCAGGTCATATTCGCCATTCACTATTTTCAAAAAAAGCCGAATATATCATTATATAGTCTATTTTCTCACTGTAGAGTTTCCATTGGCATTTGGAATTAGTAGTATACAAGATAGTTCGCATAGCTGCATATGTATGTAGATGAACCCTGCTTTCCCGGAAAACCGTCTTTCTGGGGCTTACTCATGACAAAGTCTAAATATTATAATACAAAGGTCATGACCCGAGCCCATGATTCATCAAACCAAACTGTATTATTTTAAGATACCTTAAGGAATACTCTTTAGACATTTCTTCACAAATAGTATCTAAGTCTTACAAATCAAGGAATACTATTATGAAGAGTGGAGTACCATGAACGAGAGAAAATGAACCTTTCACACAGACATACATACAAAAAGAAAACAGATTGAAAATTATCAGTTAGATTTATTCAATGTATTGAGGAATATCTATTATAGGAAAACGAATATGGTTAGAGCGACGGACTCACTGAGGGACTGGTTATCGGGTTTTCGAGTTAATTTTCTTGCATAAAACTCAATAACATTGTCATTCTATAAATAACGTCATAAAAGGCACTTATATGTATAAAATTTTCAGCGACAAAACCCTTTCCATATTCATAAGAAATCGCTGCTAGAAACAGAGTCCATTGTTCGACTCCGACAATATCATGAGCATGGGTTTATGAATCACTATCACTATAATAGCACATTGTGATGATGTTTATTTGATGATTGGTGGAGACTTGAATGCCAGAACTAGCACTGAATCGGATTTTGTAGAAGATGATATCCTTGAATATCTCGAGGGACATGATAACAGTGTATGGGGATTTCTGTTAGACAATTTCAGCTTTAAAAGATTTTCTGTGGATTTATCTTTGAATAATTTTGGTAAGAGCTTACTAGATTTATGCAGTATACTAAATATACATATTATGAATGGAAGGTGCGGGTCAGACGCCGGGGTGGGAGATTTTACTTTTATAGGAAACCAGGGTGCGAGTGTGGTGGATTATGTTATTGCCTCGTCCGAGTTGTTTGATATGTGCCATAGCTTTGACATACCGTCTCGAGCCGAGTCATCACACCTTCCTGTCACGACTAGTTTGTGTACGCTAGTATGTGACCCTATGCCACGCAATACACGTAACAATGCTTCTTTCAAATTAGTGTGGGTTGAAGAGAGTGAGTGAGTTTGATTTTACGCCGCTTTAAGCAATATTCCAGCAATATCACTGAGTGGGACACCAGAAATGGGCTTCACACATTGTACCCATGTCGGGAATCGAACCCGGGTCTTCGGCGTGACGAGCGAACGCTTTAACCACTAGGCTACCCGACCGCACCTGGGTTGAAGAGAAGGCTGAACAGTTTAGAATAAACCTTATTTCTGGGACTGCTCATGATTTACTGGAGAAGGCTGTAGATGTAGCATTTGTTAACGTTGAAGAAAGTATTGGGTATATTATTGAAGCTGTTATTATTGCTGCATCTGATATGGAGAAAATTAATAAGGGCTGTAAATATGACCAACAATGGTTTGATAGCGAATGCCAGCTACTTAAAAAGGAACGATGTAGACGTTTAAATAACTTTAGAAAGAATAAGGACAGATGATCACTAACAGACTATAATAGAGTAAGAAATCAGTACAACGATGTTTGTAAGTAAAAAAGGACAAAATATTTCGAACAAAAACAGAACCTGTTTGAATCAAGCATAGATAATTCTAAAACATTATGGTCATCGCTAAAACCCATTAAACCAAATAGATATTGCAAAAATGACATTGATATTCAAGCCCGGTTTGAGAATTTCTAGGAATTGTTTTCAGTTCCATTTGTTAAGACGATAACAATTTATTTGACATGGAATTCAACAAAGATAACATTGACAGTGTAACAGCTGATATTATTGAATGTCCAACATCTAAAGAGGAAAGATAATGAGGCATCTGGAAATGATAATGTGATAGCAGAGTTTTTTAAATATTCCTCAGATATTTTATTACCATATTTGGAACTTATCAAAGACATGGGCTAAGTAGCAATATTGGAAAGTTATTGTGCTCTCTGTATAAAAATGTGAAGGTGTGTGCCCGGAACAATGGCGCTATATCGGATAATTTTGTAAGTAGCATAGGTGTCTGACAAGGGTATATATTAAGTCCCTTCTTATTTTCCTTTTTCATAAATGAATAAGCATATCAAGTCCAAAATAATTGCACTGATGGAATACAACTACACCCCGAAACTATTAAATTATATCTTCTTCTTCGCTGACGATATAGTCATGTTCTCGAGCACAATACCTGGCTTGCAAACGCAAATACATGTATGAGAGAGTTATTGTGACGGGTCAAAACTTACTGTAAATATGGATAAAACCAAAGTTGTAGTTTTAAAAAATGGTGGTAACATATCTAGAAAAGAAAAATGGCTTTACGGAGTTGCTCCATTTTATAAATACTTAGGCGTGTGTTTAACAAGTAGATTAACTTGATCATGGAATGCACATAACATTTCATTGCAAGCCAAGAAAAGTTTTGTAGGCATATTAAAAAGTCTTAGAGTTCTGGACAATATTACATATGATGTTCATTTTAAAATATTCGATACTAAAATAAGCCCGATTATATTGTATGGATCAGAAATTGGGGGTCTAGAACATTTGGATGTTATTGAGAAAATACATTTATATGCATGTAAAAAGTTCTTGGGTGTAAAATCTAGCACAGAAAACGCAAGGGTATATGGTGAATACGGACGGTTTCCCATGTATATCAATAGTTATTTAAAGGTTATTACATACTGGGTAAAGCTATTAAATATGCCATCTTCAAGATACCCTAGAAAATGTTATAATATGATGCTTCTCTACGACAGCCATGGGAAACAAAATTGGGCATCAAAAGTTAAAAACATGTGATACGAACGTGGATATGGTTATATTTGGTTACAGCAACATGTAGATATGCCTAAGCATTTCTTCTCCCGTTTGATACAGACCTTAAAAGATATGTACATCCAAAAACGGCATGGTTCTTTGTACAGTTCTAGAAAAGCAAATTACTACACTACATTTAAGACTACTATTATACTAGAACCTTATCTATTAAGTGTAAATTTACATAATTTTAGAACAGCGCTTTCTCGATTTCTTTGTGGCTCACATGATCTATTTATTGAAACATGCAGATATGAAGGTATTGCAAGACAACACAGACTTTGTAGGATTTGTAAAACTGATTGTATTGAAGATGAATATCACTTTTTATGTGTATGTCCAGTGTATAAAGATTTAAGAGCAAAATATCTATTTCCACCGCAACCCAAACGGTAACAAATTTTGTAAATTAATGACTTGTGGTTGTCCAGAAACTATTAGAAATTATCAATGTTCATTTATCATGCTATGAAACTAAGAAAACGTATGAATTTGTAACACGCCCCAGACAATGTACTTTTGGCCTTTGGCCTCATAAGTACCATGAATAAAGCTTGATTGAATCACTATCAAATAGTGATGATATCAAGTGTTCGCGATAAGGTGAGCGTACCCTGCCTCACCGGCGGCACCCGTCACAAACACATGCAAAGGCAAGTCACTTGTTCACCTGAAAAAGAAACAGGGGAACATATGGTTCAAATCAAAATAGGGAATTGAATCGACATAATTTTTGTCAGTGTTGCGATAAATTTGGAAATGTCCTCCATAAAATGTTTGGAAAGCTTTCACTAAGGCCTTGAATGCTGTAACCTTGATCAAACCGCCACCTTACAACACATTGATCAAACCTCAGGTGGGTGACTATCAGGACGACGGTGCATAATGCTATTTGTGAGACGGAGGCCTACCTGTGTATGGTTTTCCATTGATGGAGAAGTTGACGGGGCTGATGTCCTCCGTTCTGGGGAAGATCAAATGAAGATATTGTACATGTATAGAAACTAGATGGATTTAGTACAAATTATTAATCATATGAATACAACAACAACAACAACAACAACAACAACAATAATAATAATAATAATATCAGTTTTTCAAGGTGAGGCTATCTGAACGACCACTGCATCGAGATTATGTCAGCAACCCTGCAGAATCCTTCATTTGGATGAAGTCGGCTGGCCTGAGAAGTGAAACAGAAGGCTTTCTGTTTGCAGTTCAGGACCAGCCACTTCCCACTCGAAACCGTCAATGTGTGATTTTGCATCAAGGTCTGGATGCATCTGTGCTATTTTCTTTTTCAAATACATTTCCGTTGTCATAACCATGATAGTATTTTAGGGACTTTTAAAAAATGATTAATCTATTATTGCTAACATTTTCTTCCAACCGGGCTAGCGCTATATGTTGTATTACACCTTCCGTATCGTTATTGTATGTTGTGCCTATTTGAAAACGCTGTAACGTAATTTGTTTTATTTTCTTTAGAAGTCCCGCTGTCAAAAGATAACATACATTCCACTGCATTAGGGTGGTGCGTAACCCAGTCTGAATGCTGGTATCTCGACAACACACTGACAGCGACTTATTAACTGCCCCGTTTACTTGTAAACGGTGAGGAATTCCCAAAAAGATGCAGTGAGGCATGTATGCGCACAGAAACACGTTTTAATCAAGAAGTAATGCTTTTGAGGTGAATGCAGATTATGAACATGGAATATGCCGAACAGGGTCACGGTGCGTAAGTATTCAGCTTATCGTGTAACCCGAGTCGTCATGAAGCCATGGATGTGACACAACACGGGCGGATCAAGCATTTTTAAAAAAGAGAGGTCCACAAGATGAAAGTCCTCTCTCAGTCAATTTACTGCCTACAACAAACTAAATTGCCCCCTCCCTTTTTTTTTGGGGGGGGGGGGGGGGGGGGGGGGGGGGGGGAGAGGCTGGACCCCCCCTCCCCCCCCTCTGGACCCGCCTATTGACAATTAACGCGAACTGCCCTTGGCCTACACGGAATGGTGGCATACTAAGTGAAGGTATAATGCTTATTATATAATATTAATAAGTTCTGAAAGTTCAATTATATCACGGGAAAGAATTACTAGTTAGTCATGTCAGAAAGCAATTTAATAACAAACTGTAACAAAAGATGGTTAAAGTGTTAAAAGTGAACCAACATGTATTTCTTATTTTAAGAACAATTATTGTGACTTGTATAACATCAACAGATGATGGCTTTCAATAAATGATTTTGCTTTCCCATTAAATGAATACACGCTCAGCAAGAGAACCCACACATAATGCCGGGACACTCGGCGTAATACTGCCAGCATACTCTTTCATTGAGTTTACACAGCGGTGTACACAGGAAGGAATTTGTCACAAATCAGGCCATTCACTGAGATGCTGCAAACATATCATGAAAGGACTGTGGTGAATAGAATAGGACGTGTCCTTAATGACACAGGTCGGGGATGCACGTAGTTAAGTGGTTAGTTCACAGAGGAGATGTATTTCGGAACGAAGTATCAATACTCAGACTGAGTATAATTGAATATGGGTTTAGGAAGCTTTTTAGCAATTTTCCAGCAATATCACGGTGGGAAACACCAGAAATGGGCGTCGTGTATTGCACCTAAGTTGGGAATCGAACCTGGGTCTTCGGTTCGTGCGAACGTTTTAACCACAAGCCTACCCCACTGCTCCTTTAATACTCGCAAGCTAGTGTGAGGACTGAATGCACTTGTGGCATGTACGTTACACAACAGCACTGGCATCAGTAAATGTGAATATGTGTCACATTATATGACTGGTTGATAAACGTGGCTTAATGAGGTGAGAAGCACGATCATGTCTGGGTTAATGTCGGCATATGACAACGTTTCGCAGTTCTGAGATTTGCATTTAAATGTATTTCAGTATACAGACAACTGTAAAGGGATACATCAGGGATCCTAGACACTCTGTTGACATGCCCCTAGCTGTAGACGAGTCGTCAGTGACATCATTATAGAGCACTCATTTTACTAATTTCCAGTGTTTCATTATTGTGAATGTGTTGCTCGTTTATGGTGTTCATCGTGATATGTTGGTATGTTTATTTATGTGTATACCTAAAACTGCAGTCGGACAACCGGACTGGCAAAGTTACCAAACCAGAATTTCTAAACAGACGAACAAAAGACGGATAAACATAAAACTAGCATCAGTGCGCGCCGTAGGGGGGGGGGGGGGGGGGGGGGCAGTTGACCCCCTAGATTTTGTTTTATAGAAAACAGTTTAATTTGAATCAAGTTGGGGACAAGTTGCCCCCCCCCCCCCCCCCCTGTCAAAAAAAAGTTAACTACGGCCTTGAGCATGAGTACAGAAACTTCATATCAACACACGCAGAAGTGACTAAATAATGAGTTTAATGTTGACAATGCTTAGGTAACTTAGGGAATACAATAATAGCCCGACTCACGGAACAGTTTCACCTTACAATGATAACATCAGGGGTTCGGGTTACTGGTATCATGATTCTACCGGCCTTCTACGTTTCACTACATATCAGAAACCCTCTTCAACAACACCTACCCAGTTTGTTTTGAGCGCGACAGAAAATACATGTATTCTATTTTTACTGGCTGTATCTTATCATCACTGATTCGAATTCCAGATATAGACCGATTGTGACCATTGGTCTGTCATCCCTATGTTCGTGGCAACCGTCAGCCACCTGGTTCGCTCTTTAGATTTCTTCCACATAATGTGGGCACAATGATATAATGTACTCAGCGTCCCAGTTCCGAGGATCGTGTTGTCAGGCGATACTGCTGTAATCTAGACTTGCTAAATATCATAGACTTGCATGGGCTGTATTGGATATATTTGTGTCAGGGTTCGTATGACAAACTACCCCCCACACAACGAATCTGTTGACCATGTTGACAAATAGAGGACTGACATCCATTTGTCTGTCAGAGTTGAGTGATCCTGTCAGGCATGGGTCAGATCAGCTGGGGATTGCGTGAGTACAGCACACGTGCTCTCTCTCCAATAGCCTTGGGGGCTCCGCAGGGGTTGTGTATTTATATATGGTACTTGATGTCGAATCGTTGACAACACTGGTACTTAATGTCTAATCGTTCCCAACACTGGTACTTAATGAAAAATCGTTCCCAACACTGGTACTTAATGTCGAATCGTTCCCAACACTGGTACTTAATGTCGAATCGTTCCCAACACTGGTACTTAATGTCAAATCGTTCCCAACACTGGTACTTAATGTCGAATCGTTCCAAACACTGGTTCTTAATGTCGAATCGTTCCTAACATTTGTACTTAATTTCAAATCGTTCCTAACACTGGTATTTGATGTCGAATCGTTCCCAACACTGGTACTTAATGTCGAATCGTTCCCAACACCTGTACTTAATATCAAATCGTTTCCAACACTGGTACTTAATATCGAATCGTTCCCAACACTGGTACTTAATGTCGAATCGTTCCCAACACTGGTACTTTATATCAAATCGTTTTCAACACTGGTACTTAATATCAAATCGTTTCCAACACTGGTATTTAATGTCGAATCGTTCCCAACACTGGTACTTAATGTCGAATCGTTCCCAACACTGGTACTTAATGTCGAATCGTTCCCAACACTGGTACTTAATGTCGAATCGTTCCCAACACTGGTACTTAATGTCGAATCGTTCCCAACACTGGTACTTAATGTCGAATCGTTCCTAACATTTGTACTTAATTTCAAATCGTTCCTAACACTGGTATTTGATGTCAAATCGTTCCCAACACTGGTACTTAATGTCGAATCGTTCCAAACACTGGTATTTGATGTCAAATCGTTCCAAACACTGGTACTTAATGTCGAATCGTTCCCGACACTGGTATTTGATGTCAAATCGTTCCCAACACTGGTACTTAATGTCAAATCGTTCCCAACACTGGTACTTAATGTCAAATCGTTCCCAACAAATGTACTTAATGTCGAATCGTTCCCAACACTGGTTCTTAATGTCGAATCGTTCCCAACACTGGTACTTAATGTCGAATCGTTTCCAACACTGGTACCTAATGTCAAATCGTTCCCAACACTGGTACTTAATGTCGAATCGTTTCCAACACTGATACTTAATATCAAATAGTCCCCAACACTGGTTCTTAATGTCGAATCGTTCCCAACACTGGTACTTAATGTCGAATCGTTTCCAACACTGGTTCCTAATGTCAAATCGTTCCAACACTGGTACTTAATGTCGAATCGTTTCCAACACTGATACTTAATATCAAATCGTTCCCAACACTGGTACTTAATATCAAATCGTTCCCAACAATGGTACTTGATATCAAATCGTTCCTAACACTGGTACTTAATGTCAAATCGTTTCCAACACTGGTACTTAATGTCGAATCGTTCCCAACACTGTTACTTAATGTCAAATCGTTCCCAACACTGGTACTTGATCTCGAATCGTTTCCAACACTGGTACTTAATATCGAATCGTTCCAAACACTGGTACATAATGTCGAATCGTTCCCAACACTGGTACTTAATATCAAATCGTTCCCAACACTGGTTCTTAATATCAAATCGTTCCCAACACTGGTACTTGATATCAAATCGTTCCTAACACTGGTACTTAATGTCAAATCGTTTCCAACACTGGTACTTAATGTCGAATCGTTCCCAACACTGTTACTTAATGTCAAATCGTTCCCAACACTGGTATTTGATCTCGAATCGTTCCCAACACTGGTATTTAATATCGAATCGTTCCCAACACTGGTACATAATGTCAAATCGTTCCAAACACTGGTACTTAAAATCAAATCGTTTCAAACACTGGTACTTAATATGAAATCGTTCCTTACACTGGTACTTAATGTCGAATCGTTCCCGACACTGGTACTTAATGTTGAATCGTTTCCAACACTGGTACTTAATGTCGAATCGTTCCCAACACTGGTACTTAATGTCGAATCGTTCCTAACACTGGTACTTAATGTCAAATCGTTCCTAACACTGGTACTTAATGTCGAATCGTTCCCAACACTGGTACTTGATGTCGAATCGTTCCCAACACTGGTATTTGATGTCGAATCGTTCCCAACACTGGTACTTAATGTCAAATCGTTTCCAACACTGGTATTTGATGTCGAATCGTTCCCAACACTGGTACTTAATGTCGAATCGTTTCCAACACTGGTACTTAATGTCCATCGTTCCTAACACTGGTACTTAATATCAAATCGTTTCCAACACTGGTACTTAATATCAAATCGCTCCTAACACTGGTACTTAATGTCAAATCGCTCCTAACACTGGTACTTAATGTCAAATCGTTCCTGACACTGGTACTATATGCACAGAATGCTATAGATGTCACCCGCCATGATATTGCTGCCAATGCAACCCAGCTGTTACGTGCAACATCATGACACGCTCCAGGAATCTGTAACATGACACGTGAAGTCACTGCTGAAATCCATCACAAATAGAAAATTCGTATCAGCATCTTATAGGAGTTATGTTATAATTTTGAAAAATGTTGACTGAAAATTAATTTTCGAAATCACATCGGCATTATTTTCAATGTTAGCTACACCAGATAGTGATATGGATTGATTCGATCCATACCTTCACACGTGAATTATTCATTTCTTATCATGAGTAAAGTCAATTAAAATAAGAAAATATGACTCATTTTATTCATCGGCATATTGCCTTGACATAACTGTATGCGTAGGAACTCCCACCCTATTAGTGAATAGCCAGGTGTTCACAGTTCACGGGCATGTACATGCGTACTGTCTGCCATACAAAACATCAGCATCAGAGGGAGCATTATAAATCCGATATGTACATGATTACTAAAGAAAATGTGGAAATAAGAATACGATTGGGGTGAACACTATATTTGTGGAAAATGAAATATTAATTTATCAATTGATTAAATATAAGGCTTTAGTTTCAGTGCTCGACAAATGCCTCCATTATCAAGGAAGGAAAATGTTGATAACGCATACAAACACATACGCACGCACACACGCACGCACACACACATACACACACACACGCACGCACACGCACATATACACACAAACACACACATGTACACACACGTACACACATACACACACACACATACACACACGCACATATACACACAAACACACACATGTACACACACGTACACACATACATACACACACACATACACACATGCACGCACACGCACATATACACACACGCACATACACACACACATGTACACACACGTACACACATACATACACACACAAGCACACATACACAATACACATACACATATCCACGCACACACACACATCCACGCACACAAACACACACATGCACACACACATACACGTACACGTACACACACACACACGCGCACTTATACACACAAACACGCTATATCCATATCACACGCGCGTTTACACCTGTTTGAGAAAGGAGGCTTGCATATTGTGATCATAACTATAACGTACAAGTGTATTTAAATGTAATCATCTTCGAAAAACTAGTGTTTGGTACTCTTAATTCTTATTGAAAACACCTCACAACATGACTTAGTAATAGTGTTGTTATACGTTGATCATATTTGGATCTGTGCATGATATCATATGCGGTCCCTAAGAATTATTAGTATCGGGCAATTAAATAACCTGCGTAACGAGATATAATTATGTCTTCCATTTTCAACGTGGTCACTACCCGTCTATTCTCTGTCCGCCACACTTTCATAAACTGCTACGTCATGTGGGTAAGGCCGGTGACGAGCCAATGGAAAAAAGCCTTACCTTGAGCTTTGGACTCGCTTCCCGTCACTCAGTCTACAGGCATGACTTGCATATTCTCCATGTTTATGCACATAGAATTAACATGCACAATTCCTTGTCATGCAGAAATGTGTGTTCCCCGGAGTTCATGAATACATTGTTGAACAAAAATATATCCAACATGTTTATTTCATTTACACTAGGCAACGAACTGCGTTACATAAATACAGTCACTTAAACGACACTGCAAGCCACAGTTAGGTATGGCTGAGGTATGTCAAACGGGACTTAATAATCCGTGCCTCCACATAGAAGGAAACGGCTTATAAATGTCGCTTCGGCAATTATCGAATATCTCCTGCCGCTGTCAGTTTCTGGTATATCACATTGTAGTATGTAACTAACATATACCAAATATATCTATGAATGGCTTGTCAAGCGAAATCGTTATACCTGACACATATAGTAACATAAAAACACCACCCATAACGATCGATAATCCTTCCTATCCTGCACAGACTTTACTAACGGCTAATGGGCAGGTGGATTCACGATACACCCCTAATAAGTAAAAAAACATATTTTTACCTTCTCTTCGTTATTTTCAAACCCCCAACGGCAGGCATTTTGCAAATAGTCAGTCAACAAAGCGGTTCAATGCCGGCGTTGTGTTACTGCCTGCTACGGGCGGTGTACGAAGTCCTCGTCCCAGTTCAGTCTATAACTGGGTGGATGTTTACATTCCACTACCGGCCGACGCAGACCCTCCTAGCAATGGGATTTCCGTCGAGTCACCCCCTCCGAGGGTGATCAGCTGTCGAGAAGGTTCGCCGAAAGATACTTCAGCAGTGACACTGCAATTTGTGCTCAACTATCGACTCAGTTTTACCGATGTATTAGTCAATAACCTAATACAAGCGTAGATTGCATAAGGCCGCCACGTTCACTGACTATTCAATATTCGACACTGCAAGTGAAAGCAGCCTTGACTGTTGACACAGTTTCCGTCCAACAGCGAACCGCCCTGGGACACTATCCGATACCAGCGCTGATCGAGTGTATGGATAGTGGCGGAGTATGAATCTATATGTCCTAAATAAGATGTGTGATTGACGCTGAACATGGATCTACATGTCCTAAATAAGATGAGTGATTGACGGCCGAGCATGGATCTATATTCCCTAAATAAGATGAGTGATATGACGGCTGAGCATGGATCTATAAGTCCTAAATAAGATGAGTGATTGACGGCCGAGCATGGATCTATAAGTCCTAAATAAGATGAGTGATTGACGCCGAACATGGATCTATATGTCCTAAATAAGATGAGTGATTGACGGCCGAGCATGGATCTATATGACCTAAATAACATGTGTGATTGACGGCCGAACATGGATCTATATGTCCTAAATAAGATGTGTGATTGACGGCCGAGCATGGATCTATATGTCCTAAATCAGATGTGTGATTGACGGCCGAGCATGAATCTATATGTTCACATTTAGATGTATGATTGACGGCCGAGCATGAATCTATATGTCCTAAATAAGATGTGTGATTGACGGCCGAACATGGATCTATATGTCCTAAATAAGATGTTCGATTGACGGCCGAGCATGAATCAATATGTCTTAAATAGGTGTGTGATTGACGGCCGAACATGGATCTATATTTCCTAAATAAGATGTGTGAGTGACGGCCGAGCATGGATCTATATGTCCATATAAAGATGTGTGATTGACGACCGAGCATGGATCTATATGTCCTAAATAAGATGTGTGATTGACGGCCGAGCATGAATCTATATGTTCACATTTAGATGTATGATTGACGGCCGAGCATTAGTGTCTAAAGGTAGAGCAGATAAAATACACTTTCAGATTGGTGTCTACATACATACCAGCAGACAGGTAAAATACACCTTTAGATTTGTGTCTACATATACAGCAGACAGGTAAAATACACCTTTAGATTAGTGTCTGCATATACAGCAGACAGGTAAAATACACCTTCAGATTGGTGTCTACATACCCACCAGCAGATAGGTAAAATACACCTTCAGATTGGTGTCTACATATTCGGCAGACAGGTAAAACACACCTTCAGATTGGTGTCTATATATACACCAGACAGGTAAAATACACCTTCAGATTGGTGTCTATATATACACCAGAAAACCGGTAAAATACACCTTCAGATTGGTGTCTACATACACACCAGCAGACAGGTAAAATACACCTTCTGATTGGTGTCTACATATACACCAGACAGGTAAAATACACCTTTAGATTGGAGTCTACATATATACCAGACAGGTAAAATACACCTTTAGATTGGTGTCTATATATACACCAGACAGGTAAAATACACCTTTAGATTGGAGTCTACATATATACCAGCCAGGTAAAATATACCTTTAGATTGGTGTCTATATATACACCAGACAGGTAAAATACACCTTCAGATTGGAGTCTACATATATACCAGACAGGTAAAATACACCTTTAGATTGGTGTCTATATATATACCAGACAGGTAAAATACACCTTCAGGTTGGTGTCTATATATACACCAGACAGGTAAAATACACCTTCAGATTGGTGTCTATATATACACCAGACAGGTAAAATACACCTTCAGATTGGTGTCTATATATACACCAGACAGGTAAAATACACCTTCAGGTTGGTGTCTATATATACACCAGACAGGTAAAATACACCTTCAGATTGGTGTCTACATATACACCAGACAGGTAAAATACACCTTCAGATTAATGTCTATATATACACCAGAAGGGTAAAATACACCTTCAGGTTGGTGTCTATATATACGCCAGACAGGTAACATACACCTTCAGGTTGGTGTCTATATATACACCAGACAGGTAAAATACACCTTTAGATTGGTGTCTACATATATACAAGACAAGTAAAATACACCTTCAGATTGGTGTCTATATATACACCAGACAGGTAACATACACCTTCAGGTTGGTGTCTATATATACGGCAGACAGGTAAAATACACCTTTAGATTGGTGTCTACATATATACAAGACAAGTAAAATACACCTTCAGATTGGTGTCTATATATACACCACACAGGTAAAATACACCTTCAGGTTGGTGTCTATATATACACCAGGCAGGTAAAATACACCTTTAGATTGGTGTCTACATATATACAAGACAAGTAAAATACACCTTCAGATTGGTGTCTATATATACACCAGACAGGTAAAATACACCTTCAGATTGGTGTCTATATATACACCAGACAGGTAAAATACACCTTCAGATTGGTGTCTACATGCACACCAGACAGGTAAAATACACCTTCTGATTGGTGTCTACGTGCACACCAGACAGGTAAAATACACCTTCTAATTGGTGTCTACGTGCACACCAGACAGGTAAAATACACCTTCAGATTGGTGTCTATATATACACCAGAAAACCGGTAAAATACACCTTCAGGTTGGTGTCTATATTTACACCAGACAGGTGAAATACACCTTTAGATTGGTGTCTACATATATACAAGACAAGTAAAATACACCTTCAGATTGGTGTCTATATATATACCAGACAAGTAAAATACAACTTCAGGTTGGTGTCTATATATACACCAGACAGGTAAAATACACCTTAAGATTGGTGTCTACATGCACACCAGACAGGTAAAATACACCTTCTGATTGGTGTCTACGTGCACACAGGACAGGTAAAAAATCACCTTCAGATTGGTGTCTACGTGAACACCGGACAGGTAAAATACACCTCTGATTGGTGTCTACGTGCACACCAGACAGGTAAAATACACCTTTAGATCGGTGTTTACGTGCACACCAGACAGGTAAAATACACCTTCTGATTGGTGTCTACGTGCACACCAGACAGGTAAATTACACCTTGAGATTGGAGTCTACATATACACCAGACAGGTAAAATACACCTTCAGATTGGTGTCTATATATACACCAGACAGGTAAAATACACCTTCAGATTGGTGTCTATATATACACCAGACAGGTAAAATACACCTTCAGGTTGGTGTCTATATATACACCAGACAGGTAAAATACACCTTCAGATTGGTGTCTACATATACACCAGACAGGTAAAATACACCTTCAGGTTGGTGTCTATATATACACCAGACAGGTAACATACACCTTCAGGTTGGTGTCTATATATACACCAGACAGGTAAAATACACCTTTAGATTGGTGTCTACATATATACAAGACAAGTAAAATACACCTTCAGATTGGTGTCTATATATACACCAGACAAGTAAAATACACCTTCAGGTTGGTGTCTATATATACACCAGACAGGTAAAATATACCTTCAGGTTGGTGTCTATATATACACCAGACAGGTAAAATACACCTTTAGATTGGTGTCTACATGCACACCAGACAGGTAAAATACACCTTCTGATTGGTGTCTACGTGCACACAGGACAGGTAAAAAAACACCTTCTGATTGGTGTCTACGTGAACACCGGACAGGTAAAATACACCTCTGATTGGTGTCTACGTGCACACCAGACAGGTAAAATACACCTTTAGATCGGTGTTTACGTGCACACCAGACAGGTAAAATACACCTTCTGATTGGTGTCTACGTGCACACCAGACAGGTAAATTACACCTTGAGATTGGAGTCTACATATACACCAGACAGGTAAAATACACCTTCAGATTGGTGTCTATATATACACCAGACAGGTAAAATACACCTTCAGGTTGGTGTCTATATATACACCAGACAGGTAAAATACACCTTCAGGTTGGTGTCTATATATACACCAGACAGGTAAAATACACCTTCAGATTGGTGTCTACATATACACCAGACAGGTAAAATACACCTTCAGGTTGTTGTCTTTATATACACCAGACAGGTAACATACACCTTCAGATTGGTGTCTATATATACACCAGACAGGTAAAATACACCTTTAGATTGGTGTCTACATATATACCAGACAAGTAAAATACACCTTCAGATTGGTGTCTATATATACACCAGACAGGTAAAATACACCTTTAGATTGGTGTCTATATATACACCAGACAGGTAAAATACACCTTTAGATTGGTGTCTACATATATACAAGACAAGTAAAATACACCTTCAGGTTGGTGTCTATATATACACCAGACAGGTAAAATACACCTTCAGATTGGTGTCTATATATATACCAGACAGGTAAAATACACCTTCAGATTGGTGTCTATATATACACCATAGAGGTAAAATACACCTTCAGGTTGGTGTCTATATATACACCAGACAGGTAACATACACATTCAGGTTGGTGTCTATATATACACCAGACAGGTAAAATACACCTTTAGATTGGTGTCTACATATATACAAGACAAGTAAAATACACCTTCAGATTGGTGTCTATATATACACCACACAGGTAAAATACACCTTCAGGTTGGTGTCTATATATACACCAGACAAGTAAAATACACCTTTAGATTGGTGTCTACATATATACAAGACAAGTAAAATACACCTTCAGATTGGTGTCTATATATACACCAGACAGGTAAAATACACCTTCAGATTGGTGTCTATATATACAGCAGACAGGTAAAATACACCTTCAGATTGGTGTCTACATGCACACCAGACAGGTAAAATACACCTTCTGATTGGTGTCTATATATACACCAGACAGGTAAAATACACCTTCAGATTGGTGTCTATATATACACCAGACAGGTAAAATACACCTTCAGGTTGGTGTCTATATATACACCAGACAGGTGAAATACACCTTCAGATTGGTGTCTACATATACACCAGACAGGTAAAATACACCTTCAGGTTGGTGTCTATATATACACCAGACAGGTAACATACACCTTCAGGTTGGTGTCTATATATACACCAGACAGGTAAAATACACCTTTAGATTGGTGTCTACATATATACCAGACAAGTAAAATACACCTTCAGATTGGTGTCTATATATACACCAGACAGGTAAAATACACCTTCAGGTTGGTGTCTATATATACACCAGACAGGTAACATACACCTTTAGATTGGTGTCTATATAAACACCAGACAGGTAAAATACACCTTTAGATTGGTGTCTACCTATATACCAGACAAGTAAAATACACCTCCAGGTTGGTGTCTATATATACACCAGACAGGTAAAATATACCTTCAGGTTGGTGTCTATATATACACCAGACAGGTAAAATACACATTTAGATTGGTGTCTACATGCACACCAGACAGGTAAAATACACCTTCTGATTGGTGTCTACGTGCACACAGGACAGGTAAAAAAACACCTTCTGATTGGTGTCTACGTGAACACCGGACAGGTAAAATACACCTTCAGATTGGTGTCTATATATACACCAGACAGGTAAAATATACCTTCAGGTTGGTGTCTATATATACACCAGACAGGTAAAATATACCTTCAGATTGGTGTCTATATATACTCTTGACAGGTAAAATACGCCTTTAGGTTGGTGTCTACGTATACACCAGACAAGTAAAATACACCTTCAGATTGGTGTCTATATATACACCAGACAGGTAAAATATACCTTCAGGTTGGTGTCTATATATACACCAGACAGGTAACATACACCTTCAGTTGGTGTCTATGTATACACCAGACAGGTAAAATACACCTTTAGATTGGTGTCTACATATAAACCAGACAGGTAAAATACACCTTGAGATTGGTGTCTATATATACACCAGACAGGTAAAATACACCTTTAGATTGGTGTCTATATATACACCAGACAGGTAAAATACACCTTCTGATTGGTGTCTACGTGCACACCAGACAGGTAAAATACACCTTCTGATTGGTGTCTACGTGCACACCAGACAGGTAAAAAAACACCTTCTGATTGGTGTCTACGTGCAAACCGGACAGGTAAAATACACCTCTGATTGGTGTCTACGTGCACACAAGACAGGTAAAATACACCTTGAGATTGGAGTCTACATATACACCAGACAGGTAAAATACGCCTTCAGGTTGGTGTCTACATATACACCAGACAGGTGAAATACACCTTCATGTTAGTGTTTATATATACACCAGACAGGTAAAATACACCTTCAGGTTGGTGTCTATATATACACCAGACAGGTAAAATACACCTTTAGATTGGTGTCTACATATATACCAGACAAGTAAAATACACCTTCAGATTGGTGTCTATATATACACCAGACAGGTAAAATATACCTTCAGGTTGGTGTCTATATATACACCAGACAGGTGAAATACACCTTCATGTTAGTGTTTATATATACACCAGACAGGTAAAATACACCTTCAGGTTGGTGTCTATATATACACAAGACAGGTAAAATACACCTTCAGGTTGGTGTCTATATATACACCAGACAGGTAAAATACACCTTTAGATTGGTGTCTACATATATACCAGACAAGTAAAATACACCTTCAGATTGGTGTCTATATATACACCAGACAGGTAAAATATACCTTCAGGTTGGTGTCTATATATACACCAGACAGGTGAAATACACCTTCATGTTAGTGTTTATATATACACCAGACAGGTAAAATACACCTTCAGGTTGGTGTCTATATATACACCAGACAGGTAAAATACACCTCCAGGTTGGTGTCTATATATACACCAGACAGGTAAAATACATCTTTAGATTGGTTACTACGTGCACACCAGACAGTGAGTGAGTGAGTGAGTGAGTTTGATTTTACGCCGCTTTTAGGAATATTCCAACAATAACACGGCTGGGGACACCAGAAATGGGCTTCACACATTGTACCCATGTCGGGAATCGAACCCGGGTCTTCGGCGTGACGAGCGAACGCTTTAACCACTAGGCTACCCGACCGCCCCTCACACCAGACAGGTAAAATACACGTTTAGATTGGTGTCCATATATACACAAGACAGGTAAAATAGATTGGCCTTATGGGCCACCGTAGATTTCAGTTCGTGAAACACCAATATTGCATTTATACAAAGAATACAGCTTAATGTGTTCGAACATTGTTTTATTTGACATCAATATGCGATACTCGCACATATGGCAACCTTTGAAAATGTGTAGTATTTACAGTGACTTAGTAAGCCAGCATGAAGTGTGCACCCTTAAAGAAAACTACACCTTGCAAGGTTTAGTTCCATACCTCACATCACTATTTTGACGTCACACCGCTCATTGTTCTGCAGGGGGGCACGGGTGGCCCAGTCGTCTGAGGCGCCGCGATTCGCTGTGCAGAGTTGCGTCCCTTGGGCATGCCAGAAACCTATGATTGTGGGTTCGAATCCCGGTTCGCCCCGATTATGTTTCTAGGTTTGTCAGCACCATGCCCGCACTCGTGGGTTTTTACCGGGGTGGTAAACGTCTGAGACCTGCATCACTTCGGGCTTTCCTCCCACATTGAGCTGACACGCCGCGATATAACTGGAATACTGTTAAAAGCGGCGTTAAACCAAACTCACTCACTCACTCATTGTTCTGCAGAACATTTGAAATCGAAGTGGGGAAGAGACACGCGCCAAATTTCAACCTCTCTGTTGTCCCCAGAACTTACAGAAGTACGCTCTCTCAGTCGAATTCTATCGTGTTTCCTGCACAAATGTATTGTCACGCATACTATGAATATTGTAGTTTTCGCAAATATGTTCTCTATAATCTATAACAGGACGTATACTTATTCAGTAGATGCCTACCGACAATGACCGATAAAGAAGTACTATTAATAACATCTTCCGCGGTGATTCGGTCGTCATTTCGGCTGATTAGGGGGTTATCATGATTTGATTCTTCTGAATGACCAGTTTAGAATCGAGTATTTAATAACATAAGCGCCTGAGCACAGCTACATTCCTTCACACAAATTTATAAACATGAGTGCATCAACCAAGTCAGCGAGCCTGACCACCCAAACCCGTTAGTCGCCTCTTACGACAAGCATAGTTGCCTTTTACGGCAAGCATGGGTCGCTGAAGACCTATTCTACCCTGGATCTTCACCGGTCTGGTATGTTTTGAAACGCCCTACAAATCTTTAAGCCTAATGCTTTTAAGAAAAGTTTAACTAATATATGTAGCTACATATACATGTAGGAGTACAAGGGATTATCCACAATGACCGTTCCTGATGCCGAAGTCGTGTACTGTCGTCAATATCATTGACGCGAGGTGGCACATCTTCGTGCTTGCTAAGGAGAAGAACTGAATAGAAGTATCAATCTTCTCGCATTTGTTTTAATTATACCATATTGTAAATTTTACTTTCGTATAGTTGCATACATCCACGTAGAAAACTCCCACGCACGCACGCACGCACGCACGCACGCACGCACATACACTCTACATCATACTGAATGTGTAACATTTTCGCCATCCACAAAACAACAAATAATTGATATTCTTCATTGTGTTCTTTATACCATGTTGTTTCACGGCAATCTTATGGTCAAGTCTGTTCCAGCTTTTATGCTTTGGTAATTAAATCGGTTCAAAACGAGTAAAACTTGTGTGTCTCTCGTCTTTTTAACCTTATGTTGTATGCACATTGCTTTACAACAGACTCATCTTCTCAGACACAAAGAAGCGGGTAAACAAACGACTTGGAAATAAACACGAACACACTGCCAGTGTGACGTCCGGATATGGAACAGGTTCCCGTAGGAAGCAAAATGAAGGGATTTGTTTCAGGGATTCCCACGGCTGACTGGATTTGTACCCCGAAGCAAGAGGCGGTGGGTGGGGACATCCCGAGTGTGCCTGCTAGAGCTTCAGGCTGTCCACGACCACACCGCAGCCCTGATGCGCTCTCTCCACCGTCATGGGAGCAGCTGGAACAGTGAAAACGTATACATCAACACCCCGGTTTCAAGAGTAAGATGAACACAAGCTGTTACAGTCAAACAGCGTTGTGTCGAACTTTGATGTGTCGAACTTACGGTTGTCTCGAAGTATAAGCTAGTCCCTGAGTATTTTTAGAATAACCCACGAGGTACGAGTAAATAATATCGAGGTAATAATCCTTTTTTTCATCAATATTGGTTGTGTCGAACATCGGATAACTCGAAGTATTTACGAAGGTCCCTTCAACTTCGACACAACGGTGTTTGACTGTATATTCCTTTCATCCTTCCTTCCTTCTCACTTGCACGGTTCAACCATGTTCAGCACGAGTGTTTTACCATTCTTACTGCTGCCATGCCACATGCAGCCACTCTAGACGTGTCCTTCTGGAGAACGAGATACTGATGCTTCTCAGACTTTGCTCTTTATCAATGTACAGATACGTTTAACAAATACGTTATTAATTACACGGATATGTACATGATATGACTCCGCACTGGGCTAACTTATATAGAGCACCCGTTTTGGAACATTTACTCGGCACAACTTGCAGCATGCTATTAAGTAAGAATTGTCCGACAGAATATTATCTATTGAAGCCAAAATAGTCTAAATATGACCACACAGGCTCCGGCTTGTGTTTTGCATCTAGTTTGTCAATATTGAATATAGGTTTATGGAAAATTGGTACGTTGGACAACATTGTGACAAATTGTCAATTTTTAACATTTTTTTAACATTATCAAAGGTCTGCGTGTCTGAGTTATTCTATTCACAAGGTGCTTTGAAATGTTATTTCAACTGTAAGGCGTGATACATGTACATGCCTACTTGGGCGGTGGGGTGGCCTGGTGTTTTAAGCGTTCGCTCGTCACGACGAAGCCGAAGACCCGGGTTCGATTCCCCACATGGGTACAATGTATTAAGTCCATTTCTGGTGCCCCCGTCGTGATGTTGCTGGAATATTGCTGAAAGGGGTGTAAAACCATACTCACTCACTCACTCACTGTGAATATCAAACAGGGCATTAGACGGGAATATATGCGACGCTGTGTATGTAAATAGTCATGAGACTGCTGTATGAACGACACATGCATACTTCAGTTCATACGACCGTCGTACCGTGTGAACAGCCCACCAGCAGCACCCCTCACCTGACTCCTGGTACTTGCTGTCACCCGTCAGGTCAAGCCTGGCCGCACCCACTGCGTGTTTCAGGGCAAAGAAAACTCCTGTCGACAGCATAATAGGTGGTTCCCCCACCGCTGGGGAGATAAAACATGAGACTATAGCATTTGTACACAATTTGAAGGGACGTAAGCCAAGGGATCGACGGTCAAGGTCACTGATCTTTGCCTGAGATACGTTCATTATATCCCATAACAGGTGAAACACAAAGCACACAATGCTCGCACGTCAGTATATTCACCAAAGATGTCTGAATGCATATGTATACTGTCTCTATATTTAAAGGCGTATCTCAAGTGTTAAATTTGGTAACTGCTTTAATGAAATATTTGAATGTTGTCTCAGCCAGGGCTGCATCTTCAGCCCTTTTCTCTTTGGAATATTTACTGATAATCCAGCAAGGGAAATTCAAGACCTGACATCCAGTTACACCCAGATGTCATACAGGTATTTCTTGTCATGTTATACTTATTTCTTATTTCTGATACAGTGTTTGCCCTACAGAAAAGAATAGATATGTGGGAAAGGTATTGCTGTTATTACAAGTGATCGCTAAACCTGGATAAGACAAAAGTTGTTGTCTTAAAATTGCCGTAATTCTTTCAAGATATGAAAAGTAGAAGTATGGTCCTAATCCAATTGATTGTGTGTCATCTTACAAATATTGAGGTGTATGGTTTGCAAGGAATGTATCTTGGTCAAAACGCTGTAATAGTGGTGCATCTCAGGCTAAAAGAAAACTGTTTCTGTCTTAAAATCACTTGTGATACTTAAACCCATTATTTATAAACTTTTGTCAAGACACTGATGCAAAGTTGTTCCCATTTCCCGTATGGTACTAAAACTGGGGGATATAAATAATATTAAAGAATCACAAGCTGTACACGCATCTGCTTGTAAAAAATCCCTAGCGGTCAAATCCTCCACGCCGAATCATGTCGCTCGAGGTGAATATGTAGATATCCACTCAATATATTGGCGTTTAAACGTTGTATCAACTATTGGTGTAAACTGACAAAAATGCCTGATTCACGGTATCCAAAGAAAAGTTATTTACAGTTATATAAGCATTTTGTAACACACCAGGCATCAAATTTAAAGTCTCACTTTATGAATTTGGATTTATTTAGGAAAACCACAGAGTTAACTGAGGAATCGTGTATAGCATAATGTATTTGTAGCAGGATTGACATGCTAAAATGTGTGGTTGTTCTACAATGTTTCATCATTCATTGTTCAATTTTCTGTTGAGTCTTATATAAATAAAATGACACTAACTAAATTCAGGTGTGCTATAGCTACTACATAGTTCAAATCAGATAATCTATTGAGACTGGTAGATATGAACATGTCATGTACATGTACCTAGGGAACAAAGACTATGCAAGGCTGGTAGTCATGTTTTGCCATGTACGATGTGTTGGTAATCTGTAATGTGTACAAACATCTCCGCCAAATATACTTACAGAAATATTATGTCCATCTATCACTGGTAAAAATTTAAAATACTAATGTCTACTTCAAATGAAACAGTTTTAAGAAATTCATCTACCTTCATTTTCCGTGCAGTGAATGTTAGAAAGCTTAAGTTATTATGATCGGCAACACTATACAATGTTACAATGTGTAACTGAGCTGAGTTGTTTACTGTGCAAGACAATGTACCAAGGGCCGGTGGCCTACATCTTTACTGAATAAAGAATGTTAAAAATTACTATGAGATATAGTGAATGTTTAGAGTAAAGGCCATGTTAAACACGATGGAGCCTTCTGGTGGATCTGGGGGCCAATGGCCTCCTAGTTGTACCGTGACCCGCTCATGGTCAATCCCCGGATGAACAAAACATGAGATTCTACACTTGCTCCCGGGTGTCTGGTAACTGGTAACGTACACCATCCGCGCCACGCTTGGCTTCCCCGACACGACGCTAACCTAAGGCTGACATGCAATCCATGCAATACGCTCCGCATACCTTTAGATCCCCTTACGCCTTGTGGACACGGGGAGTCGGGCAGCAGGGAGATCCTCCAGTCCACTGGTATGTCCTTACATGTCGGGGGCTTGTAGTCCTGATGATAAATATGAAAACTGACGATTATGATAATGATAGGTATGAATATAAGGATGAAGGAGAAATGCTCCAAGGAAGCGCTACAACACCCACGATAAAGACACGGCCTTGTCCTATAATCCATCGTAGTCTATTTCCTCGTTATTACTGTTTGAAGCCAAGAACAGGGGGTTGCTGAACTGTAATTCGTTAATTCTTGCAATAATGCAATTGCCATTTGTGTCATGAATGCGTTATGTATGAATGATATGTATTCTATACTAAATATCGATAATATATTAATATCACAATGACATCAGCAATTTAAAAAATGCATATAAGGGTATTTAAGAAAAATTAATCAGAAATATAATTGATTGTAAGAAGAAACAAATTGTTCTTCATTATCGTTTCAAAATGAAGGACACGTCAATTCAAACACCTTGTCCATGAATCACGTCACCAGTGACGCTGTGAGATTCACAACTACCACAGTTGCTTCCGTTTGCTGTTTGACATTTGCGATAGACGTAAGTAGGGAATCAGGTCATGGATTTTATAACTATAAACGCCATTAGCGTAATTGAAGTTCCATTGCGTCAATGCACTTCATCATCAACTTCAATGTACGTCATCAGCAACGTCAATGCACTTTATCATCAACGTCAATGAACGTCATCGTCAACGTCAATGCACTTCATCATCAACGTCAATGTACGTCATCGTCAACGTCAATGCACTTCATCGTCAACAATAACGCACTTTTCTGCCGAGAGAGGTTTAATCATTGCACGATCAATAAACAACGCTGCTCAACCCTATAGTCATATTCTATCGCTCACCACAATCTCCCCGAACATTGCTATTTTTGAAAGCATGACACTCTCAGTACTATATCATAATCCCATCGTGTCAGTGCATTCGCTAAGATATATATGTATTAATCTTACAAGCGTGTTATTCAAAATCACCACCATTCTGTATGCAGTTATTTAAAGAAAATAGACAAACAGGGAAAAGTTTCAAATAATAATATTGTGAGACATTACTTCAGTGCAAACATTGTGTGTATGACTAATTTGACAGAAACCCCAAAGAGCTGACGCATGTACGCTTATCAGTTTGATGAAACACGTGCTTGGATTGGATTGGAATTCTGATCAGCAGATCCTGTCACGGCCCAGGGTAGAGCATTCATGACGCCACTGGGCCTTCCGTGCCACTTACACTTCCAATGACGATTACAAAGTTAACAATTAGCAACTGTTAATCAGAATGGACTTTCCGTGCATTGAGACATGTGCCTAATCAGTAGAGATCAGTATATCAGATCAGATCAGTATACCCATGTACTGTTGTTGACGACTCTGCCTGTGACGTCATCATACACAACTCTCTCCAACAGTAGCCCTCCCACGCCCATCATGAAGGCGCCCTCGATCTGGCCTATGTCCAGGACTGGGTTCAAGCTGTAACACGAAACATCTTGTCTTGTGAGGTGAGGTGAAATGGGATTAACGTCGCGTTCAAGTTTATGGAACTTATATTGCGACGTGTGTGTGAGACTTGACGTGCGTCCCATCTTTTAACGTTTGTTTGTATGACGCGTCGAGGGAATAGAAACACCGACCTCAGACGGTCTACCCGCCAGACGACGCAGACGTCAGTCTTTGAAACCTCGTGATTTTTAATTCCTCTAAATCATTGAAAATATATTATTTTGTAGTTCGAGACAAGCCACTGGCGACCATAGTGCTGATACAAAAATAGTCCTAAATTTCGTTTTTTTATTGGCTGCTTGTTGTTTAACGCCATTGGGATACGATGACATGCATCAACCAAGTGAGCGAGCTTGACCACCCGATCCCCTTAGTCGCCTCTTACGACAAGCATAGTCGCCTTTTACAGCAAACATGGGGTGCCTTTTCTAACTTGAATCTTCACGGGTCTCGTCTTAAGTTGTGACCGGTATATCGAATTCGAGTTAACGAGGTTTCACTGTATATGAAACTAGATTCACATCTCCTTCACTTTGGCTTTACTTAGCAATATACACAAGACGAAATATCTGGGACATCGACGTCATACACATTGTAGCAATTGAGAAAATTGAACCTTGGCCGTTGGCTTAAGGAGCGAACACTTTAACCCCTTGACTGCCCTGCCGATCTCAGTTACACAGGAGTGAGTGAGTGAGTGAGTGAGTGAGTGAGTGAGTGAGTGAGTGAGTGAGTGAGTGAGTGAGGTGTAACGCGGCTTTTAACATTAATCAAGTTATATCACGGCGGGTCAGCTTAATGTGGGAGGAAAGCCCGAAGTGATGCGGGTCTCGGACGTTTACCACTTCGGTGAAACCCATGAGCACGGGTATGGTGCTAACAAACCTAGAAACATAACCTAGGATTGAACCGGGATTGAACCCACAAGCATAGGTTTCTGGCGTGCCCAAGGAACGCAACTCTGCACGGCGAATCGCGGCGCCTTAGACAACTGGGCCACCCGTGTCCCCTACACAGGAGTGTGAAAACATTATGTATCGGCCGGGTGTAACATATCAGTCATGTCATACTGCTCAAATCAGGAGCACGTGTAGCCCAGGTAACGCACAACTGCCGTGCAGAGTTATGTCCCTTAGTACGGCCAGGATCAGATGATCTTTAATTGGAATTACCGTATCACCCTGAATGTGAATCATGGTTTGTCACCGCGATACCACTCACTCACTCAATACTCACTCACTCACCTTTCGCCACAGTCATAGATGATATCCACCCTCCTGATATGGTTCTCCCCCGTCAGAACGTCAAGCTCCACCTCACTCGCCCCAGCTGCGAAGGCACAATAGGCAGGGGAGTAGGCACCCCCTTGCCATTCTGGTTTCCATCTGAAATACATTTGCAGTGTTTTATCGACCCCACAAAATCAGTTACACGTGTAGTTATAAGTAAACGTGCTTCAATGAGAATTACAATGAGAAATTTAATGAAATGAGAAATATGAAAATTAATAATGAAAATATGTTATCAGAAAATAATTTTTTAATTTGACGTTTACACGATACACGGCTTTTCCATTGGAAAGGTGGTCGGTCACATGACCGTGAAATTGACTTTCATAAGTGTCTGAACGACACAATTTGACGTTCATACGTTTTTCACGAGACCCTGCTTTTGAAATGACGTAACTATTAACGGACTACTTCCACATTAGTCGGGAAACCCCTGGGAATTCCTTTGCACGAAAACATACAGAAGCGACAAACTCTCTGACGTTTCTCAATGTATACTGACACGCTGAGTTCAAGATTAAAGGGTCGAAATTATCAGAAAAACATCGTAGTATCGTCTCGATCCGTGTCTTGGGTGACAGTGACCGTCTACAGCAATCTATGAATTTACCTAAGTGTCCGTTTGACACATCTTTAATCACCTTTCAATGATCGGCCAGCTGACCAATGATGACTGACACATGTAACCGCCAGTCATTAACAACTTCGCAAATCTCTCCCGTCACGTTTATCGTGTCGGCCATTTTGACGTCTTTTACTTGATGTAAATGTATTACGACGCGCTGTCATTGTGACTGACTTTCTGAGGTAGTTCTTAACAGACCTTTCTCATCTAATGAGGATATTATTTGAGTACATTTGTTCTAAAGAAACTACAAAAGTCTTCCCTGTTGGGCATGTTGAGCACACATACGCTCATGTCACCTCTCGTTTTTAGGAACTATTTTAATACGCCATACAGCTGGTTGTTGTATGGCTGTTAGTGTAAACATGAAGTCACACGTACTAAATATAATTGTGTATCGATTAAGGTCTACATCCTTTGAGGTAAAACTAGTGATATAAAAAATAATAAGAATTGCATTTCACTTTGTGTAAGTTCATTGGAGTACGAACCTTCATAGAGTGAAGGCCAAACATTGTATGAAAGCTCCGACGTTCATACAGTTTGGCCCTCACTCTATGAAGGTTCATACTCCAGTGAACTCACACAAAGTGAAAGTCAATTCTTAATTACAGCCACTGTATTGAAAAGAGGGAAACTGAGAGATGCTGACATAACATGAACTATATTATGGAAGACGACCTTTCTGCACCAGATGAAATTCATGTATTTCGCAGATTGGTACCAAATGTTGTTGTGGATGCCAGTCATCAGATCGAGATGCCCCCCATGGCATTAATACCGCTATATATACTGTTTATCAACGTGTGGCCCATCTATGGGGATTCTGGGTTAGAATTGGTTCCCAGCAATCTATGCTGGTCGTAAGAAGCGACTAAATGGATTGAGTGGTCAGGCTCGAGATGACCTTCAAATAGTATCCTTCCCTTTAATGATAATAATGATAATGATAATGATATGGTTGTATGTGTGTCACCGTACCCCGACGGTGTGTATCGTTGTTCAAAATATTGATCACTTGATATTCTGGCATTGATACTCCATTCTTTATAGGCCGCCGTCACATAGCTTAAATATTGTTTAGTGCAGCGTTAAACAATAAACAAACAATAAATAAAACAACGACTTGGTCACTTTGCCCTTCACCGAACACACACGCACACGGGGGTGTTGCCTACTTGTGTTTGGCTGCCAGTTCGATGCCGAGTTTGGAGCACGCCCTGATGACAGTGAGCCAGTCAGCACCTTCAGGAACATTCTTCCTGACTGGTTCCATCCTCTCCTTCAGAATCTCACAGCATCGCAGGGCAGACTTAAAGATAGGAACGGCACAATATAGATATAGAATGCAACCTTGGCACCTAAATATGCCTAAAGTGAGAGTAAGTGTAAGAGAGTGTATAACGACCGGCGTATGACCTGTATAATGACCGGTGTATGACCTGTATAATGACCGGTGTATGACCTGCATAATGACCGGTGTATGACCTGTATAATTATTGGTGTATGAATTGTATAATGACCGGGGTATGACCTGTAAAATGAGCGGTGTATGACCTGTATAATGACCGGTGTATGACCTGTATAATCACCGGTGTATGACCTGTATAATCACCGGTGTATGACCTGCATAATGACCGGTGTATGACCTGTGTAATGATTGATGGATGAATGGTATAATAACCGGCGTATGACCTGTATAATGACCGGCGTATGACCTGTATAATCATCAGTGTATGACCTGCATAATGACCGGTGTATGACCTGTATAATCACCGGTGTATGACCTGCATAATGACCTGTGTATGATCTGTATAATGACCTGTATAATAAGCGATGTATGACCTGTATAATCACCGGTGTATGACCTGTATAATGACCGATGTATGACCTGTATAATGACCGGTGTATGACCTGTATAATGACCGGTGTATGACCTGTATAATGACCGGTGTATGACCTGTATAGTGATTGGCGTATGACTTGTATATTGAACGGTGTATGACCTGTATAATGACAGACGTATGACCTGTATAATGACCGGTGTATGACCTGTATAATGACCGGTGTATGACCTGTATAATGATTGGCGTATGACCTGTATAATGAGCGGTGTATGACATGTATAATGAGCGGTGTATGACCTGTATAATGACCGGTGTATGACCTGTATAATGACCGGTGTATGACCTGTATAGTGATTGGCGTATGACTTGTATATTGAACGGTGTATGACCTGTATAATGACAGACGTATGACCTGTATAATGACCGGTGTATGATCGGTGTATGACCTGTATAATGACCGGTGTATGACCTGTATAATGATTGGCGTATGACCTGTATAATGAGCGGTGTATGACATGTATAATGAGCGGTGTATGACCTGTATAATGACCGGTGTATAACCTGCATAATGACCGGTGTATGACCTGTATAGTGATTGGCGTACGACTTGTATAATGACCGGTGTATGACCTGTATAATGACCGGTGTATGACCTGTATAATGATTGACGTATGACCTGTATAATGACCGGTGTATGGCCTGTATAATGACCGGTGTCAGACCTGTATAATGACTTGTATAATGAGCGGTGTATGACCTGAATAATGACCGGCGTATGACCTATATAATGACCGGTGTATGACCTGTATAATGACCGGTATATGACCTGTATAATGACCGGTGTATGGCCTATATAATGACCGGTGTATAACTTGTACAATGATTGGTGTATGACCTGTATAATGACCGGTGTATGACTGAAACATGACCGAAGTATGACCTGTATAACGACGCGTTAGGTACAAACTGGATTACATGAAATTCGATAAAGTCAATCCTGAAGCTCACGTTCACAGCCAGCTCGCTGGTGGAGCTGCCCGCCGTGGGGAAGTTGTTGACGCTGACGTGGGAGATGTTTGGGCGGACCTTGATGGTTGTGACTGGTATACCCAGACTGCTTGCCACCGCCTGTGCCACCTGCATAGCAATAGAGTTGACGTTTCCACGAGACATGCTACAGCACTGTTGGGTATGTACTTCAGTTAGGCATAGTCACGGTTACTATGTTATAAATGTTTTACCCCACACCGCCATATACTTGAGGCACGGGTGACCCAGTCGTCTAAGGCGCCGCAAATCGCATATAGGGCTGCGTCTCTTTGGGCACACCAGAAACCTATGACTCCGTCCAATGCCGGTTTCTAGGTCTCACCAAAATGGACGACGTCTGAGACCTGCATCACTTTGGGTTTTCTTCACACAAGCTGACATGCCGTGATATAACTGGAGTACTGTTCAAATGCGTTAAATCAAACTAATTCACTCACTCACTTAATTATACCTGTTCTGTGAAATTGTTGAAACATCATCTTTACATACTATCCACCCTACCACCAATGGCCGTGCAGTAACGTGCTTCCCGTGCCATGGCTGTAACATTATCTTTACATACTATCCACCCTACCACCAATGACACTACAGTAACGTGCTTCCCGTACCATGGCTGTAACATTATCTTTACATACTATCCACCCTACCACCAATGACACTACAGTAACGTGCTTCCCGTACCATGGCTGTAACATTATCTTTATATACTATCCACCCTGCCACCAATGACAGTGCAGTAACGTGCTTCCCGTACCATGGCTGTAACATTATCTTTACATACTATCGACCCTGCCACCAATGACAGTGCAGTAACGTGTTTCCCGTGCCATGGCTGTAACATCATCTTTACATACTATCCACCCTACCACCAATGGCAGTACAGTAACGTGTTTCCCGTGCCATGGCTGTAACATTATCTTTACATACTATCCACCCTACCACCAATGACACTACAGTAACGTGCTTCCCGTGCCATGGCTGTAACATTATCTTTACATACTATCCACCCTACCACCAATGGCAGTACAGTAACGTGTTTCCCGTGCCATGGCTGTAACATTATCTTTACATACTATCCACCCTACCACCAATGACACTACAGTAACGTGCTTCCCGTGCCATGGCTCTAACATTATCTTTACATACTATCCACCCTACCACCAATGACACTACAGTAACGTGCTTCCCGTGCCATGGCTCTAACATTATCTTTACATACTATCCACCCTACCACCAATGACACTACAGTAACGTGCTTCCCGTGCCATGGCTCTAACATTATCTTTACATACTATCCACCCTACCACCAATGGCACTACAGTAACGTGTTTCCCGTGCCATGGCTGTAACATTATCTTTACATACTATCCACCCTACCACCAATGGCACTACAGTAACGTGCTTCCCGTGCCATGGCTGTAACATTATCTTTACATACTATCCACCCTACCACCAATGACACTACAGTAACGTGCTTCCCGTGCCATGGCTCTAACATTATCTTTACATACTATCCACCCTACCACCAATGGCACTACAGTAACGTGCTTCCCGTGCCATGGCTGTAACATTATCTTTACATACTATCCACCCTACCACCAATGGCACTACAGTAACGTGTTTCCCGTGCCATGGCTGTAACATTATCTTTACATACTATCCACCCTACCACCAATGGCACTACAGTAACGTGCTTCCCGTACCATGGCTGTAACATTATCTTTACATACTATCGACCCTGCCACCAATGACAGTGCAGTAACGTGTTTCCCGTGCCATGGCTGTAACATCATCTTTACATACTATCCACCCTACCACCAATGGCAGTACAATAACGTGTTTCCCGTGCCATGGCTGTAACATTATCTTTACATACTATCCACCCTACCACCAATGACACTACAGTAACGTGCTTCCCGTGCCATGGCTGTAACATTATCTTTACATACTATCAACCCTACCACCAATGACACTACAGTAACGTGCTTCCCGTGCCATGGCTCTAACATTATCTTTACATACTATCCACCCTACCACCAATGACACTGCAGTAACGTGCTTCCCGTGCCATGGCTGTAACATCATCTTTACATACTATCCACCCTACCACCAATGGCACTACAGTAACGTGTTTCCCGTGCCATGGCTCTAACATTATCTTTACATACTATCCACCCTACCACCAATGACACTGCAGTAACGTGTTTCCCGTGCCATGGCTCTAACATTATCTTTACATACTATCCACCCTACCACCAATGACACTACAGTAACGTGTTTCCTGTGCCATGGTTGTAACATTATCTTCACACACATTCCATTTGATTTTCTAGAGTGACATAGGAATTGCTTAGCAATAAATATCTTCCTGAAAATGCTTGGAAAACATTATTCTCCGGTCACTGGACAGGCCATATTGTTTGAAGAAAACGAGGTGAGTGTAAAACGAAATTGTTTGGCTTCTTTCAGAGAAAGACATGTTTTGAAGCGTCGACTGGAAAAATATCCTCCCTCCAGCAAAGACTGTCACCTTTACGTACTGTCCACCTAATAACTCTTGACACCAAAACATGTCTGTGACAGAAATACCTTTGTATATAGCCCTTGTCCCATCTCCACGCCGCCTTGGGTGACAGTGACGGACCCGTCTACTTCATATATAGCGACATCTACAGTGTAGCCAACATTGTTGTACATGACGCTGAACTTCACAGGAGTCATTGCCAGGCCTCGTTTTCTCCATTTGTGCTCCTGTAAAGTAAAGGAACAGCGAATTTACAGACTTGGCTTCATGGCTGCACCCGCTACAACGGATATATAGATAGTGCTGTCTTCAAGGCTGCACTTGCAACAACGGATGTACAGGCAGTGCCTTCATGGCTGCACTCACTACAACGGATATACATGCAGTGCCTTCATGGCTGCACTCGCTACAACAGATTTACAGGCAGTGCCTTCATGACTGCACTCGCTACAACGGATATGCATGCAGTGCCTTCATGGATGCACTCGCTTCAACGGGTTTACAGGCAGTGCCTTCATGACTGCACTCGCTACAACGGATATATAGATAGTGCTTTCTTCAAGGCTTCACTCGCAACAACGGATGTACAGGCAGTGCCTTCATGGCTGCACTCGCTACAACGGATATATAGATAGTGCTTTCTTCAAGGCTGCACTTGCAACAACGGATGTACAGGCAGTGCCTTCATGGCTGCACTCACTACAACGGATATACATGCAGTGCCTTCATGGCTGCACTCGCTACAACGGATTTACAGGCAGTGCCTTCATGACTGCACTCGCTACAACGGATATATAGATAGTGCTTTCTTCATGGCTGCACTCGCAACAGCGGATGTAAATGCAGTGCCTTCATGGCTGCACTCGCTACAACGGATATATAGATAGTGCTTTCTTCATGGCTGCACTCGCAACAGCGGATGTACAGGCAGTGCCTTCGTGGCTGCTCTCGCTACAACGGATATACATGCAGTGCCTTCATGACTGCACTCGCTACAACGGATATGCATGCAGTGCCTTCATGACTGCACTCGCTACAACGGATATATAGATAGTGCTTTCTTCATGACTGCACTCGCAACAGCGGATGTACAGGCAGTGCCTTCGTGGCTGCTCTCGCTACAACGGATATACATGCAGTGCCTTCATGACTGCACTCGCTACAACGGATATATAGATAGTGCTTTCTTCATGGCTGCACTCGCAACAGCGGATGTACATGCAGTGCCTTCATGACTGCACTCGCTACAACGGATATGCATGCAGTGCCTTCATGACTGCACTCGCTACAACGGATATATAGATAGTGCTTTCTTCATGGCTTCACTCGCAACAACGGATATACATGCAGTGCCTTCATGGATGCATTCGCAATAACGGATGTACAGGCAGTGCCTTCATGGCTGCACTCGCTACAACGGATATATAGATAGTGCTTTCTTCATGGCTGCACTCGCAAAAGCGGATGTACATGCAGTGCCTTCATGACTGCACTCGCAATAACGGAATTACAGGCAGTGCCTTCATGGCTGCACTCGGTACAACGGATATATATATAGTGCTTTCTTCAAGGCTGCACTCGCAACAGCGGATGTACATGCAGTGCCTTCATGGATGCACTCGCTACAACGGATGTACATGCAGTGCCTTCATGGCTGCACTCGCTACAACGGATGTACATGCAGTGCCTTCATGACTGCACTCGCTACAACGGATGTACATGCAGTGCTTTCATGGCTGCACTCGCTTCAATGGATTCACAGGCAGTGCCTTCATGGCTGCACTCGCTACAACGGATGTACATGCAGTGCCTTCATGACTGCACTCGCAATAACGGATGTACATGCAGTGCCTTCATGGCTGCACTCGCTTCAACGGATGTACATGCAGTGCCTTCATGGCTGAACTCGCTTCAACGGATTTACAGGCAGTGCCTTCATGGCTGCACTCGCTTCTCACGGATGTACATGCAGTGCCTTCATGGCTGCACTCGCTTCAACGGATTTACAGGCAGTGCCTTCATGGCTGCACTCGCTACAACGGATGTACATGCAGTGCCTTCATGACTGCACTCGCAATAACGGATGTACATGCAGTGCTTTCATGGCTGCACTCGCTACAACGGATGTACAGGCAGTGCCTTCATGGCTGCACTCGATACAACGGATATACACGCAGTGCCTTCATGGCTGCACTCGCTTCAACGGATTTACAGGCAGTGCCTTCATGACTGCACTCGCCACAACGGATGTACATGCAGTGCCTTCATGGCTGCACTCGCTACAACGGATGTACATGCAGTGCCTTCATGGCTGCACTCGCTACAACGGATTTACAGGCAGTGCCTTCATGGCTGCACTCGCTACAACGGATGTACAGGCAGTGCCTTCGGGACTGCACTCGCAATAACGGATGTACATGCAGTGCTTTCATGGCTGCACTCGCTTCAACGGATATACAGGCAGTGCCTTCATGGCTGCACTCGCTACAACTGATATACACGCAGTGCCTTCATGGCTGCACTCACTACAACTGATGTACAGGCAGTGCCTTCATGGCTGCACTCGATACAACGGATATACACGCAGTGCCTTCATGGCTGCACTCGCTTCAACGGATTTTCAGGCAGTGCCTTCAAAGCTGCACTCGCAAAAACGGATGAACAGGCAGTGCCTTCATGGCTTCACTCGCTACAACGGATATATAGATAGTGCTCTTTCTTCAAGGCTGCACTCGCTACAACGGATGTTCATGCAGTGCCTTCATGGATGCACTCGCTACAACGGATGTACAGGCAGTGCCTTCATGGATGCACTCGCTACAACGGATGTAAAGGCAGTGCCTTCATGGCTGCACTCGCTACAACGGATGTACATGCAGTGCCTTAATGGCTGCACTCGCTTCAACGGATTTACAGGCAGTGCCTTCATGGCTGCACTCGCTACAACGGATATATAGATAGTGCTTTCTTCATGGCTGCACTCGCTACAATGGATGTACAGGCAGTGCCTTCATGACTGCACTCGCTACAACGGATGTACATGCAGTGCCTTCATGGCTGCACTCGCTACAACGGATGTACAGGCAGTGCCTTCATGACTGCACTCGCAATAACGGATGTACATGCAGTGCCTTCATGGCTGCACTCGCTATAACGGATATACAGGCAGTGCCTTCATGGCTGCACTCGCTACAACGGATTTACAGGCAGTGCCTTATTGGATACACTCGCTACAACGGATGCACAGGCAGTGCCTTCATGGATGCACTCGCTACAACGGATTTATAGGCAGTGCCTTCATGACTGCACTCGCTACAACGGATGTTCATGCAGTGCCTTCATGGCTGTACTCGCTACAACGGATGTACAGGCAGTGCCTTCATGACTGCACTCGCAATAACGGATGTACAGGCAGTGCCTTCATGACTGCACTCGCAAAAACGGATGTACATGCAGTGCCTTCATGGCTGCACTCGCTACAACGGATTTACAGGCAGTGCCTTCATGGCTGCACTCGCTTCAACGGATTTTCAGGCAGTGCCTTCAATGGTGCACTCGCAAAAACGGATGAACAGGCAGTGCCTTCATGGCTTCACTCGCTACAACGGATATATAGATAGTGCTCTTTCTTCAAGGCTGCACTCGCTACAACGGATGTTCATGCAGTGCCTTCATGGATGCACTTGCTACAACGGATGTACAGGCAGTGCCTTCATGGATGCACTCGCTACAACGGATGTACATGCAGTGCCTTCATGGCTGCACTCGCTACAACGGATGTACGTGCAGCGCCTTAATGGCTGCAGTCGCTTCAACGGATTTACAGGCAGTGCCTTCATGACTGCACTCGCTACAACGGATGTACATGCAGTGCCTTCATGGCTGCACTCGCTACAACGGATGTACAGGCAGTGCCTTCATGACTGCACTCGCAATAACGGATGTACATGCAGTGTCTTCATGGCTGCACTCGCTTCAATGGGTTTACAGGCAGTGCCTTCACGGCTGCACTCGCTACAACGGATTTACAGGCAGTGCCTTATTGGATACACTCGCTACAACGGATGCACAGGCAGTGCCTTAATGGATACACTCGCTACAACGGATGTAAAGGCAGTGCTTTCATAGATGCACTCGCTACAACGGATGTACAGGCAGTGCCTTCATGACTGCACTCGCAATAACGGATGTACATGCAGTGCCTTCATGGCTGCACTCGCTATAACGGATATACAGGCAGTGCCTTCATGGCTGCACTCGCTACAACCGATTTACAGGCAGTGCGTTAATGGATACACTCGCTACAACGGATGTAAAGGCAGTGCTTTTATAGATGCACTCGCTACAATGGATGTACAGGCAGTGCCTTCATAGATGCACTCGCTACAACTGATGTACATGCAGTGCCTTCATAGATGCACTCGCTACAACGGATTTACATGCAGTGCCTTCATGGCTGCACTCGCTACAACGGATTAACAGGCAGTGCCTTCATGACTGCACTCGCTACAACGGATTTACAGGCAGTGCCTTATTGGATACACTCGCTACAACGGATGCACAGGCAGTGCCTTAATGGATACACTCGCTACAACGGATGTAAAGGCAGTGCTTTTATAGATGCACTCGCTACAATGGATGTACAGGCAGTGCCTTCATAGATGCACTCGCTACAACGGATGTGTACGTGAAGGTCTTCTTACCTTGTTGAAGGCCTCTACCACAGCCTTGCGTCTCTCAATCTCAGCAGTCTCGTGTAGGTGTGCCCACAGCCTGCGCAGAGTGCAGTACTTCATGTCATTCCCCAGAGAGGAAACCTGTTAAACAGATTACATTCGCAGCTGTGTCTTGACAAGTATCACACGGGAGGTATCACTGTGATGAGATGTTGAAATCTGTGTTTACTGTACTGCAAACATTGAATGATGGTGGATAATGGTTTCAGTTTTGTCAAGCAAACTTATTTTTTCACAAGTATTTGAATATGTGAGTATTCAGACAAAATCGTCCATCTCTATCAGTAAATACAATATAAAAGAGGGTCTAATACAAGCAACAGTCACACCTGACCCTCTTGGTACAAGTTCATCTCTTTCACAACTTCCGGGTCCATTTGGAGGAAGCTGGCCACGTGCTCCATCACTGACTCGATGATGAAGCCTGCTGGATAGTTGGCTGAAACATGAGGCCACTCTATTAATTATCCGTTTTACATTTTTCGTTTTATAGACCTTCTTTTCAAAATTAGCAGCGTCTGTGGTCGAAATTTTTAACAGATTTGAAAAAAACATTGGGTGATTTCTGAAATTTCTTTCGGTTGAAATAAAGAAAAAGTAGAAGGTGCACCAAACTCAGAGCGAAACTGTTCTTTCTTTTCTAGCCTACCTTAAAGTCATTAGTGAATCAAGTTGATGGGCTTGACGTTAAAATACAGATTTTGATCTACAGCAACTTTAGTTTGACGATCCGTAAAGAACGTTTTTAAAAACCGCTTACTTCTCGCATCTAAAGTGCTTTATGCATTTGTATCTGTTGCACACAATCTCGCACGAACGCACTTGTGAAAGTATATATGTTAATTCGTTGATGCAGTTCAGCGTGCCCAAGTAGGTGTATTGGTGACAAATATATTACGTAGTTCGCTCACCACGACGCCGTGTTTAAAGGTTAGGCTTAAAGCTTAAGGTACTTAGCTCGGACCCATGGCAGTCCCAGGAAACATCGCTGTCATTAACTTTGGGTTAATATTACTAAATAGAGCAGGTAGCCATTACCATAAGAACAGAGAGGCAGTGTTTCAGTTCGCCTTATGACACTAATTATAGCGTGAAGACCTGAACACGACCAACACCGTGGGGCATAGTGTACGTACCTGGTGCCCTCATAGACTGGCTGGTTGGTTTGTTGGTTTTGCACAGAATAATCCTCACCCGCCGGTTAGGACAGAAGTAACCTGGACAACAAAATATATATATGCCATTAGATAAAAGTAAGGTAAAGCAAAAACTTGTTTTCTGCTTTGTTCAGTAAATTGAGTGAGTTAGTTGGGTTTAACGCCGCTCTGAACAGTAATCCAGTTATGTCACGGCGTGTCAGCTTAACGCGTTAGGAGAGCCCGAAGTGATGCAGGTCTCAGACGTTTACCAATCTGGTGAAAGCCAGAGCACGGGTGTGGTGCTGACAAACCTAGAAACATATCCAGGATTGAAACCCTTGATCATAGGATTCTGGCGTTACCACGGGACGCAGCTCTGCACAATGAATAGCGGCACCTAAGGCGACTGGTCCACCGTCCTGTAAAGGGAACTTACCTCACCAAATGTATAGCAACTTTTCGACTTTAGTTAGAGATATTCATATCATTTCATGACACGCCTAACTGGTTACATATGTGTACAGTGCCTGGGAGCCTGAGTTATTATGCTTTATATGTAAACAGTGGCTGGGAGCCTGTGTAATTATGTTATATATGTAAACAGTGGCTGGGAGCCTGAGTGATTATGTTTGATATGTAAACAGTGGCTGGGAGCCTGAGTAATTATGTTTTATATGTAAACAGTGGCTGGGAGCCTGAGTAATTATGTTTTATATGTAAACAGTGGCTGGGAGCCTGAGTAATTATGTTTTATATGTAAACAGTGGCTGGGAGCCTGAGTAATTATGTTTGATATGTAAACAGTGGCTGGGAGCCTGAGTAATTATGTTTGATATGTAAACAGTGGCTGGGAGCCTGAGTAATTATGTTTGATATGTAAACAGTGGCTGGGAGCCTGAGTAATTATGTTTTATATGTAAACAGTGGCTGGGAGCCTGAGTAATTATGTTTGATATGTAAACAGTGGCTGGGAGCCTGAGTAATTATGTTTTATATGTAAACAGTGGCTGGGAGCCTGAGTAATTATGTTTGATATGTAAACAGTGGCTGGGAACCTGAGTAATTATGTTTTATATGTAAACAGTGGCTGGGAGCCTGAGTAATTATGTTTGATACGTAAACAGTGGCTGGGAGCCTGAGTAATTATGTTTTATATGTAAACAGTGGCTGGGAGCCTGAGTAATTATGTTTTATATGTAAACAGTGGCTAGGAGCCTGAGTAATTATGTTTTATATGTAAACAGTGGCTGGGAGCCTGAGTAATTATGTTTGATATGTAAACAGTGGCTGGGAGCCTGAGTAATTATGTTTAATATGTAAACAGTGGCTGGGAGCCTGAGTAATTATGTTTCATAAGTAAACAGTGGCTGGGAGCTTGAGTAATTATGTTATATATGTAAACAGTGGCTGGGAGCCTGAGTAATTATGTTATATATGTAAACAGTGGCTGGGAGCCTGAGTAATTATGTTATATATGTAAACAGTGGCTGGGAGCCTGAGTAATTATGTTTTATATGTAAACAGTGGCTGGGAGCCTGAGTAATTATGTTTGATATGTAAACAGTGGCTGGGAGCCTGAGTAATTATGTTATATATGTAAACAGTGGCTGGGAGCCTGAGTAATTATGTTTTATATGTAAACAGTGGCTGGGAGCCTGAGTAATTATGTTTGATATGTAAACAGTGGCTGGGAGCCTGAGTAGTTATGTTTTAAATGTAAACAATGGCTGGGAGCCTGAGTAATTATGTTATATATGTAAACAGTGGCTGGGAGCCTGAGTAATTATGTTATATATGTAAGCAGTGGCTGGGAGCCTGACTGATTACTTATGTGTACATGCTAACAGTGGCTGGGTGTTTAAACATGCTAACAGTGGCTGGGTGTTTAAAGCCGCTGAGATCATGATTTTTGTACTCGCACTGCGTTTAGCAGGGATAAGTCAGGGGAATGCCGGAAGTGGTACAAGTCAAAGACGCTTGCCACTAAACACAAACTACGAACACGGATACAATGCTGATAAATTATTGTTTATAATGAGCACGAATCTGCTTTCATAACCCACGATCATCGGATCCAGGTACGCCCAAGGGATGGAACTCGGCACAGCGACATTCGGTGTCTTGTATATATGGATAGCATGACGTATTATTTTTATAAGGATGAAATACTCATTTTTTGGTTAAGATAGGAAGCGAAACATAATTTCGTGTTTTTTTCACTGAATCAATAATGATAACATACTATTTCATTGAGTAGAATAATACTTTTGACCGGGCTACTTTTTCTGAAGAAACAGTTACTTCCCCTACCAAAGAGTCTTTTCCCTTTATTTATTGTTGTCTACTGTTCAGAATATATCATCAAGGAACTTCCTGACAAGCCTGATGACAGTGAATACTAAAAATGACCCATTAAATGAACATGGGTGGAATGGCCAAATCCTGAAGTCCAGGACAGAGAGACTGTTCCCTCGTAGGAAGTGAGACCTCCCGCCCAAACGGCTCTGTTACACTGAAGTTACCTGCCGCTTTATAACTAGCTATTGTCTAACCTGTTAGTTTGCTTACTGATGTTTTCCTCGAACTCTGCAATCTATTAAGTACTTTCTCCATTGATAACAGACTCTGTTTATTTACAAGGTGTTGATCAGCTGTTTGAAATGGTGGTTGTCCTTGTCTACGCCCTCACCAACTGTCGTAATATTTGTTTGTTAATTTACGTATGGTATATGGCATTGATATTCCACAATATAAAATACCACGCAAGATAAATTTAAGGTCCAAAACACAACTATGATACCTGTATAAAATACATCACCATTGAATAACCATTTCTTGTTTGTTTCATTTTTAGCCACCAACACACGGTGTATGCTTTTCATATTTGTCGTCATTTATTACATTGTCCCTATTGAAACATGAGCTCTGTCCTGTGTGAGTGTGTGTGTGTGCTGTGTGTGTGAGTGTGTGTGCTGAGTGTGTGCTGTGTGTGTGCTGTGTGTGTGAGTGTGTGTGCTGTGTGTGAGTGTGTGCTGAGTGTGTGAGTGTGTGCTGTGTGTGTGAGTGTGTGTGCTGAGTGTGTGAGTGTGTGCTGAGTGTGTGTGTGCTGTGTGTGTGAGTGTGTGTGAATATGTGTGCTGTGTGTGTGAGTGTGTGTGTGTGCTGTGTGTGTGTGTGTGTGCTGTGTGTGTGAGTGTGTGTGTTGTGTGTGCTGAGTGTGTGTGCTGTGTGTGTGCTGTGTGTGTGAGCTGAGTGTGTGTGTGCTGTGTGTGTGAGTGTGTGTGCTGTGTGTGAGTGTGTGCTGAGTGTGTGAGTGTGTGCTGAGTGTGTGTGTGCTGTGTGTGTGCTGTGTCTGAGTGTGCGTGATGTGTGTATGTGTGTGTTGTATGTGTGCTGTGTGTGTTCTGTGTGTTTTGAGTGTGTATGGGCTCTGTGTATGTGTGCTGTATGGACGCTGTGTGTGTGATTGTGTTGTGTGTGTGTGTGCTGTGTGTGTTGTATGTGTGCTGTGTGTTGTGTGTGTTCTGTGTGTGTGTTGTGTGTGTTTGAGTGTGTATGTGTTCTGTGTGTGTGTGCTGTATGGGCGCTGTGTGTGTTGTGTGTGTGTGTGTGTGTGTGCGTGTGTGCGTGCGTGCGCGCGCTGTGTATATGCGCGGGTGCGTGTGAGTTTGTAATGAATAATAGATCTTTTAAAGAATAGGTGATGAAGACGACTATTTTGGGCTGTTGCTTACCTCCATCAATATCGGCGAGTATCCCAAGGAAGTTGTACACCCAGTTGGAGGTGTAGCCACAGTCGCAGTACACGTCGATGGTTACGGCTTGGAGACGTCCGTCCCCGTCAAAGCCGGCCTGGAACACCCAAGTTTATTTTTCCATACACGTACAAAATGACCATACCGAAACGGTACTTACCTGATACGGTAGGATTGTAGCTAAAATGTAGTGTTTGTAAAAGCTGCCCTCTTAATAATCTCTTATTGTAAGAATTAAATTGGCCGTTTTTTCCACCAGTCGACTCACATACTGTCGAAGCTAATTTAAAGTTACTGAAAGAAAACGGTCACCCTGGGATGTAACGAGTTTAGTCATTAGCACCATGGTTACCTTCAGGGTACGGCGTGCACAATCCTGGGTGAATGGCTTTGTCGTTTGTATATTGTGCATTGTTGCGTATTGTTTGCTTCTTTCATTGTCACGTCACGTCACCGAGATTCACCCATCCCTGAAATTTGGGATCTTTTGATTCCAGGAATTGATTTTTTCTGATACCTACCATTCCTGGAGTGTTAATCGAAATTCCTATTTCCGAAGTTAACTTAGTGGAGAGAGCGTAATATATGGGAGAAGGTACATCGTGGAACTTTCAAATAGTATTTCCACAAGAAGGTTCAAGTTGTGGAGTGTTGGCTTCACTGTTTGAGATTTACTTTTGTTACGGTTACAAGGAACCAGCAACGTCTCTGAGTCTGGCCTACGGATCTACGCTGTCGGGGAACGGTTATAAGGAACCAGCCAAGTCACTGAGTCCGACCACTCGATCCTAAATATTCCAGATCCAGCTGTACAATTACTCACACACATTCTTAGAGACATTCCAAGATACCAGCTGTACAATTACTCATCAACTTTCTAAATACCTGATACTTGGCCAGGATAGATCCTCTATTACCCAGCATCTCCATTGCACTTGCCAGACCGATGGTGGTTCTCACAGGCCTGCAGAAAAAAATCTACAATTAGTATCCCAATCTTTATCATCGCAAACATCATGCTTGGAGGGCGAGGGAAGCCTCGGGGATAAAACGTGGAGCCGGTAAAAACTCAGTCAGCCACAATTAGTTACTGTGTCAGCTTAATGTGCCCTGTACAACAATGACGGTTATGTGAGGGTTCTTCCTAGCCAACACTGACAGTTCTTCCTAGCCAACACTGACAGTTCTTCCTAGCCAACACTGACAGTTCTTCTTAGCCACATTGACAGTTCATCCTAGCCAACACTGACAGTTCATCCTAGCCAACATTGACAGTTCATCCTAGCCAACACTGACAGTTCTTCTTAGCCAACACTGACAGTTCATCCTAGCCAACATTGACAGTTCATCCTAGCCAACACTGACAGTTCTTCTTAGCCACATTGACAGCTCATCCTAGCCAACACTGACAGTTCATCCTAGCCAACATTGACAGTTCATCCTAGCCACCAATGACAGTTCTTCTTAGCCAACACTGACAGTTCATCCTAGCCAACACTGACAGTTCTTCCTAGCCAACACTGACAGTTCATCCTAGCCAACACTGACAGTTCATCCTAGCCAACACTGACAGTTCATCCTAGCCAACACCAATAGTTCATCCTAGCCAACACTGACAGTTCATCCCAGCCAACACTGACAGTTCATCCTAGCCAACAATGACAGTTCATCCTAGCCACCAACGACAGTTCATCCCAGCCAACACTGACTGTTCATCCCAGCCACCAATGACAGTTCATCCTAGCCACCAACGACAGTTCATCCTAGCCAACAATGACAGTTCATCCTAGCCAACAATGACAGTTTATCCTAGCCACCAACGACAGTTCATCCCAGCCACCAATGACAGTTATTCCTAGTTGAAAATAACAGTTCTTCCTAGCCAACACTGACAGTTCATCCTAGCCAACACTGACAGTTCATCCTAGCCAACACTGACTGTTCATCCCAGCCACCAATGACACTGACAGTTCATCGTAGCCAACACTGACAGTTCTTCCCAGCCAACACTGACAGTTCTTCCTAGCCAACACTGACAGTTCATCCTAGCCAACACTGACAGTTCTTCTTAGCCAACAACGACAGTTCATCCTAGCCAACACTGACAGTTCATCCTAGCCAACACTGACAGTTCATCCCAGCCAACACTGACTGTTCATCCCAGCCAACACTGACAGTTCACCCTAGCGAACACTGACAGTTCTTCCTAGCCAACAATGACAGTTCATCCTAGCCAACACTGACAGTTCATCCTAGCAAACACTGACAGTTCTTCCTAGCCAACACTGACAGTTCTTCCTAGCCAACACTGACAGTTCATCCTAGCCAATACTGACAGTTCTTCCTAGCCAACACTGACAGTTCTTCCTAGCCAACACTGACAGTTCATCCTAGCCAACACTGACAGTTCATCCTAGCCAACACTGACAGTTCATCCTAGCCAACACTGACAGTTCTTCCTAGCCAACACTGACAGTTCATCCTAGCCAACACTGACAGTTCATCCTAGCCAACACTGACAGTTCTTCCTAGCCAACACTGACAGTTCATCCTAGCCAACACTGACAGTTCTTCCTAGCCAACACTGACAGTTCATCCTAGCCAACACTGACAGTTCATCCTAGCCAACACTGACAGTTCATCCCAGCCAACACTGACTGTTCATCCCAGCCAACACTGACAGTTCACCCTAGCGAACACTGACAGTTCTTCCTAGCCAACAATGACAGTTCATCCTAGCCAACACTGACAGTTCATCCTAGCAAACACTGACAGTTCTTCCTAGCCAACACTGACAGTTCTTCCTAGCCAACACTGACAGTTCATCCTAGCCAATACTGACAGTTCTTCCTAGCCAACACTGACAGTTCTTCCTAGCCAACACTGACAGTTCATCCTAGCCAACACTGACAGTTCATCCTAGCCAACACTGACAGTTCATCCTAGCCAACACTGACAGTTCTTCCTAGCCAACACTGACAGTTCATCCTAGCCAACACTGACAGTTCTTCCTAGCCAACACTGACAGTTCATCCTAGCCAACACTGACAGTTCTTCCTAGCCAACACTGACAGTTCATCCTAGCCAACACTGACAGTTCATCCTAGCCAACACTGACAGTTCTTCCTAGCCAACACTGACAGATCATCCTAGCCAACACTGACAGTTCATCCTAGCCAACACTGACAGTTCTTCCTAGCCAACACTGACAGTTCATCCTAGCCAACACTGACAGTTCTTCCTAGCCAACACTGACAGTTCATCCTAGCCAACACTGACAGTTCATCCTAGCCAACAACGACAGTTCTTCCTAGCCACCAATGACAGTCCATCCCAGCCACCAATGACAGTTATTCCTAGTTGAAAATAATAGTTCATCCTAGCCAACACTGACAGTTCTTCCTAGCCAACACTGACAGTTCATCCTAGTAACTGATCACACTTTCAAAGCTGCTTTCTACTCTCTAAAAATGCAGTGGTGTTTGTAGCTGAATGTCAACTCTATGGGTTTCCTAAAGATTTATTATTTCTAAATAAAAATATAAAAGCAAATTCAAATTCTGTCGTCCAATTGGTGTGTCCTTAAAAACTCTCCGGGCTTTTAATTATTCATGCCCCATAAAGAGGCACGGATGTGTTGAATAGAAAATACATATGATTTCATCATGAGGTGTGACCTTTTTGTACCCCTTGTTGTCTCAAAATGGCGAGCGTAACACAGACCAAGGCTGAAGTGAGCAATGTCACGTGGTCTTGGCGCCGAAACTGGAACATGATACCCATTCTCTCCACCGTGTCGCCTGCGATCTACCAGAGAGGAAAGGCAATTCGCTGTTTACTAACTTTCTGACCTCTGTTACTGATACGATTAGTAGAATTCACTAGACGTTAAAACGGCAGCAAGCTTCCCTGCTCTGTCTTGAGAAGTGGTTTGTTACTGTATCAATCTGGAAAGTCAATTAGTCAATATCTGCATTACCATCATTATTACAGAGTATAATTAAAGGGACTGCACACATTTGGATCATCCTCAGAACACATATGTTGTGCAGTGCGATCTTGTAATCTATTAAATGAGTTGAAGAATTAAATTTAGCTGTGTTGCAATCTCACGGATGAGGAAAACTTTTTTCATCGAAGCCCAGAGTAGGCGGTGACAAACAAGAGGAGTCTGGCGTTCGAAAGGACCATGACAAAGGGTCGCATTTTCATGATTACACAGAACGATGCGGTGTCTTTAACGCCTTGGTCACCCTTTTCAGTGGTTTTGGTAATATAATAACTTTAGACGAGTTGAAATGAAAAGAACAGTAACTTATAAAGACTTTATTTGATCACACAGCCCGTGATTAGCGGGTTTCCCCATGACTGAGGGTCGCACAGACAGACGTGGCCCGATGCGACACTCATTCTTGTAACCTGCTAATCGCGCAAACAAGTGATTCATGCGTCTACGTACATCTGTACTGTCAACTTCGTGGAAAGAAGGTCGTGACTCTAGCATTAGTTTCGATGGTGATGCTATTACACACCTTTCCCTGAGAAATTGACAGCTTGCATATTGGACGTATGTTTAATGGCAAGAAGAATTGACATTGGGAGCAATTTTTTAAGGCATGTCTATCGATCTATACTTATAGTAACGTCTGTTTGTTGTCACGCGTGGCACTACGTTTGCCATAAAGACGCGTGTGACACTACGTTTGCATAGAAACACGAACGGTAGCACACATGTAGGCATACACGTGAGCCAACACCTCGGCGTGGATGAACGAGTGACAACGTCATAATACTATTTATAAATGTCTGTTTGTAGTCACGCGTGGCACGTACCACGTTTTTCATGGAGACGCGTGTGACACCACTTTTGTATGGACACACGAACGGTAGCACACATGTAGGCATACACGTGAGCCAACACCTCGGCGTGGATGAACGAGTGACAACGTCATAATACTATTTATAAATGTCTGTTTGTAGTCACGCGTGGCACGTACCACGTTTTTCATGGAGACGCGTGTGACACCACGTTTGCATGGACACACGAACGGTAGCACACATGTAGGCATACACGTGAGCCAACACCTCGGCGTGGATGAACGAGTGTCAACGTCATAATAATATTTATAAACGTATGTTTGTAGTCACGCGTGGCACCACGTTTGCATGGAGACACGACATGTCTGTGCATGTCGATTCACCTTTAGAATTCAGACGTCCGTTCCACAACATGATTGTAGCACTAAGGTGATCGCCACTCACCTACTTTAACTTAGACGAACGACTGTCATGGTGCTACAATACGATCGCCTTGTGGAACGAAACCTTTCACCTCAAAGTTTACAATCACATTATAATACAATTTTGAAGTAATCTTCTTCTCCAAAACGGCCCTTTTCAGGGCCACCCATCTCTCCTGAAAGAACGCTTTCATCCATTGCTTTGACTACCCTCTCCAAAACCAACACCACCCACGCCCTCCTACCCACCAAACCAAAAAAAACCCAAACCCTCCCTCCTCCCGCCTTCCCGCCTTCCACGTCACAATGGTCTGCAAAGCATTGTGATGTAATTTCATTGCAGCGATATCTACAGTGTAGATATCGCTTGATCTAATCCAAGCGATATCTCCTGTTGGGAGCCAGGTTTGGATGATAAATAACAATAACGTGCATCTATGTTACCAAGGGTATGTTGTGCCTCTGAATACAGATGGTATTGTTTGAGGAGTGAGTGAGATTATTAATGTTTAACGTCGCTTTAATCAAGCTGTTTAAAGTCGGTCTGTGAATACTCGAGTCTGGGTCAGACAGACCAGGTAACTGAAAACATAAGCAACGATAACCTGCGCCAACAGAGACCGATGCCACACATCCAACGACACGTGTGTAACTTATCAACATGGTGTTGGGGAACGAATCTTATCTAGGTTCCCAAGAGTTGGGGAACGAATCTTATCTAGGTTCCCATCGACTGGGAAATATTTCCTCACATTTACGTGATCAATATGTAAGTATATTAAAGGCTACCACCAAATAATGAAAACATCAAGCAACTATTAAAAAGACAAACATGTATCATTTTGAGGCTTTTCATGAATATATCTAATACCACTGTGAACACTAAGTGGACCAGCTGATAAAATTTATGAAAGTGTTTTAAGCTTCAATAAAAGTCTAACCTATTAAACTTGTATAGCAGTCCTACCTGTTCTACTTGTACATCGGTCCTAATTATTCAACTTGTACATAAAAGAGACATAATCATGAGAAATAGATACATATTAAGGCATATAGTCATAAATCACGATCACGAAGTGCTGAAACCAGGTATTCGCGAAAAGGTGAGCATGTACATGTCCTACAACGACCTGTACACACACCGGCAAGTGTGGCACTAGTAAAAACAAGGAATCACACAGGCACGTGTGGCACTAGTCAAAACAAGGAATCACACAGGCACGTGTGACACTAGTCAAAGCAAGGAATCACACCAGCACGTATGGCACTAGTCAAAACAAGGAATCACACAGGCACGTGTGGCACTAGTCAAAACAAGGAATCACACACGCACGTGTGGCACTAGTCAAAACAAGGAATCACACCGGACATTACTTTCCGTTCCGTCAGATTTGAAAAAATGTCCTCAACATGTTAACCATACAACTTTATGAAAACGACTTTTAAAGTTTCACCTGTGACACTTGTATGTCAGTCTTATATAATCTGTGAACGGAATCTACCTATTCATCTTGAATAAAAGTTCTACCTATTCATCTTTATGAAAGTCCTACCTATTCATATTGAATGAAAGTTCTACCTAATCATCTTGAATGACAGGCACACCTGTTCAGCTTGAATTATAGTTCAACCAATTCGTTTTGAATGAAAGTCTCCCTGTTCAGTTTGAAAGAATGTCCTACATATTCAGTTTGAATGAAAGTCCTTCTTATTCGTCTTGAATGAAAATCCCCCTGTTCAGTTTGAAAGAATGTCCTACCTATTCAGTTTGAATAGAAGTCCTACAAAAAAAATTACAGTCCGTTTGACTCCAAATGAGAACGATGAATTGCAAAATAACTCGAAATCCAGAAAAGTGTATGAAACATCAATACGGTACTTGACCATGAATACCCTGTACCCAACACAATCTGAATTTTGTTTAATTTAAGACCCATGACGGATGAAGTTCTTTAAGAAACTATCATGTAATTTTGTATAGAAATGTGTACATGGCACGTAGGGGAGACAAACCGGGGAAGGCACAGCGCAAGCACGCATGCACTGCACGTTCTGTGGTAGGGGAAATGACAGAGCGTTAGAGGGGCCGTCTCATGATAATTTCAGTCGCAATCTGACTCGCTCATGCCATAGATCTCGTCGTCGGAACTCCTGGTGCCTGAAGCGACTGCCACTATTATAGGTTGGACTGTTGCTGGCCGTAGTCCATCTCGTGACCAATAACGTGGCTCTATCTCGTCAACGACTGTGGCCACACAACGCCTCCATGTTTCTACTGTTACCCGACCAAGGGATTCCTTTACGAGTTGTTCAACGTCTCGTAATTTGAACGTTGTGTTCGATCGTCCAACGTCCCCCTTGACGATGCCCCATACCAACTCGATTGGATTCAGGTCGCAGTGATAAGGTGGCAGTCGTAAGACAGCGTGACCCTGACCCTTGATGTAACTGTCAACTTTATACACGGGGTCAGGTTTCATAGTTTTGATGATTTCATAGAGCTGTGGTTTCGTCGCTCGAGAAGGAAAGGTAATGTTCCTCCGTTGCAGCCAACTAACCGTGTCTCCTTTACGGTTATTAGAGGTTTGGAGTCTCGCTTTCTGGATCCTGCACACTATGATACGGTGCATTGTCAATGACAATGAGAAACTTGGTAGGCAAAGCAGGGACTAATTTATCTTTCACCCACTCCAGAAATACATTGCCGTTCATTTCTGTGTGGTAGTCCCTGTTGTCTTTGGCCTTGGCTCTAAAGACGAGGTCACAGTCTGGGAGAAAACCCTGACTAGCAGAACCAGCATGGAGAACTATGAGTCTTTCACCCTTTCCCATTGGTAACTTTCTACCAGACTCCTTACAGTCACCACTGGGTACCCACTGACTGCTGGCTGTGTGTGACGCATTTACCCATGTCTCATCTAAGATGACGGGCTCATATCCTTCTTCACGTTTCTGCTTGATGGTACGAAGGTAATGATTTCGGAGACGAACAATGTCAGACCGTTCACACAACACAGCCCTATTTTCTCCAGTTATCTTTTTGTATTTGTAACCAAATGTATGCAACAGCTGCCATAGTTTGTACTTTGTAACACGTAAATCATGGTCAGTTTCAAGGTGTTTCTTCAAAATTCTTAGGGACAGGTACTTATTTTCTGAGTGCAGTTTAACAATTGCACGTCTGACTTGATCCCTCTGAAAACTGTCTAATTTATAAACCTTGTGTGGTTTTTTACATGTTCCCTACCTCATTGGCCTGACTATTTGTATCTCGTCGACTAACAGCATTTTAAAGTTTCTGAGGGGACATACCAAGAGCTTTTGAAGCTCGTTTCAAGAATTTATTAATTGCATTAAACGGCTTTGCTTTTTCTGCTTCACTTCTAAAGAAATCATACACATTCAACATCAACTGTTTAACATCTGCTGAGTAGCGCATCTTGTCATTGAATGAACACGGTCACTGTGTAGCACGTGCAGACCGTGCTTGCGCTGTTCCTTCCCCGGTTTGTCCCCCTACGTGTCATGTACACATTTCTATACAAAATTACATGATAGTTTCTTAAAGAACTTCATCCGTCATGGGTCTTAAAATAAACAAAATTCAGATTTTGTTTGGTACAAGGTATTCATGGTCAAGTACCGTATTGATGTTTCATACACTTTTCTGGATTTCGAGTTATTTTGCAATTCATCGTTCTCATTTGGAGTCAAACGGACTGTTGTACTTATCCGGCTTGAATGAAACTCCTACTTACTCAGCTTTAATGAAAGTCCCAGCTACTCGGCTTTCATGAAAACCCTACACTGAGAAAAAAAGTCTAGTGAATTCTACTAATCTTATCAGTAACAGAGGTCAGAAAGTTAGTAAACAGCGAATTGCCTATTCTCGCTGGTAGATCGCAGGCGACACGGTGGAGAGAATGGGTATCGTGTTCCAGTTTCGGCGCCAAGACCACGTGACATTGCTCACTTCCGCCTTGGTCTGTGTTACACTCGCCATTTTGAGACAACAAGGAGATGATTATGAGTCTGAGAATAAGCCATATATTGGCTTTATAACATTGAAAATATTATTTTTCCATGACTGACAAATTATGAACATTATTGCATGTACATAATGCCGAAGGGAGGTTAGTTATGGTTGCCAGTGATAAACAAGGCTTAGCTATTTATCTACTTGTTAATCAATTTTAGTAGTATTGAGTAACACAACACGTAGCATTAACACTAATGGTTTTTCCGCTTATGAACGGTAAATATGTGTTTTATGCAGTACGTTTTATGTTATTCTATGCATTGAGGCCTGTTTGCTTTGTTAGCTGTTCAAAGAAACGAACATATTGAAAAGAAATACTCTTATCGTGATCAAGGATATGTTTGAACATGATATTTATTTTGTTTGTTGTTTAACGCCGCACTCAGCAATATTCCAGCTATATGGCGGCGGTCTACAAATAATTGAGTCTGGACCAGACAATCCAGTGATTGATGCAATCGGAATACGATGACATGCATCAACCAAGTCAGCAAGCCTGGCAACCCGATCCCGTTAGTCGCCTCTTACGACGAGCACAGTCACCTCTAACAGCAAGCATGGGTTGCTGAAGATCTATTCTCTACCCGCATCTTCACGGGTCTGCTCATAATAAACCCATCAACATGGTCAAGTAATATTTAGCTCAGGTATGTCCTATATACATTCTATTCTTGCTCCGGACATGTATTTCATAATCCTAACAACGAGGTGTAGATGACAAAGGCTCGGGGAACATGTTTCACGTGCATCTTGAGCCGACTCACAGTGTTCTCACAGTGTTCTCACAGTCGAGCATAGCATTTTTGAGGTGCTAGGGTTCTCTAAATGGATGTTAGCCATGGTAAAGATAGGTTAGACCTGTTGGATTTCGATGTTAAATCGCTCCGAGCCGAGGGGTTGAACTTAATCATTTCAGCGATTAAACATTGGATCCGAGTGGTCTTACCTATTCTTAAAATGCCATTGCAAATCATTATATGTCATCTTCACCTTTACTGTTTATGTCATTTGTTATTTACTTATCTCGTGGGCAAATTGTATTCAGCAACTGTCAACAGGGAGCCCATTAATTACAGTATAGTAAAACTTACCACACACTTAGTAAATATACTATTGTAGTTTAGATGTAGATTTAGAGAAGATTAAATTATTCAATTACTATTATTAACTACATAAAAGCAATAGTTCCTTAAAGATGTACGATAGGCCACCTACTAACTTGTTTGTGTCTGATTGGACAGAGAAGTCCACTAACTAGTAAGTGGGTGAGTATGGTTTTACGCCGCTTTTAGCAATATTCCAGCAACATCACGGCGGAGGACACCAGAAATAGGCTTCACTCATTTTTCCCATGTCTAGAATCGAACGCAGGTCTTTACCGTGTCGAGCGAACGCTTTAACCACTAGGCTACCCGACCGCCCCTGTTCACTAAGTTGGTAAACTCTACTACTTCTGTCAGTGTACCTATTCAGTTTGTAGGCTGCCAACGCTGGAGCAATGCAAGGAGGGGCTGTGCCGATGTTTTTGCCCCCAAATGATCCTCCAATTCGTGGGACCGTTACATTGACGCTGAAAGGAACAGGCCTCGGTTAAACTTTCACTAAAATATAAGTGTCAAACCCCTTTCCATAAACATAAACAAAGGTGACAAAATACCCCCTTTCTGAATCACAAGAAATCTCTGCTAAAAGAAGAGTCTAATGTACGAGTCCGAGTATGTCTTCATCGGCACGTGTTTATGAATCGCCAAAAATATTCGCGAAAACGTGAGTGTATCCTGTCACAAATGCATGAAATGTCACTTCTTGTTACTGATGTTTTAAATTGTTAAATGTCCTCATGTCAACCATATTGCAACGTTTTGCAATATTTATTTGGAAATTTATAGACATCGAATACTGGAACTATGATTTAACAACTTTTGGCAAGAGCCTCTCGTTTGTACTTCAAAAGTTGTAAAATGTAAACACCAGTGGGAGCTGATGGAATGTTGCTCGACAGAAAGGTGAAGTTGACTGTTGGAAAGTTGAAGTCATCCCTCTTGTCAAACTGTCTTGTGGATATTTTTGTCTCTCTGAATCGTTATGCATAGATCTAAATATGAAACAGATGAGTCGGTTTCACAGGTCTCTTTTAGTTCTAGCTCAGGTTGGTAAATCAGAAGGGAATTATTGAACGAAATTAAATCATGGATATACCTGAAGCTTAAGTTCAACTTTATGGCCAAATTCCGGTGTTTTGGTTATGTTAATCCTAGCACGAATAGCTCCTAGCTCTTCATATGCAAAAAGAAACATAAACATGTCTGCGAAAGGGTAGCCTACTCCTGGCCAAAATGACCTATCCCAAATTTCACATGGATGTTTCAATGAAAACGTCCATCATTTCACAGCATTTTCTCAGTAAACTTCAGGTGATATTTGCTTTCATTTTTGACAAATTGTCGTGAACCTATGAAGACAGAGATGTTTGTTTGTTTGTTGTTTAACGTCGCATTCAGCACTATTCCAGGTATATGACGGCGGTCTGTAAATAATCGAGTCTGGACCAGACAATCCAGTGATTGAAATCATGAGCATCGATCCATACAATTGGGATCTATGACATGCATCAACCAAGCCAGCGAGCCTTACCACCCGTCTCTATACTTACACCTAAGACAGTTAGCCCAGGCATAACAATGTTTGGATCCACCAATATCTGTATTCAACTGATTGTTTCAAATTGGTGCATAAAGTGACCCTGAACATAAAAACTGAAACTCATTTGTTTCTGCGTTCAAATTGACCAATCGAAGATACTAGTTCTCAACAGACGTCCCGCCACAATGTCCCAGGGCACCCGCATTGTTGACATCAAGATCTGGGTTCGAATCCCCACATGGGTGCAATGTGAGAAGCACACAGTGATATAGCGGGAACCGGGGTGAAAAGTGGTGGGAAAACCCTACTTAATAGCTGAATGACATATGTACGTATGACTCCAAGGTGACTTACTAGTTGCAGGGTTGGCCAATGACTGCAGCGATGGCCCGCTGAACGCCACTGAGTGCCTGGGTGGGCGTATATACATCTAGACCATCCTCTGAAGGGACACACACTGCAGCCTGCAACACGAGACATGGATTCATCTCAAAGCATAACCCTGTCAATCCGGAAACCCTACTTACGAGTGAGGTGAATCGAAATGGGGTTAAAAGTCGCGTTCAAGATCATTGCACTTATATAGTCGAGGGCCAGGCAGCGAAACAACAAAATTTAGTATCAAGTTTTTAACGTCTTTTGTTATTACGTTGCTGGGGGTCGAACTATTGACCTTCCGCAACCGGGTAGACGCTCTATCAACTACACCACGGAGGCGGCCCTACGTACGAGTGATCACTGATTTACTACTACAGACTGATGATTAATCCAGACATTTGTGTGTGCGGGGCATTGACTGGGTACAAATATTTTACCGTATGTGAACCAAACGGTGTGTATCAGAGTATCCACATCAGTAAGACAGTGCTTTGGTTTAACAAATGATAATATGTCATCAAATGCTGTTCTAATATACATTCAATATTCAATGTCTCGGCAATCAAAGTGTTTTGCAGAAGCCAAAATGTACGAGCGATTAGGGAAAAACGTCACCGCGTTTTAGTTGTGTCGTGGAATGTCAGCTTAATGTGGAAGGAACGGTCACATTGAAACAAGCACGGGTGTGGGCTGGTGAAAGAAGCACGTGTGTTGGTTGGTGTAATAACCAGGGGTGTGTTGATGTAACAAGCAGGGGTGTGTTGGTGTAACAAGCAGGGGTGTGTTGGTGTAACAAGCAGGGTGTGTTGGTGTAACAAGCACGTGTGTGTTGGTGTAACAAGCAGGAGTGTGTTGGTGTAAGAAGCACGTGTGGGTTGGTGTAACAAGCACGTGTGTGTTGGTGTAAGAAGCACGTGTGGGTTGGTGTAACAAGCAGGAGTGTGTTGGTGTAACAAGCACGTGTGGGTTGGTGTAATAACCAGGGGTGTGTTGATGTAACAAGCAGGGGTGTGTTGGTGTAACAAGCAGGGGTGTGTTGGTGTAACAAGCAGGGTGTGTTGGTGTAACAAGCAGGGGTGTGTTGGTGTAACAAGCAGGGTGTGTTGGTGTAACAAGCAGGGTTGTGTTGGTGTAACAAGCACGTGTGGGTTGGTGTAACAAGCAGGGGTGTGTTGGTGTAACAAGCAGGGGTGTGTTAATGTAACAAGCAGGGTGTGTTGGTGTAACAAGCAGGGGTGTGTTAATGTAACAAGCAGGGGTGTGTTAATGTAACAAGCAGGGGTGTGTTGGTGTAACAAGTAGGGGTGTGTTAATGTAACAAGCACGTGTGTGTTGGTGTAACAAGCCAGGGTGTGTTGGTGTAACAAGCAGGTGTGTGTTGGTGTAACAAGCAGGGGTGTGTTGGCGTAACCAGCAGGGGTGTGTGTGTTTGTGTAACAAGCCGGGGTGTGTTGGTGTAAAGAGCAGGGGTGTGTTCGTATAACAAGCAGGGATGTGTTTGTGTAACAAGCCGGGGTGTGTTGGTGTAACAAGCAGGGATGTGTTCGTGTAACAAGCACGTGTGTCGGTGTAACAAGCAGGGGTGTGTTGGTGTAACAAGCAGGGGTGTGTTGGTGTAAGAAGCAGGGTGTGTTGGTGTAACAAGCAGGGTGTGTTGGTGTAACAAGCAGGGTGTGTTGGTGTAACACGCAGGGTGTGTTGGTGTAACAAGCACGTGTGTCGGTGTAACAAGCAGGGTGTGTTGGTGTAACAAGCACGTGTGTCGGTGTAACAAGCAGGGTGTGTTGGTGTAACAAGCAGGGGTGTGTGTGTTTGTGTAACAAGCCGGGATGTGTTGGTGTAAAGAGCAGGGGTGTGTTTGTGTAACAAGCAGGGATGTGTTCGTGTAACAAGCAGGGGTGTGTTCGTGTAACAAGCACGTGTGTCGGTGTAACAAGCAGGGGTGTGTTGGTGTAACAAGCACGTGTGTGTTGGTGTAACAAGCAGGTGTGTGTTGGTGTAACAAGCCAGTGTGTGTTGGTGTAACAAGCAGGGGTGTGTTGGTGTAACAAGCAGGGGTGTGTTGATGTAACAAGCAGGGGTGTGTTGATGTAACAAGCAGGGTGTGTTGGTGTAACAAGCAGGGGTGTGTTGATGTAACAAGCAGGGGTGTGTTGATGTAACAAGCAGGGATGTGTTGGTGTAACAAGCAGGGTGTGTTGGTGTAACAAGCAGGGTGTGTTGGTGTAACACGCAGGGTGTGTTGGTGTAACACGCAGGGTGTGTTGGTGTAACAAGCAGGGGTGTGTTGATGTAACAAGCAGGGGTGTGTTGATGTAACAAGCAGGGTGTGTTGGTGTAACAAGCAGGGGTGTGTTGGTGTAACACGCAGGGTGTGTTGGTGTAACAAGCCGGGGTGTGTTGGTGTAACAAGCAGGGTGTGTTGGTGTAACAAGCCGGGGTGTGTTGATGTAACAAGCAGGGTGTGTTGGTGTAACAAGCAGGGTGTGTTGGTGTAACACGCAGGGTGTGTTGGTGTAACAAGCAGGGTGTGTTGGTGTAACAAGCAGGGTGTGTTGGTGTAACACGCAGGGTGTGTTGATGTAACAAGCAGGGTGTTTTGGTGTAACAAGCAGGGTGTGTTGGTGTAACAAGCCGGGGTGTGTTGATGTAACAAGCAGGGTGTGTTGGTGTAACAAGCAGGGTGTGTTGGTGTAACAAGCAGGGTGTGTTGGTGTAACACGCAGGGTGTGTTGATGTAACAAGCAGGGTGTGTTGGTGTAACAAGCAGGGTGTGTTGGTGTAACACGCAGGGTATGTTGGTGTAACAAGCAGGGTGTGTTGGTGTAACACGCAGGGTGTGTTGGTGTAACATGCAGGGTGTGTTGGTGTAACACGCAGGGTGTGTTGGTGTAACAAGCCGGGGTGTGTTGGTGTAACAAGCCAGTGTGTGTTGTCGTAACAAGCCGGGGTGTGTTGGTGTAACAAGCGCGTGTGTGTTGGTGTAACAAGCAGGGTGTGTTGGTGTAACAAGCACGTGTGTGTTGGTGTAACAAGCAGGGTGTGTTGGTGTAACAAGCCGGGGTGTGTTGGTGTAACAAGCAGGGGTGTATTGGTGTAACAAGCAGGGGTGTGTTGGTGAAACAAGCACGTGTGTGTTGGTGTAACAAGCCGGGGTGTGTTGGTGTAACAAGAAGGGGTGTGTTGGTGTAACAAGCAGGGTGTGTTGGTGTAACAAGCAGGGGTGTGTTGGTGTAACAAGCCGGGGTGTGTTGGTGAAACAAGCACGTGTGTGTTGGTGTAACAAGCAGGGGTGTGTTGGTGAAACAAGCAGGGGTGTATTGCTCATAAACCAAGCAGCATATTCAAGGCATATCATGGCCCAGGGGATGCAACTCTGCACAGTGAATTGTGGCGATCTACATCACATGACCATGACTTATTTACAGATAATCTAATTAATAATCTCACTTTCGGCATTCCATCCATATTAAGATGCCACTCATTATACGTAAAGCATTATGCAAAGCTCATTTACTTAATAAATGTTCAGTCGTCGAATTCGTAACGTTAAAAATATTGTCACCGTGGTACTTACGTTGTTCTCGAGGTAGAAATGAAACAGGTTCTCCATGGTACACTGGCCCTCCACTGTCGAGGATGAGGCAGCCATGGCGTCTGTAGAAACAAGAACTACCTAAACCCTTTTGGATTAAGAAAACTCAGCTAATCACAAAAATAGTCATGTTTCACATGAGCTTCCTGTTTCACAAAATCAGACATACACCTATATCTGTAACGGGCGCCTCAAACCAATATGTCCAAGGTGGTGGAACTAATAAACAAGGCCACTTCATATATTTCCTCATAGTTAGATAAAGAATGAATGTGTTTTCTAAAGAGGCCTGAAACACTTGCATAACAAACATATGCTGTAATACCGTGAAAGAAATTGATCACAGAATCATTAATCTTACTCTGACGATAAAATGGTGGCGGCCCATCTAGTAGCTGATATATTTGTACTATACACCTTTATCAGTTGTAAGTTCAGAGATTATTCCTCTACCTGTGTAGAACAGGTACCTGGAATATACTACAATGTAACCTTCTCCAAATGTACCTCCGTTTGGTGGGCAATGGCAATGGTGGGGCAAACTCACGTCTTTTTTATCACAAAAAGCCCACGAATTTGTGTTAAGAGTATTGTGTTTTGTAGCTGGACCTTCACCAGATCCCCAGTCACGTGTCTACCCCTGACACCAACCACCCCAATACACCCGCTCACCCGTTTCACGAACCTTGCCAAGAATTCAAACTTGATGATGTATATATAATTTGTTATCATGCAATGTCACAGAGAGTTTTCCGTGTTAATGAGTAACTTTGTATTCTAACATTGCCATAATTATAATCTGTGTGCCTTCCCTTGAATGTCCATCATCAATTCTTACCCACCTACCCCATTCGCACCCCCACAGCCGTCGCAGTTTATAATGTGTCAAGCAAACAACGTCCAATGTACGTCATATTACAAGATCGTGCTGTAGGCCCTAATTTACTTTATGAAAAACAGAAACAGTTTGTCTTAACCTTCAAAATGATTGCCATAGTTACAATACGTGTGCCTTCCCTTGAATGTCCATCATCAATTCTTACCCACCTACCCCATTCGCACCCCCACAGCCGTCGCAGTTTATAATGTGTCAAGCAAACAACGTCCAATGTACGTCATATTACAAGATCGTGCTGTAGGCCCTAATTTACTTTATGAAAAACAGAAACAGTTTGTCTTAACCTTCAAAATGATTGCCATAGTTACAATACGTGTGCCTTCCCTTAAATGTCCATCATCAATTCTTACCCACCTACCACATTCGCACCCCCACAGCCGTCGCAGTTTATAATGTGTCAAGCAAACAACGTCCAATGTACGTCATATTACAAGATCGTGCTGTAGGCCCTAATTTACTTTATGAAAAACAGAAACAGTTTGTCTTAACCTTCAAAATGATTGCCATAGTTACAATACGTGTGCCTTCCCTTGAATGTCTATCATCAATTCTTACCCACCTACCACATTCGCACCCCCACAGCCGTCGCAGTTTATAATGTGTCAAGCAAACAACGTCCAATGTACGTCATATTACAAGATCGTGCTGTAGGCCCTAATTTACTTTATGAAAAACAGAAACAGTTTGTCTTAACCTTCAAAATGATTGCCATAGTTACAATACGTGTGCCTTCCCTTGAATGTCTATCATCAATTCTTACCCACCTACCACATTCGCACCCCCACAGCCGTCGCAGTTTATAATGTGTCAAGCAAACAACGTCCAATGTACGTCATATTACAAGATCGTGCTGTAGGCTCTAATTTACTTTATCAAAAACTGAAACAGTTCGTCTTAACATTCAAAAGGATTAATCGCCCCTACACATCATAAACAACATGTTTTGTCAAATTTACGCATGTTACCAATTAAGCATGTCATTAAACACGTATCGATATGCATATAATGAGTATGAACATTGCAGTAGGCACTTTAATATTTCATTATGAATGAAATGGCATTCACTGTACTATCAAAATCAAACTTACACAATAACCATTAAAACTCTCTATTACCTTTTCCCCACATGATAGCATAAATGGTTGCGATGTTTTCACCGACCTGAAACTGTCTATTGTCTGTTCAGCGCTTCCATCGTTGACAACCAGAGTATGACTACATGGATATTGTATTTGATGTTGGGAGCCTCAATGACGCGAATGTTAGGTCACTTCATTAAGCTGAGGCCATATTCCCAGATGGAATTATAGAGCATTATTGAGACCCTATTAGAAGGGATTCATTTGGATTTCTACCATCTCTACCACTACCAAGGCGGAAAGGGAGAGTTGTTGGCAGCCAGGCAATACCGCTCCTAAAACATACACTGAATTCAAAACGCGCTGACTGCAGCCATTACAGAATGACATGAAAAGCCCAGAGTCACTGGAATAGCATGACGTATTTTGTAATTTAATCAGCATGCGAGGTTGATACAGCGGGATTTATTCATCACAACGACAAACAGCAGAGAAAGAACAGCGAGAGCCTGCAGCGGAACCAGGAATACTACCAATACCTTCAGAATGCTGGGATAAACAGCGCATAACACGTGTCTGTGGCGGTCATTGATAACATCCATGTGAAATTTCGGGACAAGACATTTAGGCAAGAGGTAGGCATGCCCATAGCTACCGATTGTGCTCCCCTTCTTCTTAATCTGTTTCTTTATGTATATGAATCGGAATATCTGCTTAGATTGGCAATATCAAAACAAGGTAGTTTGGCCAAGAAGTTTAGCTTAAGCTTCTGAGGGCCGTTGTACAAAGTGATATTAGCTCCAAGGTTGTCCAATACCCCCAATACCTTAACATGGACATACGCCAGTCGTAGTGCTAAGAATGTTTTTTTGTACAACCGCAGCCTGGTATGTCGATGATCTGATACTGTTCATTGACCATTCAATGACCAATTTCCTTCCACTGATTTCCACACCTTAACTAGAAAAGAAGATGCCAGTGAAACTGCCTCATCTGTTTCCCATGTTGATCTACACATAACGGTTCAGAGTGACAAGAAACTTTCCAGTAGTCCACTTTCCTTTTATGTCGAGCAATATTTCAGCTCCAGCCTTTCCTCTCTACATTTCACAACTTTTGTGGTGCAATCGAACATGCAATTTCTACGAAGATTTCAAACAGCATCATACGACCCTTGCTCAAAAGTTGTTTGATCAGGGTAACAACATATATGGCCTCAGTAAAGATTTCAATATGTTTTATCGTAGGCATGTGGAGGAATTTCCAAATTCAACGCATCAGTGACAAAAAGGATGTCTGTGGCAATTCCCCATTTTGATTTGTGCAATATGTGTTTTTCAGGTGAACATTTAACTTGACTTTGCATGTATTTGTAGCAGGATGCGCTCAACTTTACGTGAACACCTGGTGTCATCATTAATTGATAGTGATTCAAAAACACACGGTTATGATTTAGTCGGAATGGCACAATGCACTCTGCTTTTAGTAGACAGTTTTGTGTGTACTTATATTGGCGCTAATCTCCTTCCACAAGCTGTATGCTCAAAGCGCTGACATTATTACCCCGGTCAATGGATGAGTGTGCACTCGATTCTTTTCATTCTGAGCTCCCTGGGGAGAAAACAATCGAAGCTGCATGTGAGGCGCTAGAAAGTTAACAGCCACTTTACATCTCATCCTACCGGGTACCCATTCACTGCTGGGTGAACGCATTGCGAAATTCATCTTGGCAATGCTCATCTAAATTGTTGCTAAGCATCCCAGGGACGTATATGCCAATCTGTATAGATATTGTTTCTGTACCCCTTGCCCTGTTATGTCATTCTAATAATTAGAATTGATAAAGAAGCAGTTTGCATTGATGACGTGCACAATAGTTAAACGCCCTTGCACGTCATTAATAATATCCTATGTCAAATGTACGTCCATATTATCAATTAAGCATGTCATTAATGTATGTATCCATATATTTTCATAAAAGTGTTGTGACTGGTATTCCCAAATATCACCAAACGCCAAGCTGAACAATTAAGCTTTACAAAGAGATCCATTTAATTTTTTTTTTGCATCATATAATAACATTTCTTAGGGTAGCGACAATCGGACATATTCATTAACATTATCCTGTAACCAATAACTTTTTTATACGCACAAAGATGTGAAGAATAACGAACACTTCGCATTGGGCCACCACCCAACAAGCCACCACACCCATCTGCTTTCCACTAAACCGAGGAGCTATACCTTTCAGACGATTTTTTTATACGTTTCCTTTTCAATAGAAAATATCTAAAGCAAGGATATTATACCCACAATATGAACTGTACTGGCGCTTCGTCAGCGCTCAAAGAAGGGTATATTTTTCAACATGTAATTTGGCAATGGTGTCTACATGATGTCAACAATGGTGTCTATATGACGTCAACAATGGTGTCTACATGTCGTCAACAATGGTGTCTACATTACGTCAGCAGTGGTATCTACATGTCAACAATTGTGTCTATATGACGTCAACAATGGTGTCTACATGGTGTCAACAATGGTGTCTACATTACGTCAACAATGGTGTCTACATGATGTCAACAATGGTGTCTACATTACGTCAACAATGGTGTCTACATGATGTCAACAATGGTGTCTATATGACGTCAATAATGGTGCCTACATGACGTCAACAATGGTGTCTTTATTACGTCAGCAGTGGTATCTACATGGTGTCAACAATGGTGTCTATATGACGTCAACAATGGTGTCTACATGTCGTCAACAATGGTGTCTACATTACGTCAGCAATGGTATCTACATGTCAACAATGGTGTCTATATGACGTCAACAATGGTGTCTACATGACGTCAAAAATGGCGTCTACATTACGTCAGCAATGATGTCTACATGACGTCAATAATGGTGCCTACATGACGTCGACATTGATAGCTATATAACGTCAACAATGGTGTCAACATGACGTCAACAACGATGTCTACAATACGTCAACATTGGTGTCTACATGACGTCAACAAACCATAGGGTGTGTGAAATTACTCTCTGACGTTTATCAATGTATGCTAAAACGCTGAGTTCAAGATTAAAGGGTCTGAAAGATCACAAACAACGCTTCTGTATGTATTCGTGATAGGGAATTCCGAGGGTTTCCCCCGGAATGTGTAAGTAGTCCGTCAGTGTTGACGTCATTTCAAGAATACGGTCTCATGAAAAACGTATGAACGTCAAATTCGCGGTCATGTGACCGACCCCTCGTCTAATGAAAAAGCCGTATATCGTTTAACTCCACATTAAAAGATTGCTATCGATGTGCTGTATTTACTGTGTGTATAGGAATAAGGGGTTCCCGAACCTTCAGGTTCCCCGATCCTTGTTTCCTTCAGTGGGTTGGCGTGGTAGCTGTTGTTGTGGATGGCGTCCTGAACCGACAGTATTGGCGTCTCAGTATCAGTGTAGGTGACGGAAATCTGCCTCGATGCCTCCTCAGCCAGGCTCTGAGATTCTGCAAAACATGTGAGTGAGTGAGTTGTTGATTTGAACAGTGTTTTGTTAATATCACCGTGTGTCAGCTTTATGTTGGCGAAATCCCAACGCAGGGCGTGGTCGTGCACCACTCGAGAAGAAAAACACATGATTTTCACTATGGTGTTGGATGATCAAGATTCATCATCGGGGATTTGATCTCTGGGATTTGAACCCGCGGGTTCTGACACGGCTTGGAACGCACACCTGCACAACAACCCGCAGTGCCTTAGACCTATTGAGTGAGTGAGTGAGTTGGGTTTAACGCCGCTTTTAACAGTATTCCAGTTATATCGCGGTGTGTCAGCTTAATGTGGGAGGAAAGCCCGAAGTGATGCAGGTCTCAGACGTTTACCACTGCGGTGAAACCCACGAGCACGGGTATGGTGCTGACAAACCTAGAAACATAATCGGGGCGAACCGGGATTCGAATCCACAATAATATGTTTCTGGCGTGCCCAAGGGACGCAAGTCGGCACAGCGAATCGCGGTGCCTTAGACGACTGGGCCACCAGTGCCCCCTTAGACCTATTGAACACCCATGTCCACCCGATTCATGTGTTGACACAGGCCAATATAGTTAGTGGTCGCTGACTTTCAGTATAAAAGAATGATAAATGAAATACTTCAATGTCCATTCATACTGTCAATAACGCACACTTCAACAATATTGTTTTGTGCGTCACCATCACAAGCATGTAGTTCTGTTAACCGATGGGTGCTTAATTATCTGAAACATGTATAGATCAACTGGTTTTGTAATTAGTTATCTCAAGCATGTAGATCGGTTTTTGTGTTTCAATATATCAAGCATAGAATTCAACAAACTGGCTCTGTTAACTCAGGCATATAGTTTACCAACTGGTTTAGCGTATCATTAAATCAAACAGACTCACCTGCCACAAGGAATCCGATCTGTTGTCCTGCATGTTTTACATTGCCGCTACAGAACAGCTGCAAGATGTGAATAAGGAAATCCATTGACAATATGTAGTGTTGACCATATGTTCCTAAACGCATCAACACCCTACACTCATCAACACCCTACACGCATCAACACTCTAGAGCATCAACACCCTAAAAGCATCAACACCCTACACGCATCAACACCCTAAAAGCATCAACACCCTACACTCATCAACACCCTACACGCATCAACACCCTAAAAGCATCAACACCCTAAAAGCATCAACACCGTACACGCATCAACACCCTAAAAGCATCAACACCCTACACGCATCAACACCCTAAAAGCATCAACACCCTAAAAGCATCAACACCGTACACGCATCAACACCCTAAAAGCATCAACACCCTACACTCATCAACACCCTACACGCATCAACACCCTACACGCATCAACACTCTAGAGCATCAACACCCTACACTCATCAACACCCTATACGCATCAACACCCTACACTCATCAACACCCTATACGCATCAACACCCTACACTCATCAACACCATATACTCATCAACATCCTATACGCATCGACACCCTACATGCATCAACACCCTACACTCATCAACACCCTATACGCATCAACACCCTACACTCATCAACATCCTACACTCATCAACACCCTACACTCATCAACACCCTTCACTCATCACCACCCTACATGCATCAACACCCTATACGCATCAACACCCTACACTCATCAACACCCTACACACATCAACACCCTACTCTCATCAACACCCTACATGCATCAACACCCTACACGCATCAACACCCTACATGCATCAACACCCTAAAAGAATTTACGGGGACAATTTATTTGTTCCGGAATATCATATGGTCGGTCCCTAAGTCTTAGAAGAGATTTTGCATATCTTAGTTATGCGTACAACCCAAACCATGAGTAGTATGTAGAACAATTCACCCACCTCCTCCCTCTGCTGGGGGTATGACACCTGTTTCAGAGCATTGTTCTCGCCGGGAATGTCCTTGGCTGTAAAAAGTCTGACCACACCAGGCATGTTCTGAAGCAGTTTAAACGAATCGGGTGTACAAATTGGGCTGAGGTGAAATGGGGCTTAACGCCTTGTTTTAGATTATATTACATACATGGTACGTGCGTGCTTGTGTGGGGCTGCTTTTATCAGTTCGAACTAATGCCGGTTTTATAGCAGTTGCCCACTGAGATAACGAAGCCACTCAGACACAGTTTACTGACTCGGAGCCGTCCAGGCCTTGTTTTAATTCCTAAATGCCGAGCGTCAGGCAGGATGAACAAGTACCATCTTTTAACAGCTTTTGGTATGGAATAAACCTACTTAGAGATCATGGGGATTCAATGGATGTAAAAAGCGCCGAGAAGCATTCACAGGACACAACCTACGAGAGCTTTTGTGGCGTCGATATCGATAACCTTGCCCTTGGCAACAGACGTGAGGACGAATGATCCATACAGTTGATTCTTCATCACCGGCAGATCATCCACGTACACTGCCTCCCCGGATGCCTGAGGATACAAACTGGTTTTCATTGGTTGGATTAGTCGGTGAGGTTTCGTGATACAAGGGCGTGGCACCTCGATGAGGGAGGAAGGTTCATGCTAGACGTCTAGGAGAGCGGCGAAAAGTGTGCACTACAAACGACACTGAAGATGTAGTTCGTGGCAAAACGCTTGCAACTCAACTCTGATTTAAACAACATATTGTCAAGAGCAATCTTGGTTATCAAAAAGTCGAATATGCTTGTTGTAAGAGGCGACTAACGTGATCTTGCGGCCAGGCTCTCTGACTTGGATGATGCCTGTCATCGTATCCCAATTGCACGGATCGATGCTCATGACGTCAATCATTGGATTGTATGGTCCGGACTCGATTATGTACAGACCGCCGTCATATAGCTGGAATATTGCTGAGTGCGGCGATAAAAAAACAAAAAACAAACAAACAAACAAACAAACAATCAAACAAACAAACTGTCTTTCCACACACCTGGAGCGGCGCGGTCAGTTTGGGCATCGGCGCTTTCAAAGGCCATTCTGACTGAAGATTTTCAAAAGTATGTTGACTTGTCGACAGAGGGCAGTAGGAGTTGTCTCCCTTTTCCCCGTTGCGAAGGCTCAGGAGAAACTGAAAGTATATTGTGTTGTTTATGATGCTGTCATTGGTCAAACACAAAACTGGACAGGACAGTGCATTCAAATATGATTATTATACATAAATATTCCGCCTTCGGCCTTGAATGTCCCTCAAATGCCGAAACTACCATCTTACCTACTTAACGCATCTTTGATCATGATTTAAATTCTAGCTCGGACACCACAAGGGTTGACAGGTGACTTAATGGTCAAAGCTTTCGTTCGTCACGCTGGAGACCTGGATGGTGACACATGTTGCAGCCCATTCTCACGACAGGATGTCCAAGTCATTAAAGCAGTGTATACCCGATTCACTCGCCCACTACAGAACCCGTGAAGATCCGGGTTAGAATTGATCTTCAGCAACCCATGCTTGCCGTAAAAGGCGACTATGGTTGTCGTAAGAGGCGACTAACGGGATTGGTCAGACTCGCCGACTTTCTTGATGCATGTCATCGTATCCCAATTGCGTAGATTGATGCTCAGGATGTCAATCACTAGATTGTCAGGTCCAGACTCGACCATTTTCAGATCGCCGTCATATAGCTGGAATATTGCTGAGTGCGGCGTTAAACAACAAACAAACAAACGAACAAACAAACAGTTCGTTCTGCCAACAGTGAGTGAGGGGATGGTATGCCAAGGCGGCCTGAGTGGAGTCTGGGCAGACAAACCAGTGGTTGACAGTGTGATCAACATTCCCCACAGGGTTGCCGTTTCACACAACCAGCAAGGTCACACATCGTAGCTGATGCCCGATCGCGACTAGACTCTACAACAAGCGTGCGATACAAGCAACACATTTCCCCTGAATCCCCACCGAAGTGATCTCGGGAAAATATAAAACTCTAATATGAATAAAGTGCAAGTGATTCCCTGGCATTTGATTGGCTAACCAAGCAATAGATTTTGCGTTCATGGTTCGATTAACCGACCAATCATTACCCCTACTGACGGACTAGTATTTCCTGATTGGCTGACAGTGCAGTGGTCGGGGCTAATGTTGCATTATTGCGGAACGATGGCACCGATTTCGTACTGTTGTCTGCAGTTTTTATGTGTTAATAATTAGATAACCAGCCTGTGAAGTTAGTGTTGTTGACGTATTTATTTACAAGAACTGACTTCAACAGAACTAACCTGAGATTACCGTAATACCTTATAAAAGAGATTCACACCCAACTGGCGTCTGTATTCTGGGCTCGCCGAGAGCGGCTGCTGCTGTGAGGGGTGTAGTTCAGCGTGGAGGTACGTCAGGATGCCTGGACAGACACAGATAGTGGTGGACGATATCGGTGTTTTATACACTTTGTAAGATTGCCCATTGATTAGCTTTAGAAGTAATCAATGTATTGAGTAAAACCTATTCACCTGTACGTTTTGTAAGTGTAATGTTCAGATAGGATGGTGTAGCGGGTAATACATTGCAACTAAACCGTGGCATTTGATTGGGTAACCAAGGAATCTGTTCGCATTTATGTTTTCATGAACCGGAAAATACTTTGGGCACGTGACCCGTGAAGATTCGGGGTAGAATAGGTGTTCAGCAACCCATGCTTGCCATAAAAGGCGACTATGCTTGTCGTAAAAGGCGACTAACGGGATCGGGTGGTCAGGCTCGCTGACTTGGTTGATGCATGTCATCGATCCCAATTGCGTGGATCGATGATCACTGGATTATCTGGTCCAGACTCGATTATTTACAGACCGCCGTCAAATAGCTGGAATATTGGTGAGTGCGGCGTTAAACAACAAACCAACCAACTACGGGCACGTCATACAAACATACCACAGGTTTTTTTCTGATTGACGAATTTGAGATGCAGTTGACGACACCCGAATGTAGGATTCAGTTAACAATACCCGAATGTAAAATGCAGTTAACGACACCCAAATGTAAGATGAAGTTAACGATACCCGAATTTTAAATGCAGTTAACGATACATACAAACGAACTACAGGTGACATGTTGCTAGCACGGGTTTCTAGGTTTGTTAGCACCATATCCGTGCTCGTGTGTTTCATCGAAGTGTTAAACGTCTGAGACCTGCATCACTTCGGGCATTCCTCCCACATTAAGCTGACACGCCGCGATATAACGGTGATACTGTTAATAGCGCCGTTTAACCCAACTCACTCACTCACTACAAAAACGACGTAACAGAAAGACATTTACCCACCACCTACCTTTCAACAGCGGTGTGTCACACAAGCATCTACTCTCCTACCTTGCAGCAACGGGGTGATGGGCAGACAATTGCCCACCTACATTGCAACGAGGATGTGCCCAACAGACATTTACACATACCTTGCAACAACGACGTCACTGACAGACACACCCACCTTGCAACTACGACGTGACTGACAGACACACCCACCTTCAAACAACGACGTGACTGACTGACACACCCACCTTGCAACAACGACGTGACTGACAGACACACCAATCTTGCAACAACGACGTGACTGACAGACACACCCACCTTGCAAAAACGACGTGACTGACAGACACACCCTACTTGCAACAACAACGTGACTGACAGACACACCTACCTTGCAACAACTACGTGACTGACAGACACACCCACCTTGCAACAACGACGTGACTGACAGACACACCCACCTTGCAACAACGACGTGACTGACAGACACATCCACCTTGCAACAACGACGTGACTGGCAGACACACCTACCTTGCAACAACGACGTGACTGACAGACACACCAATCTTGCAACAACGACGTGACTGACAGACACACCCACCTTGCAACAACGACGTGACTGACAGACACACCCACCTTGCAACAACGACGTTATTGACAGACACACCCATCTTGCAACAACGACGTGACTGACAGACACACCCACCTTGCAACAACGGCGTGACTGACAGACACACCCACCTTGCAACAACGGCGTGACTGGCAGACACACATACCTTGCAACAACGACGTGACTGACAGACACACCCATCTTGCAACAACGGCGTGACTGACAGACACACCCACCTTGCAACAACGGCGTGACTGGCAGACACACCCACCTTGCAACAACGACGTGACTGACAGACACACCCACCTTGCAACAACGACGTGACTGACAGACACACCCACCTTGCAACAACGACGTGACTGGCAGACACACCTACCTTGCAACAACGACGTGACTGACAGACACACCAATCTTGCAACAACGACGTGACTGACAGACACACCCACCTTGCAACAACGACGTGACTGACAGACACACCCACCTTGCAACAACGACGTGACTGACAGACACACCCACCTTGCAACAACGGCGTGACTGACAGACACACCCACCTTGCAACAACGACGTGACTGACAGACACACCCACCTTGCAATAACGACCTGTCCGTCAGACATTTGCCCATCAACAGATCTTCAGTTTTACTGGCATGAATCTGCAGGAACAGAAGGTGTGTGTAAATCTACCTCAGTCATCAGTCACAGTATCTGCATAATGTGTACATTTGTGAATTGGAAGCAACTGCAATTACTAGTACGAAGTTTTAATGAAATATGTTGTAACTTAAGTAATTTAGAAGGTTATATTATTTATTTATACAAATTGTGGCTTTCCTATCATTCTGTACAAATTCAGCTGAATCAAGTACAGTATAGAATGGTATCAATTATCTCACCGTGTCTGGACTTATACCACCAAAGACCAAAGACGGCCGGCATACGACCTGGCTGTGCACGTCCAGGGTCAAACAGAATGCAGCATTCACATAGGCGTGGGCGTTCTGATACAAACAGTTCAAACAAGAGAATCAAGCAAGGTTTACGACAAGGCTTTGTCTCAAGCATTCTGTAAACTAGGGATGTAACAATTAATCGCATTTTTATTGTATCGCTATTTTCATGGCCCGATGGCAGGACATCGATGGCAAATTAACAAATCAACAGTGCAGATCGATATTAGACAGTGCAGATCGATATTAGACAGTGCGGAGGTGTCGCCTTTAACTGCCGAGCATCTGCTGAATTGGGGATTTTCGGGCGCTTCGGCTTTCTCATGTCAAATATTTTAAAGACAAGTTTATATTTGAAACGGTAGAGGTACTCATTAAACAGTTGCGGGACTTTTGCCATACTTGTACCTGCATTGTTATACTTGTATCATTACAATAGTTGTACCTACGTTGTAATACTTGCATCATTACAATAGTTGTACCTACGTTGAAATAGCTGTACCAGCATTTCAATAGTTGTACCTACAATGCATTGCCACAATTGTACCTATATTGCAATATCAGTACCTACGTTGTAATACTTGTATCCACATTACAATAGTAGAACCAACATTGTGATACTTGTATCCACATTACAATAGTCGCACCTACATTGCAATAGTAGTACCAACAATGCAATACTTACATCCATATTACAATAGTCGCACCTACATTGCAATATCAGTACCTACGTTGTAATACTTGTATCCGTATTACAATAGTAGTACCTACATTGTGTAATTTGTATCCACATTACAATAGTCGCACTTACATTGCAATAGTAGTACCAACATTGTAATACTTACATCCATATTACAATAGTTGTACCTACATTGCAATAGCTGTACCTTTAGTGCAGAATATGTATCTATATCACAATATATGTACTTACATTGCAATAGACGTATCTACATTGTAATAGTGTCCCAAAAAACGTTTTTTAACTATCGCAACATTACTAATCCAGCTATACCGAAGAGAAGGGCACATTTATACCATATTCCTCATATTAATAACAGCTTATATCGAACTTTATTACCTCAATATATCTAAGACTATAAACTCAATACATCTAAGACTATAAACTCAATACATCTAAGACTATAAACTCAATACATCTAAGACTTTAAACTCAATACATCTTAGACTATAAACTAATTACATCTAAGACTATAAACTCAATACATCTAAGACTTTAAACTCAATACATCTAAGACTATAAACTCAATACATCTAAAACTATAAACTCAATACATCTAAGACTATAAACTCAATACATCTAAGACTATAAACTCAATACATCTAAGACTATAAACTCAATACATCTAAGACTTTAAACTCAATACATCTAAGACTATAAACTCAATACATCTAAGACTATAAACTCAATACATATCAGACTATAAACTCAATACATCTAAGACTATAAACTCAATACATCTAAGACTATAAACTCAAGATATCGGACATAATTACTTTGATATTCCGAATTTTACACGCATGGTCCCCACCGAAACCTTCTCGGCATTCCGCTTGTCTCAACGTAAGGATAACATGTATTCGATAATCGCCGGGACTTTGATATAACGTGTATGTTTGTACATGGGTACTGTACCTGGAGTCTGGGGGATACCTTGAAAGACTGGACACGGGCCCTGGGGTCCAGCTGGAACAACTCAAGGCGCGTGATGGTCTTTCCTGCCATCTCAAGTTGCAGGAAGTCTTTGAGGCTGTGGTCACCTTCAGCCCCAGGGCCGTGATCTGGGATACATCAACGAACGTTTACAGGCATACATGTTTCATTCAGCTTTACAGTTTTGCGTCCTTTAGCTAGTGCTTTGCCAGGATCTATTGTGAATTAGTGAGGAGAAATATAGCATTACCTCCAGGTCCATCATGGCAGGGCACCAGAGATTGGGATACTCGCATTGTAACAATGTGAGGAACACGAATTGAACTTGGGTTTCCTATTAAGCTAAACAAATCACTTTTCGTTAGACACCGTAGTACTATTTCCATAAAATAAATGGCAAGCTGTTTTAATGTCCATGTGGGAGGCTTCATCCCCACATCAACCAACCATAACATGAATGGGATGATTAATAAGTTATGCTCTGGAGTCCCTGAGTGTACATCTGTAAATTGGGCATTCTCATGATTGAAATGCAATGAGGGCAATCTAACCTACTTATAATGAGTAATGGATGGCGATTCACTCCGCACCTGCTTTCTCATGGCAGGCTGTAAATAAGCTGTACCAGGAACACACCGTGCTGGACATGGTGAGCAGCAAACCACTGCCACACAATGTAACTACTCGATCCTTATAGGATTCTGCAGACATGATCCATCCCAGAATCCCTTCCGCGGTGGGTAGGATCTATACATCTATCACTGCATTTGATCAAATCGGAAAACAAAACAAAATAACCGGGCTTATTGCTGGTGGTGTAACGTGTGATCCACGGCAAAAATGAAATCATCATAATTTGAATAAGGATTGGCAGACAGCTCTTTCTTCTATTGTGGAAGGAGATGGAAATCTGGTAAGGATGTTCAATTATTTTTCAAGCCATAGTCATGTATGGCCGCCATGGTGACAACAGACTTCTGCACAGGCGTATTGTCCTGGTATAACAACACAGCTTTTCCGAGTTTTCCCACGAGGTTTCAGAATTGATATGCCGAACCAGAATACTATAATGATCTGAACTTTCGGGAGGTAGTCCACCAATAGGATTCCTTTGAAATCTTCGAAAACCGATGAAATCACTTTGCCAGCTGATGAATCATACTTTGCCCTCTTCCGAGGAGGAGTTGTTGTATATTTACACTGCTTAGACTGTTGGTTGGTCTCTGGCTGGTAGTGACGAATCAGACTTTGCCTTCTTTCGAGGAAGAGTTGTTGTACATTTACACTGCCTAGACTGTTGGTTAGTCTCTGGCTGGTAGTGATGAATCCAAGACTCATCCATGGTTTCGTATCGTTCAACGAAACCAGTTAGGTCTGCTTCAAAGCAACTGTATTTTCCCATGACAGATAATGAACATTGATCGTTTCTGATCAGAAGTCAGAAACTTTGGAAACCAGCGGGATGAAGCCGTTGTCAGTTCATTCCTCAGAAAGTTCCTACATCTATCTTGTGTCGTTTGGTGAGTATACTATAATGAATAATAATAACATGTATTTTATCTACAGTTTTCTCAGTGATGACAGTTGAAGGTGCCCCTGATCTTTGGTCTTCTTCGAGGGTCTCTCTTCCCCTCTACTACTCCGCTGCCCGACTCTTAACAGTGACTGAGAAGGATCATCATCCCCTAAAGTGTACACCATGTCCGACTGGATGACTGTTGGAGTTAGGTCTGTCAGTTGGAGATACTTGATGACAACACGATAGCCAATTGTGTCCCTTTCCCCAACATGAAATACATGTACCTTGTCACATTGATGCCTGCAGAAATATACTGCCTGGATGTATTTGTGGTTCATTGATCCTCTAAGCAGTGAAAGTATTGTATTTAGTACATGCAGCTTGTTGAGGATGTACTATACATCACTCGTAGTTAGGCTCAGAACGTTTAAAGAAACCCTCGCATGTTTCATGAGAACTCACCCAGGATGTGCACACGGGCCGACACAGCCTCGAGCAGAGTGAAGACATCGGACGGGAACTCAGGGTGGCAGTGCTTGACCATCAGGTTTCCGGCCCACGTGCCCGCCTAGAGGACCACACGTTACAGTGTTTGTCGTTGTAGAATATACTAAGATTATATGGATAAACACCCGTTACTATTCTTACTATCCAATGTTTCTATATGCACTGCCGGTATTAGCAGTCTATCGATAGCGTTGACATTCGGCTACATTTCGTTGTGTAATATATTAATCTATTTGCAGCGCATCCTCTTTTTGTCTGCTTGTTTCAATGACTATCATTTTTGTCCGGTAGCAACTCTAAATTGGTAAGGCTTTTCTTCTGGTATGCTATAATCAGAGGTATTCTGACACAAATGTATGTGTACAACTATACAATTAACTGTCAGTCAGAATATAAACGCAACTACTGGGATGGGTATTGTTATCATAGTTGTTGTTTTCAATAAAATATCAACATCATTAAAAACGTGGCGAAAGGAACAAATAGGTCCCGCCTATCTGGTTTCCCGAAAAAATGTCGTCGGCTAATATTCGGCTTACATTCCTGACCAAGACATTGCCGACTTTCCGGAGATGTGCGGCTACAGCCGTGAAATAGGAGTAGCCCGGCCCGGACGCCATGTCCGCCAACGTCTTAATCAGCGCACTGAGAGTCACATTGGAGCCGATCGTCACACTGGACCTCTGAGTCTAGCAAACAAATGTACATCATATAAGTTATATATATATAGACTTGTTACTTGATTCAACACAACCATGTAGTGCCTTTACATACGTAGTTTCAATAGTAGTCAGTGATCCAGGCTGAAACGCCTTGTCTCCTTATTGCGGACGTTTTTTTGACCTGCATCCGTTTATGCGTAAGCAGTTTCAACCTGACAGAATATCCAACTTGGTGAATTACTTGTACAAGGGCTGCATGGGTACCGGTTTTAGTACATCATTAACATGGAAACACGTCGTCCTATAAAAAAACATTGTAGCTATTATTTTTAACTGTGAGTGAGTGAGTGGGTGAATGGGTGAGTGGGTAAATGTGTGAGTGTGTGAGTGAGTGAGTGAGTGAGTGAGTGAGTGAGGTTTTATGCCGCTTTTAGCAATATTCCACGGCCGGGAACATCAGAAATGGGCTTCAAACATTGTAATCGAACATGGGTCTTCGGCGTGACGAGCGAACACTTTAACCACAAGGCTACCCGACCGCCCCGAGGGGTATACTACGTATTATTAGGAACAGTGATTAACCTCAGTTTTGTAAAACTCTTGAATGTTCTGTAGATCCACGTATGTGTCAAAAGGGCCATCGTGCTTGTAGATTCCTGCAATAGAAATGACAATAAGGTATATGCTACACTGTACCAGCACACCCCCCCCCCCCACACCAACCCCACCCACCCACCCCACCCCCCCCACCCCCCCCCACCCCACCCGCACAAATATGACTTGAGATGCATCCGTTACTTGACCTGATTGGTCTCGCATGTCTATTCCATGTACTAATCCTTGCAGGATTCCATTGCATTGAACGTATATTCAATAAGGTGGCGATGATGCAAAACAGGACGACACAGAAGGATGTAGAGTGAAACCTCTATAACTCGATAACACGAAACCATGGGGCACAAATGATCGGGCTATCCGAGGTTCGACATATACGGATCGCCGATATAACATGATGATAAAAAGTTTTCAACGACACGTCGAGTTGCAGCGGTTTCATTGCACTAAGTAGACTTCTACAACAGGACGTGTGACAGTAAACTACCCAGGTACGACCACACGCTAATACCGCCGGTCATTAGATGCGGTTTCGTCTTCCCAGATCCTTGAACTCCATGGGCCTGAGCAACCAATGGTCAGACATGTTGCCTACCTGTCATGGCTGCCATGGTGCGGGAACGCTTAGGGGGAGATGGTGGCCCAGTGGTCTAAGACGCCGCAGGTCGACTAACATACGTTAGCAGAGCCAGAAACCGCTGAATGTGGCTGGTTCGAATCCCATTTTTACAGGAGACTTGGGTTCTCGGCGCTATATCCGATCTCGATGCTTTCACAACATGGTAAAGGTGCTTTGTTCTTCAGCATTACGTTGTGGTATAACAGAAATGACGTGGCGTTAACACCGACTCACTCACTTATGCGTTATGACAGTCTACACGGTTGTTAAGGCGATGACCTACCCGAGGCAGTGTTGCCGGCGAGCTGACGGACTGCGAGAGACGTGGAGGTGTTGGTCAGCACAAGGGTCAGCTGGCGGATGGACCTGGGTTTGTACCACTCAGTGTCGCCCCTGACTACATGGAACACGTCCAGGCCGTCACCCACGTTGCTGGTTTGTTTTGAACCGCCATTGCAGGAACCGTTGCTCACACATCCCAAACAGGACTTGCCCGTGCGGTCACAACGTGACTCCGAAAGATCCTTACACGGCGAAAGATGGGGAACAAATAAAGGTATTGAATGTTGAAAGTGTAGGCCGATTCTGAAACTGCATACTGGGTAGAAAGTAGGCTAAGACACTGAGTGATTGTAGTTTCAGACAATATATCTTTTCAGATAGCTATTGAAGAACCATTGTATAGAATACTCTGTATGAACCACTTTATTATAAAGTTTATAAAGTCTAATACTGCTACTGTGTGATATATTCAATCATTTATCCCACAGATGCTTGGGAAAATCAAAGTATTCACTGATCCTATTGTAAAATAGGCGACAAAGCATATTTCAAACTTTCCAAGGTTGAACTATTTATGCTAACCTTCCATCTGAGGACTGTGAATATACAATGAAGTTATTTATCGCGAGAGGTATATCCGTGAGAGGGAAAGTGAGGGTGTTTGAACGTGGGACAGACTGTTAGCCTATTATTAAAGCAGTTCGCAGCCAGATTTCTTCCACACACACAATGTCTCATGACGACGTTTAGTGTAAGCATTGGACACCTACCTCTATATCAAAACCCAGCCCGGCGCTAGCGGTCCCGGCAAAGGTCCTCATGGCGTCAAGGATTGGTCGGTATCCTGTGCATCGGCAAATGTTGCCGTCGAAATTGTCATCGATGTCCTGCTTTGTCAGTGCTGGTTTCTGATGCACTAACCTGGATGTTATGGACAAATAATATGATCATCAATAACATTCTATATCATAGCCAGAGATAATCAGGACTAAAACTGTTGTAACTGGATCTGAAGGGAATATTGAAATCACAAGGCCTTTCGGGGAAAAAGGGTTTGCAGCCAGACATACCCATACATGTGCATGACCATCCCCGGAGTACAGGAGCCACACTTACCCAAACATGTTCATGACCATCCCTGGAGTACAGTAGCCACACTTACCCATACATGTTCATGACCATCCCTGGAGTACAGTATCCACACTTACCCATACATGTTCATGACCATCCCTGGAGTACAGTAGCCATACTTACCCATACATGTTCATGACCATCCCTGGAGTACAGTATCCACACTTACCCATACATGTTCATGACCATCCCTGGAGTACAGTAGCCACACTTACCCATACATGTTCATGACCATCCCTGGAGTACAGTATCCACACTTACCCATACATGTTCATGACCATCCCTGGAGTACAGTAGCCATACTTACCCATACATGTTCATGACCATCCCTGGAGTACAGTATCCACACTTACCCAAACATGTTCATGACCATCCCTGGAGTACAGGAGCAACACTTACCCAAACATGTTCATGACCATCCCTGGAGTACAGTAGCCACACTTACCCATACATGTTCATGACCATCCCCGGAGTACAGGAGCCACACTTACCCAAACATGTTCATGACCATCCCTGGAGTACAGTAGCCACACTTACCCATACATGTTCATGACCATCCCTGGAGTACAGTATCCATACTTACCCATACATGTTCATGACCATCCCTGGAGTACAGTAGCGACACTTAACCATATATGTTCATGACCATCCCTGGAGTACAGTAGCAACACTTACCCAAACATGTTCATGACCATCCCTGGAGTACAGTATCCACACTTACCCATACATGTTCATGACCATCCCTGGAGTACAGGAGCCACACTTACCCATACATGTTCATGACAATCCCTGGAGTACAGGAACCACACTTAACCATACATGTTCATGACCATCCCTGGAGTACAGTAGCCACACTTACCAATAAATGTTCGGAGCCACACTTACCCATACATGTTCATGACCATCCCTGGAGTACAGTAGCCACACTTACCCATACATGTTCGGAGCCACACTTACCCATACATGTTCATGACCATCCCTGGAGTACAGTAGCCACACTTACCAATAAATGTTCGGAGCCACACTTACCCACACATGTTCATGACCATCCCTGGAGTACAGTAGCCACACTTACCCATACATGTTTGGAGCCACACTTACCCATACATGTTCATGACCATCCCTGGAGTACAGGAGCCACACTTACCCATACATGTTCATGACCATCCCTGGAGTACAGGAGCCACACTTACCCATACATGTTCATGACCATCCCTGGAGTACAGTATCCACACTTACCCATACATGTTCATGACCATCCCTGGAGTACAGTAGCCATACTTACCCATACATGTTCATGACCATCCCTGGAGTACAGTATCCACACTTACCCAAACATGTTCATGACCATCCCTGGAGTACAGGAGCAACACTTACCCAAACATGTTCATGACCATCCCTGGAGTACAGTAGCCACACTTACCCATACATGTTCATGACCATCCCCGGAGTACAGGAGCCACACTTACCCAAACATGTTCATGACCATCCCTGGAGTACAGTAGCCACACTTACCCATACATGTTCATGACCATCCCTGGAGTACAGTATCCACACTTACCCATACATGTTCATGACCATCCCTGGAGTACAGTAGCGACACTTAACCATATATGTTCATGACCATCCCTGGAGTACAGTAGCAACACTTACCCAAACATGTTCATGACCATCCCTGGAGTACAGTATCCACACTTACCCAAACATGTTCATGACCATCCCTGGAGTACAGTATCCACACTTACCCATACATGTTCATGACAATCCCTGGAGTACAGGAGCCACACTTAACCATACATGTTCATGACCATCCCTTGAGTACAGTAGCCACACTTACCAATAAATGTTCGGAGCCACACTTACCCATACATGTTCATGACCATCCCTGGAGTACAGTAGCCACACTTACCCATACATGTTCGGAGCCACACTTACCCATACATGTTCATGACCATCCCTGGAGTACAGTAGCCACACTTACCAATAAATGTTCGGAGCCACACTTACCCACACATGTTCATGACCATCCCTGGAGTACAGTAGCCACACTTAAGCATACATGTTCATGACCATCCCTGGAGTACAGGAGCCACACTTACCCATACATGTTCATGACCATCCCTGGAGTACAGGAGTCACACTTACCCATACATGTTCATGACCATCCCTGGAGTACAGTAGCCACACTTAACCATACATGTTCATGACCATCCCTGGAGTACAGTATCCACACTTACCCTGCATGTTCATGACCATCCCTGGAGTACAGTAGCCACACTTAACCATACATGTTCATGACCATCCCTGGAGTACAGTAGCCACACTTACCCATACATGTTCGGGGCCACACTTACCCATACATGTTCATGACCATCCCTGGAGTACAGTAGCCACACTTACCAATAAATGTTCGAAGCCACACTTACCCACACATGTTCATGACCATCCCTGGAGTACAGTAGCCACACTTAACCATACATGTTCATGACCATCCCTGGAGTACAGTAGCAACACTTACCCATACATGTTCATGGCCATCCCTGGAGTACAGGAGCCACACTTACCCATACATGTTCATGACCACCCCTGGAGTACAGGAGCCACACTTACCTATACATGTTCATGACCATCCCTGGAGTACAGGAGCCACACTTACACATACGTGTTCATGGCATTCCCTGGAGTACAAGAGCCACACTTACCTATACATGTTCATGACCACCCCTTGAGTACAGGAGGCACACTTACCCATACATGTTCATGACCATCCCTGGAGTACAGTAGCCACACTTACCCATACATGTTTGGAGCCACACTTACCCATACATGTTCATGACCATCCCTGGAGTACAGGAGCCACACTTACCCATACATGTTCATGACCATCCCTGGAGTACAGTAGCCACACTTACCCATACATGTTTGGAGCCACACTTACCCATACATGTTCATGACCATCCCTGGAGTACAGGAGCCACACTTACCCATACATGTTCATGACCATCCCTGGAGTACAGGAGCCACACTTACCCATACATGTTCATGACCATCCCTGGAGTACAGTAGCCACACTTACCCATACATGTTCATGACCATCCCTGGAGTACAGTAGCCACACTGAGTGCCGTTGAACTCTGCGATTCTCTTTTGTATTGGGTGGAATCCATCCCTGGAGTTCCCGAGTCCCTCGGTCGTGGTGATGCTCCAGCCGTCCACACTGTACAGGGGACACAGGCACTGGGGGTACATATTGATAATGCATCAGTGACACACTGAGACAGCTTAGAAAGACATTGGGACAGCACAGCGACACATTGAGACAGCTCAGTGGGGCATTGGGACACCTCATTGGGACATTGGGACAGCACAGTGAGACATGGAGACATCTCAATGAGACATTGGGACAGCACAGCGAGACATTGGGACATCTCAGTGAGACATTGGGACAGCACAGCGAGACATTGAGACATCTCAGTGAGGCACTGAGACAGCTCGGTAGGGCATTAGGACACCTCATTGGGACAATGGGACAGCTCAGTGAGACATTTGGACAGCTCAGTGAGACATTTTGACAACTCAGTGGGACATTGGGACAACTCAGTGAGACATTGGGACAGCTCAGTGAGACATTTGGACAACTCAGTGGGACATTGGGACAACTCAGTGAGACATTGGGACAGCTCAGTGAGACATTGGGATAACTCAGTGAGACATTGGGAGAACTCAGTGGGACATTGGGACAACTCAGTGGGACATTGGGGCAACTCAGTGGGACATTGAGACAGCTCAGTGGGACCTTGAGACAGCTCAATGAGACATTGAGACAGCTCAGTGAGACATTGAGACAGCTCAGTGAGACATTGGGACAACTCAGTGAGACATTGGGACAACTCAGTGAGACATTGAGACAGCTAAGTAAGACATTGGGACAACACAGTGATACATTGAGACAACTTAGTGGGACATTGGGACAACTCAGTGGGACATTGGGACAACTCAGTGAGACATTAGGACAGCTCAGTGAGACATTGGGACAACTCAGTGGGACATTGGGACAACTTAGTGGGACATTGGGACAACTCAGTGGGACATTGGGACAACTCAGTGAGACATTAAGACAGCTTTGTGAGACATTGGGGCAGCTCAGTGAGACATTGGGACAACTCAGTGAGACATTAAGACAGCTTTGTGAGACATTGGGGCAGCTCAGTGAGACATTGGGACAACTCAGTGGGACATTGGGACAACTCAGTGGGACATTGGGACAGCTTTGTGAGACATTGGGACAACTCAGTGGGACATTGGGAGAACTCAGTGAGACATTGAGACAACTCAGTGGGACATTGGGACAACTCAGTGGGACATTATGACAACTCAGTGAGACATTAAGACAGCTTTGTGAGACATTGGGGCAGCTCAGTGAGACATTGGGACAACTCAGTGGGACATTGGGACAGCTCAGTGAGACATTGGGACAACTCAGTGGGACATTATGACAACTCAGTGAGACATTAAGACAGCTTTGTGAGACATTGGGGCAGCTCAGTGAGACATTGGGACAACTCAGTGGGACATTGGGACAGCTCAGTGAGACATTGGGACAGCTCAGTGGGACATTGGGACAGCTCAGTAAGACATTGAGACAACTCAGTGGGACATTGGGACAACTCAGTGGGACATTGGGACAACTCAGTGGGACATTGGGACAACTCAGTGAGACATTAAGACAGCTTTGTGAGACATTGGGACAACTCAGTGGGACATTGGGAGAACTCAGTGAGACATTGAGACAACTCAGTGGGACATTGGGACAACTCAGTGAGACATTGGGACAACTCATTGAGACATTGGGACAACTCAATGGGACATTGGGAGAACTCAGTGAGACTTGGGACAGCTTAGTGGAAAATTTATGAAACTGATTCCCACTTATTACTCTTACAGATATCTCTAAATTCCTCAGATCACATCAACAGTACATTGATATACGAATCATACTTGATCCATGATATTCTGCATGCCCAACTAGTTTCTATATCTGAGATAAATATTTATAACAATGTATTACCGAGTATTGGAAAAAAGCACATTTCCCTCTTTAACTGTGGCCACTTCATACGAGTCGCGGGGCGGTCGGGTAGCCTAGTGGTTGAAGCGTTAGCTCGTCACGCCGAAGACCCGGGTTCGATTCCCGACATGGGTACAATGTGTGAAGCCCATTTCTGGTGTACCCCGCCGTGATATTGCTGGAATATTGCTAAAAGCGGCGTAAAACCTCACTCACTCACTCACTCACTCATACGAGTCGCGAGTACAGGCCGAGCAACTTACTTGAGACTGTCTACTGTCATGCATTACTAGTGCCCTGATATATTTAAAAAGTGGCATATTCAATATGTATGGAAGCATATTAGTACAACAATCTTACAAAATATCATCTGCGATGATAATACTTGCCTCCATGTAGATGATACTTGCCTCCATGTATATATCTTACGTATCGCGACTCAGACAGTGATATTGTCTTGTGAAGTTGCAACCCTAGTTGGATACTAGTTTATACAAACATAATTAAAAAAAGGCGATTACTTAATTACTGTTAATTTAATTAAATGTTTGGGAGCATTTTGGTCGTTTATTTCCATTTGGCCTTTTCAGGGTTTACACAACAAACTGAAATAATTTGAAATTGTCAAATTGTCAGCGGTAAAATAAAAACACAAACTGCAGAATTCTACCTTCCGTGCTTCATAGGATGATGATGAGTATTGGTTTGAAATAGATGTTATAGTTTGAGTGATTCTCACCCCTCCATATTCACATTTCATCTCTTAAACCTAATTTGCATAATGGAGAATCAACATATTTCAGAGTGATTTCTCCGACTTAAACCATGTTATGATTGATATATAAATTTACTAAAATTTTGGATGAGACCTATATTTGTTGTTTGTAATCTGGAGAACATGCCGTGCTCTCTTCTCATTTTCACGGTTGTGAGAGAGTGTGGCATGTGTCTAACTTCGTAACTTACACACATTCAAATGAATATTTACTTTTGTTATTGTTTATGTTGTTGTTTTGTTGTTTGTCTGTTGTTTAACACCGCACTCTATTGTTTATGTAATTATAATAGCATATACGCAGATGAAAGTTTCTTCTACGTAGATGTGAGTTCTTCTATGTAGATGTGAGTAGTATCGTCTACGTAGATGTGAGTTCTTTTATGTAGATGTGAGTAGTATCGTCTACGTAGATGTGAGTTCTTTTAGACCGTGGCACCAATACGCTTCCATACATATGCGTTTACGCAGAGGCGCTGGAGAAATAGTAGAAATAAACCCATAAACAAACAATTTGCTGTGAAGCTTGTCGCTGACAATTAACTAAACGACCTACAGAGTTGATAGAAAATGACGTGTCTTTCCCGGTGTTGGGGTCTGGTTTGGTGACAGTGACGGCACAGCAACCACACCCTCCCTCCTTACACATCACCTTGGTCCCCCTCAGACCCGCACCGTCACGGATGTAGTCGTTGAGGGATGTCGTCAAGTCATAGGCACTGCTCACTGTCAAGACAAAGTTGACACTTTACTGACTGAACAATCATGACTCTACTACAAGAGATCGGTCGTCTAAGGCGCCGCGATTCGCTGTGCAGAGTTGCGTCCCTTGGGCACACCAGAAAGCTATGATTGTGGGTTCGAATCCCGGTTCGCCCCGATTATGTTTCTAGGTTTGTCAGCACCATACCCCTGTTCGTGGGTTTCACCGAAGTGGTAAACGTCTGAGACCTGCATCACTTCGTGCTTTACTCCAAAATTAAGCTGACACACCGTGATATAACTGGAATAATGTTAAAAGTGGCGTTAAACCCAACTCAGTGACACTACAAGAAATCGGTACGTTTTTAGGCTTATCCTGTAGCATTCTACCGCAGAGAGCGAGTGGAGGAATTAGATTAAATGCCACTATGAATAGTATCTTTTGTTTATATCACCGCGTGTCAGCTTGATGTGGACAGAAAGTACGAAGTGATTAGGCCCTTGACTTCTGACCTCGAGAACGGGAATGGTGTTGACAAACAAAGAGTCATTATTGAGGTGAAGCTGGTATTCGAATCCACGATCAAAGGTTTCTGAAACATCTTATCCTGGCATCTCTGTACTTCTTTAGACGACAGTGAGTGGGTGAGTGAGTTTGATTTTACGCCGCTTTTAGCAATATTCCAGCAATATCACGGCGGGGGACACCAGAAATGAGCTTCACACATTGTACCCATGTCGGGAATCGAAGCCGGGTCTTCGGCGTGACGAGCGAACGCTTTAACCACTAGGCTACCCGACCGCCCCCTTTAGACGACAGGGTCGCCACCGCCAAGACTCAATCACACCATTAGCATGAGGCATCTTACACAAAATAGAAGCAATATTCCGAGAGTGATATTGTTTGGTAGGGTAGTTTGTTTTGCAGTTATTGCTTCTTTTTAACTGCGCACTCAGCAATGTTCCAGTTTTACAAACCAGTGATCGACATTATAAGCAACGTCCCACAACTGATAACTTGATCGACTTCTAAGTTGGGTATGCCACACCGGTATAATGTAGGCAGCCCATTTCTGGTGTCCCCGCCGTGATATTGCTGGAATAATGCTAAAAGCGGAGTGAAGCGATTCTCACTCACTAAGCTGGGCACGACCAATCACTAGATGCGGGTAATCATAATGGGGGCGGGGTGGTGGGAGGCGAATAGTCTGAAAGACGTATGTTTGTTTGAAAGACCTCTGTCCCTCACCTTGCATGTCTACACACCTCTCGATAATGAAGGGTTTTCAGTTCCCACTGAACAACGATGTACTTGCAAGCGACTTGCCCGAGGAACGGTCCCAATGGAAGTTTTGTTATGTAGAATAATTTTCACAATTTGTATTTTGGTTCATCTTTCCTTCAGAGGTATGAATAATATAGATACATAGGACCCTCTTTCATCTGTAGTGCAAGAATTACCATCCCAGCTGAGATAATAACAAAGTGAAATATTGTCATACCTCTATATATCTTGTCATTTAAGGTGAAGCTGATTCCGTCCCTGGAAGCAGTGCTGAAACATAGGAGTGAGTGAGTGAGTGAGTATGGTTTTACGCCGCTTTTAGCAATATTCCAGCAATATCACGGCGGGGGACACCAGAAATGGGCTTCACACATTGTCCCCATGTCGGGATTCGAACCCGGGTCTTCGGCGTGACGAGCGAACGCTTTAACCACTAGGCTACCCGACCTAGTGCATTCTCATGCATTTGGTAGCTAACTGAAACGTGAACGTTGTTACTGTATGGGGGCACGGGTGGCCCAGTCGTCTGAGGCGCCGCGATTCGCTGTGCAGAGTAGCGTCCCTTGGGCATGCCAGAAAGCTATGATTGTGGGTTCGAATCCCTGTTCGCCCCAATTATGTTTCTAGGTTTGTCAGCACCATACCCGTGCTCGAGGGTTTCACCGAAGTGGTAAACGTCTGAGACCTGCATCATTTCGGGCTTTCATCCCACATTAAGCTGACACGCCGCGATATAACTGTAATACTGTTAAAAGCGGTGGTACACCCACCTCGCTCACTCACTCTAACTGTACGGTATGATAGCTAGACATATCTAACTTAGTCATGCAAGCAGTCGTTACATTATCATATTTGACGTCTTTACGGTCTTTATCACTGCAATATGTTCGCTCATCATCTTCGCAATAAAAAGCCTAAAGGAAAAATGTAAACCGGTGATTTCAGTTTCATTCATGACGGCTGACGCCACAGCACGTGTATTAAGGCGATGGCAATTTATGAAAACATAGCGCGGAAGTTGCTTTCAGATTAACCAGTCCATGACAGTTTCACTAAAATTTAAAAAAGACGAGTCAGATTGAAATGTTGTAAGCAGTGGTGTGTACCAAGGGTCTCCATTCTCTCGTATTTTATTGTCATGGTCGACCATAACAGTTGTTCCGACACACTTATTAACCTTGTTTAGACGTTGATGTCACTCCTGTCTACATTGCGACAAGGCCTATAAGCTAGCTGCCAATGTCCCCATATTTGCTCCCATGTCAAACAGTTTGCTTACGTTAGCCTGACTTTGCATCGCTACATGACGTCCTTCCTTCTGCTCCGTGGATGAGTGGATATACGTAGATGCCCTAGCTACTACGTCGCTCATGATCAGAACAAAGCCCTGGTTGTGTTATTTACTTTCAACCACCAAGTTATGGGTCCATTAGGATACGTCTAGCATGTACATACCTATAACATGCTTTGCTCGCAGTGATGATATAACCTTATGATAGTTTAGCAGGACTCTGGCTGAGGAAGCGGATGACGGGTTGGGTAGGGGGTCGTTAACCTAATGTGTACATACAGTTTTAAAACCATTTTCGCAATGATGAAAATATTATACTTGTTTTGTGGGATAGGGGAGGCGGTGTCGTGCTTGGTTTGGGTAGATATCTAAATGTATGTTTAAAATTACCATGGTTGATTTCGAGTTTTCTTAAGTACAATGATAAAAATCCTTAGGAAAATAGTTTGATATAATGCTTTAGCACGCAATTATATATATTTGATAAATTAATAATTTTATTCTTATATGTTATTTCCTATCTGAATCATACTGGTTGATTGTTCCATGCAATGATTAATATGACAACACACGCACATTCGACTAACTGGCCAAATGAGCAGATGTTCCTATTCAGGATGCAAACTTTTTGTCCAGTTGACATGAACTGTGAAGATGTGTATGAGGAAAACCCTACCTTGTGAGGTGAAGTGTCTCGGGACCACTCATACTTGCATTTGGCTTAGCTGGGGTTCTCCTGATAGCATGCGGACTGTGTACAGCCAGTGCTCTGTGTAGTATGTCACACTGGCCTACCCTCACACTTTATGTAAATCAGCCACACAAGCGCGTCGCTTGACGGATGAGATTCGGTTCGCTGTGACAGCGTAACACATTGCACTGTGTGTAGGGGACGGGGGAGCCCTGTGTTACGGAATACACAGAGGTCACGTTTATTTATTACGTTGTGGATGTAACTAGGTTTGTCTGCTGCCGTGACATGGAGTCACCTGGTGAGTGAAGTCTGGATCAGTGCGGGTGACCTATAACTTTTATCATGCCTCCATGTCAGAATGATGAGGTCGAATTCGTTCAATTCATCTCGATAAAATTCATTGTATCACGCCTTGAAGGGAAATAAATTTCTCAGCGGGTGAATAAGTCCCTTATACCCTGCTACGCTGCTCGTGGATTTCTAATTGGCGGAATAAATCCCTCATACCCCGCTTTTTCCGAGTCAATGAAAGTCACGTGACATAGCACAAGTTACCCTCAGCTCAATCGAACAGCTCTTTTCTATAATTTTGAATTTGTTTAAATTCTTTTACAATTTCATATTAAAATATGTCGGTAAGATAAACTCGTTTTAGCAGAATCAATTAGTGTACATGTGGTTTATGCGTTCCTCCGGCTCGTGGTATGAAACCTTACTCATGACGACCCATAAAGCCCATGTCCACTGGGTGATCCTGCTACAACTTATAATACCCCGGTGGTTATGTAAAAGTATGCGTTCTTCATCCTACTTTGTTCGTAGATATTTAACCAGAAACGACCATTATCTGGCAAATTTGGTAAATATTGTGCTCCCTCTTTTAAGCGTTGCTATGCAGCGACACCGGCATCCGTGTGTGTATACTTCAGAGATGCAGCAACAAACATGAATTCGTAAAGGAATGTTACAGCGTCAGCAGACAGCACCATCGTCCGAGTGCTATAACTTCTGTCTCAGCTCTGGTGGTGATGTCAATGGGGTTGTCCTGCCGGTGATGACCACGGGAGCTCCATCATGGACATCTGGGACTGCCTCGTGGGTATCTGCATCCTCCTTGTTGCAGTGGCATCAGGTTTTGTTCAAAAAACTTTGTTCGTATCTGCAAATGTGATAACGAATCCAAACATATTCAACACTCATCAGATTGCTTTTGATTGGTACTAGGCTGTTTACTACGGTGGCCCTTAAGGGACATGGAGTCTGTTTTTCAATATTTTGATGTTTAACTTACTTTTATCTTAACCTTTTGCAAATTAACACAATCTGCCATACAAATATGTGATAAATCATGTATAAAAACATCCGAAAACATAGAAAATGTACTTTTAAGTAGCTTTTGAGTCGCTGAAATGTGAAGTGAAAATGTCAAAAACTAAAATGAAAATGTCAAAAACACAAAACGAAAATGTCGAAAACTAAAATGAATACACAGAAAACTATTTCCAGCACGCCAGAAACCTATGATTGTGGGTTCGAATCTCGGTTCGCCCCAATCATGTTTCTAGGTTTGCTCGTGGGTTTCACCGAAGTGGTAAACGTCTTAGGCCTGCATCACTTCGGGCTTTCCTCCCACATTAAGCTGACACACGGTGATATAACTGGAATAATGTTAAAAGCGGCGTTAAACCCAACTCACTCACTCACTTACACATTTGGTATGTTTTATCTAAATTGACACCAATTTATCCATTTATATATTTATATGTGGTGGTGGGGGTGGCGTTGGGGGGGGGGGGGGGGGGGGGGAGGATATAAATTATCCCTGCAGTTGTCGGCGAATATGCATAATCCCTGCAGTTGTCGGGAAAATATGCATTATGCCTGCAGTGGTCGGGAGAATATGCATAAGAGGCGATTGACGGGATGGAGTGGTCAGGTATGCCGACTTGGTTGATGCATGTCATCATATTCCATTTGCGTGGATCGATGCTCATGGTGTCAATCACTTGATTGTCTGGTCCGGCCTCGATTATTTACAGATTATGTATTATAGCTGGAATATTGCGTTAAAACAACAAACAAACAAACAAACAAACAAACAAACAAACAAACACACACACACAGGTATGTTAACTTATATGACAAATTGTCTTTATGCTACTGTTGTTGCATGTTTGACGAGCTGGAGGTAATTTTGATAGTGACTAACTGTTATACTACGCCTATAGATGACGTAACACCCCGAGAGCCTGTCCCATTATTAGCTGCCCCTTACAAAACCGTGTTCCACAGGTCGCACAAGTGTAAGCCCAGTGTCACGCTTCATTTCACACCATGCGCACTGAACTCGTCTGACCTGGAACCTTCTCAAACAACCGGTCGGGGCTTCTTGCAGCATGCCCCGAACAAGCACTACCTCCTTAGTCGTGTTCTGTGTGTAGCAACATTCAACCGAAGGGAGGCAACTGCGTTGAAGCGATATTTCGGAGAAGATCTGTTGACCCTTCCAGGCTATTCAGTGACGTTGTTTGTGATCGCGAGGAGTACAAGATGTTTCGTCCAGGTAAGTTGTGTCGTATCTTGTCACCGTAGTTCCTTATCGATTATCCGTTATTTATTGATTACCACACGTGTGAGTGTGTGTGTGTGTGTGGGTTGGGGGTGGGGGGGGGGGTATTTCTTTACGTACGCGCTGTGTTGGAGCTCGTCGCATGGGAGTCGGGTAGACTGGTGATACAGTGTTGTAGGATAAAGTTACCCTCTGGAGGGGTTGGGCCGGTCAACTTTGCCGGTAACTGTGTATAATGAAACCATGTTTATATTGTGGGCCATGCCGTCTCCTGGAATATGTAGTCCTGAAAACCGGATAGACCGGCCGTTATCGACGGGCCGTTATGTTCGGTGGTTGGGAACGTGAGTGGGTGGGGACGGTGTAGGGGTGGGGGTAGGGGTGGGGGTGGGGGTGGGGGTGGGGGTGGGTGATGGTGATGGTGAGGGTGGGGGGTGGAATTGAGTGGGTGGGTAAGTGAGTGAGTGACTAGGTAAGTAATTGAGTAAGTGGGTCAGTAATTGAGTGATTGTTTTTGTTGATGGTTGAGAGTGAGCGAGTGAGTTTTTGAGCAAGGTCATGTGGTCAAGGTAAGTGGTAAAAACTCGACACACGGCAGGCTCAGCTCGGTTTCCGACTTACAATACGTGAAGCCCATTTCTGGAATATTGCTATACCGGGGTAAACCCATACTTACTCACTGTGTTACTTTCAACACTAATGTAGCTGTATCCAGCCAGTTTGCAGTAGTCAACAAGCATGGGATGCTCTGAGCAACAGTCCACACTAGTGCCATGTTGTACTGTCGTCCAGACCTGTAGCAGCTTCACCAACACAATATCCTGATGTGTTTCAGATTTGCTGGTTCTCTTCATCTTACTTGGAAGTTGTTACGTAACAATTAAAGGTAAGTTGATCTTGATATTCGTGCATTGATTTAATGTTGTATATTTAATAGTCTAAAGCGTCCCATTTCTTTATTAAGGTTGCATCCCTTAGTCGCAAAAGAATTATTTGTTTTGTTTGTTTGTTGTTTAACGCCGCACTCAGCAATATTCCAGCTATATGACGGCGGTCTGTAAATAATCGTGTCTGGGCAAGACAATCCAGTGACTAACATCATGAGCATCGATCCACGCAATTTGGATACGATGACATGCATCAACCAAGTCAGCGAGCCTGACCACCCGATGCCGTTAGCTTCCTCTTACGACAAGCACAGTCGCCCTTTACGGCAAGCATGGGTTGCTGAAGACCTATTCCAACCCGGATCTTCACGGATACAAAAGAACACACTAGTCGCGGGTTCGGTTCCCATATTTGCCCTAAGTATGATCCGTGATCAGTTGGTTGGTTGGTCTGTTGTTTAACGCCGCATTCAGCACAGTCGCCTCTTACGACAAGCATGGGTTGCTGAAGACGGGTTCCGTGATCAATCATCCAAATTGTTCATGTAACCGTCTATGACCTGTTCCACTCCAGCATTTAGCCGTGACGTTAATGACATAATTGACATACTTTACAAAACAGCGTAAAACCCAACTCGCTCACTCACTGAAAACGTTTCAGGTCCAACTGTGAGAGAGTGAGTCAAGGTGATAAAAAACTATTTGACATCATGTAAATAAACGATACTGATTTATGTCATTCTCATCGTTCCACGTCGAGATAGAGGTCACACAATCCTTGCACGACTTAGGCGTGGTCCGATGGGGATGCCTTGTAGGCACCAATGACCTATATTGTGTGTCGCCGTGCCCCGACACTGTCTTTCGATGCTCAGTCTATCAACCACCGGTTTGCGTGGTCAAGGCGCGACTATAAACAGGTTGTTCGTACTACAACATTTACTCAGTTCCCTTCTCTGGGGGTGGAGTGAAGTGAGAGGGGCATTAACGGCGCCTTCAACATCACCGCACTTATATAGTGACGTGCATGTGTGTGTACACGAGCGTGCGTGTACTAGTCCGTCTTATACCGGTGCGAGCCAAATGAGATACCATGCGATACCAGTTTATCATGGATACCACACACATTATAATGACTCCGAGCCAACGAGTGTTTTTTCCCCCTTAATGCCGAACCCCAGGCAGGGTAGCAATAATTACCATCTTTAACGTCTTTTGGTATGTTGCGCTCAGGGGATCGGACCACCAACCTTCCGCTCTCTGGGCAGACTCTCACAACACGGCTGCCTGGTAGGATGAGAAGTGGGCGATGAATTATTTCAAGTCTTTTGATGTAGAACTTGTCTTCACACCGTGCAGGGCATATTGTAAGCTACACAGTGGATGAGAGTCACGCCGACCTTCCAGTTGTGACGTGGTGGGAGACGATTGGTGAATATTCTGATTACGTCATTTCCTGTGAGGCGGAGCAGAGATGTGTCGTGTCCAGAAACAAGACAGCACCGCCCCGGCAGCAAGTAAAGGTGAGTACCAGTGATGTTTGTTTGTTTGTTGATTATCGCCGCACTCAGCAGTTTTCGAGCTATATGACGGCGGTCTGTAAATAATCGAGTCTGGACCAGACAATTCAGTGACTGACATAATGATCATCGATCCACGCAATTTGGATACGATGACATGCATCAGCCAAGTCAGCGAACCTGACCACCCGATTCCGTTAGTCGCCTCTTACAACAAGCATAGTCGCCTTTTACAGCATGCATGGGTTGCTGAAGAGCTATTCTACCCCAGATCTTCACGGGTCGAGTACCAGTGAGAAGATATGGACGGTAAAGGTTTTGGGTAGTTCAGCTTAGTGCGGGACATACAAGAGTGAGTGAGTGAGTGAGTGAGTATGGTTTTACGCCGCTTTTAGGAATATTCCAGCAATATCACGGCGGGGGACACCAGAAATTGGCTTCACACATTGAACCCATGTCGGGAATCGAACCCGGGTCTTCGGCGTGACGAGCGAACACTTTAACCACTAGGCTACCCGACCGCCCGGACATACATGAGCCACGCATTTATTACACTTTACCTGCTAAAAGTGATTGTAGAAAACGGTTAACTATCAAATTTTAGTTAACTAGACTGTACAGTCGACCGATAATATCATGTATTGTTGTATTGTTTGTTGTTTCACGCCGCACTCAGCAATATTCCAGCTACATGACGGCGGTCTGTAAATAATCGAGTCTGGAACAGACAATCCAGTGACTGACATCATGAGCATCGATCCACGCAATTTGGATACGATGACATGCATCAGCCAAGTCAGCGACCCTGACCACCTGATCCCGTTAGTCGCCCCCTTACGACAAGCATGGGTTGTTGAAGACCTATTCTATCCCGGATCTTCACGGCAAGCATGGGTTGCTGAAGACCTATTCTACCCCGGATCTTCACGGCAAGCATGGGTTGCTGAAGACCTATTCTACCTCGGATCTTCACGGCAAGCATGGGTTGATGAAGACCTATTCTACCTCGGATCTTCACGGCAAGCATGGGTTGCTGAAGACCTATTCTACCCCGGATCTTCACGGCAAGCATGGGTTGCTGAAGACCTATTCTACCCCGGATCTTTACGGGTCGATAATATCAACTGTGTGTGGAAATGGTTTAGTTACAATTGAATACATCTGAATATACCCATTCACAATCTACGTACTCTGAGAGCAAGGTTTAAATGTTTCGGAATACAACCGAGGACAAAGTTCTCGGAATATTCTGTCGGGTGGCCAGTGCACACAGTCCCAGAATCAACTGACACTGTCTTTAGGGTCGTGATCTTTTACATCAGACCCTCCTGGAACATTAAGAGTGAGTGAGTATGGTTTTACGCCGCTCTTAGCAATATTCCAGCAATATCAGGGCGGGGACACCAGAAATGGGCTTCACACATTGTACCCATGTCGGGAATCAAACCCGGGGCTTCGGCGTGACGAGCGAACGCTTTAACCACTAGGCTACCCGACCGCCCCTGGAACATTAAGAGCAACACACACAGTAATGTCTTCATCCATGTCACCGGCACAACGCGCACCTCCCACTTGCCGTTTTAGGTGTATAGAATATGTGATTTTTGTCTTTTTTTTGTATTAAGTCCCAAATTCTATTTACAGATGTACTTATTTTACGGCTCACTTTTCCTGTCGAGTGGCCTCCCTTTGCCAAGGAAAGATGGCGACCTTTGGGCACTTGTTCACGAAGAGTCACCGAAGAACAATGAATGGCTGTTTTCGTTCGAGAGCACCATGGAGCTGTTCAACTACACTGCAACCTTTCAGCGAGGGTCAGACTACCCCTTCCCCACCCACTGGCTCACAAACCTAGATGCATTGCTGAGTAAGGAATATTTAGTCCCGACTCACAAGAAGAACCTGCTGAGAACAGAGGGTGGTCTCGCTCCCATCATATTTGTCCACAGCGACTGCCACACGCCGTCCAACAGGGAGCAGTACATCAAGTTGCTACAGAAATACGTCGATGTCGACTCCTACGGCTCCTGTCTCCATAACAAGGACTTCCCAGAGGAGTAAGTATTTATTATATACTTCAGTGCGAAAACCTGTTTTCCGAAGTTGAGAAAAGTGATATTTTCATTGTTGTGAACATAACAATTGATATTTTAATGCAGTGAACATAAGACTTGATATTTCACTGCTGTGAACATAACATTTTGACGGAACTATTGTCATACAAGAGTGACCTCCCCGCAAATTGTCTCCCTTTATCGTAACAATAACTTCCTTTTTATGTTAGTTCCACATTGACAAGGCGAAATAATGACAGATGGTCATGTATTGTGTTTCGTGGGGTTTGTTATTCTCTTCAAAATGTTCCGTTATAAACTGTAAATGTCTCACTTAACTCGTCAACCGAGACCGTTCGTTTGGCGAAGCGCCATATATTTGTTATTTGACCAGCGTGAATTCTTTCGCTTCAGATGACGGTCTCGAAGTTTTCAAGAATATTTTTTGTTAAAGTTGATTTTTTATTTAATCATATCTATATGTATGATACAGAATTTTCGCGACCCTAAATATTTTTTTGCTACTTTTGTTTATATTTTTTATGATTTTGCAAACAAGAAACTACCAAATACAAGGGGTGGTGACCCGTCCCTGTGTGTTTGGGAGGGAGAATTTATGTTTCAAGGTTTTACATTTGTAATGAAATAATTTAATTTTCCTATAGACAACAACACAAAAAGTGTGTAATAAATAGGATATTCCTTGTGTCTCGTGAAATATCATGTTTCTCTCATGTCGTGACGGGAGAACAGGAGATATTTTCACGCGTTTATTATTCTCTTGCAAATATTTCGTTATAAACTGTAAATTTCTCATTTAACTCATCAACCGAGACTGTTCGTTTCGTTAAGCCCTTCTCTGGTGCCCCCCGCCGTGATGTTGCTGGAATGTTGCTAAAAGCGTCGTTAAACCATATTCACTCACTTTAAAAGCATTTATTCTTGAATTGGGCAGAAATTCTGCAGCCTCAGTATTTTGTAATTGGATCTCCTGATCCCCGTTCACTGCAAATGAAATGCACACATATTGTGCTGGTCAGTTGAAGAGAAGTAGCATAAAGTAATGTTGTTATAGAACAACTGTCTGCCATCCAACAGGGTCAGGACGAGAGCGTGTTGGTACGAGACTACGACCCTTGACCAACACAGAATTCAGTTGTTATGGATGAAATGAAACAATTATTATGCTACTGCCAGGGTCGTATTTTGTAGGTATATGGAGATCCGCATATAGGCTAGGTGACTAACACCTCAGCGTGTATGTATATGAAACCGACAAGAAATGCATGAAAACTTGCATTAGGCCTACACACATTGACTGTGTTCTTCGGAATAGCTTCTCATTTGGAAATTATTGTACTGCTTTATGCTCTTTTAATATCAGGGGCGGTCGGGTAGCCTAGTGGTTAAAGCGTTCGCTCGTCACGCCGAAGACCCGGGTTCGATTCCCGACATGGGTACAATGTGTGAAGCTCATTTCTGGTGTCCCCCGCCGTGATATTGCTGGAATATTGCTAAAAGCGGCGTAAAACCATACTCACTCACTCACTCACTCTTTTAATATCCAACTTAACTGGTCTTATCTCTTGGAAAAGAAACGGTAGGCACCAACAGAAAGTGTTTGTCCCATCCTTTCAAAGATATACTGATTGAGTGAGTGAGTTGGGTTTAACGCAGCTTTAAAAAGTTTTTAAGTTATATCACAGCGTGTCATATTAATGTGGGAGGTAGTCCCGACGTGAACCAGTTCTCAGGCGTTTACCACTTTGGTAAACACCATGAGCACGGGGTCCTTCCTATTGAAACGTAATCGTTGCGAACCTGGCATTGTTAAATGTTGTCCAGCAAGAGGTGTTTACAATTCTTACTCTGTTGGATAGGTAAAAATCAAAATTTACTCAGTGTTGAGGAAATAAGAAAATGGTTACTATTGTCGTTTCTCTTGTATAGGTTAAAGGATGTGGATGGTATGGGTGGTTATATGAAGGAAGACTTTTTCAAACTGATTGCCCGCTACAAGTTTGCAATAGCTTTTGAGAACGCCATCTGTGACGACTACATCACAGAGAAGTTGTGGCGCCCTCTGCAGGTGGGAGCTGTCCCTATCGTGCTCGGCTCGCCGACAATCAGGGTGAGATTATTTGTGTTGGTGAAGACATTTTGGTCAGATTAAATTTCTTATGCTTTAACGTCCGCCCGGAGAGCGGAAGGTCCGGGGTTCGATCCCCGGCCACGTCATACAAAAAGACGTTAAAAGATTGTACTTGTTGTTACCCTGTCTGGCGCTCGACATTAAGGGGCTAAAACAAGGACTGGTCGGCTCGGAGTCAGTATACTGTGTCTGAGTGGGGTATTCATGTTAAACTGCGGCATGGTATCTCAGTGAGCTAGCACTATAAATCGGCATCAGTCCGGACTAGTACAAGCAGCAACAAACACACACATACACGTGCATGCACGTCGCTATATAAGTGCAATAATCTTGGACGCGACGTTAAACCCAATTTCACCTCACCTCTTATGCTTTACCAATACGTTGCTGCAGGGTACACACGTTTAGTGATACAACTACACAGGTCGTTATTACCGTTTAGGACCACCTCTGTGGTCAAGTGGATGAATTAAGTCACACATTAGATAAAAGGTAGTATATATGACGTATATATTTATGTAAGTCGGAATATATGTCGAATTTTGGGTCGGAATAAGTACCCAGTAGCTCTGTCGTAAGGGACATTTAAAATGGAGGTCGGGAGGTCAGAATCTGTGATTGGGCAAAGTGGGTGTCATGGATGGTGTTATCGATGTGATGTGAAGAACAGTGTTGACTGCGACATCAAACAACATTCGCTCAGTAGGATCAGTACTTCTGTTGATAGTACTTCTGTAAAATTAATGAAAATTGGGATTTAATGTTCAATGTATTTGCAGGACTTTTTGCCGTCCAACAAGTCAGCGATTCTCGTGGAAGACTTCGCCAGTGTTGCAGAATTGGCCGAGTTCATCAAACACCTTGACCGGAACGACGAACAATATGAGTCATATCGCCAGTTCAAACATACGGGTATTTCAAACCCAACCCTGAAGTCAGAAGTAAGCCGACTGCCTCATGCCCAGTTTGCTGGCGAGACTTTCGTCAAGGCTGTTATAGGATACGAGTGTTTTATCTGCGACAAGCTGCACAAGGCACTTGATGCCACAAGGTCCGGAGGACCCCTGCCGAAGGCACAATCCAATCAGAAACATCTTGATTGTCCTTTACCTTCCGTAAAGTATGACGAAAACGGTAAAACTGTCCATGACCCTCTTCGTGATCGCGAGGTGGCCTTCTACAAGACGAATGCGGAGGTGTTCCGCCAGTCCTATGAAGTGGGTGAAAACATCACAGCTCACGACCTCTATCTAGCAACCACTCAGAGATGGAAAGACGCAGATGTACATAAGGACGAATTATGATGCAAGTTTTTGTATAATAGGGAATTGTTTTTGTATTAGGGTCATCTTAGGGCTCTTCTGGTGTTGGGGGCACGGGTGTCCCAGTCGTCTAAGGCGCCGCCATTCGCTGTGCAGAGTTGCGTCCCTTGGGCTCGCCAGAAACCTATGATTGTGGGTTCGAATCCCGGTTCGCTCCGATATGTTTCTAGGTTTGTCAGCACCATACCCGTGCTCATGGGTTTCACCGAAGAGACCTGCATCACTTCGGGCTTTCTTCCCACATTAAGCTGACTCGCCGCGATATAACTGGAATACTGTTAAAGGCGGTGTTAAACCCACTCTTCTGGTGTTTTTTCTTGTATTAAATGGTGACCCGACATTCAAGGAACAGTTGTTATGTAAGGACAAGATTGCAGTGATGGTGCTAGACGTTTACCACTAACGTGAATCATACCAACACGGGTATGGAGCTGACAAACCAAGAAACACAATCAGGGCGGTTATGGAATTCGAACCCACGTTCAAATTTTGTGACGAATCCAGGTACCTTAGACGGCTAGGCCACTCGCGCCCCGTGTTCCTTCGAAGACACAACTAAGGAATGACATAATAGTTTGCGTTCGACGAATGTTTTCACAACATAACTTACGAGCCACGTCTTCAGAAAGAATGGAAAGATAGGGGCTCGCTTAGATGAATGAAAAGGGATACTAGTGTTCGGCAACGTGAAGTTGGGGTATGTAGTTTGTTAAACATGTCAGATCATATCTAGTTATGAAGGGACTGACATGAACTTTGCCTGTCCTTTTAAGAGTGAGTAAGTGAGTTGGGTTTAACGCCGCTTTTAACAGTATTCCAGTTATATCGCGGCGTGTCAGCTTAATGTGGGAGGAAAGCCCGAAGTGATGCAGGTCTCAGACGTTTACCACTTCGGTGAAACCCATGAGCACGGGTATGGTGCTGACAAACCTAGAAACATAATCGGGGCGAACCGGGGCTCGAACCCACAATCATAGGTTTCTGGCGTGTCCAAGGGACGCAACTCTGCACAGCGAATGGCGGCGCCTTAGACGACTGGGCCACCTGTGCCCCCTGTGCTTTTAAGACACGAGAACTACTTCCTTGCCACACTGTGTTGGTTTCACTATGTCACCATGGGACAGAACATTTAATTCTTAAGTTTATTTTGATTGCCGGAACATGTTCAACTTCATGTCATCTTGATTATCACAACTTGTGTATTCCCTTCACAAACGCCTAGTCTTTACACACTGTACATGAGGGTAATGCTACAGTAAAAGGGAGCAAAGTTGTTGGAAGTCATAGCTGGAAATAACGTATTATGTCCATACTAAACGTTTTCAAAACACACAAACCCGCGGAAGTTGTAACTGTGATAGGAGAAAGCATATCTCTTGTGTAGAAACGGGTTTGTAATAGAATGAAGTGTTGTGGCAGCTGGACTCTGAGTTCTTATTGTACCAAAATTGCATTAACAGCAGCACATTCCTCAGATTCACCATACTGTAGTCTGTATCTATAAAACTGAACATGTGTGAGGGCAATAGTGGGAAAGAGAATTGGGAAAGTTCGTCACTTAAACTAAGCTGAAACTCTTTAGACAGCACTGGAGGGAGGGGTGGGGGTCGTTAATGTGACTAATTGATTTTTCACCGCCCTGTCTGACGTACATTTTCATGAACAATTGTTCAGTGATACTTACCACTACATATGAAATGGATAATATAAGTGTATTTTGTTAATTGGACTTTGACAAATCGTCAGACCCCACCTTCCTGTGTGCAGACATACTTTGGCGCAAGGAGATCTGCGTCGAGTGTCTGTGAGATGCATGATTGCTGTACGTGAATACAAGCGTTGGTGTTTAACAGATTAATCACAACAGAGGCAAAAAATCCAGACACACTCCTTGGCTGCTTGTGTTGCTGTTGAGCTACTGAAGTGAATAAACCCGTGAGGATCCGGGGTAAAATAGGTCTTCAGCAACCCATGCTTGCCGTAAGAGGCGACTAACGGGATCTGGTGGTCAGACATGCTGACTTGGTTGATGCATGTCATCGTATCCCAATTGCGTAGATCGATGCTCATATCAATCACTGGATCGTCTGTTCCTGACCAGATTATTTGCAAACCGCCGCAATATAGCTGGAGTATTGCTGAGTGCGGCGTTAAACAACATGCTAAGCATGTATCATTACATACAGGCTAATGACCGATAAGTAAGATGGCGTGTGATTTGAGAAAGTGTGTGTGTGTGTGTGTGCGTGTGTGTGTGTGTGTGTGCGTGTGTGCGTGCGTGCGTGTGCGCATTCATATTCATATTTTCTGTAGCCAACTGACATCATGACATATTAAACTTAGTCATATTATATTGTTACTGTCTTTGTTTTTTATTTATAACATATCAATAAGACATAATTATTACGATAATTGAAATCACGATATCTTACTTTTCAGCATGATGACTGGGCTCCCCTTACCTAAATGAGTAGACAGGTAGCCGGATTTTTTTTATCGAAGGCTGCGATTGGACGACACTAAACATAGCATTCTTTCATCCTTTGTCTGGGGCGGTCGGGTAGCCTAGTGGTTAAAGCGTTCGCTCGTCACGCCGAAGACCCGGGTTCGATTCCCGACATGGGTACAATGTGTGAAGCCCATTTCGCTGCAGAGACTAGATGCGAACTGCAGAGGTTCTCTAGTTCTTCCATGCCCCAGCTCGCTATGCAGAGTTATGTCCCTTAGTTGGGACAACTGTCTATTTGTATCGCAGCTGGGGCCTTCAGCGGGTAGACATGGGTAGGCGTTGACGACCAAGACGAACTTCACTCCACAGTTGGAAAACACAAGTTAAAGGACAGATATCACATGTACCCGTTTTGTTCTCAGCGATCTGTTCATTCACGTTGCCTTGCAGCTCCGCGTTGTGTCCGAGGAGTCATATTCCAAATAATGTTTTCCTTTGACTCTAATACATTTCAGGGGGCACGGGTGGCCCAGTCGTCTAAGGCGCCGCGATTCGCTGTGCAGAGTTGCGTCCCTTGGGCACGCCAGAAACCTATGATTGTGGGTTCGAATCCCGGTTCGCCCCGATTATGTTTCTAGGTTTGTCAGCACCATACCCGTGCTCATGGGTTTCACCGAAGTGGTAAACATCTGAGACCTGCATCACTTCGGGCTTTACTCCCACATTAAGCTGACACGCCGCGATATAACTGGAATACTGTTAAAAGCGACGTTAAACCCAACTCACTCACTCACTCACAAATGTATTTCAGGAAAAACGGCATAGATGTGCTATTATCAGCGAGTTAAGCTATAGTTTTAGCATGCAGTTCCGGTATAATCAATGCCACTTACACTGATGCCTATTGACATGATAGGGACATATAGCTAAACCCTGTGTGTTCAAGGGTACCACAGTAACAGTGCATGTTCCATGCGCTGAAAAGACCGCCTCCGTGGAGAGCGGAAGGTGGGGGTTCGATCCCCGTCGCTATATAAGTGCAATAATCTTGAACGCAACGGTAAACCCCACTTCTACAACCGGAATGTTTCAGGCACTATGTTTAGTTTTTTTCTTGATATGTGTTTCGGGGCGGTCGGGTAGCCCAGTTGTTAAAGCGTTCGCTCGTCACGCAGAAGACCCGGGTTCGATTCCCGACATGGGTACAATATGTGAAGCATATTTCTGGTATCCCTCGCCGTGATATTGCTCTAACTGTAAACTCCAAGTGAACACTGAGAAAACAAAAGTGTTAGTTTTTAAAAAGGGAAATAAACTATCAAGTAGGGAAAAATGGTTCTTCAACTCACAACCGTTACAAATTGTCACTTCTTAAATAAATATCTGGGGGTAACCTTCACAGGCTGATTATCGTGGAATTACCACACCAGTAATGCAGCAATGCAGGCAAAAAAGATACTAATGGGAATCTTACATAAATATAGTTTAAAAACTGTCACTGATCTTTCATATCAAACCTTCTTTAAAATATTTGATACAAAAATTACTCCAATTCTTTTATATGGAGCAGAGGTCTGGGGGCATACTGAATACAGAACTATTGAACTGGTCCATCTATATGCCTGTAAACGATTCCGTGGCGTAAAAAACTCTACATCGAGTGTTATGGTATATGGGGAATGTGGACGTGTACCACTTTACATATTCAACATCTTAGAATTCTCAAGTATTGGTTCAAGATTCTTAAAATGCCTATTGATAGATTACCTAAAAATGTTATGATACGATATTATTGTATGAAAAACATGGAATCCGCAATTGGGTATATGATGTAAAGTCGTTATTAAATGATTGCGGCTATGGGTATGTTTGGCATAACCAATGTGTACCAAACAATCCAGATTCGTTTTTAGTATCTTTATGCCAAAGACTTAAGGATATATACTTACAAAAGTGGGCATCGCATGTTTTAAGTTCAGAAAAACGCAATTATTACAAGCTTTTCAAGACAACAATTTCCCTAGAATACTCTTTGTTTGACATCAACTTTAAAAGGTTCAGAATAAGTTTAGCACAACTTAGATGCAGCTCTCATAGACTTAGGATCGAAGTAGGCAGGCATAGAAACAAACCAGAGAATTGAGAATATGTGAGAAATGTGGTTTAAATGTGATTGAATATGAGTATCATTTTCTGTTAGTTTGTCCAAAATACGACCACCTTAGAAGACAATATATTGATCTGCCTAGTTATGTACATCCCACTCTACAAACATTTACAACGATCATGTCAACAACTGATAAAGATACTCTAAAAAATCTATCAATGTTCATTTATCATGCTATGTTAATTAGAATATGACCTGTTAAACGGATCTGTAACCACTCCCGAAAACAGAATTGTACTATGGGCCTGAAGCCTTTCAGTATGGAACAAAAACGTATCCTTTCCTATTGCTGGAATATTGCTAAAAGCGGCGTAAAAAAACATACTCACTGACTCACTCATACGTGTTTCATTGTCAATGCGTCGGTTGGCTGAAACAATCACGGCTTTTTAGAACATTTTGTTACCTTGCTATCTAGAAATGCAATCCTTAAATGCAAGCGTTTACAATTCAGGGAAAACTGTATTGAACTATTTTACCGCGCCACACGTGTCCCCTTTAAACGGAAATCATATTTCGTTTCACATGTGCAGTCCTTCTTTTCAATTATACCTAAAATGAGCTTCCTTGTTGCAAAGCCGCATGTCTCAGCGTGTTCACTGACATACAACGTAGTTTAGACACACATACCGGGCCCCACACACTGTGATGTCTAAACGTCATACCAAGGGCCCGTCAGCCCAGGCTAGAGCTAGTAGCAGAACTAGCTTGAGAGTATTGCTAGATATGGATCAAGTGTTAGCCGACTTCGAAGGACATTTTCTCAACACCTACAAACAACAGCATCCAGACTTGCCGTACATAGAGAAGGAGGACAGAAATACCTTCTACATAACTGAACAATACGCCACTCTGGGTCCAGACCTGCCCGTAGGTATATCACATCGACCGGAATAGCACAGCCTGCTTATTTGACTATCAATAATAATGTCATAGTTCACTGTCTTTGAATGGATATCTAGTGGGGCGGTTAAGGCTGGATATTTTGTCACAATTGTTCACTTTGGGTTAAGGCATCAAACTTGGCACACTTAGTATACACATTCGTGACCAAATCGTGTTATTCCGGGACAAGTCGAATAGCGATTCGTGCCTCTCTCATGGCCACTTTAGCTACCGGGTTTTGTCTTAGCGCAAACAAGTGTCAACTCGTTGCGTAATGGTTCACATATATTTTCCCATATATTATATATATTTCAGATGCAATTTAAAGCACATCGGGGCGTGCGGAATTATACTGTATGATTGAACACATTTAACTTATCTTGGGTATATTTTCGGCAAAATATGATCCAGTCCAAAGACCCATCTTACCGCACCCCCACCCCTACCCCACACTTATTTTCTTCTGTAATGCGAATATAAACCTGAATTGTGGAACCACCCGCTACCAGGAGTCCGGCTTACGGTCTTGGTGATTGTCAGTATGATACATAGAGGTTATCACGCGAGTGTGTTTGGGGATGGTAAATATCCTGCATTAGGAATAAACATTGTATTTAGCGAGCCTTGGCGAGCTAAATACATAGTGTTTATTCCTAATACAGGATATTTACCATCCCCAAAAACACAAGCGTGATAACCTCTTTATCATATAATGTCATGCTTTAATTCTGCTTTAAAATCGCTTTCCCTCTCTCGCAAACATTACCAAAACATTGCGAGTTTTCCTGGAATGCGCGCATTAATATTTATTACGTCACAGGGTAAGTGATGTGTCAGTCGGACAGTGACAGTAGCCAATATAGTTCCAACTGAAATCTGTTTCTTATACAGTGGCGAAGCAACATATACGCAAAACAACAGTTGTTTTTAATTGCCTTTCGCGGCAATCCATCGGTCTGTCCGCTAGAGTAACTGCCCTTTGTCAAAGGGAAGCTACTCTAACCCTAGTCTATGAGACGTCACGGGCACGGTCAGACGTTGTTGACAGTCGGTCTGTCCTGTCATAACGTTAAGAAGTGTAGTCAGATGTACACACAGCGACAAAACCAAACAAGGTAACAATTCAAACATATTTCGGCTAAATCCAACTATTTTAATTTGTGGAGAAGGTTTCAAGTCGCAGAGGTCTACAAGCACAGATATTGCTACTGATCCCGCTTGGCTAGGCCTCGCGCCCTCGCAAAATTGTTTCGAAATTTATACCTCCAAAGTAGCCAAAACTTATAAAATGCCTTAGCTACGTCACAGTTAGACACTGATTTTCAGTATATTAGACTGTTCTTTTGATAATGATAGCAATTATCCCTGTTGTTTATCCAGATTCCCGATGGTTAATTCTGACTCGATCGCCGAATGACGAGGACGACGCCATGTTTGTTTATAAACAGTGAAAGTAGTCCTACTTGACCTTTGATATTTGCATCTCTATCCGCATATGACCCCAACGGATATCGTTTTTATCCGTTGGCTTTATCCTGCCGAGAAACCTGCCCATTATATGATAAATAGTCTTATCAACATTAATTCTGGCACTATTTTCAGGTACAGATGCAAGACCAGATAATCCTTTTTAATTAATTGAAACTATGAGCCTGAATATTGTTTAAAAGAAAGACACATTGCAACAGTCTAATTTGTGTGGCAGACAATTTCTTCTTTTTTTCAACAACCTAAAGGGAAATTTCTTTTTCAAGAACTTTCTGGGACAATGTAGGAACGAAATGTGTTAATATTTCAGAACAAGGTCGAGGACATCGGACACCTTCGATTCAAGTGGACTGATACTTTTATGTCATGGGTCCATTTAGAAATAACTGAATACAACACATCTTAATCAGGACAAAATATTCTTGTGCTCAAAAATATATTTCGCCACACCTTGGCAAGAAAATAGCATCGCCGGAATTATTCTCTCGCTCCAAATGCTGAGCAAGTTTATGATGTCAATGCTTATTGGAAAACACTTGATAACGTTAAAAAAGAGTATTTCCGAAGAAAAGAGTATTACAAGAAACAAGAGTGCAGTTTCAAATTGACAGTTTTTCGAAATCTCTTAAAGAAAGTGAAGGGCAGTTAGAATGACAACATGTTCCTTAACAAAATATACTCTTACAAAAACAGGGGATACTCGGAAATAACTTAACATTTCCAAAATTGTAAAAAATATAAGTTTCTAGTAATAGTTGTTTGATAATAATGAACGAATCGGGAACACGTTACAAACGGTAGTGAGTGAGTGAGTGAGTGAGTATGGTTTTACGCCGCTTTTAGCAATATTCCAGCAATATCACGGCGGGGAACACCAGGAATGGGCTTCACACAATGTACCCATGTCGGGAATCGAACCCGGGTCTTCGGCGTGACGAGCGAACGCTTTAACCACTAGGCTACCCGACCGCCCCTACAAACGGCAGTGAAGTATGACAGTAGATGTTATGACCGCCAACGATGTTAAGGACGATAGGGGTAAGATGGGAAATTTCAGAGTAGACGTTTTTGGATCATCAGTGCGTAATACGGCCATTATTTGTCAAACATTTATTCACTCGACGAGGCACACTGAGTATGAGCCTCCCAATGGCGATTTGAGTGTGTTCCACTCCGCCAAGTTCAGCCTGTGACGTTGACGTACACGTCTCCTTATGTCCAAGACGTGTTCAAAGGGGAACGTCTGGGCTCATTGCTGGCCATGGCATTCTATGGATGTTGTGCCTGGGGCGAACACTGGCGATTTGTGCACGGTGAGCAAGGGTGAAGTCATCCTGAAAGACAAAACGTCGAGCCACACAGGTCCTGAACGGGGTCGATCGTCAACATTTTGTTAAAGGTTGTGAAAGGTTGAACGGATTGGCCAGTGCACGCTGACTTCTGCGAGTTTCCAGCATATCAATAGCCCGTAGAAGCTCCGCAAACAATGAATCAAATCAAGCAAATCACAACTGTTTGTTAAGCAGAATCAGTAAGACTCATAGTAATAATATTCCACATGGATTAATCGACCTTCCTTGAAAGTGTCAAAATTAGACATGACACCCTACGCACGTGTGTGGCGCTACTGCGTGAGACACGTGCAAACTACAGGATGTGTTAAGAGTTACAGACATCTTAAACATCCTTGCATAGGATGTTTGTCGTCGACACTTATCTTTATTTTGATAGTGGGTATTAACATTTATGGTTCACGATCCCTTACTTTTTATCCCCCCGGTTTGAAAACCCCCCGGAGAGATACAGCGATCAGCATGTCCGTCTGTCTGTCCGTCAGCCGTCCCTTTTCCGTTTCCGGAGCAGTGCTCCAAAACCGTTAAATATTTCTTGTTGAAACATGCTATATATATATCAGTCTAGTGATGATCTGGTGCCTTTCGATGATTTGGGATTTGGAAAAATATTGAACAGTATTATTTATTTCTTCACTGAACTGAAGGCATAAAATGGCAATGAACCAAAAGTGGGGTATAAGTAGTCAAACTCCATTTCCGAATTGCACCAGACCGGGGGATATGTCATCTCCTGATGACTCCTGTTTTGAAGAGTATATATTCTGAGCAACTGCAGTTGTATAACACTGTATGTGCCTTACACACGTGCTATACAGGTGTGAACACAGGGCACGAAACGTAATAACGATATGCTGGATGGTAATTGGACACCCTGTAAATGATCAAGCCGTGAATTGGTGTGAGTGAGTGAGTTTAACGCCGCTTTTAACAGTGTTCCAGTTATATCACGGCGTGTCAGCTCAATGTGGGAGGAAAGCCTGAAGTGATGCAGGTCTCAGACGTTTACCACTTCGGTGAAACCCACGAGCACGGGTATGATGCTGACAAACCTAGAAGCATAATCGGGGTGTGTGGATTGTAGACATCGATATTGCCTGTCATCTATGACCGAGCTGTGCAGACTGCTCTGTAACTCTGTATCTGCCTCTGCAGGAGACGGTGGAAGACATCATCACAGAGGAGTTCTTCTTCCTAAACATCCCGGAGATAGACGGGGGCGTGGCTGCAGCCAGGGAGATGGCAGACATGGAGGAGTGTGTATATGATGGAATGACTTCATTTGGCCGTGACCCGTGAAGATCCGGGGTAGAATAGGTCTTCAGCAACCCATGCTTACCGCAAGAGGCGACTACACTTGTCGTAAGAGGCGACTAACGGGATCGGGTTGTCAGGCCCGCTGACTTGGTTGATGCATATCATCGTATCACAATTGCGTAGATCGATTCTCATGATATCAATCACTAGATTGTCTGGTCCAGACTCGAATATTTGCAGACCGCCGTCATATAGCTGGAATAGCGCTGAGTGCGGCGTTAAACAAGAAGCAAGCAACCAAACAAACAAACACACAGGCATCTTAAGTTATCTGACAAATTGTATATTGGCCTTTTTCGGTCGTTATATCTTGATATTTCTTTCTAAATAAGTATGTCTATGTTTCAGGCATAAGGTTAAGCTACACTATCACAAACCTATTTTCACATTTTCACCAAACTTTAACACGTTTGATGAATGTAAGTATGTTTTGAAAGTATGTTTGTAAACATAATAAAATAAACATCGAAATCTTACTCTCTTAGTCTTTATCGAGTCGGGGGCACGGGTGGCCCAGTCGTCTAAGGCGCCGCGATTCGCTGTGCAGAGTTGCTTCCCTTGGGCACGCCAGAAATCTATGATTGTGGGTTCGAATCCCGGTTCGCCCCGATTATGTTTCTAGGTTTGTCAGCACCATACCCTTGCCCGTGGGTTTCACCGAAGTGGTAAACGTCTGTGACCTGCATCACTTCGGGCTTTCCTCCCACATTAAGCTGACACGCCGCGATATAACTGGAATACTGTTAAAAGCGGCGTTAAACCAAACTCACTCACTCACTCACTCACTCACTCACTTTATCGAGTCTTATTTCTGCATTTGACACATGGAAGCGCTCAATAGCATGCATGTTTGTTTCAGTGTGGATGTGTTCATTTGCACCAGTCCAATGACGTTCTATAAATATTGTCTACACGAGAAGGTAAGTCACTGGTGCAGTGTTTATCGTACTGAGATCAGACGTTTTTGTTCTTGTTTATAATGTAGAAAGCACTTGTGTCTCGCGTGTTTCAGTTGTATGATGTTATTAATGCGTATAGAACAGGCCATAAAAAATGCATGAGAAAACGTGTGAACAAATACGTCACTTTATTCATACCGGTTCACTAGTGCAAACATAACACAGTATTTCCTTGATCATAACAGTCAGACATTTTCGACTATTATGACTAATTAATTCCACAATGTCTTGTTGTAGTATCAGTGGGCTGACCCCAGTAAACAGTTCCATGAGTAGTTGTAGTATCAGTAGGGCTGACCCCAGTAAACTGTTTCTTGTGTGGTTGTAGTATCAGTGGACTGACCCCAGTAAACTGTTTCTTGTGTGGTTGTAGTATCAGTGGGCTGACCCCAGTAAACTGTTTCTTGTGTGGTTGTAGTATCAGTGGGCTGACCCCAGTAAACTGTTCCTTGTATGGTTGTAGTATCAGTGGGCTGACCCCAGTAAACTGTTCCTTGTGTGGTTGTAGTATCAGTGGGCTGACCCCAGTAAACAGTTCCATGAGTAGTTGTAGTATCAGTGGGCTTACCCCAGTAAACAGTTCCTTGTGTGGTTGTAGTATCAGTGGGCTGACCCAGTAAACAGTTCAATGAGTAGTTGTAGTATCAGTGGGCTGACCCCAGTAAACAGTTCCTTGTGTTGTTGTAGTATCAGTGGGCTGACCCCAGTAAACAGTTCCATTAGTTGTTTTAGTATTAGTGGGCTGACCCCAGTAAACTGTTTCTTGTGTGGTCGTAGTATCAGTCGGCTGACCCCAGTAAACTGTTTCTTGTGTGGTTGTAGTATCAGTGGGCTGACCCCAGTAAACAGTTCCATGAGTAGTTTTAGTATCAGTTGGCTGACCCCAGTAAACTGTTTTTTGTGTGGTTGTAGTATCAGTGGGCTGACCCCAGTAAACAGTTCCATTAGTAGTTTTAGTATCAGTGGGCATACCCCATTAAACAGTTCCATGTGTGGTTGTAGTATCAGTGGGCTGACCCCAGTAAACAGTTCCATGTGTGGCTGTAGTATTAGTAGGCTGACCCAGTAAACTGTTTCTTGTGTGGTTGTAGTATCAGTAGGCTGACCCAGTAAACTGTTTCTTGTGTGGTTGTAGTATCAGTAGGGCTGACCCCAGTAAACAGTTCCATGTGTGGCTGTAGTATCAGTAGGGCTGACCCAGTAAACTGTTTCTTGTGTGGTTGTAGTATCAGTAGGCTGACCCAGTAAACTGTTTCTTGTGTGGTTGTAGTATCAGTGGGCTGACCCCATTAAACAGTTCCATGTGTGGTTGTAGTATCAGTGGGCTGACCCCAGTAAACAGTTCCGTGTGTGGTTGTAGTATCAGTAGGCTGACCCAGTAAACTGTTTCTTGTGTGGTTGTAGGATCAGTAGGGCTGACCCCAGTAAACAGTTCCATGTGTGGTTGTAGTATCAGTGGGCTGACCCAGTAAACTGTTTCTTGTGTGGTTGTAGTATCAGTGGGCTGACCCCATTAAACAGTTCCATGTGTGGTTGTAGTATCAGTAGGCTGACCCCAGTAAACAGTTCCGTGTGTGGTTGTAGTATCAGTAGGCTGACCTCAGTAAACTGTTTCTTGTGTGGTTGTAGTATCAGTAGGGCTGACCCCAGTAAACAGTTCCGTGTGTGGTTGTAGTATCAGTAGGGCTGACCCAGTAAACTGTTTCTTGTGTGGTTGTAGTATCAGTGGGCTGACCCCATTAAACAGTTCCATGTGTGGTTGTAGTATCAGTGGGCTGACCCCAGTAAACAGTTCCGTGTGTGGTTGTAGTATCAGTAGGCTGACCCCAGTAAACTGTTTCTTGTGTGGTTGTAGTATCAGTAGGGCTGACCCCAGTAAACAGTTCCGTGTGTGGTTGTAGTATCAGAGGGGCGGTCGGGTAGCCTAGTGGTTAAAGCGTTCGCTCGTCACGCCGAAGACCCGGGTTCGATTCCCGACATGGGCACAATGTGTGAAGCCCATTTCTGGTGTCCCCCGCCGTGATATTGCTGGAATAGTGCTAAAAGCGGCGTAAAACCATATTCACTCACTCACTGTAGTATCAGTAGGCTGACCCCAGTAAACTGTTTCTTGTGTGGTTGTAGTATCAGTAGGGCTGAGCCCAGGAAACAGTTCCATGTGTGGTTGTAGTATCAGTAGGGCTGACCCCAGTAAACAGTTCCATGTGTGGCTGTAGTATCAGTAGGGCTGACCCCAGTAAACAGTTCCTTGTGTGGTTGTAGTATCAGTCGGCTGACCCCAGTAAGCAGTTCCGTGTGTGGTTGTAGTATCAGTGGGCTGACCCAGTAAGCAGTTACGTGTGTGATTGTAGTATCAGTGGGTGGAGAAGCATCTCGGCGAGCAGTGGCTGGACAGAATCATCATCACCAAGGACAAGACGCTGGTTCACGGGCACGTGCTGGTGGACGACAGACTCAACATTACAGGTGGTGTTTCAGAGTCGATCTTGCCGTAGTTATGAACCATCTAATGTAAGTAGGGGTAGCCTAGTTGTTAAAGCGTTCGCTCGTCACGCCGAAGACCCAGTTTCGATTCCCAATGTGTAAAACCTATTTCTGGTGTCCCCGCCATGATACTGCTGGAATATTGCTAAAAGCGGCGTACAACAATACTCACTCACTCACTCACTCTTATGCAAGTCACATTAGCGCTGACTTGTTGGTCACAAACATTGCCAGGCTGACAACTGCTCATGTCCACTTGTACATGTTTATGAGATTGAATGGATGGAATGTTCATGAATGAAACACCCCAAATGATTGAACCTTTTATAGTTGGCACCGAAATATCCCCCAAAATTACCTTACATAATATACGTGGAGGCTTTAAAAGCTCAATCCGAAATTAAGTCCACGTTGTGTTACACTCTCGGTATAAAATATGGATGCACACGACGTGTTGCGACCTTGACGTAGAGCGCCAGGTAAATCTCGGGAAAATGTTCAAGTAGCCTTACTTGGAGGCAAGACAAGATTAGTACACTTTCAATTGTATCGACTTTAATTAACTCCACAGTGTTTGATTGTTTGTTTGTTTGTTTGTTGTTTAACGCCGCACTCAGCAATATTCCAGCTATATGACGGCGGTCTGTAAATAATCGAGTCTGGACCAGACATCATGAGCATCGATCCACGCTATTGGGATACGACGACATGCATCAGCCAAGTCAGCGAACCTGACCACCCGATCCCGTTAGTCACCTGGGTTGCTGAAGACCTATTCTACGCCGGGTCTTCACGGGTCAACTCCACAATGTCATTCAAATAACTTCCCTATGAGTGATAAGATTACACTAAGCAATATGCCTTTGTTGTAAACTGTATTGAGAAGTTCATACATTTATCGGGAAGGAAACCGTTTAATGCAAAGACTCAACATAATATTAGTGAAAGCGTGCATTATCTTCCTCCAGGTGTATGTGAGCAGCCCACCTGGGAGCACATAGTCTTCACGGCGAACCACAACGCAAGGTTTGACGCGGGGGGCAAACGACGGCTGGACAACTGGACAGACGGACAGTGGAGGAGTCTCATTGAAGACTTTCAGAAGAGGATATGACAAGCTGACAAAATAGAATACATGCTGGAACAATCGGAATAGTGTTGTGTTTTTATTTATTATCATAACTGGTTTAACACAATATGTTTTATTTCTGTTATGAATACACAGTATGTGCAAGGTCGTTTAGAATTTTGGCGGTGGTGTAGCCTAGTGGTTAAAGCGTTCGATCGTCACGCCCAAGACCTAGGTTCGATTTTCCTTATGGGTACAATGTGTGAAGCCAATTTCTGGTGTCCCTCGCCGCGTTATTGCAGAAATATAGCTAAAAGCGGTGCAAAACAATACTCACTCACTTTTAGAATCTGCTGAATCAGATGCCCCGTGTGGTCAGCAGTGGAAATTATTTGTGTTTAGATTGTGTCTGCCTCTTCAAACGCATGTGTTCCAACAGCCTACATTTCATCTGTGACCTGGCTGGTTTGGTCTGTGAGCTTCTCAGTGGACATTACGGAACAGAATATGCCCTTGCACCACCTGCTGGTAGTAACTAAGACACGACTCATCTGAGCATTGGGTGGTCATTGTGCGCGACATGGTTTATTGTGTTTCGATGCAGACCGTACCTTGACGATGTGCGTCGGTGCTCGTACTATCGACCACCGGTTTGCCTGTTCCTACCTTGGGTAGTTAAAGGCTGTCGTGGTATAACTGGAATACCAGCCTCGGTTTGGTACAGGTTGTGGTATAGCTTGAATATCAGCCTCGGTTAGTTAAAGGCTGTCGTAGTATAGCTTGAATATCAGCCCATGAAAATATCACCTGTGTCAGTCGATGAGGTCGCATGTTATGTAAGTTGACAAGAACGCCGATATCCTCAATATTCTGCTCACCGTTGTATATCTGTGTGTCAGATAACGTCACTGAATGGCTTGGAATAGGGTGTGAACAGCTTTGAGCTATGAAATGCACAACATCCATCGCCTGATTTATTGTTTACATCGAATCAGAAAATGACAGTAATTCTTTAACCTTTATGAAAGCTGGGTGTGCATATGCTTGATCCTTCATAGACATAACGTACCAGCAGAACATCATAATCACGTATAGTCATCTTACTTCAGATTAGAGGTGAGGTGAGGTGAGAAATGGGGTTTAACGTCGCATCCAAGATTACATCTTCCTGAGGCAAGAGAATTAACTGACTATAAAAGTCCAGTTTCCACACTTGCCGAACTAGGCTGGTATTATGGAGTTATATTTTGACTGGACTAACGAGTCTATGCATAGTCCGAACAAAATCGCGCAGCGACATCGAAATCCGGTTCGTAAACTGCCGTTCAGATTTCGGTCGATTGCAGGATTTGCAAAGCATGTGCACCGCCAACTCGTTGTCAGCAGATATTTTCCGAATCTTTTCATGTTTGTACTCAAGGTGCTCACGTGATTTGATGCATTTCGCGATGTAAGACCCGTTTTATCACAATATAGATCTTGATTATCGATCAGATCGTCCTGACTGGGTGTCGCCATTGTGTTTGTTCAAGAAGCAAACGCAAGTGATACGAGAGGTGGAATCTGATTGATCCATAGGGACATAACTGGTAATAGCCACTGGTGGCGCTACGATCGAGCCAAGTAATTCCAGCCTAGTTCGGCAAGTGTGGAATCTGGACTTTTAAAGTCAGTTACCTCTCTTGCCTCGAGAAGATGCCAAGATTATTGCACTTGTATAGCGACGCTAGTTATCGTGCTAGCCCACTAAGATACTATGGCAAATTGCTGTATCACTTCAATTCATAAATCACGACGCCGATATACTTTGATGGATGGATCAAGACCTGGGCATTGCGAGTTCCGACTGAATATTAAAATAAAAGGGAAACAAAGACTGCAAAAGATTTAGATTATTCTTCAGCAGAAATTAATACATTTAACGTAGAAGACTTTCCAGAATCACGGATATATGTTTCAACAACACTGTGATACAAATGTGTGTTTTTTCGCGTTTACTCTGATACTTTGTAGGTTTGTTCATGAACCAATGGTGTTTTTTATTACTAGATTCGAGGGTCGACCGATAGATAATGTGTAATCGTGAACTCTTTTGTTGTGGACAGTTGAGTCCATGGTGTCATAGAGGTATATCAAGAAACGGCTGAGTCAAATGATCAGAACGTGTATCTGTGACAAGTCAGCAACATGAGCAGGGGTCTGTGACTTTTGGAAAATGGCCAAACGTTAGGAACATGCAGTGATCAAGTACTTACTAAAAGGGGCTTAACACCAGAAGCCATCCGTGAAGATATGAGTACAACACAAGTGAAGGATGCCCCTCCCTGTGCCACAGTAAAGAGGTGGGCAGCAGAGTTGTAGGGAGAGCCTTGAGGACGACCCCTGTCCCGGACGGCCTGTCAAGGCAACAACACCAGAAATGATCTCGAGAATCCAGGATATGTTGATGACCGTGGCTGATCATATTGGTAGTATTTTCCAGGAAAGAGAACATTCCATTGTAACAGAAACTTTTGCAATGAAGAAAGTATCAGCTCGTTTGGTTCCAAAGCTTCTGACATCTGTTCCAACTCACGCCAGACACAACATGTCTCGTGATAACCTAGCTCTTTTCGAAGCTGATCTAGAAAGGTTTTGCAACAATTTGTGACTTTGGGTGAAACCTGGGTTCTCCACTTGCAGCATGAGTCCAAACAACAATGAAAACAGTGAAAGCATTTGACATTATCACTACCAAAGAATCCATCACCTGGAATGATTATGGCCTCCGTGTTCTGGGATCCCGGGGGTGTCATTATGGTGGACTACCTTCCAAAAGGCCAGATAAGAAGACTGAGAGAAGTGGTGGGAAGGTGATTAAAGGTGTACTCTTGTGCCATCCTATTGGCATGGCTACAATCCTACAATGGCTATTGTGTCTTTGAACTCCTTCGACACCCGTCTTGTCCTCCTTGCCTGGCTCCGTGAGACTTCCTTCTGTTCTCGAACATGAGGAAAGCTCTAACCAGAACCCATTTCGACTCTTACGATGACGTCATTGAAGCTGCGGAACGGCCAAGAGAAGTCTTTCTAACAAACTGGGATAAAATCCATCCCACATCATTGGCAAAAGTGTATCAATGTGGAAGGTGATTATGTTGAAAAATATATAATAATATCTTTAGGCCAAGTCTGTCTATGTAAATCTCAGAACTTAGCAATATCTCTTCGAATGTCACCCAAAAGAATTTCCACTTCAACTTCAAATGTTTATTGTATGATAGGCCATAGGCCCAAATACATGAAGTGGATGCAATACACTACAAAATAAATTTAACAAGTAGAATCCCATGTTTCATTTCTGTACGTTTCTGGTCTTGAAGACGTATTTGAAATATAACATAACAGACTATATATCTTAATTGTTTGGGTCGATCAGTATTGTGAGGAAAATTCTTTCAGTGTTTTTTTTTACTTCTTTCAGAGAAAAGCTTGTTCTCTTCTTAAGGCTTTTGCAATCGTTTACTAACTATATACTAACTTTATGAATAGATTTGCACTATATTTATTAAACTTTGGCAGATGTGTCCCGTTTTTTCTTCTATATTCTACTGAATCGCATATTTATGTTGCATCCGATAAAAGAGCAATTTAGTTAATAATAAACGTTTAACAACAAACAAGGTGCGTTTTATTTTTAATGCTATTTCGTGGTAACTCCTCTACATAACTTATAACAGCAAACATACAGATTTGAGTTATATTTCCAATCATATTTCGTTTTTAGTTCGTTACAGTCCTACCTTTACAATCAACCTAGTAAACACGCATGGACGCAACATTAGAGCGCGGAACTACTATACTGACTGGCTGACGCTTTAAATTTGTAATCCCTCTTTGTGTAGACTCTTACATTTGAACTGAATACATTCTTCGTTACACACAGGCGCTTCATGAACTGTTGGTAATCTGCTGATGTCAATCTGGTCTGTAGTACATGTTTGCCACGTTGTCAGGGCACGCGAGAAAGTGGGCGTGTCGTTTCCTGGAAGTTACAAATGCGGCCAATAGACTGACTCAGTCTCCACAAACCTATAATCTGATAACCGGGCCAAATACTTCATTTTGTCTTACATTTCTTAAACGATTCGTTGTCATGTCTAAACGTAATTTCAAGGGTCATTCTGCCCAATCTAGTGGCCAGACTCGACTGAAAGTACTTCTAGATCTGGACCAAGTTCTTGCTGACTTCGAGGGCCATTTTCTTCGTCGATACAAGGAGAGATTCCCCGATCTGCCCTTCATTGAAGAGAACGACCGAAACACGTTCTACCTGAGAGACCAATATGCCAAACTAGGGTCCGATCTGCCAGTATGTGTAGAATTCATGAAAGACTTTTGCCCATAATAATTATGAATGTATCCATAAAGCCACAAACATTACAACATTTACATTTTATCGATCGATCTTCTGATCACGAACAGGTGCTAGGTGGAAGGAAAAACCCTGAAAAAACACTCAGAAACATCTGGTCTATGGTAAATCATCATCATTTGGGAAATATTAACATATGACAAGAAAATATATAAAAAGTCCTTAAAATATTTTTTTTTATCTAAAATAACAGCCCTATGTACCCTCACTTTGTGAAAATAGACTTGAAGCATAAATAAATATGACGAAATGTCTGTGTTTATAGGACAGAGTGAGGGACGTGTACATGGAGGAGAAGTTCTTCCTGAACCTCCCAGAGATAGAGGGGGCCGTGGCGGCGGCCAAGGAAATGGCAGAAATGGAGGAGTATGTTGAAAGGAAAAATATATTTATGACCAACCATGAGATAAGGGTCCTTATGGGTGAAAAATCCCATTTTGACATACAGCATACAATAATTTAGTCTGAGATTAATGTTCACAGCTCTCAAAGAAGCCTTGTTATGATTTATATTTTGGTTAACTCAAATATAAATAAATTGCAAGTGATTCCATGGCATTTGATAGGCTAACCAACCATTTTGGGGAATTTATGGTTCAATAAAGTGGAAGAAATGAATCTACACCCTCTAACAGACTTCTCTTTCCTGACTGGCTGTATAACAGTGTCAGTGTGTTTGTATTGCAGTGTCGACGTGTTTATATGTACAAGTCCCCTGACGTCCTACAGATATTGTCTGAGTGAGAAGGTGAGTTCATCCTTACTGTAATGTGTCACCAGGAACTGCCCTATTATCAGTCTCACCTCAGGAAAGGCCTGTGTTGCACAATGTCTTCACAATATCAGTTGTAGTGTTGCTGTGGAGACTGAGAATGAAATGATCAAGGGGTCCTTGTCACAAATCCTGTTTTCACTAAGTCCATGGCATTTACCGTAGAGCTCCATCTGTCCACGCCATGGCATTTACCATAGAGCTCCATCTGTCCACGACATGGCATTTACCGTAGAGCTCCATCTGTCCACGCCATGGCATTTACCATAGAGCCCCATCTGTCCACACCATTGCATTTACCATAGAGCTCCATCTGTCCACGCCATGGCATTTACCGTAGAGCTCCATCTGTCAACGCCATGGCATTTACCATAGGGCTCCATCTGTACACTCCATGGCATTCACCATAGAGCTCCATTCGGTCAACGCCATGGCATTAACCGTAGAGCTCCATCTGTCCACGCCATGGCATTTACCATAGGGCTCCATCTGTCCATGCCATGGCATTTACCATAGAGCTCCATCTGTCCACGCCATGGCATTTACCGTAGAGCTCCATCTGTCCACGCCATGGCATTCACTGTAGAGCTCAATCTGTCCACACCATGGCATTCACCTTAGAGCTCCATCTGTCCATGCCATGGCATTTACCGTAGAGCTCCATCTGTCCACGCCATGGCATTTACCGTAGAGCTCCATCTGTCCCCACCATGGTATTCAGCATAGAGCTCAATCTGTCAACGCCATGGCATTTACCGTAGAGCTCCATCTGTCCCCAACATGGCATTCACCATAGAGCTCCATCTGTCCACACCATGGCATTCACCGTAGAGCTCCATCTGTCCTCCCCCTGGCTTTCAGCGTAGAGCTCCATCTGTCCACACCATGGCATTCAACGTAGATCTCCATCTGTCCACACCATGGCATTTACCGTAGAGCTCCATCAGTCCCCACCATGGCATTTACCATAGAGCTCCATCTGTCCACGCCATGGCATTTACTGTAGAGCTCCATCAGTCCCCACCATGGCATTTACCGTAGAGCTCCATCTGTCCACGCCATGGCATTTACCGTAGAGCTCCATCTGTCCACGCCATGGCATTCACCATAGAGCTCCATCTGTCCACGCCATGGCATTTACCGTAGAGCTCCATCTGTCCACGCCATGGCATTTACCGTAGAGCTCCATCTGTCCCCACCATGGTATTCAGCATAGAGCTCCATCTGTCCACGCCATGGCATTTACCGTAGAGCTCCATCTGTCCCCAACATGGCATTCACCATAGAGCTCCATCTGTCCACACCATGGCATTCACCGTAGAGCTCCATCTGTCCCCATCATGGCATTTACCGTAGAGCTCCATCTGTCCCCATCATGGCATTTACCGTGGAGCTCCATCTGACCACACCATGGCATTTACCCTAGAGCTCGATCTGTCCCCACCTTGGCATTTACCGTGGAGCTCAATCTGTCCACACCTTGGCATTTACCGTGGAGCTCCATCTGTCCCCACCTTGACATTTACCGTAGAGCTCGATCTGTTCCCACCATGGCCTTTACCGTGTAGCTCCATCTGTCCCCACCTTGACATTTACCGTAGAGCTCGATCTGTTCCCACCTTGGCATTTACCGTGGAGCTCAATCTGTCCACACGTTGGCATTTACCGTGGAGCTCCATCTGTCCCCACCTTGACATTTACTGTAGAGCTCGATCTGTTCCCACCATGGCATTTACTGTAGAGCTCGATCTGTTCCCACCATGGCATTTACCGTAGAGCTCCATCTGTTCCCACCATGGCATTTACCGTAGAGCTTGATCTGACCACACCATGGCATTTACCGTAGAGCTCGATCTGTTCCCACCATGGCATTTACTGTAAAGCTCGATCTGTCCCCACCTTGGCATTTACCTTAGAGCTCCATCTGTCCCCATCTTGACATTTACCGTAGAGCTCGATCTGTCCCCACCTTGACATTTACCGTAGAGCTCGATCTGTCCCCACCATGACATTTACCGTAGAGCTCGATCTGTCCCCAACTTGACATTTACCGTAGAGCTTGGTCTGTCCACGATATGGCATTTACCGTAGAGCTCGATCTGTTCCCACCATGGCATTTACTGTAAAGCTCGATCTGTCCCCACCTTGGCATTTACCGTAGAGCTCCATCTGTCCCCACCTTGACATTTACCATAGAGCTCCATCTGTCCCCACCTTGGCATTTACCGTAGAGCTCCATCTGTCCCCACCATGGCAGAGACTCTAGAGCTAAGTGTGGACTAGGTGCTACGCCTCAAACACAGGACACCTTGTTGTGATGTCTATGGTAGCCCAGTCGGCAGAGGTGTATCCCTACCAGAATATATTGGTGGGAGTTTGAACCCCAGATCGGCTCAGTTTATGATCCTTGATCAGTACAAACCATACCAACATTCCTGGGTTTCACCTAAGTGGACTGAAATACTGTCACGCAGTTCTCTAACTCACGCATACACATTGGTGTTACGTTCTGTGTCGTCTAACAGTAAAAGCTTCATGAAAGCATGGAAGGCAGACAGAAAATAGTTAAGCTGTCATGTTCTAGAATAAAGAAAATGTATGAAAAATCACTAAATGTTATAATTCTATAGGTCAATATACTTGCTATCCCGTGATAGACCTGTGAAGATCAGGGTTAGAATAGGATAGGTCTTCAGCCACCCATGCTTGCCGTATGAGGCGACTATGCTTGTCGTAAGAGGCGACACACAGGATCTGGTGGTCAGGCTCACTGACTTGGTTGATGCATGTCATCGTATCCCAATTGCATAGATCAATGCTCATGATATCAATAACTTGATTCTCTGGTCCAGACCTGATTATTTACAGATCGCCGTCATATAGCTGGAATATTACTGAGTGCGGCGTTAAACAACAAACAAATAAACAAACAAATCATAGCACCACGTTTCTTTGTTTACAATATCCAATGCTACTGTCCGTCATGTCGTTCGTCCATAGTTCCAGTGGGTGGAGGAGCACCTGGGGGCGGCCTGGGTGGACCGGACAATCATTGCCAAGGACAAGACCATGATGTACGGCCATATACTCTTCGATGACCGCCCTTACATCAAAGGTTCGTTTCAGTATCATACGGGAAGCATTTCATATACTCATCTTGGGCATGGTTGGCCCAGTGGACTAGGAGCACTGTCATTCACTGTTGCATCCCTATGTCATGCGAGAATTTGATAATCATGATTGACATCAAAGTATTAGTGACAGCAGTATTCTTGTGGTGACGTCATAGTGTCAGTGACAGCAGTATTCTTATAGTGATGTCACAGTATTAGTCACAGCAGTATTCTTATAGTGACGTCACAGTGTTAGTGACAGCAGTTTTCTTGTGGTGACGTCATAGTGTCAGTGACAGCAGTATTCTTGTAGTGACATCACAGTGTTAGTGACAGCAGTTTTCTTGTGGTGACGACACAGTGTTAGTGACAGCAGTATTCTTGTAGTGACATCACAGTGTTAGTGACAGCAGTATTCTTGTGGTGACGTCACAGTGTTAGTGACAGCAGTATTCTTGTAGTGACGTCACAGTGTTAGTGACAGCAGTATTCTTGTAGTGACATCACAGTGTTAGTGACAGCAGTATTCTTGTGGTGACGTCACAGTGTTAGTGACAGCAGTATTCTTGTGGTGACGTCACAGTGTTAGTGACAGCAGTATTCTTGTAGTGATGTCACAGTGTTAGTGACAGCAGTATTCTTGTGGTGACGTCACAGTGTTAGTGACAGCAGTATTCTTGTGGTGACGTCACAGTGTTAGTGACAGCAGTATTCTTGTAGTGATGTCACAGTGTTAGTGACAGCAGTATTCTTGTGGTGACGTCACAGGGTTAGTGACAGCAGTATTCTTGTAGTGACATCACAGTGTTAGTGACAGCAGTATTCTTATAGTGACGTCACAGTGTTAGTGACAGCAGTATTCTTGTGGTGACGTCACAGGGTTAGTGACAGCAGTATTCTTGTGGTGACATCACAGTGTTAGTGACAGCAGTATTCTTATAGTGACATCAGTGTTAGTGACAGCAGTATTCTTATAGTGACATCTCAGCATTAGTGACAGCAGTATTCTTGTAGTGACATCACAGTGTTAGTGACAGCAGTATTCTTATAGTGACATCAGTGTTAGTGACAGCAGTATTCTTATAGTGATGTCATAGTGTCAGTGACAACATTATTCTTATAGTGACATCACAGTATTAATGACAGCAGTATTCTTTTAGTGACCCTTTTACATGAGGCGCTGGCTGAGATGATTCAAGGGAGACAACTCTTAAATAAAAAAGAAGAGTGACAACTCATGTTGATGAGTTACGGCAATGACATTAAGTACATCTTCATGGCATCTTACAGATGCAAAGGTTTTGAGTATCACAAATCAGAAAATAAATCTTTGTTGTGAGAAGCTTATCTGAGTTTTGCACCTGGATTCCCCTTCCTCCAAGCTTGTCCAAAACTGGGAAGTCAGGTGGTGTATCATGCAAGTGGTGGGGCGGTGGGGTAGCCTAGTAATAAAAGCATTTGAGAATCATGCCAAAGGCCCCACATGGGTACAATGTGTAAAGCCCATTTCTAGGGTATGAAACTCCCAAAAATTTCAGCCAGACCACAGGACTGGCTAGCTGAAATACTTGCCAGCCCTGACCAATACCTGCCTGCCCACTATAATCATATGTTTCTCAGGATAAGCTAACAGGGTTTCTTTTTGGTTACATTTTATCATTCATCTTTACATGTGAATTAATGATTATCATCGGGAAATATTTAGAATATTGTCACATATGAAATATAACCCAACCGTCGGGTAGGGGGATTTGAAAATCTGGCAGCCCGAGTTGAAATCAACCTGTCTCGGACAGTCGGGCAGGCAGGTATTTCGAACACTGCCATTTCTGGTGTTCCCCGTCGTGATATTACTTGATTATTTCTAAATGTGGCTTAAAACCCAACTCACTCACTCACTCACTCACTCATGCATGTGGTGTCTGTTCTAACAGGAGCATGCAAGAAGCCATCCTGGGAGCATATCGTGTTCACATCACACCACAACGTCAAGACAGATCTCCGAGGCAAGCGGCGGCTAGACAACTGGACAGATGGACAGTGGAAAGATATCATTGAGGACTTTAAAAAGAGAATTTAAACATTTTCATAATTAATTAATCTCTCTTGGTGAATGGATTCCTTGTATGTTTGTGTGTATGTATTTTGTTCATCTATTGAATATACATTTTTTGATGATCTCTTTCCATCTGCTGCAACTATTCTTCATTGTTGTGATTGTAACACTGGGTTTCATGTCTGCCTCGTCACAGTGTAAACCGTATGTCTGACCTCAGGAAACCCTGATTTACTGATCACTACTGGGTTTCATGTGGTCCTTGTCACAGTGTAAACCATATGTCTGACCTCAGGAAACCCTGATTTACTGATCACTACTGGGTTTCATGTCAGCTCGTCACAGTGTAAACCGTATGTCTGACCTCAGGAAACCCTGATTTACTGATCACTACTGGGTTTCATGTCTGCCTCGTCACAGTGTAAACCATATGTCTGACCTCAGGAAACCCTGATTTACTGATCACTACTGGGTTTCATGTCAGCCTCGTCACAGTGTAAACCGTATGTCTGACCTCAGGAAACCCTGATTTACAGATCACTACTGGGTTTCATTTCTGCCTCGTCACAGTGTAAACCGTATGTCTGACCTCAGGAAACCCTGATTTACTGATCACTACTGGGTTTCATGTCTGCCTCGTCACAGTGTAAACCGTATGTCTGACCTCAGGAAACCCTGAGTTACTGATCACTACTGGGTTTCATGTCTGCCTCGTCACAGTGTAAACCATATGTCTCACCTCAGGAAACCCTGAGTTACTGATCACTACTGGGTTTCATGTCTGCCTCGTCACAGTGTAAACCGTATGTCTGACCTCAGAAAACCCTGATTTACTGATCACTACTGGGTTTCATGTCGGCCTTGTCACAGTGTAAACCGTATGTCTGACCTCAGGAAACCCTGAGTTACTGATCACTACTGGGTTTCATGTCTGCCTCGTCACAGTGTAAACCGTATGTCTGATCTCAGGAAACACTGAGTTACTGATCACTACTGGGTTTCATGTCTGCCTCGTCACAGTGTAAACCATATGTCTCACCTCAGGAAACCCTGATTTACTGACCACTACTGGGTTTCATGTCGGCCTCGTCACAGTGTAAACCGTATGTCTGACCTCAGGAAACCCTGATTTACTGATCACTACTGGGTTTCATGTCTGCCTCGTCACAGTGTAAACCGTATGTCTGACCTCAGGAAACCCTGATTTACTGATCACTACTGGGTTTCATGTCTGCCTCGTCACAGTGTAAACCGTATGTCTGACCTCAGGAAACCCTGATTTACTGATCACTACTGGGTTTCATGTCTGCCTCGTCACTGTGTAAACCGTATGTCTGACCTCAGGAAACCCTGATTTACTGATCACTACTGGGTTTCATGTCTGCCTCGTCACAGTGTAAACCATATGTCTGACCTCAGGAAACCCTGATTTACTGATCACTACTGGGTTTCATGTCTGCCTCGTCACAGTGTAAACCGTATGTCTGACCTCAGGAAACCCTGATTTACTGATCACTACTGGGTTTCATGTCGGCCTTGTCACAGTGTAAACTGTATGTCCAGCCTCAGGAAACCCTGATTTACTGGGGAAATTAGGGGAAATTGGCTTTTGGACCATATATTTTGTCGACACCCCCTATTTCTTTCATGAGCACCCCCCTCTTACTCACACACACTGAATCCACAGCAAACTGTTATTTATACAAAATAATGTTCACATTTGAACAAATAGAGCCATTTTGTCCATGGTCGTCTCTATATTATTGTGATAAATTTTTCGTGATCAACCTCACTCCCCCTTTCGCTTTGGCATTTTTCATGACCCCGTAATCTCACCAGCCCATCCATCCCAAAATAAATGAGGCATTATTTGTTGAACTGGAAATCTATTTTAATCCAGACAATATACAGATACTTTGCCTCCAATGTTACACTGATCTTAGGGGGCATTGTAAAGTACTTTGTATAGAAAAAGCAGTGTTAAATCAAACTCACTCACTCGCTCTAAGAAACCGGTTGCTCAATTTTTTTAAAAGAAACAAAATGTCTGCCTTAATGACAAAAAATAATTTGAGCTCACTGTAGAAAGTAGGGCTGGGATGATACATCCACTTGGCCATCCGATACGGACCAGGATACGATCCAACACTTGCATGTGCGCTTATCTGTGGTGCGTAAGCCATCTTTTTCATAGACAGGGTGGCCAAATACCTGGCATACTGACGATTAACATTTTGCAGTGTCAAGAATGGCGCAATGGATGAAAATATTTACGTTTTCACTACCAATTAGTGTTTAGTGTAACTGTTTTTAAAGCAAACATATAAGGTAAGAATCAATATATTTACTTAGTGTGCGACTGTGATCAATACTTGTATCGAGAGGTAACAAATCGGGATCCACCGTTGCATCGTCCTACCACGAGTAGAAAGTAGCCCAGTGAGAAGTTTTTTCCTAAATCTGCTGCCAGTTGATACAGAAATCAGTCTCAGACATCATAACTGACAATCCTGCCAGCAAAATCATGAAGCATGAAAAACCCAGTAATTTGAAAAAACAAATGAATTGCCTGAATAATAGACATATCGTGAATTTGAAGAAACTACGAGGAATAATTCAAGCCACCAACACGTACAGCTTTCATCATTAATGTATTAGGGACTGGGGGTGAAGAGATACGGCACATCAATGACCACTAAAGTACTCACGGAAATGAAAAAACCCTGTTTTTTCGACCTCAGATCTTAAATAAATGCAGTTAATATACAAAATATGTAAATATTCAAACTAAATTAGTACTAATTGGGCCGTGGCACAAATACAGCGTATCAAATGTTTTTATGCCTTTTTACACGTAAAAGTGTGTAAAAATGTGAATAAAACAGACTATTGTGAAACAGGGCATAACCAGGTGTAAGTCGATCAAGGTGACCTATGACACACCTTGACGACAGGTGAGAACAGGTGCATAATGCCTATAGTCTGTTTCTGCTATGTCAATTTGGACTTAGATTTATTTTTGAATGACAAATTACCTCCTGTAAAGTACATTTTGTATTGTTCACTGAGATCAAACTAGCAAATCCAGACTAGTACTTTTCGAGTTGTTTTGTTATTTCGTATTTACAGCTACGTAACACTTTGTGTCGATTTTTAAATTGAGAAAAACAGTTTTTTTTCATTTCCGTGAGTACTTTAGTACTTCACTATGTGACTCTGTCCAAATGTCACTGTGGTGTCGTCATATATACAACTCAACAGGTGTTGAAGGTGATAAGTTCTTTATTCATAAAATCAACATTATATTAACAAAATAACAAATATAGATTCTTCTGAACACAATTTCTCTAAATAAAATATTTCACAGATAGCTTTGCTATACAAAATATACACATGCAAATGTACAAAAGATAAACTTATATGTATGAATTTGAGCATCAATAGCTGAATACTGTATGTTAGTCAGCAGGATCGAGACGGTGGTGCCATCCACCGACAGTCTGTACAGTGCTGTGGAAATGTTCAACCTAGTAAATCATCATTGAACACAACAGGAATGGAGGCCCAATCCAACAACACTGTCCGTACATATACCAGCCAAGGCCACGTGTACCGGTAATATCCCTCAAGAAGAAAAGACTTTGATTGGGCTGTAGAGAATCTTGAAGGCAACACCAATGGTGGAAGTGATTCACAAAACGTGGTCCTGAGATTAAGCTTTAATAAAAGGTCTGACTAATATATATTTTTAAAATTTTAATTTTATATTTATTTTTTTAAACATTTAATTCTACAAAGGAAGGAAAGACTGTTTTTAGTTTCTGTTTTTACTGTAATTTGTTAAAACTATATGCATGTTTTCCAGAGCAATTTTTAGAAAAAATGAACAAGACCGATAATCAACAGGCATCAATAAAACAAAATCCAGACAAAATCTGAGGCCATGTACTTTATATTTACATTTTCCGTGTAACTGATTTCCAATCAACTGGAAAGATCTTGTCTTCCCTAGCATCTCGGAAACACAAATGTCTGGACTATAGGAGCAAAACAGTAAAATCTGTTTAAAAAGAAACGTTCTGTCTAACACACTGGCATTGTGAGAGCTAACATACATATAACTTGATTTGTCCTCTGTGACACACCAAGGATTAGCATTGGTGCTCATCGTGTGTGCCCAGATGTAATTACCCCCCACGTTCAGCCTCACTGTGGTGTGGCTGCTCTATTTGGGAGCAGAGCATGTAGTGCCAAGTAATAGCAATATTTACATTGAAAACATTATTTACATCAGGAGTGAATATTGCAATAGAATGTAACCACTTATTTGTTGATAATCTTGTGTATGTAATAAGCTAAATAGGATTGTCATGTACGTGTCGGTTACAATCAGTATAACTGGCTCCCATAGGAGATATCACTTGGGTGAGATCAAGCGATATCTACATTGTAGATATCACTGCTATGGAATTGCATCACAATAGGGCTGGGACGGTTAACTCGGGTACCCGGGTACCCACAGGACTACCAATATATTTTGTATCTCTTGAGACCTACAGTGGGTACCTGGGTAGGGTCCGGTAATAGGGGGGGATATTACCCTGGTAGAAAATTTGGACTCGTCCCAGCCCTACATCACAATGCTTTGCAGATCATTGTGACGTCATTGTATACCATGATGTCACAATCAAATGACATCACTAATGGCTCTGCTCCTGAAGCTGTTGGCAGTACTTTTTACACTTAGTACTTTTTTTAGACACTGTTTTATTACTGTCTACAAACTGAAAAAGTTGGAAGAATGATGTTGGATGATAAATAGAATCTCACCCTAGTGTCTTTTGATATCAAATATATCACCAAGCCTCAGAGTTAACTTTTATCGACTCATGTAGCTATATTTGATATCAAAAGACACTTGGGAGAGATTCTCCATGTCACAGATGTACAGTAGCTTCATTACTTACACACACACATACATACATGGGGTTGCCATAAATCCCACAACTAGTAAATCCTGTCTGTGGACTTTTGCTGTAACATGATACAGTGGAAATGCATAACATATTATTATATAACTATTCGTGTACTTAGATCCACTATCACCATCATAGAAAAGCAATATTAATCTTCAAACATAACTTTATATAGCACTGAAATAATATTGTGGTCCGATTATTACCATTCTCTATACTTTGCACTGTTTTCCAATGTGATAAACTTGTATTGTTTCCCATGAAAGCTTTACAGTTGAGTCAAAACAAACCTACAGTTGCTTAAGTCTCTCAACAACTTGGTTGTGTGTAGCTATTTGATCAGCCATGAAAGGAATACTATCTCCCTTAATAATTCCTATTGCAGAGGAATAATGAGGATCACGGCAGCACAACCAATTCCTCACAGCAACGCAACAATAATTGTGCAGATATTGCATTGAAGTACGTCCACAACCAGCTCGACCATATCTGTACATGTAGAACACTGCAGGGTCAGCCTGTCCCCCGTGTGGTGATACAAGGCATGTATGCCATGATGCTGTGAGTACATGTAGAACACTGCAGGGTCAGCCTGTCCCCCGTATGGTGATACAAGGCATGTATGCCATGCTGCTGTGTGTACATTTATTGTCCACCATCAGCAGCCATCTTGATCACATACATGTCATCCAGGAGCAGGGAGATGATCTTTCTCCACACACTACCTCCATTGCTGCTTGGGTTAATTAACTGCAGATATTATGAACACGGTCTTGCATGAAACGAAGTGTGATGACATGTCCATATTCATTCATCACCACATGCCCTTTTCAATAACCTGCAAGAGGACTTGTCCCCCTATTGATGAATGTTCTGTACTTAGACGGAACCCAGTCGCAAAAATGGCCATGAGAGGGGCACGAGTCACTAATAATAACACAGAATAACACGAGTTAGTAACGAATGATCCACATTATATATATGGATTATTATATAACAACCTTTGGAAGACGTCATTGCAGGTTTTCTTCCAGGCTGGTAATCACATTCGTAGTTCATCAGGTAATACTTGCTTGACCTCTAATTAGGTCAGTTATGAATTCTGCCAATATTAATGCAATATATCCCATTTCTACAGTCATCAAGATATATGTGATACAGGCATCATCATAACACCGGGTATATTGACGAGTACCAGGTTTGAAACCAGCTGTGTATAAAGGCACTTGTAACAGATCCAGAACCAGGGAACAGTGGAACATCTCCAATATCAGCCGTTGAAAACAAGGCAGGTGTAGATCAGCAGTTGAGCAAGGGTGGTAAAAGTAAGCGCACATGTATATCTGTTATCCGGTTACTGCTGTTCCAAGTTCCCCCCTCTGTATAACTTCATTTACACGAGTCAGCAGGAATTGACGATCACGGCCCTCCTAAAATAAAAAAGACATATTTACTTGATAGGTGACATCTTTAAAAAAACATAACACGAATGGTCTTGCCACACCGGTCATGGCTTGATCTGATTAGAACATAACAATGATGATGTACTGAGATCATGATGTGCTGAAACAAGGATTCAAACCTACGCCATGACAAAGAGTTTTTAGCAACTTAGACCACTAGGCCAACCATGTGCCTGGATCTGGAGCACACCAACATGTGGTCAATCATGACCATCTGATCCTGTGGCTCGGCATGGAACATGTGGATCACGACTGTCCTGGAATTCTCCAAGAGACACCTAAAAGCACAAAGCACTTTGAAGCACAAAGCACTTTGAAGCACAGAGCCATTAGAAGCACAGAGCCATCAGAAGCACAGAGCACTCCTAAGCACAGACCACTCTGAAGCGCAGAGCGCTCTGAAGCAGACAGCACTCAGAAGCAGACAGCACTCAGAAGCACAGAGCGCTCTGAAGCAGACAGCACTCAGAAGCAGACAGCACTCTGAAGCACAGAGCACTTCGAAGCAGAGTGCAATTCAAAGCACAACGTATCAGGGAACACCCATGTGAGGACTCCGGATTAGAATAGATCCAAAGCAGCCACTGCGGATTGTCAGAGACTACATGGATTGGGTGTCCAGACTCGGCGACATGGTTGATGAAGCCCTGTCTTACCCCGGCATAATATCAATGACTGGAGCACTATGGAACACTACAGAGCACTATGATGCACGAGGACAAGATGTCCAGGTTTCCCTCACCATCTTGAGTTGTTCCTTGAGCAGCTGTTCCATCTTCTTGTAGCCCTGAGACACCGCCCAGTAGTAGTACATCAGAAGACTGCAACACACATGGTCACACATTAATACAGGGTCACACATGAACACATATTTGAAATTAAAGAATTCCCTCGTTATTTTAAAGTATAACATCTCTATAAGTTGTCAAGGTAACATTCTGATGTTAGAAGTTGTCACGTGATTTTTCCACAAAAAAGGGAGGTAATGCTGACGGTTGTCATCTTCCCTACTAAAACTCTGCACACATACATTACTGTTGTGAGCTTGAAGTGTGTTCCCCTCTTTAAGACTACCTAACAAGTCAGAGCTAAACAATGTGATGCAAATTGTGTAAAGAAAAAACAGAATATTTATGTACGTAATATGCATAGTGACAGCAATTAAGAAGAATCATGTTAAAGAAATCTGATTGGATTAAAAACAGTCAACAAACTTGACCCAAGGGAGACAAGTTCAACATTATTGGTTACCCAAAAGAGGAAATTGAAATACCCACTGAGAATGAATAAATGAGAATAATACCAACTGGCTTAAATCATTTGGAGCATTGCTGTACAACTTCAGAATGTCAGAAACTGACTTTCAAGGAGGCTCCTGAAGGCTAATCTTTGCCCTGAGTGTACAGAGGTCTCAAGGCTGATCATTTCCCTGTGTGTACAGAGGTCTAAAGGCTAATATTTGCCTCTGTGTACAGAGGTCTAAAGGCAAATCTTTGCCCTGTGTGTACAGAGGTCTCAAGGCTAATCTTTGCCCTGTGTGTACAGAGGTCTAAAGGCTAATATTTGCCCTGTGAACACAGAGGTCTAAAGGCTAATATTTGCCCTGTGAACACAGAGGTCTAAAGGCTAATCTTTGCCCTGTGTGTACAGAGGTCTAAAGGCTAATATTTGCCGTGTGTACAGAGGTCTAAAGGCTAATATTTGCCCGGTGTGTACAGAGGTCTAAAAGCTAATCTTTGCCCTGTGTGTACAGAGGTCTAAAGGCTAATATTTGCCCTGTGTGTACAGAGGTCTTAAGGCTAATCTTTGCCCTGTGTGTACAGAGGTCTAAAGGCTAATCTTTGCCCTGAGTGTACAGAGGTCTAAAGGCTAATATTTGCCCTGTGTGCACAGAGGTCTAAAGGCTAATATTTGCCCTGTGTGTACAGAGGTCTAAAGGCTAATAATTGCCCTGTGTGTACAGAGGTCTAAAGGCTAATATTTGCCCTGTGTGCACAGAGGTCTAAAGGCTAATATTTGCCCTGTGTGTACAGAGGTCTGAAGGCTAATATTTGCCCTAAGTGTACAGAGGTCTAAAGGCTAATCTTTGCCCTGTGTGTACAGAGGTCTAAAGGCTAATAATTGCCCTGTGTGTACAGAGGTCTAAAGGCTAATATTTGCCCTGTGTGTACAGAGGTTTCAAGGCTAATATTTGCCCTGTGTGCACAGAGGTCTAAAGGCTAATCTTTGCCCTGTGTGTACAGAGGTCTGAAGGCTAATATTTGCCCTGTGTGTACAGAGGTCTAAAGGCTAATCTTTGCCCTGTGTGTACAGAGGTCTAAAGGCTAATATTTGCCCTGTGTGCACAGAGGTCTAAAGGCTAATCTTTGCCCTGTGTGTACAGAGGTCTGAAGGCTAATATTTGCCCTAAGTGTACAGAGGTCTAAAGGCTAATATTTGCCCTGTGTGTACAGAGGTCTAAAGGCTAATATTTGCCCTGTGTGTACAGAGGTCTAAAGGCTAATATTTGCCGTAAGTGTACAGAGGTCTTAAGGCTAATCTTTGCCTTGTGAACACAGAGTGAGTACAGTCCTAGAGACTTTGCCTTGCCCTGTGAGTACAGTCCTAGAGACTTTGCCTTGCCCTGTGTGTACAGTCCTAGAGACTTTGCCTTGCCGTGTGAGTACAGTCCTAGAGACTTTGCCTTGCCCTGTGAGTACAGTCCTAGAGACTTTGCCTTGCCCTGTGAGTACAGTCCTAGAGACTTTGCCTTGCCCTAACAGCACCTTACACCCATGACCCATGTCCTTACCACAGCAGTATGATGGCGGGCACAAAGAAGCCCACTGTGCCCAGATAGGAGAAGATGTCCCTGGCCACGGAGGGCCACGTCCTCACGGTGTTGGTGATGGTGTCAAAGATGACGTAGTCTTCATGGCTGTACAGGCGGAAGGGGCCGCAACTCTGAGATGGATGGACGCTGACAACAAGAAAACACTTCCTGTAAGATGTTGGTCCAGGTTATAGAGTAATCCCTACAACTTCCCTAATAATGCCTACCTTTGTAGGAGGAACTCGTACCCCAGCAGCAATACATCTTTATAAGCATACCGGCAAACCCAATAAATGTTATGCAGATCAAATTACTTGTTGCAACCATGATGCAGTGATGACTTGCAAAAACAATCTTGACAAACTGTTGATTCACTCAATAAATTGACACAACATTTCTAGATTTTAAAAGGACACAGAAGAAATCTCTATGTAAAAATCAGATTGCCAGATATCAAGTGATAGAACTGCAAAGCTGCTTGACTCAGATCTACACAGATATCTGTTTGAGGCTGCAACTTACGTTCCGATGAGGTATCCGAGGGGGATGACCGAGAGGACGAAGGAGAACAGTAATACTGTCATGAAGAACGAGTGTGACCTTGATGCTCGATACGGCCGCAAGGCTGGGATGCAGTTGTTTAACACAGTCAGCTGAAACCATCAAACAGGAGCAGCGCCCATTTCTAAAAGCAATCATGGCACTAGAATTTATCGAATAATGTCACACTCAGCAATCGTCCAACCATATGACAACAACTTGTAAATAATCAAGTCTGGACCAGATAAACCAGTGGTTGACACTATAGGCAATGATCCACTTGGTCAGGGAACAATGCCATGCAATTAACCAAACCACAACGCCTGACCATTCGAATCATTAAGTCGCCGTGTATGGCAAAAACAGGTTATTGGTGACCAATTCTGACCCACAATTCCAACGGGGGCATGGAGTGTTGTAATATCCTAGATTACAACAGTCTAAGTAAGGTGAAACACTACCCCAAGGCTCCACCGTGATACATGGCCTTCACTAGCATACATTATCCGTACTGACTACGATGATACAAGATACAGGTTCTTCAGGAATAACCCTATCTTAATGTTATGAACTTTACATGCTAAACCTGGCCTAGCTCTTATTGGTTACATTCACCCATAGCCATTTGCAAGAGTTCAAATGTAGGGCTCTTCAACCTGGCTGGATGCACACAAGCAGATCAGACAGAGGGATGAATGTAGGTCACTTCGAGAAGCATTTTGAGATACACATCAATATCATGACCAGTGTATCGAGATACGTGTCATTGCATCTCTAAATCTAAACACAAAGATTGGTGTCTGGAGAGGGATGTTTTAACACATACCAAGTATTGGTCATGAAGTTTTCTGATTAAAGCAAGGATGTTTACATGTAATATAAAACTTGTGTAACTACATAAATATTTGTCCTTTGTGTAAGTCCACAAGCAATCAATGGACAAATGTCACAAAGTTTTGTGAGATCCGAATACAGCTGGTCAGTCATGCATGGTGCAAGAGACATAAGATGTCAACTGGACTTGACAATAACTTACCCTTTTCACATAAAATATAACGAGAACTTTCATCAGTGTCATGGCTGGGATGAGGGGTGAGAAGAACATGCCCAACCTGTGTGGCAGAGAAACAGAGTCCAGATCAGTGCAAGCAGCTGTGTGCAAACAGATTTACCTCTTGGATTGCTGACACAAAGAGGATTAGTACCTAGCAAACTCAGACTCTTTAACTTATCGCTTATAGTGTTCACGTTTGTTTGTTTAATGCAACACTCAGTAATATTCCACCTACTTTGACAGCAGCCTGTAATAATCATGTCTGGACCAGACAATCCAGTGATTGATATCATATTTTGCTTGTTTGTTTATTGTTTAACGCCTCATTCAGCAATATTCCACCAATATGACGGCAGTCTGTAAATCGAGTCTGGACCAGACAATCCAGTGACTAACATCATGAGCATCTATCTACACAATTGAGACATGATGACATGCATCAACCAAGACAGCAAGCCTGATCACAAAATCCGGTTAGTCACCTCATAAGACAAGCATAGTCGCCTTTTACAGCAAGCATGGGTTACAAAGACCTATTCTAACCCGGATCTTCACAGTCCAACTGAACTCACCAGCACAGTGTCTGTGAATACACAATGTCCAGCACGTTTTTGGGGAGGTCAAACTCCTGCTCTCCGATCAGCTGGATCAGCTTGAATCTGTTGGAGAACTTGTGGACAACCAACCTGAAACAATCACAACATGGTGTCAATATCTGGATATGAAATTTCCCCTCGAATACGAAACTGCCCTCTATGCTTTGGGAATGACTACAGCAGCCATCTTGGTTTGTGTTAGGCTGGCAGTAAATGACAACTTATTTTGGGAGTGCAGGAGGTGGATTGTTGGCTGATGAATACAAGTGTAAGTGTATAGGAAGAACCTGTGTCCGTCTATTTTAACACATGGTAAGTACACAAACCTATTTTTCTGATAAATGTGAGCGAGTGAATGTCATTTTGTGCCACAAGTGGCACATCTTCCCGAGGCAAAGCAGTTAACTGACTTTAAAAGTCCAGTTTCCACTCTGCTGAACTAGGCTGGAATACCTGGGATCGATCGTAGCGCCACCAGTGGTTATTACGAGTTATGTCCCTTATAAGCCTCTTCTATGGACCAAACAGAATCCACCTCTCGTATCTCTTGCGTTTGCCTCAAACAAAATTGCGGCGCCCAGTGAAGACAATCTGATCGATAATCAAGATCTATATTGGGATAAAAATGGGTCTTACATCAAGAAGTGCATCAAATCACATGAGCACCTTGATTTAAAACACGAAAAGACTTGGAAAATATCTGTTGACAACGAGTTGGCGGTGCACATGCTTTGCAAATCATGCAATCAACTGAAATCTGCATGACAGTTTACTAACCGAATTTCGAATTTGATTGGACTATGCATAGACTCGTTAGTCCAGCCAAAATGTAACTCCATAATACCAGCCTACTTTGGCAAGGGTGGAAACTGGACTTTAATACTGAGTTAACTCTCTTGCCTCGGGAAGATGAGGTTGCCATGAACATGCATATGTCAGGTAGACTGGCAAATGACCAGGTCTGTACTTGTCAAACTATTATCTCATAAAAAAACAATTCATTGAAACACATATGCACATTAAATAAGTAACCAGTTCCACACCCTAAAGCAATGGATCAGTGTGTCCTCGATTTTCATTCTCAGCTCCCTTGGGAGTACACCACTGGCTCACAGAGGATCTCCGTGGCCCTGTATATCTAATTGGTTCTGTATCTGCACCTTTAATTAACATAGCTTTTATACATTTGTAAATTCAGAAAGAAGTGCCAAGCAACTGTAAGTACTCACCTTCTGGGAAACTCCACGAGGAATGTGAGAAGTACAACAGTGACAAAGTCCAGTAAAGCCAGCTTGTAGAACTGTTGTCCAACATATGTCTCCCAACACTGCAAACAGAAAACAGTCCAATATATCTAAATATTAGGGCTGGGATGATACACCAACTGTGTGATCTGATATGTATCATGATAACTAGATCATGATCCGATACGTTTCATGATACTTGCTTGAGCTCTTACCTGCCGTGCGTAGGCCATCTTTTTCATAGACAAGATGGACAAATACATGGCACACTGACGATTTACAGTTGGCAGTGTCAAGTATGGCTCAATGGATGAAAATATTTAAGTTTTCACTACCAATTTTCACTACTAATTAGTATTTGATGTAACGTTTATTAAAGCAAACATTTAAGGTATGAATCAATATTTTTTACTTAGTGTTTGACTGTGATGGATCCTTGTATTGAGAAGTAGCGAACTATGATCCACCAATGCATCGATGTATCGTCCCACCAAAACTAAATATATATTAAATTTTCACATATTTAGCTGATGTATTTAGTTTTCAATCAGACAGGTTTGTGAGTCAGACATGTGACTTCTGAACTCAGTAACGCTCAGTAAGCTTCGATTTAACTGAGAATTTCTGCCTCAATGTACCTTAATACTGGTACTGGTATCGTCAGATCCGTTAGACGCTGACCAGCGTTTGTTCCCACAGGTGGAGTCCATTTTGTTATCTCCTCCACCGAGCAGCTGGATGTAAAGGGAGATAATCAACACTCCCAGGGAAGCAAGTCGAAGCAGCACCGTCCTGGAATAAACAACTCACATTTGTCTGTGCATTCATCCTGGGCACCATTCCTTGAAGTCATCTTAGCACTGTTCATAACTCGTTCACTATAATGTTGGATCATGCCAGTTCTAAGACCACTGAGGTAATCCAAACTAGTATACCATGGTTGTTCTAAGATATTTTATTGCGAAATGAGCTTGGCCAGGAGTGTGAAATACGGAAAAATTGTGGACTTAATTGTTAGGTGGCATATATATAAAATAAATCATAAAATTTGTTTCATTTGACCCAACACACATTTATTAAGTCAGTTGCTCAAAACATTAATATTAGTGCCAGATATCATTTTATGATATATGATACAAAACAATTTATTTGGCTTATAAATATTGTCAGACATTTTCTTTACAATGGAACATACCTGAAGAGGGTGATCTTCAGCTCAAAGCTGCTACTGTAGTCCTCAACGATGACGACCTTGGAGAACATGAGGGGGACGAGGAAGTTGAGGACGGTGATGGCGAGGGAGGGAAGGTACTGGTAGATGAGCACCACGATCTCAGCCTGGCCTGTCTTGTCCAGCTACAGCAGGAGGGCAACAATGTGGCATCAAAATATTCAATGTCAGTCACTCCACTTAACTCCACGGGTGGCCCAGTCGTCTAAGGCGCCGCGATTCGCTGTGAAGAGTTGCATCCCTTAGGCACGCCAGAAACCTATGATTGTGGGTTCGAATCCCGGTTCGCCCTGATTATGTTTCTAGGTTTGTCAGCACCATACCCGTGCTCGTGGGTTTCACCGAAGAGGTAAACGTCCGAGACCTGCATCACTTCGAGCTTTCCTCCCACATTAAGCTGACACGCCGTGATATAACTGGAATACTGTTAAAAGCGGCGTTAAATCCAACTCACTCACTCACTCACTCACTCCACTTAACTCCAAGATGAAGGTGTGTTAATATTAATGATTATACATTCCTAGAAACACAATGTACAAAGAATCAAAATGTTGTGTTTGTGTTTTTTCTGTAAAATTTCGAACATGACCTCACACTGTGTCTCTTTCAACACCAGGTTAATAATGGATACATGTGTATTTAGTTGCCCATGCACTGCTGTATTTGACATAGCTGCCCCATGCTGGCATGTAGGATCATCATTACAAGTCTACACGGACTCAGAAGGATAATACTTCACAATAGTTCATGTTTGTTTGTTTGTTTAACGACGCACTCAGAAATATTACAGCTGTATGACAGTGGTCTGGCTATAATCAAGTCTAGACCAGACAATCCAGTGATTGACATCCCGAGAATCTACGCAAATGGGATATGATGACATGCATCAACCTAATGAGTGAGTCTGACCATCTAATCCCTCTTACGCCAAGCTGACTATGCTTGTTGTAAGAGGCAACTAACGGAATCTGGTGATCAGGCTCCCTGACTTGGTTGATGCATGTCATCGTGTCCCAAGTGCATGGATCGATGTTAATGATGTCAATCACTGGATTGTATGTTCCAGATTCGATTATTTACAGACCGCCCTCATATAGCTGGAATATTGCTGAGTGTGGCGTTAAAAACCAAACAACCAACCTACACCAAGCATTGGTTGCTGAAGACCAATTCTCACCAAGATCTTCACGGGATCAATGGTTCATGTATTGTCTACAGGTCAGGGAATAAATCATAGGAATTAGGACTGGGACGGGTAACTCGGGTACATGGGTCGGGTGGGTCCTGGGGACAATAACAATCAAACTCCATGGTTACACTACAAGCCGCTCAATGTTCTCATTCTTTCTGCCTATGCACACATTCATTCTGACTTTTATATGTTTGTGTAAAGATAAAGCTTCAGTCAGCTGCAGTGTATGCATGATCAGACCGTTTAATGTGTGTATCCAAATAGTTTTTCCAGGGCTCCTGTAAAACAATCCCCCGTAAAGGACATTTTGTGCCCAACTCATGAGACCTACAGCGGGTAGCCGGCTAGGGTCAGGTAATTGGGTGTCGGTTACCCAGATAGTAAACTTGGACTTGGACTAGGAATCCAAGTTCTGTTGACAATAAAGAAAACACTTCCCTGAACATTACTGGATTGAGGGCGACTGATTGTAAAAGTGACATAAACAAAAAAAGATTTGAGTTATACCATTGAATATGATAATGTCAAACATATCAACAAGGGGTGACAAATGGTGACAGCTCGATGGTTAACTTCATATTGGAGAAGGTGAGCTTGAGGTGAGGTGAGGTGAGGTGAGGTGAGGTGAGGTGAGGTGAAATTGGGTTTAACGTCGCTTTCAAGATTATTGCACTTACCGTATTCGACGTAACAAGCGCCCAGGGCACTCTCAAAATGAGAAATAGGGGGCTCTTATTAGAATATTATTTTGGTGAAAAGAAAGATGTTGAAAGATCGTAAATTTCGTGGTCAATGCTGACAGCCTGAAAAGTTTATATACGATTTAATTGCCAGGATTTAATTGCCCATAATTATGGGTGCATATAACACACGAGTGCGTATTATACATGAATAAATAAGTCTTGTGTACATTGATCAATCGGATGGGGGGGTGCTAATTGAGATTGTTTACAAGCTAATATATTAGCAAATATTGCCGTGGGCGTTTATTAGTGCGGGGCGCTTATTACGTCGAAAACGGTATATAGCGACGTGCACGCATTGAAGCGGACACCAGTGTGAGGTGTGAGGAAGATGCACGACAGGCTGCATACCTCAAGGAGTGTGTGAGGTGCGAGCAAGGTGCACGACAGGCTGCATACCTCAAGGAGCGTGTGAGGTGCGAGCAAGGTGCACGACAGGCTGCATACCTCAAGGAGCGTGTGAGGTGCGAGCAAGGTGCAGGACAGGCTGCTTACCGCAAGGAGCGTGTGAGGTGCGAGGAAGATGCACGACGGGCTGCATACCTCAAGGAGCGTGTGAGGTGCGAGCAAGGTGCAAGACAGGCTGCTTACCGCAAGGAGCGTGTGAGGTGCGATGAAGATGCACGACAGGCTGCTTACCTGAAGGAGCGTCTCCGTGGTGTAGTAGATTAGGTAGAGAGAGGCACCAAGAATACAGATGACAAACAGGTTGATGAAAATACGGACGAAGATGAGGCGACACTTCTCTCCCATGGATCTCTCGGCCTGTCGATTCCGTCGACGCTCCTCATTCAGGTCATCCTGGATCAAATCACTGCATTGTAATCTCTGAATTGTCTACAAGAACAACTTTTGCAGGTATGATTTTGTACTTATAATATTTTTTTATTATTAAAGCTCTCAACGCTACTGTCGAACCAGTTCGACAGAGTTTGTCACTAGCCATGTTGCTACTGTCGTACCAGTTCGACAGGCGAATAGCATAAGGACACCCACAAACAAAACTCGCCATATCTATTTACCAAGAAGGCTTTGCGTAACATTAAGATTACGTCTGGCATGCATAAATGCTCAGCTTGCTCAATATTAAAACTTTCAGTAGTTTATTTACCTCAAAAAGGCAGGGGTAAGAAGTGTGAAAATAATTCAGCAGGCTAAAGGTTAAGTGACATATATTTGCTAGTTTAGCTTATGGTGATTCTTGTTTCTTATACACAACTGGCAATACATTTACACTATGTAATGACCGAGAGATAAATGTCAAAGCTCCAGCCTTCATAAAGTACCAGTTATGAGTTACCAGTAACAGAATTGTAACACTTATGGCCCTTTGTTGAGGCAGGTGTGAAAGTATCGTGTGTTGCCATACTGGGATAAAACATTGTTGTTGACATATTTCCAGTGACTAGATACCAACTGGTGATAACTGCATATAAAGTTTGGTTGATAGGTGTAATTTTGATTCACAGGAATGCCAGCAATTCAGCTGCTAAAAAGAGGCGAGCAAATATCAGAACTTGTGAATATCCAGGGTAGAATAGGTCTTCAGCAACCCATGCTGCCGTAAAAGGCAACTATGCTTGTCGTAAGAGGCGACTAATGGAATCGGGTGGTCAGGCTCGCTGACTTGGTTGATAGTCCCTCTGCAGATTTAAACTTTTCTACAAACACAAGGTGTTTATCGTGTTTACTGTAAAAGCCTTGTATAAGGAAACTGGTACCTGTAGCTCTCGTGTGAAGCTGGCCATCTTGGAACCGGCGGTCTTCTCATTGGAGATACAGAAGTCCCAGGCACAGAACACCTTGTTGCAGTACAGGGACTTGGAGCTTTCCTGGTCCACCACTGCCTCCTTCACGCTCTTGCCGGAACTGTACAGAACATCACTCAGTCAGGTAGAACAGGTAGAACACATAGAAAACATAGAACACATAGAACACATAGAAAACATAGAAAACATAGAAAACATAGAACACATAGAAAACATGTTGCAGTGATGTTGCAGTGATGTTGCACCTACTTTTTAACGATGAGGATGAAGCTGAGGAGGAAGCAGATGCCGGTGGTCAGCAGGTAGGCCAGGCTCATGTTGTAGGTGCCGTGCTGGTTGTCGGGGAGGGGGTAGGTGCGGTTGTAGTAGACACCATAGAACAGCTCCTTCCTCTCCATCCACCCCTACAACAGGCAGGGAACTATTAGCACACTGGTCTATAGTTAATGTATGGTATAAATCCTCACACCGTTGCCATGTTGCTTGGATTTAAGTTTGAGAACACCATTTTTTAAAAATGTTTTGGAGCTCCATAATGTTTTCGAACATAAACAGGTTCTAAATTATCATGTTTTAAATAACAAAAATAAGAAACTGTAGTTTTTTAAACTACAAAGTGAGAGATATGTACAAAAAATTGTCAGTAAAAAAGGGGCTTGAACACTTAGAAAGCAATCCCAGAGGCCCCACTAAAAATCATACGGTGGCTCCTTTCAGCTTCCCACACTTTTGGTGTCCAATGAAAATCATATGGTTGCTCCCTCCCAAAGTGCCTCCCATACTTACAGTGCCCCCTAAGCCTCCCACACTTACAGTGCCCCCTACAGCCTCCCACACTTACGGTGCCCCCTACAGCCTCCCACACTTACTGTGCCCCCTACAGCCTCCCACACTTACAGTGCCCCCTACAGCCTCCCACACTTACAGTGCCCCCTACAGCCTCCCACACTTACGGTGCCCCCTACAGCCTCCCACACTTACTGTGCTCCCTACAGCCTCCCACACTTACAGTATTCCCTACAGCCTCCAACACTTACGGTGCCCCCTACAGCCTCCCACACTTACGGTGCCCCCTACAGCCTCCCACACTTACCCTGCCCCCTACAGCCTCCCACACTTACAGTGCCCCCTACAGCCTCCCACACTTACGGTGCCCCCTACAGCCTCCCACACATACGGTGCCCCCTACAACCTCCCACACTTACGGTGCCCCCTACAGCCTCCCACACTTACGGTGCCCCCTACAGCCTCCCACACTTACGGTGCCCCCTACAGCCTCCCACACTTACGGTGCCCTGAATGAAGTCCAGGACCATGTCCCCCACAGACTCCCTGGCTGTGATGTTGTCAATGTAGTCCTTGTAGAGAGTCGTGCATCTGTCAGCCTCTTGGAAGTAGGCGTCCGATCGGTTCACTGTGGGGATGTTGTGGAACAAGTCGGGGGTAGGAAGGGCGAAATAGGGGATGACGATGACACAGAACATCAGCAGGAAGATGTACAGGTTGAGGAACATGAGCCAGCGTGTGAAGCGGAAGTAAGACACTGTCGCTGTTCCGAACCGACCTGGGGGATGAGGGAGAGAGAGTATTATGGTAATTGTGTTACATCATCTTTGGAAGGGACAATGTGTTAGAGCATCATTGAACCCGAGAATGACAAAACAGTGGAAGAAAGAGTCAACACTTAACCAGAGACAGCAGTCATTGTGGGTTTTAAGTCAGTGAGTGAGCAGGGCTTCATGCTGATCTCTAGTTTTCAGTTTTATCATAGGATGTCAGCTTCCTGTTGGAGTGAGTATGGTTTTATGCCAATTTAAAAAAAATATTCCAGTAATATCAAAACAGGTGACACCAGAAATCGGCTTCACACATTGTACCCATGTGGGGAATCAAACCCAGACCTTCGGGTTGATATGAGAGAACCACTAGGTTAACCCACCACCCCACTTTATGTTGGAGGAAAGCCCATGTAAACAAACTACACAGAACCACCCATGTAACCTCACTACCCTGAACCACCCATGTAACCTCACTACCCTGAACCACCCATGTAACCTCACTACCCTGAACCACCCATGCAAACCTCACTACCCTGAACCACCCATGTAACCTCACTACCCTGAACCACCCATGTAACCTCACTACCTTGAACCACCCATGTAACCTCACTACCCTGAACCACCCATGTAACCTCACTATCCTGAAACATCCATGCAAACCTCACTACCCTGAACCACCCATGTAACCTCACTACCCTGAAACATCCATGTAAACCTCACTACCCTGAAACATCCATGCAAACCTCACTACCCTGAACCACCCATGTAACCTCACTGCCCTGAACCATCCATGTAAACCTCACTACCCTGAACCACCCATGTAACCTCACTGCCCTGAACCATCCATGTAAACCTCACTACCCTGAACCACCCATGTAACCTCACTACCCTGAACTACCCATGTAACCTCACTGTCCTGAAACACCCTTGCAAACCTCACTGTCCTGAACCATCTATGTAACCTCACTGTCCTGAAACTACCTTGTAAACCTCACTACCCTGAAACACCCATGTAACCTCACTACCCTGAACCACCCATGTAACCTCACTACCCTGAAACACCCATGTAACTTCACTGTCCTGAACCACCCATGTAACCTCACTACCCTGAAACACCCATGTAACCTCACTACCCTGAACCACCCATGTAAACCTCACTACCCTGAAACACCCATGTAACCCCCCCCCCCCCCCCCGAACCACCTATGTAACCTCACTACCCTGAACCACCCATGTAACCTCACTGTCCTGAAACACCCTTGCAAACCTCACTACCCTGAAACATCGATGCAAACCTCACTGTCCTGAAACACCCTTGCAAACCTCACTACCCTGCAGGATCCATGCAAACCTCACTGTCCTGAAACACCCTTGCAAACCTCACTGTCCTGAACCACCCATGTAAACCTCACTACCCTGAACCACCCATGTAAACCTCACTACCCTGAACCACCCATGTAAACCTCACTACCCTGAAACACCCATGTAACCTCACTACCCTGAACCACCCATGTAAACCTCACTACCCTGAAACACCCATGTAACCTCACTACCCTGAACCACCCATGTAAACCTCACTGTCCTGAAACACCCTTGTAACCTCACTACCCTGAAACACCCATGTAACCTCACTACCCTGAACCACCCATGTAACCTCACTACCCTGAACCACCCATGTAACCTCACTACCCTGAAACACCCATGTAACCTCACTACCCTGAACCACCCATGTAAACCTCACTACCCTGAAACACCCATGTAACCTCACTACCCTGAACCACCCATGTAACCTCACTACCCTGAACCACCCATGTAAACCTCACTACCCTGAAACACCCATGTAACCTCACTGTCCTGAACCACCCATGTAACCTCAATACCCTGAAACACCCATGTAACCTCACTGTCCTGAACCACCGATGTAAACCTCACTACCCTGAAACACCCATGTAACCTCACTACCCTGAAACACCCATGTAACCTCACTACCCTGAAACACCCATGTAACCTCACTGTCCTGAACCACCGATGTAAACCTCACTACCCTGAAACACCCATGTAACCTCACTGTCCTGAACCATCTATGTAACCTCACTACACAGAACCACCCATGTAACCTCACTACCCTGAACCACCCATGTAACCTCACTACCCTGAACCACCCATGTAACCTCACTACCCTGAACCACCCATGTAACCTCACTACCCTGAACCACCCATGTAACCTCACTACCCTGAACCATCCATGTAACCTCACTGTCCTGAACCACCCATGTAACCTCACTACCCTGAACCACCCATGTAACCTCACTACCCTGAAACACCCATGTAACCTCACTACCCTGAAACACCCATGTAACCTCACTGTCCTGAAACACCCTTGCAAACCTTTTTAACAATCACGTTTCTATTAATGATTCTGAAATAATCCTGGACATCTGTTTGAAAAATTATGTGATTTTGTTCAGCGAGTCAAATAACATTATAAGCCCGATAACATGAAAAAAACAAATACATTACAACCGTATCTGTTATCTGCATTGATAGATATATATGGAGATGTTTAGAAAAAAATATTCCAATTCAGGGTTAGAAATTCCTTGTATCGCAGAGATGGCACACTTAGAGATCCTGTTTGTTTAACAACAAGACCTTGTTATCCTGTTTGAAACCACAAATAAACAACATTTGTAAAGAAGCAGTTTTGAGCCATTTCAACTATTTCTACATTATTTTGTGACAAACATTAGCCTGTCCTTTTCACAAAATGTTGGTGTTTTTTTATGACAAAGGATGCCCTAAATTCAGCAATAACTGTAATGGTTATCCCTAGGGAGCTGGCAGGACAGGATTTCAAGGAGAATTCACCTCCTGTCACTACAGTGTGTAGTCAACACAAACTCATTAAATAACCAGTAGCTATGAATATTGGTGTACACACCCTCGATCTCCTTGAAGGTGCTTGCCCATAACTCCAGCTGGTACAGCCATCCCTTCAGTTGAGACCTCTTCTTCTGCCAGCTCTGAAACACACATGGCCATCATCATCAAGTGCTTCACAACGGCAGCTCGGTGACAGGTGGTCGGAGCACTTATGACCTAGTCACACTGGACATCTTGGTTATTACAAACTGGGTTATATCAATAATGTCAGCCATGAAGTTGTAATGAAAGTAAATGTCACAGTAATCGATGTAATCGAATCGCCCGCCTCCTTCATAAATACCCTAACTTCATCACAACATCCCATTTCCAGTCGCATTTCAGAGCAACTTGTGACAGCTCTGGTGCTGAATCCATCCTGTCCTTGTCTCACTTATTTTAATCAGTTTTATAAACTTTGAATTTCATTTTCACATGGAGAATCTCACCCTTGTGTCTTCGGATATCAAATATATCAACAGGGGTGGATAAAAGTTTAAAACTGTGAGGCTTGCTGTGTTGTTTTAATTGATATCAAAAGACATGAGGGAGAGATTCTATTTATCATCCAACATCATTCTTCCAACCTTTTCAGTTTGTACCAGTGTCTTGAGTGTGAAAAATAACAGCCAACCAGCTTCAGTGGCAGAGGGATTAGTGATGTCATTTATTGTGATGTCACGGCAACCAATGAGATCACAATGGTCTGCAAAGTATTGTGGTGCAATGTCATTGCACCATTGTCTCCTAGTAGATCTCACCTCCAATATCTCTTGTGGAGGCCAGTTTTGGATGATAAATTAACAACTCCGAGGCATGTGACACCACTATGGAGTCAATTGGATTCCAAATTGTAAACACTTAAGTATTAAATATGAAGCAATAAACACTATTTCCAGTCTACAAATGTTCCTGCTTCTTCACACAACACTGGACATACACACTGTACGCTTTCGAAAGGCCATTATATTTTTTATTTGTTGGATCATTGATCTATCGACCCTATCTTTTTAAAAACTGGAAAAAAATTAATCCTAAGTTACACTTTTGTTTACTTTCAACCGACACATCAAAGACACAAAAGTATTTTGAGATTATTCAGTGTTTAACAAAAATCATCTATCATGCTCAATTTGACATTAATATTTCGCCAAATCGTTCAGCTTCTATTCAAAAAACTTTTTTATACCTCCTCTGACTTTGACTTCACCAAAAAAAATCTGTGATCCAAAAAACACAATTATTTTGGCCTTACTAGTTACATATTGAAGGCGAATAATGGGATTGGGTGGTCAGGCTTGCTGACTTGGTTGATGTATGTTGTCATATCCTAATTGTGTGGGTGATATCAGTCACTGGATTGTCTGATGCAGACTTGATTATTTACAGATCGCCATCACACAGATGGAATAGTGCGGGTTAAACAACAAACAATCATATTGAATCTCTTTTCTGAACAACTAAAAGAGACAATAAAAATACAAACTTCAACTGTAACAATAAATTGCTTACCTGTTTAATACTTTGTTTGACGGATGAGACACCCCCGGCTTGTAGGGCAGCAGTGTCTCTGAAATGTTGAAAGATTACCATGAATAATCGAGCCCAGTGTCAACATGCCAGCGGCCATGTCTTCCCTAAACACTCACTGTGTATCAACTTGCTGAACCATCAAGTATGGGTCAGATGCTGACAATGCAAGAATCAAAATCAGACCGAAACTGGGATTCAAACCCAGTATCATCGGATTCTGGCACAACCAAGGGGCACAACTCTGCACAGCAACTTGCCACATCTTGGACAACTGGGCCACCTTTGAACCCTACAATTGTAGGGTACATGGAACAGATAAAACCTTTAACTAAACACAACAACTCATCTTTAATACAAATGTTTCTGCAAGATGACAGCAGGAGACGGTTGTGCACCAAGGGAGACAATTATGTGGGTAATATGTCAAAATTGTGGTTCATCCTGTGTATGGATGTCTGCAAAGAAAATAAACCCAACTATCGTTTCCTCCAGAGAACCCAACACAAATATTGGCTTTACACATGCATTATGATCAGCTATTCAATTATTCATTGTTCTTAGTGAATTCGCAACATCAAATTTGATATTTCCCTGAACAGTTAGCAATATAACTCAATCATTATACAACTGTCTAGTACACTGAAACAGGAGGGAATGCGGCAATGTTTGGACGTTGACTTCCTGGAAAGGCTAATTGTACGAAACAACAAACCATATCAAATATCTTCGTGGGAAGAGGACTTAGAATCAATATTTCAAACTGTGGATGCCCGCTTTTTTCCTTACAAAGTCTCAACCAAATTACTTCTTCCTGACACAAATGGTAACCGTACTCTACTCAACAAGCAATGTTTGTCAGAACCAACGATACTACTACTTCCCTATAGTATTTGTAATTTCTGTAGCATCAATTAGAAACTCCTATTGCTGATGTACTTCCTTCTATTTATCTTCAGAGCAATATATTTCTTTGTTGGCACATCCTGAGGTAATAACAATGGAGGTTTCTTAATTACAGCCATGAATTCATATTGAAATTTTAGTCTTAAGTGCTCCGACTGTGCAGAGTTTGTGCTGTCAGTGATGATCAGTGCCAGTGTTGTGTCACGCAGGCCCTGAAACCAGAGATGAGACCTTGCTGGATCCACCTTGCCAAGGTGGGCCGAATCTAAACAGGTCACGAGACAAGTTTTATGAGAATAGTATCTGGACGATCTCCTTCCAATATCTCATTAACTGTGTAAGTGGACAGACATATCCTGGTCACACCCAGCGTTTCAGATAATACTTGGAGTTTGTGGCAACATTATCCTGAATTAATACCGGACATTACACCTTCATGTCATAAACGCATACACAGATCTCATTACTGGTTAACATTCTAACTGCTTCTTTGGCGTGAACAAAATTTCTTCTATCATTAGTAAGAGTTGTGAAATTTTAAGGAATGCTATTCCAAAAGTTCAAGCTCAAATAGCCGAAGAGGATTAAAAAATAGCCAGCAATTCTTTTCTGGCACCAAGCTATTATCCTCTAACCCAAATGGCTTACCTAAACTGGGAGAGGATGTAAATTAAAAGGACCTATTTTTTTCATTGTGTGTGTGCCCATACTCCATTAGTGTCTGTGGGGAATATGTCCTTCATTATGCCTGGTTCTCATTCTATCAAGAACAAAACACATTAATAAATGTTGCGTGTTAACAATCAGTTTGATGGAAAATGTTTTAAACAATAACATGTTGATACAAAAGTGTTAAAAGATTAACCAATTGAGTAAACTGTTGTTGGAGAGACAATCAGAAGATAATTCTAAACATTCGAGATGTAACTATTCACAGGTGATATGTTCAGTGAAATGTACAAGAAGAATATATATTGTGTTAAGAAATAGACAAGTTTATATTCCAGCCAAATACCAGTGTGCTATGAAATATACAGACAACAATAAGAAATATATACAGACTTTTTTCAGGCAACAAATCACAATTAATCTATTTCCATTATTCTTTTCAACAAAAGGAAATAGTATTACGACTATTTTCTGAATAAGTGATTCATTTGCATCACCACAAAAATGCAATGTTTCAAAGGGCCATCCAGGACATGACGTTGACCTGCGGTTTATGTCTGTAGCTTACATCATGCCTCTCCTATTAAAAATACATAAAGATGAAGGAATTCCCCCTCCAGGACTTTGTGATGCACGCATCTAATGACCGTACAGTAGCCTCAGTGCCCATTAACTGGGTGTTACTGTATTCAGAGAGTGTATGGTCCCTGCTGTATACATTGAGCTATAACTGCAAACTGCCTATGTTTCTCATACAGTATAAATAAGTCATTGTTGCTGTGCTGAATGTTGATTTGGTTATTAACATGACAATATATCCCTAACATTTACAAATGAGTTTCATAAATCTACATCACTGAGATGTATGACCTGTTATCCCCTGTCAATATGACATGACATACAAGCGATATCGACATGTCACTGAAATGTACTACAGGCAACTGACAATATGACATGACATACAAGTGATATCAACATGTCCCTGAAATGTACTACAGGCAACTGACAATATGACATGACATACAAGTGATATCGACATGTCCCTGAAATGTACTACAGGCAACTGACAATATGACATGACATACAAGTGATATCGACATGTCCCTGAAATGTACTACAGGCCACTGTCAATATGACATGACATACAAGTGATATCGACATGTCACTGAAATGTACTACAGGCCACTGTCAATATGACATGGCACACAAGTGATATCGACATGTCCCTGAAATGTACTACAGGCAACTGACAATATGACATGACATACCACATGTTTACTGAAGCTGAAATCTCTATTTGCCTGGTATCCAGTTTCAGAAAGCCTTCCCCTCTGATATGAAGATAGCATTCAGTTTTTTCCTTCCAAAGTTTAAGATGACAGGTCTAGGAGAAATATGACACTATTCAAACATATGCTGGTTGATTATGTCAAAAGAAGTTTATAAAAGCCAGCACGATTTGAAAATGCTTTGTCATGGAGAGAATCTGACACGCACTGGTTATTGACAGGCATGTGCATCAGCTGTCTGAACAGCCAAAGCCTCAGACACTGTCGGTACATTTGTAGGAAAGATGCAAAGTAAATGAAGTAATAATAGCAAGAAAACAGCGTTATCACTATACCCCGCCATGAGACACAGTAGAAGTTTGTTTGTTCATATAGTAGTGAACATAAACTACAAAAAGAGCCCCTTAAAGCCTTAAGAAGAGATAGGCACTTGGGACGCTTATCATCATCAGAAAGAATTATGAAATGTGAAATTAATACACATAAAAGGCCATTTCTCTGGAAAAAATATCTGAATCTTTATAGGTATCTCTTAGATTAGCTAACTTCAGTTGTTTCTGAGAAAACTTGCCCCCATTGCACAAATAACCTAGATCGAAGGCCATACCACTGTAAACAATTAACTTACGGGACCAATTTCCGAACTCTGTCTTGACACTTATCACTTAGATAAGCATGCAAACTTTCATTCTTGTAGCTTCAGTAGTTTCCAGAACACAGGCCTGTACCAGTGCTTAAAATATCCTGCAGCCAGACAGACAGTCGTTTTTGCTGACAGACGGTCAGTTTTGAAAAGTAGCACGCCCGATGGTCGGGCTACTATTGTATCCCTAAATTACCTGAGTCTTAATTCAATGTAAGAGGAAAATTAACTGTAAATGTTTAACACATTATTGAGGATTGAAATTTTAACAAGTTAAAGTTACTAAGTTGACAATCCACTAGTTTATTGTTATTTTTTGAGAACTAACATTAAACAGAACTATTAATGTTTACTCTTCTAACTATTGTCCGTTTCTCTCAAAAATTCTGGAATGGCAACATTTTATCTGGTCTGGTAACTTGGCAAAGTTGCCAGTCTGGTTGTCTGACTGAAATTTCTGGGAATTTCATACACTGCCTGCATGCTTTCTTATTTCGTTGTATGTGGATTTCACATTTTGTTCTTCATAGAGGCATGTATCTACATCTGTTGCTATGTGCCGTGAGGGTCTCACTGCTGAACCTAACGTAACCGAGTGCAGCATCACCTCCTGCAGAGAAACACTTCTGTGTAGTGGAAGTATGCACCTGGTAGAACAAACAAATACCGCTTTTCAGATTTGATATCTTTCCATTTTTTTATTTATTTTAGGGTCAGAAAAAGCTGTAAACCAAAACGAAAAGCATGTTACATTGCTGATCAACTGTTCATAAAAACCTCGAGCTATCAGAACCCAAAAGTAGTGATTGTTCATCTTATTTATTTCATAAACAACGTATCCCAACTTCAAGATACAGATACCAACTCACTCCATGAACTGTAGACTAACATCTAGTCTCTGAAATGAACATATTTTACAGAAAAAACAGTTGTTAATTAGTCATAAAATATAATAAAAAGGAGCCCAGAGACATTCTTCATTTTCTAGACTTGCCAAACATTATAGACTTGAATGGGTTTTATTGGATATATTTGTTTCAGCGTCTGTATGACAGATTACATGAACTATTCGGTAAGTGCTAAACGTGTACTGGCTTTAAGTCTTGCATCTAACTGATTCACAGTCATCCGTCCACATTGGATACCAGAGATGAATGGCTGACTGTGAGGCAGATAGCTGAGGTGAGGTGAAATGAGGTTTAACGTCACACTTAAGATTATTGCACTTATATAGCAACATGCATGCATGTGTGTGTGTCTGCTTGTACTTGTGAGATTGTGGTCCAGACTTATGCCAATCTTATAGTGCTAGCCCACTGAGATACCATGCCGCAGTTTAACATGAATACCCCACTCAGATACAGTACTGACTTTTGGAGCTATTTGGTTCACTGCCATTGGATAGCTTCAGTTCAGCACTAACCTCATTTTGAGTAAAGTCCAACTTGTCATCATGAAAACAGAAATAATAATTAAAAAAAATAAAAATCCCTAATCATCTAAAGGCACCAGTTCACAACTAGATAGGTGTGTATAGCCAGTTTCATCAGAAATATTCAACGCATTTGCTGTTTCAAACATTTCAAACCGGGGGATAAAAATATAATCCAAATGGAGCCCAGAACAATGTTTAATTTCAGGAGAAAATCAAGATTTGTCAAATCATTACAGACTTGAGTTGGATTCCCAAGGGTCTGGTATAGAGACTAGAGAAAACCAGATGAGATACAAGAATGATAGTTTAGTTGAAAAATATGACTTGGTGTGTTGGTGGTGCTCCGTTACTTGAGTGAGTGAGTGAGTGAGTGAGTGAGTGAGTGTGAGGTTTTATGCCGCTTTTAGCAATATTCCAGCAATATCACAATGGGGGACACCAGAAATGGGCTTTGAACCTGGGTCTTTGGTGTGACGAGTCAACGCTTTAACCACTAGGCTAACCCTCCGCCCCTCTGCAACTTGAACTGACAAAGATTAAACATCAGTATGATGATTTGTGTTATGCAAGTTTATGGGGATAAGATAAATACTTGATTGGTTGTTTTTAAGGTTTGTGTAGACATGGGAGAAATGTGGAGCTTACTTTCAAGGGGACCCTTCACCCAGGTTCACTCCCAACTCAGGGAGTCCATTGAACATAAACAAATACAATAACAGGTGGAATAAGCATAAATCTGTCACACGACACCAGTCATCTATTAGTCAAATTAATTCTCAAATAATTGAAGCACATGGAACACATGGTGTTTCCTTGGGCACGTGACTTTGTTCGAAATGTGCCTCTGTTCACCCAGCAGTGAATGGGTACCTGGTGGGATGAAATGACAATGTTGGTGTTAACCTTCTAGCGCCTAGCAGGCATCATCATCATCATCATCATCATCATTTACAGATTAAAATATACAATGCAGCTAAGAAGGTATGTTTTTTTAATTTTTTAATTTTTTTTTATTATTATTATTATTATTATTATTATGATTATTATTATTATTAATGTTTTTGAGAAAATCTTAATTTTCTGTCAGAAAATTGACAAGTGAAATTGAATGAGCAATGATAAGTGTGATCCTGATGTTGTTGGGTATATAAATGAGCACTTCACATCCTACAATTTACCTCATTGCTTCAGCTGCATCAGTTGTCGATTGCACCTTATCCATGTAACGTTCATGAAGGGATTTCTGCTTGACACGAGCCTGCAGACTTGGTAGTAATCCTTCCATGTCTTCATCATCATCACCATCTTTCTCATCCTCGTCCAAACCACGTCGACGTCGTGACAAAGTCATTGCAGATTTACGTGACTTTTGACTCTTTCTCCGGAGCCGAATTGTGTGCAGTTTATCCCAGACATTTTCTCCCATTGCAAACTCACCAAAATTCAAGCTGTACACAGAATGATTGTCGTTGTCTGTACGATAATGCCGTCCATGATGCTGTATGTAGCGTCCATCTACTTCGTCACTGTACCGTCCCAGTTGCGGATGGTGGGAAGAATCGGAAACAACATCCGGAGATGTTCCATTGTCCGACATCTGGAAGGCTTCATTCCTTGTAATCTCAGGTGATCGGCCACGCTGTTCCATATACCTTTCTCTCTCATAATCATCTATCGCATAAACTTGTGGTCCGTCTGGAAACCCTTGATTGTCATATCCACCTGAGCCTTGTCGGCTGTGCTGCCGGGCGGGAGAATACCCCCTCTCAACATCAGATCTATCCCTTCCATAGGGAATGTTGTCATCTGAGGATCTGTACCCAGCGTTTACCCCTCCTCTGTTCATGTCCTCTATGGAAGACCTGTACCCCCCTGGACCCAACTCGGACCTGTTCCCTCGGTCCATGTCACGGCCTGACTGTCTCGTCCCACCACGGGTATACGCTCCTGGTGGCTGCTGACTGGGTGAAGTCCAACCTGGGCCTCTTTCAGGTGATTGTCTTGGACTAGCGTTGTCCTCGTAATCCGGGGCCACATTATCCCAGTCATCAGGTGTAGGGTTACCCTGCGTATGACCCCGTGACCTGCCTCTATATTTATCCATGCTGAATCACACTAACTACCGTGATCAGTGAAGCACGTCAGCTCTCCAGACACAAACGTTGCTTCAATGTGTATCATTACAGTGAGGAGATGAGTACAGACGTGATGTCACATGCTTTGAGACATCAAAATCCTATGAAAATTCGCCAGAACCAATTGAGTACAGACTGAGGCCGTTTACACTGTCCACAAACCGCCAAGGCCAATACACGACCTCCCTGGATAACCTGTAGCAAAATTAAACACTTGAAAACATTTTTTTTAAAAAGGGAAAATTAGAGGATTTCCACATTACTGAGATCCATCAAAGGGCAAATTATATCACACACTCCAATGAAATACACATCCCCTCTCGTGAAATGACAGGCGCCCCACCGCCCGACTGCCCTACTACAGCTGGTGTCTACGACAGGAGACTACGGGTATTGATCTCACAACATCGTGTTTGCCATACTTCATGAATAGACCATTAACTTTGTATTGTGTACAACAAACAACACCACATAGTTGTGAGTATTACGGAAACAAGAACATTAATTGACTAATGATTAACAATGATGTATCAATTTGTAATAAATGGAGTTATGGATTAAATGAAGATGAACATCATTGTCTGCTGGTTAATGTCTCCCCTAGGGTAAACTTCAGCACTTCCCCGAATGACATTGGGCTGATAACACGAATAATACTGCATCCTCAAAAACATTTTCCTGCACCGGTCTTACTATTGTTTGTCCACCCTGTCTGCCTGGTGTCGACTCAGTGTAGTGTGACTGTGTAGTGTGACTGTGTAGTGTGACTGTGTAGTGTGACAGTGTAGTGTGACTGTGTAGTGTGACTGTGTAGTGTGACTGTGTAGTGTGACAGTGTAGTGTGACTGTGTAGTGTGACAGTGTAGTGTGACTGTGTAGTGTGACTGTGTAGTGTGACTGTGTAGTGTGACTGTGTAGTGTGACAGTGTAGTGTGACTGTGTAGTGTGACAGTGTAGTGTGACAGTGTAGTGTGACTGTGTAGTGTGACTGTGTAGTGTGACAGTGTAGTGTGACAGTGTAGTGTGACAGTGTAGTGTGACTGTGTAGTGTGACAGTGTAGTGTGACAGTGTAGTGTGACTGTGTAGTGTGACTGTGTAGTGTGACTGTGTAGTGTGACAGTGTAGTGTGACTGTGTAGTGTGACAGTGTAGTGTGACTGTGTAGTGTGACAGTGTAGTGTGACTGTGTAGTGTGACTGTGTAGTGTGACTGTGTAGTGTGACTGTGTAGTGTGACAGTGTAGTGTGACTGTGTAGTGTGACTGTGTAGTGTGACTGTGTAGTGTGACTGTGTAGTGTGACATTGTAGTGTGACTGTGTAGTGTGACAGTGTAGTGTGACTGTGTAGTGTGACTGTGTAGTGTGACTGTGTAGTGTGACAGTGTAGTGTGACTGTGTAGTGTGACAGTGTAGTGTGACTGTGTAGTGTGACTGTGTAGTGTGACAGTGTAGTGTGACTGTGTAGTGTGACTGTGTAGTGTGACTGTGTAGTGTGACAGTGTAGTGTGACTGTGTAGTGTGACAGTGTAGTGTGACTGTGTAGTGTGACTGTGTGTGACTGTGTAGTGTGACTGTGTAGTGTGACAGTGTAGTGTGACAGTGTAGTGTGACAGTGTAGTGTGACAGTGTAGTGTGACAGTGTAGTGTGACAGTGTAGTGTGACTGTGTAGTGTGACTGTGTAGTGTGACTGTGTAGTGTGACTGTGTAGTGTGACAGTGTAGTGTGACTGTGTAGTGTGACAGTGTAGTGTGACAGTGTAGTGTGACTGTGTAGTGTGACAGTGTAGTGTGACAGTGTAGTGTGACAGTGTAGTGTGACAGTGTAGTGTGACAGTGTAGTGTGACTGTGTAGTGTGACTGTGTAGTGTGACTGTGTAGTGTGACAGTGTAGTGTGACAGTGTAGTGTGACAGTGTAGTGTGACTTGTGCAGGGAACTAGAATCACACACATCTGCCACTGGGTATGTGGCCATGAAAACAAAACTGTCCTTAATAATTGATGGGTTCACTTGCGTACTTACAAATATGTTCTGTGCTCATTTAACTCTGACAACACACAGGACCAGGTCCAAGATCACCCACGACTACATTTAACTCTGACAACACACAGGACCAGGTACAAGATCACTCACGACTACATTTAACTCTGACAACACACAGGATCAGGTACAAGATCACTCACGACTACATTTAACTCTGACAACACACAGGACCAGGTACAAGATCACTCACGACTAGTCAACAGAGGTGCTTATTTCCATAATTTTATCATGAAATCATTCATATCAGTATATAACCCAAATATTTTCATATAATCCAAAACATACTTTTTTCTGCTTGAAAGAGTTATTAATTAATAAGACCTACGTTAGAATGATCAACATTTTCACAGGAATGTAACAACACATGATATACACATACAAAAACCAACAGTTCAATATCTCTTAATAAAACTGATACCATATGTCAACATAATAATATTCTGTTATCACAATCAAATATTGACACAACCAACCTGCAACAGAATCCACTCAACCATCGGACTCAACCACACATAATTCAGATACTTGTATTTCCCACACCAAAGCAGGAGGGCTGTGGGGGCACAGACGGAGTTGGATTAGTTCTATATGATAGTATCCACATGACTATTCCGGAACATACTCACACGGTGAAGATAGCCAGTCAACCCTGAACTTAACACCACAGCCTCAACGTAACACCTCACTAGGTACACTGCCTACAGGATCAATTTAGAAGTTTTATGCCTTCTACTTCCTTCCTTCCTTCCACTCAAACTCTCACTCACAAATATACTACCTTGACCCGAGCCCGGTAGTGCACAGGTTGAATTTCACCAAGGTTTTGTGAGCAGTGTTCTACTGAAGCATGGAGCTGTGACTAGCTGGGTAAACAGGCTTGGAGTCTGAGAAACAATGCATACCCCGAGTGGAGGGCTAATAGCCTGGCTTACCCTGTGAATGGGCCACACTGCCCTGAGGAATGCCTGGTCCTGATACACAGAAGCAGGTTGCCTTCACACCACACTGGTGTATATATAGCAGCCTGCAGAGGAATGGGCACTGTCACAGGCCACTGTATGAAGGCTGAAAGGCTGGGTGTGGAGATGCACATCGCTGCAGTGTGTTGCTGCACAGTAACGTGTCAAGTACGGGCGTGAAACTGGGATGTTTTGGTACGGAGGAAAATGGGAGGGAAAATTGTAAAACATAAAATTTCAAAAGTGACTTAAACTGTCTTGTAAATTTTAATTTTAATTTAATTTTATCAGCATATGATATTAATTACATACTGATGACATTCAACTGTTATGTTTAGCACTGATTAATCACTACAGAAGTTAAATATCACACATCTCAATTTCATTCACACGAGGTCAACAAACAAACAAACAAACAAACAAACAAACAAACAAACAAACAAACAAACAAACAGATCCTGTGAGTGTCAACGTACATGAACCTGACCTGACAATCAGCCTTCTAACAGGTGTACATATCATTTTACAGGTGTGTATAATACCGGTAACATTATGACATTGTACAGGTCGGTATGTCCTCCAGACAAATAGGTTATATCACTAACTTGCATGATGTAACAGGTCGGTCACACTTCAATGACATTGGTGTATTTACACCTCTCAGATAATAACTTACAGGTAAACATGTAGAGCCATCACTTGACTGATTGGTTAGTGTGAAAGCCACACCTTGCTTACAAGTTGTCCATCACATTCTCTTTATGGGATTTGTTTAAACTTAATATGCAATCCACTGAATGGCAATAATAATTATTATCATAAGCAAACAGTGTATTGACAAAAGAAAACTATTTAGAGCATGTATTTTGAAACATCATTTGATACAAAGGGTACTGAAAATGTTGAAGACGTAATGTCAAAAAACTTTCAACATGTTATTTTTTCATTGTTTAAAGGACCTGTGAAGATCTTGGTATGAATTGGTCTTCAGCAACCCATGCTTGTTGTAAGAGGCACCTAACGGGATTGGGTGGTCAGGCTTGCTCACTTGGTTGATGCAAGTCATCCCAGTTCCAAAGATCAATGCTCATGATGTCAATCACTAGATTGTCTGGCCCAGACTTGATTATTTGCAGACCGCCGTTATATAGCTGGAATATTGCGTTAAGCAGAAAACATTAACAGCTTGACAAATACATATAGATCCCACTACTTGGATGATATAAAATGCTGGCTTAAAACTCTTTTTGACTGTTTTGAACCTGGACTCTGTTTAACTATATTCGTATAACTAGTACTAAGCAGAACCCGATTCACAAAGCGTTCTTAGTGCTACGGCTCTCGTAAGTCAGTGTAAAAAAGAATGAGAGTTACGATCGTCTTAGTGCAAAGATTGCTTGGTGAAATGGGCGGTGTTTAGAACTAGTGTGACATTTGTCTGTATGACGGCACAACAGCAGATGTGACTACTACTAATCCTGAGATCCCCTTACTAACTAATCCCACTGCAGACCTATATTGATGCAACTCCACCCACAGATGTTGATGAAGAAGTGTGTCAGTTGGACACAGCTGGCCAGGATGACAAGCTTTTGTTCATCACACAGGTTGGTCGTGCTGCTAGCACATGCATGGCAGGCCACAGTGACACAGTGCCACAGTGCTACAGTGCCACAGTGCTACAGTGCCACAGTGCCACAATGCCACAGTGCTACAGTGCTACAGGACGCCTTCATTGCATTTCTTCACCATTTGGGTTTCTGCCCAGGAGGAATTGCTCCCCGGTACCCTATGCTAGTCGAACGAGCTGACTTAGAATATTATGGTACAATGTGTGTCTTTGTGCTCTGATGATCTTCATTGCTCATGCTATCAACCACTGGTTTACATGTGTTACCATGACGACATCAGCATAAAGTAACATTCACTCACTCACTAATGAAGGTACAGGCATACTCAAACTTAGACTGGACACAAACTGTTTGATAGGCATTACTAAGAAGTTAATGCACGACCATAGATAGCAACTTCTTTATTTTACTGTAATGGTGACGTTTCGGTACAGATCCTTATACCGTTGTCAAGCAAGGCTGAATAGTTCGATTCTTGTAAGTCAGCATGTGTTCTCTGTCCATCATGTTGTGACAGGATTATACTTCTGTTGTCATTAATTAACCTCCTCATGTTAATCTCCCTCATGTATGCAATTGGTGTTACTTTTAATCCTCCACCTACTATATATATTCTGTACCATGTTCATCATTCAGCCTTGCTTGACAACGGTACAAGGATCTATACTGAAACGTAGTCCTTACAGTAAACAAAGAAGATGTTATCCCTGAACTGTGTCTACTTTGAATTGTTTGACAGGCATTACTTAGAAGTTGGCGGATGACAAAGTTGACACAGTTTATGGATAACAACTTCTTTAATACTGTAAAGGCGACATTTCGGTATAGATCCTTATACCGTTGTCAAGCAGAACAAGCAGCAAATCAGTCATCTCGGACCATATCAGCAACTGTCCTAATCACAACATCAACTGGGACAACGTCCAAATCCACTCCAACAACCTCCAAGATTTCACTGAAAGAAAACTAACAGAAGCTGTCCACATTCGCCGCCACAAGCCATCAATCAACAGAGATCAAGGCTGCTTCATCCCATCCGCCTACTATGAACTCATTAAGCAATAATCACCACACCTATGCAAACATATCCTGTTTATAATTGGCTTCCACCTATGTGTTCTCTGTCCATCATGTTGTGACAGTATTATCCTTCTGTTGTCATTACTTACTCCTGTTATCCCACTCGTGTATGCAATTGTTGTAACTGTTAATCCTCTACTGTTAATCCTCCACCAACTATATATATTCTGTACAATGTCCCTCATTCAGTCTTGCTTGACAACGGTATAAGGATCTATACCGAAACATTGCCTTTACAGTATTTAAGAAGTTGTTATCCATAAATTGTGTCTACCTTGTGTCTACTTTTGATTTGACACCTCTAAATTAAAAACAATAGTTTGACTGTATCCCTATTTTTTTCAAATTTTATGACAAGAATACATTCAACAGCAGGTGTTGTCCTTGAGTTGTCTGTCATAACATGCTCCCAATAACTGAGTATTTGTCCAAATATGGTCAAACCACACTTCCATTCAATTGAAGAAATAGGATCTCTTCTCTTCTGTGAAATATACATTATTTGATAAAAAGTCTATGATGTATTTTTCTCCAAAAGACATTTTTGATTTATTGCTAAGATATGGAAGTGAATTCATAGAAATAAATCTATTGATATCATGAAAATGCCTATAACTAGTTCTATACAATGCCTAATACTAGTTCTATACAATGCCTATAACTAGTTTGACACAAAGTCATCCAGCTGTAGGTAATTGGATGGCCTGCTGAATGCTCTGATATACCGGGTGCTGAGTTGTTCACAAACGGGAGTGACAGCAGGATATAGCCAGGGTAAAGGGAACAACTCCCCCGACAACAGTGATTCCAGAAGCTTCAATCTATATAGCATTCATGCATAATAATAGCCTATAATAGCATTCATGCATAATAATAGCCTATAATAGCATTCCCGAACAGCTGAATTAATTCAAAGTTGCAGCTACAATCAACTTCAATCTCACACAGAAATAATCTATGCACAACTTTAGTGCTAAGCTATTTCACAAACTCATACACATCAAAATTTGAAATCGCAATTCACAAGTTTAGAGAAAAAGGAAATACCCACTGTTACTTCAGAGATGGATATGAGAGTCCTCATTGGTATTTACTCACGACAAGGAGAATCATGGATGACACTTAGTTCTGTATTATAGACACAACGTTTCAGGGCTGCTCCCTGCCCCTTCATCACCTGACTCTCCCCACGATTGGACCAGAAGTATCTATGACATGTTAGGTATACATGAAGAAGAAGCTGTTATCCATACTGCTCCTTGTCGTGTTGAAGCACATGCTGACATTAGAACAAGGCTGATCAGCTAAGTAAACAGTGACTTGGGAGTGATTCGTCTCCGTGGAGAAGTCTGTTTAAGCACTTCATAATGTATTTCAGATGAGGAGTTTGGTCAGTTGATTGGTCATTTATTAAAAAAGTTTGTACTTTTTAAGGAAATGAATAAGATAGACATATGTTGCCACAGCCAAGTGACCACACCCAGAAAGACACCCTGAAATGTACACGCATCATTTCACATCCATCTCACACACATCTAGCAGATTCCTCTCCACAGTCACAAACTAGACACTGACTTCCTCCAGCCAGTTCTTCAACTGTCAGAGCAGCCTCGTCCATTTCACTTTCTCTACAGTCTTTAAGTGTATGTAACTTTCACACAAAATGTCATAACTACAATATATATTTCTAAAATATCAAATTTCCAACCATATTTCCTTCAATTCAAATTCCAACCATATTTCCTCCAATTCAATGGATTTACACAAATTGTTTTTATTTTCCCCACTTACCAGTGTATACAGTAAACTACGTTTATGATGAACACGGTTTTAACAAACTGAGGGATATAACAAACTTATTTTTCGGTCCCGGTTGTTTGCTCATATGCTTTATACATGTATATTATGCTTATAAGAAACTAGTAACGGTTACAACAAACTAAAATTAGTGGTCCCTATGGGGCGTTATAATTACATTTAGTACTAGCGACTAAATGTTTTTATTGCAGGTATATCATCTTATGTTTACAATTTTACTTACTTCCTGCTACGTCATCGCACGCGCGTGTCCTCGGAAGTTACGTAACCATCTCGTGGTGATGTAATCACTGCTTTTTCATTACGTAACCGTCTCTACTCTTCACTTTCGCACAGCTGTCAATCCGTGGTACATCGCATTGTCGCTCTCCGCTTTCCCACCCGCCCGCCCTGTTTGCCTCCATCTCATTTCCATTGTACATCAACTTTATTGTCTATGACAGGTACCAGGCACAACAAATTGTACATATCTAATTATATATCTCTCTAATATTGTACATATCTTGACAATGTGAATAAAACAAGTCGTGGAGTGGCGTGGTTCTTCTGGGCTACCTCCTATATCATCATAATTTATATTGATATATATACTAATTAGGGTTTCCGGTTACCTGCTTTCCAGTGGGAACCCAGACTGGGTTACCTTCTTACCAGTTGGAACCCAGTCTTTCCCGGGTTTTCACTCGGGAATCTAGTAACAATTATATTTGGCAACGCAAGTTGCCACATAGCTGGGCCTGGCGGCGTTCGCTCCCATTTAGACCCGCAGCGTTGGTCGGGTTGCGTCGTTTCCGTCATTTGGGCCGTAGCATTAAGTATATATTAACAATTAAATTTGGGCTGGCGGCGTTCGCTCCCATTTAGACCCGCAGCTGTGGTCGGGTTGCGTCGTTTCCGTCATTTGGGCCGTAGCATTAAGTATATATTAACAAATATGTTTGGCGACTCAAGTCGCCACATAAATACTATTTATTCCATTTCTAAATTGGGGTAGCCCTTTAGAACCTCCACACCCTCGGCCATTAAATCCACTGTTGCGTCTTTGTCATTCTTTCAACATAGCCCACCTTCCTCAGGGAGGTGGGCCATCGCTGTAATATCCTGCAATAACCATAGCTTACTGTATGTGTATTCAGTATTTGAATCATAATCATCATTTTACTAATTATATAATGAATGAAAAGACAAAATAATTTAAAAACAATGCTTGTTAGGTTAAAATAAACTTATTATTTTAATAAAAGACTGTTTTCTCCTTCCACGAGTAAAGAGACAGCTAACAAGGGTCTCCGACAGCCCTGCCATTGTAAGGTGTTTACGATACTTATCCTGGTGATTCAGAACAACAGCAAACAACTGACATATGTCGACAGACATTTATACAGGTACGACAAATTCACTGAACAAAAATACAAGCCTCGCTACATAGAGACAAAGATTTGTAAAACAAAAAGGCTACTGTGCTGTAGCTGTTGCTACCATCCAGTACTTACTGAGAAGTGGAGAGAAGGTTCCAAGAAAGACGCCTGACTAGCGTTATCTCTATTGAGTAATGTTACAGCCCAAGACACAGCCCCACTCAACCAGGAAGTAAGACTCCGGTACTCCACACCGATAACACTAATAAACTACAGTGTCTGTGTCAATGGATCACTCGGAGCCTCCACTGAATCATGTCCCTTTAACACATTGTGTGCCCACATCAATCCAAAAGCCATAAACTATCACCCATTGCAGCTCATTGATATTCATGCACTTTCTTAGCCTGACACTGTTTCTATTATATATACATATGCATGCAAGTCAGCGTGTCTGTCAGTGACACACAGTAAAGGTCTGTAGCTCTCGACAAAGGCTTAAGGAATGTTCAACCAAAAAATAGATTTAAGATAAGCTTGTGACAAAATGAACAAACCGAACAGGCTATTCATACAGAGTTGATACAGGTGCAAGGTTACAAGAGACATTAATTACTAATTTCATCCAGTAACCTTTCCCTCAGATCTGTGACTTTCCAAACTGCAGGTTTCAAATCCCTCATTTATATCCTCCAGACACGACATCTGTAGGTGACAGAAAGGTCCTGTAGGTCCTGAAAGGACCATGTTTCCCCACATCATAACTAAATTACACAAACCTCATTATGTTCAGCCTCCTTTGTCATATACTAAATTGCGTATTGCAAAGTAGCTAGTGAACTCAAATTTACATGATAGATATATTTTTGCCACAATATTATATCCTCGAAGTTAAACACACAAAACCACCAATATGACATAACAGATAATTACAATGACAACCATCTTAATCCTAGGCAGCCTAAACTGCTCATTGTCCCTTTCTCTTCCTCTTGTTCTGTGTTTGTTGTTTAACGCCGCACTCCGAAATATTCCACCTACATGATGGCGGTCTCGAAATAATCCACTCTGGACCAGACAATCCAGTGATTGACATCATGAGCATCAATCCATGCAATTGAGAAACAATGACATGCATTAACCATTAGTCAGCAAGCCTGACCACCCGCTCCTGTAAGTCGCCTCTTACGACAAGCATAGTCGCCTTTTACAGGAAGCATGGGTTGCTGAAGACCTTTTCTACCCCGGATCTTCACGGGTAGTCCCTTTCTCAAGACAGCTTTGACAATATCCTTCTTGGGTTTATAAACGCCACCTCTAAGCAGTAACGTCTGTTTTGTTATTGAGTGTATGGAGTTTTGTTCCTAATGAATAAAACATATGATATATCAAGTCTACAAGGCAAGTTTTTCCTAAGCATGAGGATGAGAGGGGTTAGGAAGGGAGGCTCAACGTAATGGGAAGAAGATCTGACGTTTTTATCTAGCTGTTTCACCAACCACTACCTTAAACCAGACTGGAGGATGAAGCTCCATACACTGCACTTCTTGCTGCCATCTTGCATCAGCGTACATGTGTGACCGGGCTGACGTTAGCTCCAGTGGATCAGCTGACTGAGATCATGTAGACCCTGTGTGTCGGGCGCATCATAAAACATACATGTACACATGACTGGGAACATGATCATGTACTTGTATGTGTACTCAACTAGCTTGGATTACAACATACGAAATACATGGCCGCAAAGTCCATTAAATATTTTATGGTCTCTGATAGCAGATGGTAAATATAATAAGTTGTAGAAAATTTATTTACTGGTTTATCGTAACCAATCAATCTTCAAAACTCCTGTGTTCTGATGTTAGGTCATGTTTTACCTTATCATGTCAGTCTGTGAATTTAGCCACTTGTCAGAAGCCAGAGCATAGTAACAATCATCTGATAATAGTCCACACTGTAACACTCATTAAAGTTCTACTGACAATTATGCAAAGAGCCAAGTGTCAAGTCCTACATTTGAAGTACAATAAAAGATGTTGTCCTAAAATATCGTATAACAATTATGATCTTACCAGCAGCATAATAATCCATGAAACGTATTTGAAGATACTACCTGTTTGTACAAATTCTTTGTATCTCTTCAATTCTCCTTGTGAACTCTGGCCAGACATTACACAGGGTGTCTGATTCACTCTGTAAAATAGGCTGAGAATTACAACAAAACCCCGTATTTTGAAATATTACCCCATAAATATCATTTTCAAGTGATGTTAAGGTTGATAGTATTCGGTAACCAGTGTTCAGTAATCAGTGTTCAGTAACCAGTGTTTATTAACCAGTGTTCATTAACCAGTGTTCAGTAACCAGTGTTCAGTAATCAGTGTTCATTAGCACGTGTTCATTAACCAGTGTTCATTAGCCAGTGTTCAGTAACCAGTGTTCAGTAACCAGTGTTCAGTAACCAGTGTTCAGCAACCAGTGTTCAGTAACCAGTGTTCAGTAACCAGTGTTCAGCAACCAGTGTTCAGTAACTAGTGTTCAGCAACCAGTGTTCAGTAACCAGTGTTCAGTAACCAGTGTTCAGTAACCAGTGGTCAGTAATGATGGGTCCCTGCTCCCTACACCCCCCCACACACACTACACACACACACACTACACACACACACTACACACACACACTACACACACTTCACACTACACACACACACACTTCACACACACACACTTCACACACACAAACTACACACACACACACACTACACACACACACACACTACACTACACACACACACACACTACACACACACACACACTAACACTACACACACACGCTACACACACACACACTACACACACACTACACACACACACACACTACACACACACACCTTCTTCCTATTTTAAGATAGCCCAACTCAACAAAACCTTCAGCCTGGACATCTTCTCAGTCACAAGTCGTCATCCATACAATATCGTGACTGTCGAAGTCTCTGTGCCCGTCATAAATCATGCAGTATATATATATAGGAACTGGTGTCAAAGCCTGTCACCAGCCGGGACTGTATACAAGGGGTTGTCATAGCCTAAACAACGTGACTGTATACACGGAGTTGTGATAGCCTAAACAACGCAGTTATGGAGATTGGGACATATCCTGTTTATCTCCAGTTCAAATCTCCATGTGGATTTACAATGACAAGCAAATCTACTGTGACTCAACACTCCCAGAACTCAGGCAGAGTTGTGGCCTGCCGCTCTGTCTGACATTGCACTCAGTGACCTAACTAGTGGGACATGTTCGGTCATGTGATCTCACGACCCTTGACCTATATGTAGCTTGGTGATTGGAGACAACTTGGAGATAAGCTGGTCTTGAGTTTGACTGTTTGTTTATCAGTACAGTGAGACAAAGTGGAACCATATCAAGTGAGGTCACATCTGGTACACAAGATTGTTACACTTAACCACATTAATATATTTTTTATATTGACGTTTTCTTGAAAATTGCAATGTGTGCCACATGTTGCCAGCTGTCAAGAAAGTACTGGTTGTCCTTGGATACCATTTCCTTAATCTCACTCAGACCAAAGGTAAATACATAACAAAGAATAAAATATATAGCCTACATAACATTTTTCATATTTTCATTTATTTGACATATACCTTTCTTCATCATCATCATCGTCATCATCAACGTCATCATCATCATCATCATCATCATCATCATCATCATCATCAGGTTCTATTCAAGGTGGTCACCTCCGTGGTCTACTCGACAGAGCATCAGCCTGCATGCATGCATGCACACACGTACATGCATTTCCCTATCCAAGTGGGGGATGTCGGGTAGCCGAGTGGTTCACTCATCACAACAAAGAAAATGGGTTCGATTCCTGACATGGGTACAATGTGGGAAGCCCATATCTGGTGTCCCCCACTGTGATATTGCTGGAATATTGCTAAAAGCGGAGTAAAACCATACTCACTCACTCACTCACTATCTGAGTGCAATAATCTTGAAACGATGTTTAACCACATTTCATCTCACTCCTTATTCAAGGTCACTGTGTAGCCTTGCCCCTCAGGTGTCAGAGATGTCTGGAGCCGGGAAGCTCCTCTCTAACCAATGAGTGGCAATACTATGCCCAGTTCTGTACTCACAGTAGGGCAAGTAGGCATGTATTAGTTCTGCCCAAACTTTGTTCTGCCCCGGACAAAATTTTAGGATTAAATACATAAAATTAAGTGAAAATGTTCCGAACCTGTAGTGAAATGTTCCAGTTGACAGGAACAATGTTTGGGTGTGTTTATGAGCGATGTTTCTGTATATTGTTAAAGTGCAACATGAAAAACAGAGAAACTAAGACATACAACCGCAATACAAATAAACATCATCTAAAAGAAACACAAAAGAATATGATGGAAAAGGAAAGCATGAAACAAATCCTGGTAGTTAGTTAATGATAAGGGCAAATGTGAAAACATTCAGTTATGACAGAAATAGATAGAATGCAGAGCCCAACACAGCCGAAATCGGAAGTAGTGCTGCACGAAAATTCCATGAAATGGCTGTGTTTATGACAAGTAAATTACACAAAAAGGCACTCACCAGTAAATACTAGGGCTGTGGGGTGAAGTATCCTAAAGACTGAGATATCTAACAGAAAATGATGAAAGGAGAAACAGAGCTACAGATAAGCAGCGTATTTGCGTAAAATACCCCCCCAAAATATTCAAAACCCAATTATTTTCAATTAAAATGCGTACAGAAACGCATGCATTAAATGAAAAACTTAAATGTATAAAAACAGCACTCATAAATACCCAATGAGGCTTTTCCAGCATGCGTACAAAGGAGCTATTTTCCAAAACACAATTACGAGGTAATTAAGTCAAGCCTATATATTTAGAACAGTTATATACATCAAAAACATTATTTAATTTTTTTAAATCTTAAAATGTTCACTAATTTTGGGAAAACCCAATAGAGTGATGAATAGATGAGTGAAAAAATATTGGTTACCCAAAGAAAAATGTAATAACCCAATTAAAATAGAAACCCTAGAGTAAAAACTCAATTGCTCAAAAAGCTATCTGGAGCTCTGGAGAAATTTATTTACCATGGTAACATAGTTAATTAAAAAACATCCTTGTAACGAAATTTTTATTTTTAAATGTTAACGGAAGAGTCAAATAGGAGTTTTCACACATAGCGCAATTGTTGCATATTTGTTCCATGCTTAAAATTCATGTGTTCTTTCTCTCTTTCACCCTTCCACCCCTACACCCACCCATGCCCCATTTATTGATATGGCCCCATAAAAAATCCCTCTTTTATACACTTGACAGTTTCACAAGGTAGAACATATGTGTGTGAAATATATGACCGGGGCACATGT